CCTGATTGCCTCCCTTTCCCTCTAGTTTTTAATTAGAAAAGTTTGTTCTACAAAACTCCAAAACATCTGTTTTTTTTCGGTTTTAATGAGAATTCCCCGATAACTTTACTGCATTACCTCTTGTGATGTTTGTCTCGGAACCAACTACGCTCTACTGAACTTCCGCCAATCGGATTTTCAGTGGCGTCTCGACGCGCTCTGGCTGTAGTCACCTGGAATTGGCTAACAAGGCTGTTTGTGTGGTACCCGCTGAAACCCAATACTCCGTGGTCCGACCGACATCATTCCGCCTCCTCCACACGCCTCCCAACCTTCTCCGGCCGCTGCCTCCGTCTGCTCCATTTGTCGACGGTTGGTGTTGTTCCGAGACTTCACCCATTTCTTCATTCATTCATTCGCTTTCTGCCAACCGACTCCGGCGGCTGCCCCGTCCTCCGCCGTCGTCGTCGTCGTCAATATGGCCCTTTTTCGCGTTTTCACGTTGTGCATACAAAATGTTGCTCCGCGAGCCGTGGCAGATGATTCGGCGGCTCTTCAACTCCACACCCACCTTATTCAGTCTTCCAAGTCATCTTGCGCTTCTCCTTCTCGCCGCCGTCGCTTTTCATCGTCGCACTTTCGAGCAGTTTCGACTCACTCATTTCGTTTTTCGGGGCCACGGCTGCTCGGTCTAATGAAGACTTTCGACCGAAATGAGATGGGAGGCCCCTTTGCTCGGCGGCGTCTTGTTGCAAGAAGTCTTTCGTCGTCTCTCCTTCCGCTCTGGAATGAGCAAGATGAGGTGCGATGCGGAGACACTTCGTCGTCGGCCCGTCGTTGTCAAACATTGACAAATCCGATTGCCTTTTGCTGTCGTCGTCGTCTTGCCCCCGTTTGTTTCTTCCTGTTTTTATTAGATTCCCTCTGCGACCCGACCCTTCCGCTTGCGTCTGTCAATCTCTCGGGCTGAAAAGAATCGCGGCTACTTGATGGGCGACGAGGTTTTTGTGCCGTGGTCACCCGCTTCATGACTGCTAAATATTGATGAGGTACCAAGTGCCAAATCAACGTTCACTCATGCCGAGTCCAAAGTCAAAAAAAAATCTGTGAAATCTGTAGTGTTTTTGCAGTCCAAAGCTCGTCGCAATTTTGAAAAAGTTTAAATTTCGTGAGAATATTTCAAAATATTCAAATTTCTTGGGTCAATTTTCAAAAAATACCGTAGTTTTATGGTATACGGTGACGTTCGTTTCAGCTGTGTGCACCCCTTTTTCTGTAGAATTGCGACGGCTTCAAAAACACTACAGTTTTCACAGATTTTTTAAACTTTGGACACGGCATATAATTTACCTTATTTGTTGATGATAACAATTTGTTGGAAAGCGGAAATTAGCAGAGAGAGAGAGAGAGAGAGAGAGAGAGATACGTCTACGCGACTGCTTCTAATTCACTCAAAAACACACTCTTTCCATTTACTATACTCTTCATTTTCTCTTTCCTTCATCGAGCACACGGATTCTAGATTGAGCACAATTCCAACGCATTCCGACAGTTAATCCTCCCAAAAGTACAAATTCGTTCTCTCTTGCCTCCGAAACTCTTTAGTTATAACTTATAAGCCTTTTCTTCGCGGAATGACCCCGTCGGCTGACTGAACTTTTTATTTTTTCGAAAAGATTCTCCGAGAGAGATCTCATTTTTTGATAAAAACGCCGTGGTTTCCGATGTTCGAGGTGTGCTCGCGGAGCCCCCTCGCATAATCGAAAACGTTTCGTCCGGTCGTTGTAGCAACTGGCCTTCTCGTCTCCTCCGTGCTCTCCTTTCCCTCTTTTCATTCTCTTTTGTCTCTTTTCTCTTTCCGGACTCTATTCCTCCCCTTTTCTCTGTTGTTCTGATTCCATTTCGTACCGTACTCTTTCCCTCTACAGTAATCCGACTTCAGAGAATCTCGTGTAGTGTTGGCTGAAGAATGCGTGGCGAATCGTAATGAAGACGGCCGTTTTTGGACGCGACTCGGCGGAACCGAGCTCGCCGTGCGGAGCCCCACCGTCGCTCACGTTCACGCCTCCGGCCACTCTCGTTCCACCGACGCATCATCACACGCGAACGAACGTCCGCGCGGTGAGCGGCGGAAGCGGAAGCGGCAGTGGGACCGTGACGAGCGCCGTGGGGGCGGGCGGTCCGAGAGCCTCGCACTCTTCCAGAAGGACCAGTCGGATGCACAATGTCTCGGCACTCGGGGTTCGTTTTTTTAATGTTTCCAAGTTCTTTTGTTCTCGAAAAATGTACGAAAAAACTTGAGAAAAAGAAAAAGACAAGGACTTCATCATTCAAATGACCAGTCTATGTGGGAAACTATCTAAATGCACTTTGATAACTTAAAAGTGGAGAACGATTCGATAAATTCCATTTCCCACCCAAAACGCTATTTTTCGAGTTGAACCCAGTGCGAAAACAATAACGGCTCCAGAGTCGGTCCTCTCTCTTTCCCTTCGCATCCCATCTTGTCGTGTCCGTCATTTCTTTGTGACGCCGCCGTCGCTTCAGAAGGCTGAAAAGAAAATATTTGAGGACCGGGGTCCGCCTCGAATCCATCGCTTATTTCTTTCGTTTATAATGATGATGATGTGTGTGTGTGTGAGTGTGTGTGTCTCTTCCAAATATGGTTGTTTCTTCTTCTTCTTCTGCTTCTCCTTCTCGCCCGTTTTGCTCCTCTGAACCTACTTGTAATTCGAGTTGTTTCACAAGCACACTCTTGATTCGAAAACAGAGAAAACGAAGAGAGAGAGAGAGAGAAGAAACAGCTAATTGAAATTATCGGAAAACCTCCTTTTCGCTCATTCATTTTCCCTCCTCATTTTCCCTCTTGTCAGGCCAGCTCGATTTGATTGTCACCGCCATAAAAATAGATATGTAAGGAGAGAGAGAGAGAGAGAGAGAGATCCAGAGCCGGCCCAATTGTTTCCTGTCTCAGCTCTCACAAGCTCATGGAGCCCCCAAGTTTCCCATCAATTCATTTTCTTCTCAAATCCATTCTCTCTCTCTCTCTCTCTCTCTCTCTCTCTCTCTCTCTCTCTCTCTCTTTCACTCCCAGTTCATCCGCAGACAGAGCGCCCTTTCACTCGAATCAAAACAGGTCACAGACGGACGATCCCCCCGAGAAATCAAATTTCGACAATCGGCTGCAAATTCGTTTGTGTGAGCGCCGCGTGTCGAAACGAGATTGTCGGACTCAAAAGGCTCGAAATTAAAATGGGATACGCCGCTCCCGCCTCTCCGAAAACTTTGTTCGTTGACCCTTCGGGGGCAGAATCCGAGGGCTCTCGAGTGACGAATCCCGTTTTGCAAATCGCTATTCTTTTTTTTTGAATTTCACCAGACCAATTCGTGTTATTTTCAAAAATCAGAACTATAACTGAACTCTTTTTTTAATACTCTTTCTGAATATCGGGAAAAGAATGAATCACGTCAACGATTCGGTTTTGCGTCCAAACCCAGATCTTGATATTTGAAAATAGAATGGCAATTCGGCTGAAATGGGTGGCGGTTCTATTTGTTCGTTCGAAGGTTTCGTATTGGCTGTTCACGGCCACCCGTTCAGTGTTCTGTCTCTCTTTTCCTCAAAAAGTCGTCTCTTCTAAGCCTTTCTCGGGCCCCGAATCATTCTATCGAATTAGACGTGTGAAGAGGGACGGCGGCGCGGTGCGGAGACGCCGATTCCTTGACGGTAATTCGTGTCGAAAGAGCACACAATCGATGCTGTCGCCGGCGAAGTCGTCGTTTTGCGAAGAAACTTCATGCAGAAGACGTCGCCGCCGATGATGGGCTTTCTAATCACTTTTTCGACGCACTCACCGAGTTGCCACGTCATTAGGAAGTCGGCGGCGCAAGGAAGATCGGCCGCTTCCGTCGCGTCGGAATGACACGAAAAGTGTCCTCTTCAGCCATGTTTTACAACATTCACTCCGTCGTTTCTGCCGTTTCACTCTCCTTTATCACCGTCTCAAATCTCGCTCTTTCGCTTCCTTCTATTCCGAATAAATGCAGATGCATCCGGTGTCGGTGTGAGTTGGGCAAAGAATGGTGCGTTCGAAGCGGAAACTCACACAACTCATCATCTCCAATGGGTACATACAGGTAATCACAGTCAAAACGTTCTGAGATGCTCTCGTAAACTCAATCTAGTGCTGGACTCTACTCACTTTCAATTTCTCATATCTGTCACTGCTCTCAATTGATATCTCGTTTCCCACGCGCTCAGTTTCCCGGCTCCATTCTCTCCCAACTTCTGAATCCTTCGTCTACTTTATCCTCCCAAACCGTTTCATTCCCTTCCAATGTGTGAGCATTCCATGTTTTTATGGCCCAAAGAAAAACTGGGATTGTTTAAGTGAGTGCTCACAGCTTTTTCTGCTATTGTCTCGTCTATAAAATGTTGTTTGTGAGCGAGTTGTTCGAGTATCATCAAGTGCTTTCTACCTTCATTCCCCCAATCCAATCCCTTTTGTTGCTCATTTTCGTTCGCCATCTGAGACAAGAAACCAAGCTCGTCGGCTCGTAACAAATTCATGAAAATCACCTACTCAGAGGGAGGGAGAGGCCCAGTCTCTCCTTGTGTCTGTCCGTGTGCGTATCTGCACATGAGAGTGTGTACATATCACTTCTACTCACCCCCCTCGCGGTTTTTTGGCTGATTTTTCGGAGCGACGACGACGACGGCGACGCAGAGCCCAAAAGTTAGTAGAGGCGGTGAGGGCTTTCCGTCCGACTGACACAACAGTGACAAACAATATGCAGCAGAGCAGCGGGTGCCGAAGAGGCGGTGACAGCAGCGAGTGACCAAGTGCTAAGCAGTGCTAACGCAAGAAGAAGGAGCAGTATCTGAATTAAATCTCGCACTCTTCTCACCGCCTCGCCGCCCGCTTCTTCTTCGTCTTCCCCTCCTGCTTCAGCTTCTGCTTCATCGTCCCTTTCCTTCCTTCCTTCCTTCCTTCATTTCATTTACGCCCCCCAAAGCAGAGATGGCGGACGAGCGGCCGCGACCGTCCGTCCGCAACTACAGTCTCGACCTGACAAGGCAGCGGAAGGTGACGGAGACGGCCGTCTCGCCCTCCTCCTGCTCTGTCAAGTTCATGCCGGAGGTGGCCGACAATCCGACGAATCCGTCGGCCAGGAAGCATTCGTCTCTGTCCCAGCCGGCGCTCAGATGCCATTCGAAACAGCATCACAACATTCTGAGCCCACATGCTCTTGCGGTGAGTTACGGTTTTTGATTGATTGAAGATCCATAGAATGATCAGTGACTGTCACATCCTAAAAGCTTAAACGAATCGTTTTGCATAGTTTGAGCCTCTCCGTTTTGCGAACTTCTCATTCCTTCAAGAGTACCACCCGCCCATCAACAGATCTTTCTGTATCGCAACGTTTTTCAAAAGCCGTTTGTGTCGCTGAAGTGTACATGTATAATGTATATCTGACAGCTCGGTCAGTCACGCCGTGCCCATTGTTTTCCCGTCGCGATTCCGAATTCAGCGTAAATTGTGACACGTAACCAGGGGTGATCAAAAGAAAACGTGACGAAAAAGCGGCGCCAGGTCCGAGTCATTCACTTGAGAAATACTACTGTAGCTCCGGGTGAACCGGATCATTCGTCCATCAATTTGTGCGGTTACTGTAGAATGGGATGAAGAAGAAAGAAGATTGTAGAAGTTTAGATCACTGAGAAGAGAAAGAAAAGGAAACGACCAGAAGGAAGTGTCAACTTGCTAAAATTCGTCTCTGATTCTTTATGAGCGTATACATTGATCCACCATCCTTTGATTGCTGCTACAGTCACCTCTTTCTCGCTCTCCTGCAGCTGTGGTGTCGCAACAAAAGGCGGCTTAATGGAAAAACCGGAGGGGCGGTTGAAAATGAAAAGCAGGCGTGCGCCTAGCAACCGAACAGGAGGTGCTCCCCCCGCTGTCCTTCTGCGTCTCACAAAGCGCACAATGAAGCCACGAAGAGTTGATTTCGTTCTGTCTGTCTCGAGTCTCTCCGCCACTGGTGGAGCAGAAAGAGCTCCTCCCTTCTCCTTCTGACATACAAAGGTGGTGTGAGGTGAAGAGTCTTCCATCCATCCTTACCACCATGAACTCTTCCGTGCCCATGATCGACCTCACCTCGTCTTCCGGAGACGACGACGACCCAGAAGTGGCGATGATGCGAAGTTACCTGCCAGTTCCACAGATCAGACGATCTTCGGATGACGTTCCCGACAGTCCACCTATACTGTATTCAAACGGGAACATCTTCCGATCGACACTTTCCATGAATCCACCTCCACTCGCTCCGTCGCCCTTTTCGGAGATCACAGTCTCTTCGCAACGACCTCTCGTCGCACGTTCCAGTTCGAATGCGAGTGAGCATAATTTGGCGATGAAAGAAGCGGCGAAAAAGGCGAAACCAGTTGCAGACATTGCCCACGTGAGTCTTTCTTTCCTTTGCTCTTTTTGCTTTTGCTGCGACTGTTGCTCAAGAAATATTCTATTCACACTTGGCTATCGAGGCGTTCGTCGTCAAATTATAGGGTTGTGAGGGAGCCCCCGCTCGTTTTGCTGCCGCCGTCCATTTCATTCGGACTGAGAAAGTCGGCCATAATTCACGGTGGTGGCCCTATTCAAATGAGAACGACAGCTGGACGGGTGGGAGCTGCTCCATAAAATAAAGCTGAGGTTGGAATCACAAAGGGTCCGAGAAAAGTGCGTCGAGGACGAAATAGAGAAGGACAAAATAGATACAGTAACCGGAACTGTTTTGAAGTATCACGTCTATAACTACTATAAATATCATAATTTCCAAGAGTTTGTATGGTGTCCATACCCGATCGGTTCCCTCAAACTCTTCACAATTCGTAGAATCGGCTGTGAATGACGTTTGCCCTCAACTTCCTGATTGCCGGCGCCAAGTCATCTTTGAGTGTCAGCAGATGGATCAGATTCCTTCGGAGCATCACGTCATCCGTGTGTGCGCGCTCCTTCTCCTTCTCACCAATCCAATTAGCTCCAGCCTGACCTCCTTCATCAACTTTTTTGTCTCTTTTTCTCCGTCGGTGGAATAATTGATGAGTCGGGTCGGTTTTTCTTTCGTCCACCACTACTTTCACTGATTCTTCTCAGCCCGACACGAGTGTCATTTTTATTGCCACCCGTCCGTTCATAATGTTATCCATTCCCCTTCCACGAGCTTCTTCTCCTTCTTCTTCTTTTACTACTACTTTTCCTAAACTTGTAAGCATCCTCTTCTTCATCTTCTTTTCTTATTTTTCGCCCTTCTCTTCTTTTCTTTTCGAAATTAATTTTGGTATTTGTGTCTGTAATTAGTGAAGAGAGATAGAGAGAGAGAGAGAGAGAGAGTCAACACGGAATGCTCGGCGAGTCCTCTCTCATTCTACATTTCAATTTCAATTCGTTTGTTTCTTTTTTCTGTTCTTTCGGATCTCTGGATCTACTCTACAAGACTATTCCGTTCACATCCCAAGAGCTAAAGCCACTAAAGCTAGAAATGTTCAATGACGTTGGTCGAAATGCGCACCTCTTGATTTTTCTCATTTTGGTCCTTCTTCTTCTTCTTCTGCTTCTGCTTCTTTCTTGCCTTCGTCGGCTTCTTCTCCATGTGTCCATCCTGCCGGAGACAATGTGCCCAACCTCTCGACACACACATTATCGGCACTCATCTCGGAGCCAATGTCAACACATTCAAGCGTTGATTTGGGACGACATCTCCTCGGGCCTCCGCCCTTCGTCGCTTCGAAGAGTCAGTACAGCTCCATTCATCCTACGTCCCCCAATCGGTCACCATTCAAAACCTACCCCTCATCCCGTCATACCTTTCACTGCAAGAGGAGCCGTTCGGTTGCGTCGTCACCACTTCGGCCACGTCATCTGCCATCCAGAAGTCGTCGTCGACGGGCGCTATGCCACGTCGTCCGCCGCTGCTCCGACTGGCTCCGGTGCCAGAGGACGAGGAGGACGACGAGGTGTTCGAGGCGGAGAAGAGCGACGACAAGCAGCGCTTTCTGCCGCCGTCGAAGAAACAGCGGAGATTGCACGGCAGTCTCCACTCGGAAGATGCGAATAACAGTGACGAGGAGGACGAGAATAAGGTAAATATTGGGCAGTTTCGACCCGTTTCCTTCCAGCCTTATTATCCGCTTCCCTTCCTTTCCTCGACAGAAGGCTCTCTGAAGTTTTGTGCTTTATTCCTTACCACTCTTTCTCTCTCTATCTTTCTCTCTCTCTCTCTCTCTCTCTCTCTCTCTCTCTCTCTCTCTCTCTCTCATTCTTCCCCCGAACATCAGTGTTCGTTCCCATCAGCCAGATGTGTTCGTGACGGGAAACTCTTCGTTTTTTATTAGACCTTTCGGTCTCGCAGGAAGCGATGGCTAAGAAGAATAGGAAGAAGGAGGCGGAGAAGGGAAAGCCGGAGGAGAAGGAGAAGAAGAAGAAGGAGCACATTTAATTTCGTTAGCGGCACAAAAAGCAACGAGTCTTTGCACTTTACATGCCATCATACTTCCTCTCCTTCTTCTCCTTCTTCTTCTTCTTCTCTTTCTTCGCACTTCCTTTACCTTCTACGTGTCGTTCGCCATTGTTTCCCGCCTGGCTGGATTACTGTGGATCATACTAAAAGAGTTCAGAAGAGCGCATGTGCACCCACCCGCAGCTGCTCCCTCTCTTCTTCTTTTCCACTGGAAAAAGCTCCATCTCTCTGCTCATTTTTGTTGTTGTGGTCCGACTGGAATGGAGAAGAGAGGCTCCAGAAGCAGGGATTGGCGATACATCCACAGATATTTGGTGTTTCTTCTTGTTCCAACATCATCATCATCATCATCATCATCCTCGTACATCTGAAGTGTGCGGATGTATGCCTCGGTGTGTGCGTATGTGCCCCCGATTTGTAATGCATATTGTTTTCATCATAATGCTCGCTGCTCCTGGAGAGCTCCTCTTCCGCCGCGCCTCTCCTCATTCGTTGTCCTTCTCTTCCCTCCCAAAACTTTTTTGTCAGTCGGAAAGGAAAGGGAGAAGTCAATCGATGGACGGAGTGTTTCGGTTGCGTTGCCCCGTCGCAAAATGGACCGACATCTTATTATTTCTGATAATTTTTTGAAGTGGGTGCTCGGCGCCTCGAGTACTCGTGCCTCAAGATGTCTCTCCGCCACTTCTCCGTCTTCCCTTCTTCTCCTTTTCATCACTTTTCTTTGTCACCGTCTAGAAAGCGCGATGATGTTCTGTGAAATCGAAATCGGCAACCAAACCAACAATTAAAGTTGATCTTTTAGATCTTCTAGCCTTCTTTTAACTTGTCCAAACAATCTCCTATTCGTTTTCATTTATTCGCCATATCGTGTTTCACATCTCATCCTCGGATCCTTGCAGAATTACAGAGAGACCTTCTGCCCCTCCCCCTTCCGCTCCCTCTCTCCCTTCTCATTACCCTTTCCAATCTGAAATGCTCTGAAGAGGTGTCGTCTGGTGTCATCGTCGCACGCCTCGCTGCGTTCGCTGTCGCCGTGTCCGTCGCTTCAGTCGTCGTCGTCGATCGGTGGTTGTGGTGGCATGGGCGGTGGCGGCGGTGGTGGCGGAACAGGATCAGCAGGTCACCACACGTCGTCCTCGTCGACCACTACTCGCCGAAATGCGGCCATCGCTTCGACGTCCTCGACGTCGTCGGCTGCCGGAAGACGGGCTTCTGCCTTCGTTCGGAGGATGTCGATGGCCATTCCGACGCTTTCGGCAGATCCTGTCCCTTTCTCAGCGGTAAGTCTCCCTTTTCACTAATTGGACTCTTTCAGGTATTGTACCGGACTGTATTAAGTTGCATTAATGCTAAGCTGGACGACTGTATTCGGAATATCTCTATCCCCAGTTCACTTCCCTTTTCTATCTGTCCCTATTCCACTCCTCACTCCCGAGTTTTTGGATCTCCCAGACACGCTCGGAACCCCCACTTTCACCCAAAAATAAGTGGGCCGTCACTTCCCGGTTTCAGCGATTTCCGGCCGATCCTCTGCCAAAACATCGTCACCCTTGCCAAATGCGGCACACAAAAGAAGCGGTCCTCGAAGCGAGATTTTCGAATTTTCCGCTCCGTCGCCTTTATTCTGCTTCCTTCTCTCTTTCTCTCCTTTTCTCTCTCTCTCTCTCTCTCTCTCTTCTCATTCCTTAGAATTCTGACTGAAATTTGACGTGGCAACGCCTATCATTAGCCACCTTTCTCCCCGCAATTTGTCTTCTCAACAACCGCCTTCTTCGTGCTCTTTTCTGTTCTGTTTCTATGGCGAAAAGCATATAATTCTACGATTTTGTGCTTGTTTTCGTCGGGCTCCAATGTGCTCACGGCTCTTTTCATTCCAACGTTTTCCACGTGGAGTTTGTGGAGTCATCAGCGTGTAATATGTATGCGAAAAGGGAGGAGTGAGGAGCCCACAGCTCTCTATAATATATTTTCGTGGAATTAGTTATTCGCATTTCATTAAACATCGGAGGTTCGCTCAGTTGGCTCCGACGGCTGCTCATTTCGTTCTTTCGTTCCGCTGGGAGCTCGAACGCACTTTGATTTAATTAAAAATGTTCTATTCTCAGAAAATGCACTTTCACACCTGTCCCCAGGAGAGACCCTTTTGCACTTTGTTTCATTTCGATTATAAAAAAGAAAGAGTTGGAGAAATAGAAGTGGAAAAGGTGGCAGAAAGACGGGAAAGTCTCGAATTTCTGCTCAGGAAGAAGCAACAAAAAATGGAGAAGGGGAGTAATTAGTAGGCGAGAAGAGAGAAGACGACACGGTGCGCCCATAACATGTGAGCCCGAGGCTTAGGCGCCTCCGAGCCCCACGACGTCTTCCTTCTCTTCTTCTTCTTCTTCTTCTTGGCTTTTGTGGGCCAAGAAGAAAGGAGAAGAAGAAAAAGAAGAAGTAAGAGAGAGAGAGAGAGAGAAAGAGAAGGTTCTTCCTCTCTCGGATACTGGAATATTTTCAAGTTCCGGATTGCTGCTCCGCGCAGTCCTTCTTCACAATTTTTGCATTCATTCAAAAACAACAAGCAATTTGTGTCAGTTAGCGAGTGTGTTCTTCTTCTCAATTTCCCTCAACATACACATGTTGTGAGCCTGCTCCTTCTTCTTCTTCTTCTTCTTGTCCTTCTCCCTCATCCCTTAATTCCTTCACTTTCTTTTGTCCCCGCCTGATACGTCACAATCATCCTCTTCATCGTCGTTTTCAACGACGCCTTCTGAAATCCCCACTTTTTGTTGTGCTTCTTCCTGGATCCGCTGTTGCCGTTGGAAAACAATGGAGTTGACAGCCACGGGAGGTGGTAGTGTGCTCACTTGCTCCGTGAGCTCGACGTCTTCAGAAGTGCACGACGATGAGGTGCGAGCGCGAGCCGGCTCACTTTCCACCCAATTTGATTCGCGCGGCGGAAATCGGACAATCGGCGAAAAAGCAGCTGGAAAAGACAGTTGTTTTGCAAGTTTTGTGATTTCACGAGAACTTAATGCTGTTTGCCGGGAAAAATCAAATATGTTTTGAAGCAAAGATTAAACCCGGAGTACTGTAATCTTCGCGTAGTTCTCGTTTTCGGAAGCGGCTCGTCACCAGCTCCGTGAGCTCCCACGTCACTCGTTTCCTTCCTTCGATTCGTTTTTTCTTTTTATTCTTTCCGTATTCTATATTGGCCGAGTCCTGTGTGTATATTCCATAATCGCTCTGCGCAGCGCGAGCTCTTTCGCAAGACACTGTGGTCCTCGAGATCGGCAAGAATTCATGTTATTCTTCGCATTCTTTTTATCTGATTCCTTCTTCATCAGATCCAATTAGAGTTATCGCTAAGTTGTTTACAATTTTGTACCGAATATTCGCAATTTTCGAAGATTTCAAGTCAAGATTCTGAGCACGTACGGGAAGAGAAAAACGAGGAACGAGACGGACGGATCAGAATGATAGAGTGGCGGAGATTAGAAGCGAGAAGGCAAGAGTTGACCACTGTCCGGTAGAGTTCCAACTTCTTCCTTTTTTCGGAAGAGAAAGAAGAATTTTATTGTGATCTCTGACAAATATCTCTCGCCCCCGGAAGCTTCTCTCTTTTCAAAAAGAAATCAGTGAGGCCCTCCGTCTCCGTGGTCCCTTTCAGTTTGTCCAAAAGGCGCCCCACCGATCTAGTGGCCGTCTGCATTGGCTCTGCGTGAGCAGAATAATTCATTATACTAATGCTCCTCCTCCTCCGGTCGGCGCCTTCCCTTTCTGAGTCTCCCCTATCATCATGTTTCAAACCACACACTACACCAAAGTTCGAACTTTTTCGTTCGCTTTCCGTGCTTTCCCGGCTTCGTATCCCGTATTTGTTTGCTTGCAGAGCGAAGCCATCCCATCATAAGTATTCAAATGAAACGGCGCCGTCTCTGGAAGGTTCCGCATATCTTTCGGATGAGGACCCCCCATTTTTCAATTTCTAATATGTTTTCGAATGACAGACCGACCTCTCGCCGCCGCCAGAACGGACCTTATTTTCCATACGAGCCGTCCGTCGGCATTTTCATTGACAACCTCATTCTCCGAAGCCATTTTGACATTTCGGACATCATGCTCCTCCTTCCTCTTCTTCCCCTCATTTGTCTGGAGCACTGCTCGTAGTACATAGATTTCATTGCCAAGATCAGATTCAATTGACCGGATGTGGATTCGGATGGCCTCGGTCATATGGCGGGACTCCTAATTGTTTTATCTCCTTCCCCCCACAACTTTCTGATCTTCTCGTTCTTTCCTTCTTCTCATCCATATTTCTCTGAAGCTGTGCCGTCGCGCCACGTCGTCATGACGTGAGCAGGCGCGCCGATCCGAGTAAATGTCGACGGCGACGACGGCGACGACGTCGGCACTCAACAATTCGTCGGCGCCCTCCTCCGGACAGCAGCAGAATGCGGTCGCTTCGCAAGCCAAACAGCTCATGATAGTGCTCCAAAATGGATCCTACAAGGTTCTTTCTTCCCTCCAGAAGCCGGCTCAACTTGTGTCGGATTTGTTTGTGAATATATGTTGGGGAGTGTGTCAGGGGAAAGAGACAGGTGCAAAATACGCGCACACACACTCATATTATTCGTGCGCACTGCTACTAACTTGGTGTGCCCCTGACGACGGATAAAGCCATTTGAAAGAGCATTCAGAAGGCTGATGGTAAGAATACGGAAAGATTGCCTTTGGAATGGGAAACCTCAACTAAATTTTATATTGATATCCTAATTTTCTTCACTTTCAAAATGAGAATTTCAGGTTCTATCACTTGGCGCCGATGTTCTGCCCGAGTACAAATTGCAGCCAACTCGGATACATCACTGCACCATCGTACATTACAGGTAGTCTACCGTAATTCCCATGCCAATCCGCATATTGCTCTGTTCAGTCCGTTCAAAGCAGTCTGGGACTGGATCATCCTATTACTTGTCATCTACACGGCGGTTTTCACTCCGTACGTGGCCGCATTCCTCCTCCGAGAACTGCAGGACACGGCGAAGAAGTCGAGGTTCACGGAACCGCTGGAGATCGTCGACCTGATTGTTGATATCATGTTTATTGTTGATATTATTATAAATTTTCGAACAACATACGTCAATGAGAACGACGAGGTGAGTCCATTCTCCAGTCGCTCTCCCAATCGATGTAGGCGTGTCAGGTGGTATCGCATCCCGGAAAGATTGCCACGCACTACTTCAAGGGATGGTTCATCATCGACATGGTCGCCGCGGTACCGTTCGATTTGCTGCTCGTCAGTACGAACAGTGATGAGGTGAGTCCGTGAGCACTCAAAAACTGTTTCTGAAGGCAACGAGTTCAGACTACAACACTAATCGGGTTGCTGAAAACTGCTCGTTTGTTACGATTGGTACGGGTCGCCAGAAAACTGGATAGGTATTCTGAATACGGAGCAGCCGTTCTTCTACTTCTTATGGCAACATTCGCGCTCATAGCACACTGGCTGGCTTGTATATGGTGGGTTTGAATTGGACGGAAAGGGGAGGAGAATAAGCTGCGATTTGTAGGTACGCAATTGGTAGTGCAGAATTATCACACAAAGAATACACGTGGTTGCATCAGTTAGGTGAGTGAATGACAATGAAATTCAATTTCTTGAGTGATGACGATTTCAGCAAAACAGTTAGCACAGCCGTACACATCAACGAACGGAACGATACCAACTGGAGGTCCGACGTTAAAGAGTCGATACGTGACGTCACTCTACTTCACTCTCTCGACTATCACGTCCATCGGATTCGGAAATGTGTCGGCGACGACGGACTCTGAAAAGATATTCACGATCATCATGATGATCCTCGGATCTTTGATGTACGCCTCCGTGTTCGGAAATGTTTCCGCCATCATTCAGAGGTTGTACTCGGGAACTGCTCGATATCACACAGAAATGTCAAGGCTCAGAGAGTTCATCAGATTTCATCAGGTTTGAAAGGAGCGTGAATCATTTCTCCGTCAACAGAGTACATCCTTCAGATTCCAAATCCATTGCGGCAAAGGCTAGAAGAATACTTCCAACACGCGTGGTCGTACACGAACGGAATCGACATGAATCTGGTGCTGAAGGGGTTTCCGGACTGTCTGCAGGCGGACATCTGCCTCCATCTCAATCGCAATCTTCTGAGCGGATGTGCCGCTTTTGCAGGAAGTACTCCCGGATGTCTCAGGGCACTATCAATGAGGTAATCAGATACAAACGGCAGACTTCGTAATCCTGTCATTTCTTGCAGGTTTCGAACAACTCACTCGCCTCCTGGAGACACTCTGGTGCACAGGGGAGACATTCTAACGGGCCTGTACTTCATAGCAAGGGGAAGTGTCGAAATACTGAACGACGACAACACCGTCATGGGCATTCTGGGTGAGATTCCGGCGAGAAGAACCTGCTAATAACCTTCAACTTATCCAGGAAAGGATGACATATTCGGGGAGAACCCTTTGTTGTACGATGAAGTGGGCAAGTCGTCGTGCAATGTGAGGGCACTCACCTATTGCGACCTTCATAAGATCTTAAGGTATTCATTTAACGGACCAGTCTTTTGAAATTGCCTTTTCTGTAGGGACGATCTTCTGGACGTCCTCGACATGTACCCCGAGTTCGCCGAAACTTTCTGCAAGAATCTCACAATCACCTACAACTTGAGAGACGACGCACAGAGTCTTCGGAAGAAGTTCGACAGGCACAAGCTGCTCAGAATGTCGTCGTCGCTCAACAAGGAAAGGTACACGACGCCCCCAGAAGGAGAGAACAATCCGGGAGGCGTTCGTCGGAGTGCCGAGTCGGTCTCCCGATGCGATTCGAATCCGATCGACCGTCGACAGTCCGCCGGGTCCAGAAGTGAGTTCCATTCCGCTTCCCCTCCCGCCCCGCCCCTCTCCGCTTTCTCACCTTGCCTTCCCTTCCCTTCCGTTCTTGTGCCCATCCCTCTGACCTACTAACACAGGCTCGTCTCGTTGCTCACCCCCACACGCCGCTCTCACGGCCACACGCTCCGAAGCGACTCCGCTGCTGCGCCGTCCGAATCATCACGATGACGAGGACGCGCTGTTCGATGACATCCGAGCGTTCGCACGTGGCAACACTGTCACGATGGCTCCGACTGCGGCCGGAAATTCGGTGGCGCCGACGATGATGATGCACAACGACGGGACGCCTTCGCAACAGCTGAGCGGTGAGATGAGAGGCATGGAGTGGCAAAAAAACTGATTAACACGCACATTCTGCCGAAAAACAAACGCTTCTTCTCCCGTTTTAGAGTGACTTTGACCCATTCACAGTTTGAGCACTGAAGTAAACATTCTCAGATGAAATACCAGATTCTCGTTGACTGTTCCCAAAAGAATCATTCTCTTTCAGACCGATCAGACGAATTCGAGGATCGCAGGTCGCACATGTTCAGCAGGAGGCTCGAATCACTCGAAAAGTCGCCAGTTCCCTCAATAACTGCCCTCTAACTCTGATCGTTTTCAGTCAAATCGAACGGATGCAGAACAAGTTCAACAGTGACATGGAGACACTCATCAAACTGGTCAAAGAGCAGGCGATGGCCCGCAATAACGGAGCGTCGAACGAAGGTAGGCGGTGACCGTTCCGCGTCCGTTCCGCGTCCGTTCCCGCCGCCTTCCGAGCAGGTCTGTTATCCGCATCTACACACACACACACATTCTTCACCGGTTCCCGTCCGAGGTAGAATTCATCCTAGCCCTGCCCAGTTCCCCGTTTTCTTTCATTTCTCCATAGTCTCCAGCATCTACTCTGACTCATTTTTCGTGATTCTTCATATTGTAATCCCAGTGGTCGTCAAATGTGTGTTGCAGTGATTCAATCAAATAATATTCATCCACGTTTTATCCACCCGTTCCTCTAGAATATTCATCACAAAGATCAGTTCTAGCAGCACAGTCACCTAGTCTCTCATTCATTTTTTTTTCGTATCGTAATCCGTCTCCTCTTCCTTTTCCTCATTTTTTTTTCAGATTACTGTAGTTACCGTACACTTCTCAAGTATCTTTCCCACCTGATTATTTCCTTATTTTTATTAGTCTTATACATTTTTTGGTTACTTTTTTGGTGAAAAACGTGGAATGTGTGTGTGTTATGCGATAACAATCGGCCTTGCACGATTGGTATGCATTGAATGGGTTTTCGACTTCGCCTCTTCTTTTAGAGACACTTTTGTCATTTCGAGCAGAAAGGACTCTAGAAATGACTAACCATTTTGAGATTATTTCCTCGTTTTCCCAATCAAAATCTTCTTCAGGTACAGCTGAAATAACCGCTCGACACCGCCCGAACAACTACATCTCGTCGGCGATCCGTCTTCCGAACGGAGGCGGTGGCGGCATCGTCGACGAGATGCGAGTGTCCCGACTGTCCTCGCACGAACCGCCGACGCCCACGCAAGAGTGCGACACGATTCTCTGATCCTCCGCCGCCGACCGATCCACATCCACTCACTTCCCGGTGCCTCCCATCAGTCCTTCTTTCGTTTCCTCTCAGGGATCTCCGTCCGAGTGCCTCCCGCTTCTGTTCCCCGTCGCCAATCTCTCCGGTACTTGCCATTTCTCTTGTGATCTTTCAGCCACCCCCCCCCCCCTCCTTCTTTTAATGCCCTCCAATAGATAGCAGCTCCTGGGCCTTCTAGGATACTTGTGCAGTGTTTCGTGATCTCTTTTCCATTCTACCATCCGCCAAACCTCCCAATACTTGCCCTCAATTCTCTTAAATTGCCACGCCTTTCCTAGATTTTCAAATTCAATTCTCCCCGACTCCATGTCCGTCTGTCCCTTTATTCTTCGTGTTCTCCAGCGGGTTTCTCTCTTTCCAATGTTCTCCCGTCCGACCGTCTAGATGCCTTCCAGATGTCTCTTTTATCATTCGTTCCTCTTCTTCTCCACATCATTCATTTCTTTCTTTCCTTCTTTTTCTCTTTCCTAAATACAAAAAAGGTAAATAAAAAATTTAAACATTTGAAAACTTGACTTTTATAACCTGGGCCAAACAAACAGACAAGCCAACTTTGGGTCGGGTCGGGTAAAATAAATAAAAATAAAAGGTTTTGAAATAGTAACATTTTATTTCAACGAGATAATCGGATGCGAATTAGAAGGGACACGTATCCCGCCAGATAGAAGAAGACGACAATAGAGGAGAGACCGAGGACATCGAGCCGGAAGTTGTCGTGTTTGAACGAGAACTGTTCCAGGATGACGTCACGATACTGCAAACAGTTATTTATTTGAAAATGCACGCGCGCCTTATCGCTCACTCCGTCCGACCACTTAGAATCGTTCACTTCTGACCACTGATTGACAACGAGACCTTCGAAACCGTATCTGAAAACGGGGTAGAGAGTTCAGAATCGTATATTCCTTCTGGTTACCTGAACCAGCTAGTCCATTGCATCCACTGAATATAGACCGGAAAGTTGTTAGTATTCCCGTAGAGACCACTCAATAATGCGAAGAGGCCGGATGCTGGGACCGCGAAGGCGATGGCCACCGACGAGGTTTCGAAGAGACACGCGAGAAAGAGCCCGCAGGACGTGGCCGACTGCTCCACCAAAACAGATATGAGAATGCTCTTGAGCACTTGCTGCCACGTGCCGTTCAGTCCGATCATCCAGTAGGAAATGAGTATCATGATTGCTCCGTCGACCGTGAACAATGGCAGATAGGAGAGACAACGGGAGAAGTAGTAGCTGATGACGTAGAACAGACCGTCGTGGTATTCGCGAGCAATGAGCGGCAGCTCGTGCTCCATGAACGTCATGATACAGAACATTGTGGAGAAGGTGAGCTCGGCGATGAGGAAGTAGAGGGCACTGTTCGTATTCTGGACTCCACGACGGTCAAGTGGCTGTTGCCAGTAGAGGGATCCTATGAACACGCCCATTACAATCTTCTGGATGAATTTCATTCGCATTTGAGCAGGAGAACGGATGACGTCGAGGCAAGATCTGAGACAGGAAAATGATAAACTTGAAGAAATAAAAGAAACATGCCTTTTAAGAAGTGCAGAAGTCTCTTTGAAGAATCCAATGTTCTGAGTGAGGGAAGGAAGCATCGTGACCGAAATCCTTTCGACTTCTGACATCGTCCTCCTGAAGATTTCACTCTTTTCGTAGCACGAAGTGATTTTTCCGATCCGATGGCGACTCTCTTCCTCTTCCTCCGGTTTCACAGACAATTGGGACTGCATCCATTCCGGAGGATTGAATCCACGTGGAACCGGCAGTCCTCCTTCCGCGAAGAACTGAAATATTTCTGATCATTATCAGATGATCATGGCCATTCCAAACTTTTATCGCTTCTGCAGGCGTCCCCATAAACGCGCATCGTCCCAAGGACAGAAATATTATTTTGTGGAACGAGAAGAAGAGATCGTCCGTCGGCTGGTGGATGGTGGCAATGAGGGTCCGTCCGGAGACTGCCAATTGTTTCATTATCTGCACAATACTCGCCGCCATGAAGGAGTCGAGCCCGGAAGTTGGTTCATCGGCGAAGAGCAGTGAAGGGTTGGAGAGCAATTCGCAGGCGAACGTCAGCCGCCTCGCTTCTCCGCCCGAGATCCCTTTGACCAGGCCCGGAGTTCCTATGCGCGCTCGCCGACATTTGGCCAGTCCGAGCATTTCGATCACTTCGTCCACCCTCTCCCTTCTCGTCGCTTTGTCCCCTCTGATTCTCAAACTCGCCTGAATTTGTTGTCAATTAGCAGACTTCCGTCCGCCTCCTGAAGCCGTACCGTATGGGGAGAAACGAGAAAACGGGAGAAACGAAAAGGCGAAATTCGAAAAGGCGAGAAAGGAGCGGAGCTTCAGTCGTGTGCGGCCAAACTGCAAAATCATCTCTCTTCCTTCCTCTGACGTTATTGCTATGCAAGAAGTCAGCTCTCTCTCTCTCTTTCTTTCTTCCTTCCTCAACCTGGTACAGGCGCGGTAAAGTCGGAAATGTCCAGAGTGCTCCCTTTCTTGTCTTTTCGTTTCTCCCGTTTTCGCGGTTCCTCTTTTCGAATTTCCCCTTTTCGTTTCTCTCGTTTTCTCGTTTCTCCCAAAACGGTACGGCCTCAGCCTCCTCACTTGAATCATCAAATACTCTTCGACTGTCAACGTCGGAGTGAAGATCTCTTGTTGTTGAGCGAATCCGGAAATCAAGGAAATCTTCTTCCTGATCTCGGTTCCGTTCACTTTTACAGTCCCGCTCTTCCTCAACCCCCTCATGTTCCTATCCATAAGAATATTCAGAAGCGTCGTCTTTCCAGCCCCACTGCAATTCCCTCTTTTGCTCATCTCTTTCAATTCAATTCTTTGTCACCTGGAACCCATCAAAGCAACCATTTCACCAGGTTTTGCAATTCCGCTTATTTCTTCTAACAAAGTTTTTTCTTTTTTCTTCGTCTTGACACTGAAAATGTCGAATTTCACAATTCCTGCCTGAACATTCATTTTTTAGGGATAACTACGGTCGACAAGCGATGTTTGCGTACTTTGCGGGCGGTACCTTCTAAATGACGCGCAAAGAGACATCATTTCTCAAACTTCTCGATTTTTCTACGTTCTCAGTCGTTTGCTTTTTCTAGTTCGAATGTAAACTTCGAGCAAATTAATAATGTTCTCTGATCAATTTACTACTCCGGAACAAAATAAACTTTCAGCTGCTTACCAAATGTTCTCCCATGTAACCGTTATAGGAGTGACAACCTCTGCATTCTTAAATTCTGACTTTGTTCGGTCTATCCTTCATTTTCGATTCTCACCTTTGTTCGAGTATTCACAATTACCGATTCGCTGCCCGCATTTTCTCTTCTCTTCTTTTCTTTGACTAAATTTCTTGATATTTTCGACTTTTCCATCCAACCTTTCAGAAATGACTATTCTTCCTATAGACTTTGTGCCAACTTTATCTTCACGCGGAACAACAAGTTTTCGGTCACGTTGATACGTATTTCGCAAATTTATTCGCTATCAGTTGGCTACTCTTCGATCTCTTTCGCAATACACTCTCGCACCTCTCCGTTTCTCACACTCTTCCTTCTCATTTCTTGTCTCGTCACGTGCTTTTTGAACTCTATTACATCATCGCCCTCCTTTCTAAAAGCTAGTCGCCACGAACTCTCACAACCTCTGCTCATATTCATTTTCTCAGAATGGTCCGCCGGCGCACTGCTTCTCCATCGCCATCGGCCCCTGTCCGTTCGGCTCCGCGCCCAGCCCCGACTCAGTCGTCATATGCTGCTCCGCCACCGAGACCAGGTATATTTTTTCTCTACAAACTGTAATGTAAACAGTTGCTGTTTCAGCTGCCGCGGCTCCGGCTCCGCACTCGACCCCGGCTGCTGCTCCACCGATGGGAGCTCCATCGCAAGGACCAGGACTCATGGCTCAGATGGCTGCTACTGCTGGAGGAGTCGCTATCGGATCGGCTGTGGTAAGATTTATTGGTTACAGCTTCTTCAAGACGTTAATCACGTTTCAGGGACACGCCGTTGGAAACATGTTCACTGGAAGCGGAAGCTCGCACGCCGAACAGGCTCCTGCACAGGCTGCTCCAGCTGGTGCTCCACAGGCTACCTCCTACTCGCAGCCATGCGAGTTCGAGTGGAGACAATTTGTCGATTGGTAAGAGATCTTACGGTGAACGAATTAATCAATCCCCTATAATTTCAGCGCCCAGAACCAGCCTGACGTTTCTCTGTGCAACGGATTCAACGACATCTTCAAGCAATGCAAGGCCAGATATGCCCAATAATTCGTCATCCAGTTTAGACTACGAATAAAGCACTCTTTTTGTGTTTTTCGATTTAGCGTCTCTTGTTTTCCTTCTGATTTACGATTCCAATTTAGTGAAAAGCCGCCGGAATAAATGCGTTTCTTGTTGCCATGGCTCCGTCTTCTAAAGAGGTGTCTGACACTTTCCTTCTGTTATTTACCAGTCCACATCTCTTCCCGATTAATCGGCAAAATGCATCGAAAAACGGGTTAAAGACCGCACGCCGCACGATCGCTTCATTTTATTGGTTTTCGCCGTCGCCAATCCTCTCCAGCTTCCTATCGATTGCCGAATTCCAGAATGACTGCTCGCGCCCTTCATTACGTTTTCAAAGTGGCGAACCGTGCCAAAACCATCGACTTCTACACGAAAGTGCTGAACATGAAAGTACGAGGTTTTTACACAATTCGAAGCTAACAACGTAAATAAATAATAATAATAATCTGAAGTCAAATAATCTCCGTCGGAAAGTATCGATCTTTGTCAGGTGCTCCGCCACGAAGAATTCGACAAAGGATGCGAAGCGAGTTGCAACGGACCGTACGACGAGCGATGGAGCAAGACGATGATCGGATACGGCCCAGAAGACGAGCACTTCGTTATTGAGCTCACTTATAATTACCCGATCCACAAATACGAATTGGGAAACGATTACAGAGTTATTCAGCGAAAAATGAACCTTGGACGAAACAATTCCAAATTTCAGGCAATTGTAATCGATTCCAATGAGCTTTTCGAAAAAATTTCGAGTATTGAGCATCGTAAATCTGGATGCGGAAGGCTCGCAGTAAAAGATCCGGACGGCCACGAGTTCAAGATCGGAAAAGCGGAGCAGACGCCGAAAGTGATGAGAGTGCAGGTGAATGTGGGCGATCTTGCGAAGAGCAGAGGTGAGCACCTCCATCGCTTGCCGTCTTATTTCGGTTCGCTTCAGAATACTGGCACGGCGTCCTTGGAATGTCGATCGTCGAAGAGAAATCGTCCCGCATTCGTCTAACCTACGGGAGAGAGCAGTGCGAATGGGAGATCGTGCAATCGAAAGAACCGCTCACCAGAGGAACGGCTTTCGGAAGAATCGCATTCTCTTATCCGGGACAATTGGTTTGCACTACCAGGAATGAAATGTTACTAGGAACACGTATTTCAGCTGGAATCCTTGCAAAGCAAGGTAAAACAGGCGGGAGGGAAGATCATTAACGAGCTGCTAACCCTCAAAACGCCCGGAAAAGCCGACGTCCAAGTGGTGATTCTGGCCGACCCAGACGGCCATGAAATCTGTTTTGTCGGCGACGAGGGCTTCCGTGCTCTGAGCAAAGAGGACGAGTCGGCTGAGAAAGCGCTGCGCGAGCAGATAAAGAACGACGACAGCGAGAAGTGGTACTGACCGACATTAAAGAATTATTTGATTTATTATTATAAGAATCCATAAAACTCAGAATAAGAATCACAATTAGTATTATCCGATTAAAAATAGATCACAACCGAATTCCAATAATTTCTACTCAAACTTAAATATGCTAAACTCAAGAAGAATGGCTTTTAGGGCTGTGAACGACTTCTCGATTTCTATGACACCGTGAGGTTGACATCCAGCGCCTTCTGCAGATTGACGAACAGCGCCTCATCCACTTCGGGCAGATTTCTTCTCTGAAACGAACGAACAGTAATCCCGCAGCTACCGTAGCCCATTCTCACCAGTCTCGGGACCACTTGTGTAACTATCGACTCGTTGTTCCTGCCCATTTGGTCGAATCCGAGACGACTGAAGAGGAGGCAGAACTGGAATTTCTCGAAAGTTTAGGGAAACTGGAAAGATGTCTATGACTGACGTGGATGAAAAACTGCGGCGGCGGCGGAGCTCGATTGTATTTCTGATTGTAATAACGGATGTAATGGAATGTTTCGCCCATCAGACGCTGAATATTACAGATTATTTGAGGAGGCATCGACAGTGATCACCTCGAAAGTTGCCCTCGCCTCGATTATAATATTCGGATTTTGGGGGGCACCGTGCAAACGCAGACTGAAAAAAACGGTGGAAAGAGGGAAGGATGGCGAGTTGAACTCACTAATTGCATACGATATCCTTGAACGACGGATAGGGAAAGTCGCCCGGAAACGTCGGAAGATCCTCTCGCAGCCGTTCTTTCTGAGCATTGTTTATGATTGTGAGGGCCCGCCCAGGCTTTTCGAAGGCCTGAACTTTTGACCCACTTGCAATATTCCGATCGGAGCCTCACTTTGCATTCTTCATGGACTTGCGCAAGACCTGATGAAGCCTGCGAGCCCGTTCGGAAGATTACAACTGGGCCAACAGTGCATTCCTAGAAAGGCTATCAATGCATTGTTGAAGATCAGACCCCCGAAGTGCTCACTCCCTCCATTTCGCTTTATCACTGCTCACTGCTCAGTCGGTCAGACTATTATTAATTCTCCATACATTCTCTCACTATTTTGTTTACTTCCACCTCCATCAGCTGACAAATCAGCAGTCTAGCTCGCTAATTAAAGGTTACTCTGAGCCTAATCGAAGGTTTCGAAACGTACGATGACATTGGCTACAAACGGCAGATAGATGACGCGTCTTCCGATCTGGCTCGTCTGAAGTTGCAGAAGGTAGACCGACTGAAATACTACGGTTGGGATTATAAGGAGCACTGTACTGACCGAGCTATAGAACGCAGGGAACGGAGGAATGTTGTTGTTGTGCTCCCATTGCAAACGCATGAAAGCGACCACTTCTTCTTTGAGCAACTATAATGAAGGATTGACAAAACAGGGAGAATGGGAATAAGGACTCACGAGCATCGAGTTGAGCAGATAAACATCCTCTCCCCACGGGCACAGCATCCGAGACAGTTGCATGGCCTTCTTCGTAACTTGAACCTGCGTCATCGGTGCACCTTGGAACATCTGTTGCTGGAGAAAATGCTGACGACGGACTTCTTGCTCCATCAGAGCACGGTCAGGATGGAAATGAGCCAATTGGGGCACCTGTTGTTCCAGAACCGGCATCTCTTCGTTCTCGATTTTCCGAACCGTCAGAGCCGGAGGAGCCGGCACAGCAGCCAGAACGGGCGGTCTTTCGAAGGGAAAAGGCTTCGATTCTTGGCTCATTCTCGCTGCAAACTGAACGGATCGCACGCAAAGTGAAGAAATAGAATCGAAACGGCTCGAATAAAATAAAAACAAATGTGGTGGGCCGAATGGGTGTCTAATTGCACACGGCTCCTTCTTCTTCTTCTTCTTGTGCACCCGCGACGAACAGGTGGGGAAGAAGGCAACGGAGAAGGAGGCCGAAGTGATGTGGCATTTGAATGGAAAGAGAGAGAAAGAGAGAGAGAGAAGGATCACACGTTGAATGGGCCCTCGTGATGTTAAAGTTAAGGTGAACGACCCAAATTGCACAAATAAAAGTGCGGTGGGACAAAAGGGCAAAAGGGGAGAGACACGGTAAGAGGGAAAGCGAACGAAGGGGAATGGGAACTGAGTCATGTTTCTCAGCGATTTTCGAAAAAATGAATGGGAATGTTTACACTCTGATTTCCACCGTATACCGCATTTAGAACCCTACACTTTCATCGGTCACCAACGTAAAAGTGTGAGAAAAGGGCTCTTGGCAACACGAATCGAGCCGAGACACCTCGAAGAGTCTTTCTCGTGATTTCCCCGGCAGAAGGGGCGTGGCTCGCGTGGATCCCGTGGGAACTTCCCGTCTCCTCAGCTGACTGCTCCTGCGCAATAACAACGTAATTCAATTACAACTCTTGTACAGTGCCACAAACAAAAACACGGATTCGGAATAAGAATCCATGGTCTAATTGAGACAACTTCAAATTCATAGTCCGAAGGCAAACACGAATGCAAAGGGGAAAAGCCCTGAAAGAACGTGGCCGAATACATTAGCATCCTAATAATGTGCACGTCGTTATTACAGTCGTTAACGGAGCGCGGAGATTGAAAATACGAAAATTGAAAAGGCGAATAAAAAGGGATCGAATTCAGACACACATTCGGTTTATGGGTTTGAGTGCAGAAAAACAGTTGAGGCGATTGCAAGTGCAAGCGGAAAAACGCGCGTGCTATCATCGGGTTCTTTGATTCGATCATTGCGAGCAGAAAGCACGAGAAGGCTCAAATGGAGGTCGCGGGAGCGTGTGAGAAAATGAAGGCGTCGGATGTTTGGGTGGAAAGTCACGGAGCAACACATCATTCCTCCACTCTCGTGAACTTTTTTCTGATAAAGTGATAAACAAGTGGAATTCTAAGAATCGCGAAATGCCGAAACACAAGGAAATTAGGGGTCTATGAATAATTGAGGGTTAGAAGGGAAGCATTGATGAGCAGGACGACCAGTTGATGCCCAGAATTTATCAAAAATCGAAAAAAAATCTAGATAGAAAAGTGCTTCACGGAGAATGCGGAAAGTAACGGGGAGTCGGGAGGGGACGGAACGCCAAGAAGTGATTCGCAATCTGTTGATCAGCATTTCTGAGGCAGTTCGTCTGAAATCGGATAGTTCTGGAGGGGACGAACTACGAATCCTACTGAATACTCGGTCAGATTGAAGTTCTCGTCGCTAATGTTATATATCTGAAGGACGTCGCGGAGGAAGTGGAGCTTCTGGAAATACATCTGAAGTGAACGTTCGGTTGAGAATCGGAGGCGACGCTCACTTCCATGAGTTGAGCAGGCACCGGCGGAATGGGGAATCCCCTGCGGATGTTTTGGACGGTCGTTGCTTGAATGACGTAGACGGTATACTGTAGAATGCGGAGGAATGAGCAGGGAAATGGGAGAAAGGGACCTACGAGCACTTCCTGTTTCACCTGGCAGACGACTTCGTATTGGAAGCGATTCATCATTCTGCAGATAACTTTGAACAAGACTATAGTCTGTGCCAACAGGGATGTTCGATGCAAATCATCGAAATGTAAATGGGAAACACGTGGAGCTGGTTTTCATAATTTTTCATTAACACCGAACATCTCGAATGAAACTTCTGTCAGTAAACTGCAAATCAAAAACCAATTCTTTCGGGAGATTGGCAACGGTAACAATAAAATGGGGGATAACAGAAAAAAAACAACAAAAAGACTGAGGAATGACATCTCCTCAAGCAGCAATCATCGCCTTCTTTCCCTCTATGGTCACTGCTACACACTTCTCCAGCTTCTCCTTGAACAGCGCGTCGAGGTCGTCCGCTTCTCCTCCGGCCGATGAGAACTCGTTGAGCACCGCCTTCTTCAGCTTTTTGATCTTCATCTCTCCTCCGTTGTCCTTCAGCTTCCGCTTGATCACTTTCTTCCATTTGAACGTCGTTGTCGTTCCGGAAATTTCCGGTTCTTCAGCGGATGTTTCCTCAGTTTCCTTCTTGATTTCCTCATCGCTGTCCTTTTTCGCTGCGACAGCTGCTTCCTTCTGAGCCTGCAATTATCTCGTTTTGCTTTTACTTTTCTTTTTTAGATTCCTCTTTGTTTCTATTTATATTTAGTGTTTAGTGTTTAAATTCTTACCTTTTCAGCTTTTTGCATTTCTTCTTGTCTTTGGATCGCCTCCAATCTCATCTTTTCCGCTTCGGTCGCAATTGCTTGCCAGGCCCGCAGAGCAAGATTCTTGTCGCGGAGCCGGCACGAGTTCGTGAGGAAGTTGATGAATTTTGCTTCTTTCCGTGGAATATTCGCGAATCCGGCGACACTCTTCAGCAATTCCCTCACTTGGAAATCCGTCACGAACTCGATGGCTCTGTTGACCTGATCGACCCACGCATTCTGCTTCGCCTCGCCCTTGTTCTCCTTCTCCACGTAGTTCTTTCCTCCGTATTTCTGATTCTCCGAGATACATTTCACGTGATCTTTGTACGTTTCACAGCTGAAAATTTGGACAGTAGATTGATGAATAAAAGGGTAAGCATACTTGTAGATGAGTTGGCAGTCAATGCAGCTGAAAGTGGTGTTGCGGCACTGGAACAGATGACGTTCCACTTGATTCTTCTTGCAAGCTTCTCCGCAGTTGTTACACGAAAAGAAAACCATCTGAGCATCACAATATTTAAATATAAAAAGCTAATTTTAAAAAAAGATATTTAACCGGATTACAACCAGAAGAACAGTGACCAATGAGACAATTCTGAAAAAAACTAAACGAATTTATAGTAGGTTCAATTGACTATTGGGAGAAAAAGATCCACAAAGGATAGAATTAATCAGCGAGGAAAATAACACAGAATCGGATGGTGACTGCATATATTACACTGATTAAGGAACGTGCAACAGTAATTACAATCGATCAAATACAGGAATGTCCTAAACATTATTAATTAGAGAAAATGAAGAGCTCGGATGTATTTGACCACTGACAGATGTCGTCTTCAAACGAATAGCAGCCAGAATAGCATAAAAAATCCAATGTATTTGAAAATATTTGATATCCATTCGTCCTCCTCGGCCTGTCGCGATCCTGGCGCGGCTGAGTCGTTCGGAACTCTCTGCGCGTTCGAGGCCCCGTTCGGAGGGGTCTGTGGTGTTCCGCCCTGTTGTAGATTGTTACCATGACCGAAGAATGAAGCGATGAACGAAAGGGGAAAGATGCCTTGAATCAGAGGGAGCATGAGCATCAGCGGAAACAGGTTCATGTTCATCATACCGATTCCAAACGAGAAGTGCACATTTCCTCCCTGCATACCATCGCCGCCCCAGTTGAAGCCGGCGAATGATGGCTGAAAATTATTAAGACATGAAACAGTGTGGGTTAGCGGAGGGGACAGAGAAGACAGGACGGGTTAGATGCACGGTAAATGAACGTTTGCTGCAGTTTTCTTATGTTCGACAGTGTGTGCTCGCGCCTCACTTACCGGTGGCGGTTCAGATCGCTGTCCCTTCGGACGAGGTGGCACTTTGCTGCGTGGATCGGAAGAGTCGCCGCCACGCCCGTAAATCGGAACAACCTTCAATCGCTGACTGTTTCTCTTCGCATATTCTCATTATCTCTTACTTTGCTGCCATCAATGGCACTTTTGCACACAGGACACAATTGGTTGTTGGGGCGAGTGTCCAGCCATTGACTGAGACACGGCCAGCAGAAGAGGTGGCCGCAGAGGGAAACAACGGCGTCTTTTGCTGAATCGAGGCAGATATTACACTCGAATCTGCAATTTTATGGTTAGCAGTCGACGGGAAATTCATTGCATACCTGCCCGATTCTTCCTGATTCGGGTTGCTTGAGCTAGTTGGCTCCTCGCTCGGCGGCCTTGCTTCTGATGACATTTGCCTTAAACAGTGATAAGCGCCAGTTCACAAAGTTGAGAAACGGATATTAAACGGCAACATGACCACGGAGGAAGGAGCGAGAGACGAGTAAGACAACGTAATATTCATTGACAACAATACCATTGAGATACGACCGAGTGGATGAACAGAAGTTTGAAAAAACAATTAAATATAAAGGCTTGAGCTACAGTGGCGGAACGACAATTCCCTGGTCTCTCCGCTCGAAGTACCTTTGCTGGGCTTCTTTGATCTCTTTCTCCGTGTTCCGCTGCTTCAGAATCTCTTTCAATCCTTTCAGTCTTGCGACCTTGTCAATCTTTTTCGGCTTCAGTTTTTCCTTCAGCGAAATTTTTCGAATCTCCGGCTTCACATCCACGTCCTCTTCCTCATTCTTTTTCGCGCTTCTTTCCCTAGATCTTCTGTCTCTGGGCGACGGACTTCTTCTTCTTCTCGGCGGGCCTCCTTCGTCGTCGGAAGACGACGGCGTCGGAGTGAAGTTCCGTTGTCGGATTCGTTCTGCGTGCGTCGTCGCCTTCTTCGTCACTTTATTCAATCCGGGTTTCAGTTCCCCTTCGAAGTTCTTCTGACGTGGCGGCGGAGATCTCTTGTCAACTTCCTCCTCTTCGTCCGAATAAATAGACTTTTTCACTTCTTTCTCCTTTTTCTGTTCAGATTCTCTCGTGGGAGAAGGCGACTGGTCCGTCCTTTGTCTCACATTTTTCTGTTTCTCTTTTCTTTGTTTGATTGCCGTCGGATCACGTGCGATGTCATCCAGAAGTGTTCTTCCGATGCCCATTTGCCACATCTTCTGATGCTGCACACTCGTCATGTCATTGAATGCCGCTTCCTGCGCCTCCTTCTCTCTGTACTTCTTCACTTCTTCCTGCTGCTTCCTGTATGCTCCCGTCACGAAGGTTTCCTTGTCCGCAAACTCGTCTCCCTCCTTCTCTCTTTCCTTCAACTGCTGCCTCTCTTCACGAGAAAACTGTTCCAGTTGCCGGCGGGCGTGTGCTTTCATAATGTTCTCCGCGTACTTCGAATCACGAGTTTTGTCCGCTTTTCGGGCCTCCTCCTTCTGTAAATAGCAGTGATTTGGGGGTTTCCAGTTGTTTTCAAATACCTTCTCGTTCTTGATAGCCTGGATTTCATCGTAGTTCGAATCGTAATCGAAGATGGACGGATCCTCTGCTTGTGCCTTCTGATGCTCTCTTTCTGCCGCTTTCTGTACTCGAATCACCGAAGCAGAAGCCGCATTCGTCGCAGTTGCTGGCTGTAGGAATTTGAAAATCACTATGAATCATAGGCCTTTGGGCTGCCAAATTTTTTTTCCGAATTAGGCACCTCCCACTCGCCTGTCCCGAAATGCCGGCGCTTAACGCAAAACACCTATGCTATGAATAGCAGTTTTCAAATCCCTCACCGCTTCATCGTCGTCGTCATCGTCTCCGAAAACACTGGCTACTCTCAGCGGCGCTTGCTTCGGTTCGGCCTTTTTTGGAATACTAAGTCCGTATTTCTTGGATTCCATCTAGAAAATTAATTAATTTTGGAAAGAAACAAGCAGAAAAGGAAAAGAGAAAAAAAGATATAACATCGTCCAGAAACGAATGAAAGGTAAGAATACAGCGGAATTTTTAGTAGGATAAAATCTATATTTGAATCATTTAAAGCCACCCGATTCCCGGCAATTCAAATAAATTTGGGTAGAAAATGCACTGACTGGAATGACAACTCATATGTTTTCCTGTGACTGTTTTGTCGCGTTATTACAAAAATTAGAAGAAATGCAAGAAAAAGGAACTATTCGAGGCCGAGCCAAGTAGTGATGCCCTGAACAAGAGTGACTATTAGCGGCTGCCAGCACACCAGATATCGTATCCAATCGAGTAATTTTCCATAGAACAAGTGAGGCTTTTCCCATCTGAAAACGAGAAAAGAAGCTGAAACTGTGAGACGAAAAAGATAGCTTACGGATTCTTGAACATTCTCTGCAAATCCACTTTCTCTTTGCAATACGGACACGTCTGAAGTTTTCCGACGACGACCCATCCTCTGATGCAGAATTCGTGGAACACATGACCGCACGACAACCTGCAAACGTTTCCTCCTTTCTTAATTGCATAGAGTCAATTTACTTGTATAGTTTTTCTTCGTCATCTTCCATAAGCTTCGTGCTCACAGTCGCTTCATGCACATTCTCGTGTTCATCGAGTCTTCCGGCGCACACTGCACACACTCCGTCTTCCAGATGCTTTTTAGGTAGTCCGTCTGGTGTGTAATACTACAAAGCACAAAACTGCCCAGAGCTTAAAGCGCTGTTTGATTACCCCAATTCGAGAGGCCATTCTGTCAGTGCAAATGTGAGCGAAATCTCGACCGAGCACTCCGTAATACACTCCGTAGAACATAATGAGAATTCCTAAAATAATAAAAATGGAAAGTTTTGGTAGCAATAAAACTTGCCGAGATCCATCAGCTCTGGCTGTTTCACATTGAATAGAGCATGGAATCCGAGAAGAGCACCCATCATAATCAGGTATCCGACGACTCCAAGCACATAACTCAGTTTATGCAAGAAGAGGAAGTACTTGTACACAAATCTAGAAAAACTCAATGCAAAACCAGGCAAAGTGGCAAAATGAACCTAGGAGTTTTACCGCTGACATGTTGAGCTGACGCTTTGAGCCATATTAACGCAGAGCAGATGGTAAAAACTAGCCACGTGGCCAAGAAACGATACCAAGATCGAGTGCCACACACATAAACAGGAATGAGCCACATTCCAATCAGAGTGCAAAACTGAAACGTTTGAAAGTTGAAAATAACGTCGAGAAAGAAATCACCTGATACGACTTAAAGTGTCTTCGTTTCCATTGAACAAGGAAAATCTGTCCGACGACGAGAGTGATAACCAGAATGATCATCATCTCCAGATGCATCGCCTCGTGTCCTCGATGCTTTTCGTGCATTTTCCTGTGCTCTTCCGCCCATTGTTCTTCTTCCGTCAGCTCATGAGCCGAAACCTGAAAAATAACGTTCGATTGAGAAATTTTCGACTGCAAAAACTGACAATTCCATCTTGCACCTCGTTCTGAAGTCTAATAGCCCCATGTTGGCCCATTTCCGGGATCTGGAATATATGAAACACGTGTTTTATTGATTTTCTGGAAAAGTAGGACAAGCTGAGGACATGGGTAATGTCACGCTGGAAGAGATATAAACAAGTGAACTCAATCAGAAAAAAATTAAATGACATTGAGAACTGAAAACATGACCTTATTTGCAGAACTCCACTGGAAAAACAAAGTTGAGAGATCAGTGACTTGTAACACAAAATGTTACGAAACGAAACCGCATGCGGCTGAATTGCATTTTTGCGCGCCGCAGTTGCAAAACAGGCCACGCCTACTGTATTTATTCGAATCCAGCCGGGGGCCATTATAAACTGGTCTTTTCTGCTCCAGAATACATGTTTTTTTCGCATTTTTTATGGATTTGAGTTAATTAATGCTTAGTTATCTTATTTTCCCTGTTTCAGAGCCGCAATGAGTAACGGACTAGTTTCTCAAGTCGCGGTCAGCCAGGACAAACCGTTGGACCGCGAAAAGATCAGTCCAATGCTTCTCCGTGTTTTCTGTGCTAACCTCAAGCACAATCCCATCAACGAGTACAACAATCGAAACGGAGGATCCGTGCCAGCTAACGAGCTCCAAATGTACACATGGTAAGGGTATACTAGGGTATAGCGCACAAAGGAAAGAAAACTCATTCGCTTGGCTTTAGGATGGATTGCACGCTACGAGAGCTTACAAGTCTCATCAAGGAAGTGAACCCAGATGCGAGACGGAAGGGAACCACCTTCGACTTCTGGATTGTTCAGGCGGACCGCACTTCGATCAGATACATCTATCGTGAAGTCGGAAACACAATGAACGGACAACGAGGAATCGATGACAGCAAGACGGTGGGTAATACCAACAATAGATGACAATTACCTGATTTACATTTCTTTTTACCTGCCCCAAATCTTTTTTTTCTGGACAATAGTCTTATCTGTTGATCACAGGTTCATTCCTATTCATAACAATTCCAGCTTCAACAATGCAAGTTCGAGGTGGGAGACTTCATCGACGTGGCGATCACCACGCCGATTCAGCAACGCCGATTCAACCATCGGGAGGGAGGGGACCGTCGCGACTTCGATCGTCGTCCGCGCAGTCCGATTCGCTGATTCCCTCAATCGTCAAACATCTGTACTTATGCTCCTGTCTTCTCAATGTTTTAAACATCATGCGACCTCTCTTTCTCTTTTCACGTGAAACACTAATTCGTGTTTGCCGCTGCTTTCGTTATCGCTCTATTTTGACTCCTAATAAATCATTTTTTCTGATCACTTATTTCTCTTCTTGTTTACATCTCTCGAACGAATGCTTCTACTCGGTCTTCTTCTTTGTTTCGCGGTAAACAATTTGAATCTTCAAATCTGTCAGGAAACTCCAATTTCAGTCCTCGAATGGCCTGTCACGTCTTCAGGAGAAAGCTCTTCTTGAGAATCCCAGTATTCCGAATCGACTTCTGAATCCGTCCTTCAAACAGTCCATCGCCCATATCCTTCTGAATCCGTTCGTCGAAAATCCAGAAGAAGAGGATCCGATCGGGGCGCTCGCTCGGGATTTGTACAAAAACTCCAACGGATTCCAGTTCGTCGTCAGTGGATAAAATTCATGAAATTATGAAGAATAACAGGGTGTTCAGGAGTCGTCCGAGCTCGTCTCAGTGTGTTCGTCGAACTCTTCCGACGACTTTCCCGACCTGTTTCCCCGTTTTCTTTGCGGTCTCGTCTACGTGTACAAGGACGAAAACACGACGGCCCTTCCGTTTTCCCGTTTTCTCTTTGACAATTCAGCGGCCGCCATCCGATCTCTGAACAGCAAGGACTATTATCCGTGCCATTCCATGAATATGACGGATGTGGTCGCATTGGTTCCCAAACGGATTTACAGTGGATGCATCAGTGATTCGGTCAGTTTGGAAGTCAGCTCCGCTGAACATTTTCGTTGCAGGACCCTGGAAATTTCAGTCAATTCGACGCGGCATTCGTGATGGATCATCCGTTTCCGGACGTCAGAAAGTGTGTGGAGGGGGAAACGAAGCCGAGATGCGAGTTGAGATCGATGATTGTGCAGCATCAAGTGCTCTTCCAACACGAAGACTGCTGCTGTGAATCCGATTCCTGCGCTATTCTCGTTTATTCGCAGAGGGATTCACTGACTCCACTGATTCTAACGACCGTCGAACTGAGCAAGAAGAAGCTAATTGCTCCGAAACCGGTTCTGGGAGTGAATTCGTCTTCCACGTCATCTTCAGAAGAACCAACGACGTCTACTGCGTCTCAGACGACTGCTGGATTACTGTCGACCAATGGGACAACACAATCTACGGTCTCTTCTACAACTCAAACCTTGAATGGAACTACATCTAGCTAAGCTCTTTTAAAAATAAAACGGCTTGGAAAAGTGTGACCGTGGCCACGTGGTATCAGAAAGAAGTAATGAGAACAAAATATTTTCACGTGAGCACGAAGTTTCATGGGTCTCATTCCAATCATCCGATGTCCCGTTGGCTTCTCGTCTTCCTCTTCCTCTCCGTCACCTCCGTCTCTTCCGAAGATCTGCGCATTTCGGGAATTAGGAATGGTCCTCCGGCCGTTAGTCGATTGAATCCAAACGAGAAGTTCAAGCTGAAGGTGTATGGAAACAATCTGAAAGCGACGGACGACTTCTACTTCACGACGGCGACAAGATGCGAGGATTTTCACTTGACGAACATCAGCGCCGTGAGCACCGTCCGAGCTGTTCCCGTTCGGAGGAGTCCCGACTGCAGGAGTGTGACTCTTCAAGTCCCCGGCGGCCTTCCCTTCGACACTTCCAATCACGTCTACCATCTTTGCCACCGAAACGGAACTTACCCGATGGGCGAAAAATATCTGAGAGTGGAGAAGATTATTGTAGAGCACAAGAACTACAGCATAGACCAGTTCCTTCTGTGTCTTTTCTGCATTCTCATGGCCGCCTACTCTTCGGGAATGACACTCGGATACATGAAATTTTCGATTGTCGAGCTGAACAACATGATCAACACGGGAGATGCGTCAACGGCCGTGAGTGAACGTAGCTGGCCTTCTGAAATGACGTTTTCCGTTCCAGAACCGAGCTCAACGCATCCTGCGTTTCCGACGTCGTTCCAATTGGCTCGTCGTTGCTTTCTCGCTCTTCTCTTCCGTTTTCACCGTCATATTCACCACAAGGGTTGAGAGAATGCTGGACGGATCGCCGAACGAGGAGATGCTCAAGATCCTGGTGCCGTCGCTGATCCTGTTCTGTTTCGCCGAGATGCTTCCGCAGGCCATCTGCAACAGCAAGCTCGGCTTCAATCTTGCCTCCGGCCTCTGGTTCATCACCCTTCTTATTTTCGCCGTCACTTCTCCCATCTCCCTTCCAGCTTCTCTGATCCTCGGACGCTTTCTGAAAAGAAACGTTCGGGAAGTATTGACGGAGGAGGAGAAGACGTGCATGATCAGGAACATGGCGAATCAGCAGGAGAATCAGCAGGAGAAGACGATCCTCGAGAATGCGATGACGTTCTCTTCGAAGAAGGTCCGAGATCTGATGGTGCCGATTGAGCAGGTCTTCACACTGTCACAATCTCAGAAACTAGACAGATCGGTGCGTGATCGACGAGAGCCGTGGCCTGTTCATCCATGTTCTTTCAGACAATCCTCACTCTCGTGGAGAAGGGGTACACGCGAGTGCCAATCCACGACGACAAGAACAAGGATACGATCGTGGGGATGCTGAACATGAAAGATTTGAATACGATCACTTCGATGCTGAGCCGAGAGCCCACTGTCGAGGCGGTGCTTGCACATTTGAGCAAGAAGGTGTCGACGGCAAAGAAATCGGTGAAGTACGTGAACGACGAGATGAATGCGCAGTTGCTGCTGCGTCAGATGCAAACCGGAGACTTTCACTTCGCATGTGTTGCAAAGTACTTGCCCTACGGGTCAGTCGGAAATGCGTGCAATTGAACTGTATCACAACCTTTCAGGCCGGAGATCGTGGGTATCATTACAATCGAGGACATTCTCGAACAGCTGTTCGGAAAGATCGACGGAAATAACGAGAATCGCACGAGATCCTCGGTCGACGATCGCGCCGATAACAAAGTGATTGTGTGGTGTCGTGGTGCGGGGAACGACCCGAAGTACCCGCTTTCCTTTTCCCACCAGCTCCGTATCATCCAGTACGTGCTCAAGGAGTGCTCTGTCTTCCGGAGTCTCGACATCGGAGTGCTGAAGATCAAAGAGTTGTTGTCGTCGGATCGGATTAGGACGGCCAAAGAAGGAACGAAGATTTCGGTTGACGACCGGCTCATTGTGATCTGGAAAGGGGCGGTCAGAGTGACGAATCGGAAGGAGACGTTCGAGAAGAAACTGCAGCAGGTGCCGGTCAAGTTGAGGTGAGTACTCCTTGTTCGGAACGGCCTCAAAGTTGATTTCAGTCCCGATGAGACGGACAAGGAGAACAGTGACAATGCGGAAGAGCTCGTCGAAGCCACGCCCCCGCCGCCGGTGCTTGTGCTCGGGAAGGCGGTGCTCAAAAACCTTGTCGACCGGGTGTGCTGTCCGTTTAAAGAGCCCATCACGGACGAGGATATAATCGAAGACTGTCAGGCACTCACCGACGTCTCCTACTTCAAGGTTCCTTTCAAGAATGTTCTGAGCATCCTACTCCATTTGCAGCTACGTCTTTCGGATCTTCTGACGACGATCAATGGAGTCGAGGAGGACGTTGTGAAGAAAATGGATGCGGCGATGAAACCGATGAATATTTTGTCGCGTGAGAACATCGAATCGGCAGGACCAGCACGAAAACGGCTTCTTCCAGAGAGACCCTCCCACTCCACCTCAACCCGAATGGACAGTCCGGCCGTCTCTGTTCAATCCGAACCGACGGAAATCACGCCACTTCTCGGGCCGAGATAAACGAAGGATTTATGAACACTAATGTGTCATTTGATGTGATTCAAGTATGGTCTTTCAATAAGAATAAATATTGAACGAAACTTGTTTTTGGTCTTTTCAAATTTGTTTACGCATAGAAACACTCACAAACCAAAAGATTCATAACGTAACAGAACAAAAACAAACGATTTGTAACACGAAGCGAAAAATCACTTCTTTCTCTCGTACGTCCACTTGTAAACAGCAGCCCTCATCTCCTTGGCCTTCCTCACTTTCTTCGGCCTGAGTTCCGACTTGCTGCTCGCCGCCAGCTGCTTCTTCAGTTCCAGTTTGTCAACAACAACCTGCAGTTCCTTGGCTCGCTCCACTCTTTTGATCATCTCGTTATAGCGCGTACGACGGATACGGTCTGCCTTCTGGAAACAATTAGAGAAGGGAGTATTCTAGAGCAGGATCAGCGCTTACTCTGACTTGCTCCTTCGTTTCGGCACCGACGATCGTCTTGTTGTGCAGATCTTCATTCTTGACTCGATTGAACTGTCGGGAGAGCATCGAAGTGGTCGTGTCGAAGTACGCGCGTGGATCGAACTTTTTCGCTTCAGAATCGTCGTCGACGAACACCGTGTGCGTGTTCTTCCTTCCGCTCAACGACGAATCCGCAAAGTGCAGTTCGCTCTTCATCTCGTCAATCTTCTTTTTCTCATCGTTCAGCTTGTACTTGACGTACTCCAAATCTTTCAGACTTCCGAGCTTTTTTTGTAGTTGAGTTTGCGCCTCTTCCGCTTCGTTCCGTTTGTCAAAGTGACGCCCGTCATCCTAAAAATTGATTGTTTTGAAGAAAATTCATGCATTAGCTTACCCAAGTCTCGCTGTTGACCATGTGATGATGGTATTCGTCCTGATTTTTATCCATCGCATGCTTTTTCAACTTCTTGATCGTCTCCCTTTTATTCTGATAATCTTGTGCTCTCAGCTTGTAATCTTTCTTTTTCTCAAGTTCTCCATATTTTCTACGGGCTTCTGGCTGCGAGCGTTCACGATGTTGCCGTTGCCCGGACAACTTTTTGCTGATGCTCACAAGCGACGACATTATTACCTGTAAAAGGACAGTTATTTTGTTGGAAACCAATGTTGACCATGGTTCAAAAGTAAAGCAAATTGATATGCAACAAATTGGCAAAACGAGTAGAAAAAGACCAATTTAATGAATGCAAACTTCATTGAATGAATGGCGGCCTAAAAATTATTCCGGCCACGGCCATAGTGCAGAGGGTGCATGCAATAGTGCGTTAATAGCCTAGTAATACACCTAGAGAACAGGGAATGAACACCCGATACGGGGGAAAAGGGAGAATCGACAGGGCACAGGTCCTACTTCAACATGATTAGGTATTCACACTGGAAAGAAGATACCATTGACAAGAGAAAAAAAGAGTATTTGTGATTGGAAATGACTAGATCTACGAGAATTGAATTGCTAATTGACTTTATCCACTTTCTGGAAGAGGTACTTGAAGTACTCGTAGAAGCTGATCATGATGGCACACGACGGAGAAACCTTCACCAGACGGGGCACCAGACCTGAAACGAGAGAAGGATTCCGAAACGTAGGGGGGCGGAAGATACCTGCTGAAAAGGCGGACATCCCTCTCGCGTGATACATCTCCTTGATCACGGTCACAATCGACTTGTTCATATCGGCCGCACTGCCTCCGATCCTAATCTGGCAGTGTGTTTTGATGACGTCGAACGGGTGAGTGCAGAACGAGGCGACACTTCCGGCCGCCGCTCCGCTCACGAACGACACGAAAAACGGTTGTTCGTCAGCTCCACGACGCTTCTGCAGGGAGGTCTTGATCCAATCGTACCCAGCCCAGTAGATGCCGGAAAATGGAATGTCGCGGAGCATCGTAGGCGTCCATCCAAGGTAGAAACTGGAGATTCCTTTTGTCGCAAGAGAACTCCGTATGAGGTGTCCAATTTCTGAAAATGGATTGGATTCAGATTGAAATGGAAAATAGATGTATTACCGTGATATGTGAGCCGTTGGCTTTGCATTTTGGTGCGAACCATTTCGATTGGACTTACGACGGTCACAGCGATCGTTCTGGCCGCGATTCCGGCGACTGCAGCCGCCGTCCAATCGGGCGGCGTCCATTTTTCAGGACTGAACGCTCTCCGGCAACACATTCTGAATTTGGAATTGTATTTTAATCGCATGACACCTTCTCACTTCTTTTTCAGCCACGCCGACAAGTTATCATAAGTGGTAAAGTAGAAAACAGTGGCCGGAAGAGCCATGACCATGGTGGGTGCGAGCCCGCTCCAAAGCGATCGGATCCCTTCGTGACGGGCGATCTTGACGAATGCGTCGGCTGTTCCGTGGAAGTGTCCCGGTCTCTGGTACCACTCGCACGGGCGGCGCACTTCGCACGCTTCGCAAACGTGCTCCATCAGTCCGTTGTGATAATAGAAGCACTCTCCTTTGGGGAACGGACGCTGCTGCTGCTGCAGACGGATCTTGACGACGTCCAAGGGAGTCACTGAATGAGAATAACGTGTGGGAATGTGAGAAGAGGGGCGACTAACTGAACAAGGAAGTGACGATGGCTCCGGATGAACTGGCGGAGATCTGCTGCATCACTCCGACCGTCAACTTCTTCTGACAGCATTCGACCTGTTTGGCCGAAGGGAGAACAGTTCTCGGCCCCTTTTCGCAGTTTTCTTTACCACAAAGTGATTTGGAACAGTTGGGAACCGCGCCGTTCTCGCATGGCGTCGGCATCAAAACTCTTACTGAAAACGCTTCGAATAAGCAAAATCCTTGAGTCAAATTGATAGAAATGGTTTGGAGGACCAGAAATTCTGAAGAGTAAAACACAGAAACCAGAAACAGTTTATTTAGGCTAATATATTAAACAAGAGGGCCGCTGTGTAGGCCGAGCTGACGCTAATGTTTCTTTCTCATAACCATTCGAAAGTTCACGTGTTCATTTCTCAATTTCTCCGTGAGGACGGACAAACGGGGAAATAAACAAACAGCCGAAGATACTATGCCCCCCTCAAAAGAGTTATATTAATAAGAATGATTTGAACAAGATGAGTGACAAAAAAACAATGGGAAAGCCCAGATACGTATAAATTAAAGAATGTGAAAGTGCAATAACAAGAAATGAAGATATGCTCAGTTCTCCGGAACAACAGCAGAATAGACGACCGTGTGTCCAATGTCGTACTTCTCGGTTCCAGAAGTAACAGTAATCTTTCCGTTCACCAGTTGGAACACGTCTCCTTCTGCCAATTTGGTGTTTTGCTCGAACGGATTGTTGCACGAGACAACTTTTCGGTCTCCCCAGACGGAGTCATTATATCTCCACAAAGACACCTCGAACTTGGCTGAAAAGGAAAAAATTGCATCAAGAAACCATTCACATTCGCGCACGTTTGATGGCCTTGCTTATTCTTCGCAGCTTCCTGGCGACCATGGCAACAGTGTCTCCGTCGACGATCGGAACAACGACGTCGAACATTCCGTTGCAGATTTGAACATTTCTAGCGACGAGCTCCACATTTGGCTGAAATAATGGCATTCCTATCGAACTCTTTCGTGTGTTCTCACCCTGTTTGGCAGGAAGTGCATGAGTGGAAGCAGAGGCACAGTCGTCTCCACAACGTTGGCATCGACTCCGTTCTCGTCAGTATGTCTGATGGATACACGATCCAAATCCAGCGCATTCAGAATGAAGTCAATGTTCTCGTTCAGAATGGCTGTCTGATCTATCGGACTGGAAGAAGCGAGCGCAGATACTCCCTTCTGCTCAAACTTCTCCTTGATCATCTGCACAAATGGCATCGCCTTCTTCGCGAACTTCTTCAGTGATTCTTCTTTTCCAATCAGCTGACTGATGGTTTTGTTGTCCGGAAGAGCGCCGTTGTTCGCCTTCGCCTGTTTCTCCAAAATGTCAAGGATGGTTTTCTGCCATGGCGGATACTCCTTTGCGACGTAGATAACGGCTTCTGTCGGCACTTGAACCACTTCCTTCGGCGACTTCTTCTTTGGCTGCAGGTATGTCTTCAGACGAGCACGGAACTCGGCAAGGGCGTCCGAGATGAAACGAGACCCAAGAGCGAGCTTCTCGTCAACGGGGCTTGTGCTTGGCCAGGCGGCCTCCACAATCAGCCCTTCCTTCTTGAGCAATTGCCAAACGTGCTCTGCGATGTGCGGGCAGATCGGAGAAAGAATGAGCATTTGGGACTCGATAAAGCGGAACACGAGAGACTCGCTCATTGGCTCGTCGATTCCAGCACACAGTTCGCGGTACATATCCCTGATGGCCTGGAACTCGAAGAAGCCAGTCTTCAGAGCCTCCTTGTAGTTGGTCGCCTCGTAATGATGCTCAGTTGCCTGAATCAGAGCGTTCATCTCGTTGGCAAACACACGGTCGGCGAATCTGGATGAGTCTCTTCGGAGAAGTCCCAAATCGCGATGTTCGATCATTTCCTTGATCCATTCGATCAAGTTGAACAGTCGGAGAATGGCAGCATCGGCCATCGCGTACACAAAGTTGGCATCCTCCAGACCGTCTCCGGCATCGGCCAATGAGAGACGCATTCCGTCGGCGGAGAACTTCTCGATGGCTTCCTCCAGAGTCATGAAGTTTCCAGTCGATTTGGACATCTTCTCATTGTTCAGCAACAAGTGTCCGTTTGCACGGATTCCCTTTGGCCATTTGGAAGTGTCCGTGGGCCAGATGGCCACGTGGTTGAACAGCAAATAGGTGAGATGGTTCTGGACGAGATCCTTTCCGGAAGCACGCATGTCGATTGGATACCAGTAAAGGAACTCCTTTCGCAGCAACTTCAGTTTCTCCTCTGCCAAAGGCATCGTCTTCGAATCGTAAATCTCTCCATGGAACACGTAGTTCCAAGCACCGTCCGTCATCTGCTCCGCTTTGATTCCGGCTGGTCCAACAACGGATCCATCGAGGGATCCTTGCTGAAGAAGATGGGCGATGGTGTAGTAGGCATTGTAGATAGTAGAGTCGGACAGAGATTCGATAAGATATTGTGGATCCCATGGAAGTTTGGTTCCGAGTCCGTAACTGCGAGAGCATGCGTGCTCATGCAGCCAGTTGATGGTAGTCTCGAGTCCGCGGCGGGTCTGAAACAAACATTTTCTAATGAATATTGGAAGCTAACGATTGGTACCTCATCGTTGAAAGTGTTCGTCTGTTCGAGAACCTTTTTGCATTCCGTCTTCCATTCCGGATCTCCGTAGTTCAGATACCACTGATCACACAGGGCAACGACGCACTCGTCTCCCGATCGGCTCACAACTTTCTTCTCTGGCTCCACGTACTTAGTAGCGAGTCCTTCAGCCAGAAGATCGTCCTGAATCACCTTCTTCACGTCGGCAGTCTTCTTTCCAGCGTACTTTCCAACAAGCATCACTCCATCGTAGAATCCCTTCAGATAAACTTCCTTCTTTGCTTCTTCCAACTTGTCTTTCTCATTCTGTGATTCGATCTTCAGACGAGAGCACATTTCGACTGCTGCCAAGTTTCCGAGTCCTTCGATTTCAATTATTGGAACTGGTTCGAATGGCAGAACCATATCGTCGCTGAGTCCATACTTCTCCCGCAGCGGCTTCTTTTTCTTGAGATCAGAAAGAGCAGCAAAGTCATCTGGAGAGTCAGAAGGCACAGAAGTGACCACGCCGGTTCCCTTGTCGTCCTTGATGGTCAGCATAGGAAGCGCGTACACTTTTCCGTACTTGGCCAAAGGAGCAGCCAATGGAGCTCCGAGCAGCTTGCTTCCGGCGATCTTCTCAAGTCCATCCACGAAGCGGATCTTTCCGTTTTCCTTCGTCAATCCCTGGTAGGACATGATTCTGGCGGATCTCGCCGTGGCGACGAACACTTGGTCTTCCTTCTCGGTCGCATAAAACACAGAATATTGGATATCCGGGTGCAGATAACAATTGGTTTGTCCGTACATGGTCTCCGGGCGGAGAGTGGCCGCAACTAGGAACACGTCCTGTTTGATATGGGCAATGGCGGCCGGCTTCGGATCGAGCACCTTCAGTTTTATCAGAGTGTATTCCTGCGGCCCGACTCCTTCTCCACTGGCACGGTCGTGATCCATGCATGGCTGTCCGTCTTTCGGGGAGTAGATCGTGTATCGCTTTCCGAAATCGATCTTCTTGGCGGCTCTCAATTGATTGAACTGCCAACGCACGAACGAATCGTAGTACGGATTGACGTCAGTGGTAATGAAGGATCGACGCCAGTCAGCCTGAAGAACGAATGATACTGAATGCATGGTAAATGAATAATCACCTTGATTCCCATCTTTTTCAGGTCATTAATGCAGTGTGGTGGGAAGTAGTACAGCCAGTGATTCGGGTCGGAGAACTCGCGAATCTCCTCGTCCGAAAGTCCCAACGACTGCATAATCTGCCATTGGTACTTGGCACTCCCCGCCTTCGCCACCAGCTTGCTCTTCTTTCCCTTACTCTTGTCCTTGGTGATCTCTTCAAGAGCAGAAACCTCCTCTTTCACCTCTTCCACGTCTTCCGGAAAGTTTGGCGGGTATCCGAAATCTTCCATTTCTCTCTTCAATTTGTCGGCGCACGCTTTAATCGGCATTCCGGTGCAGTGAAATCCGAACGGAAAGAGCACTTGCTTGCCCTGAAGACGTTGGTATCCGGCCGCGAATTCGCATTTGGACGCGGTGAAAGTGTGTCCCAGATGGAGACGTCCGTTCATGTACGGATACGGGAAAGTGACCAGGTACTTTGGCTTGCCGCTGAAAACATAATTTATTTGAAATGTGCATGAGCGGTATTTCGAGATCCGTTTCTAATTGAAATTTTTATGTGCAAAAATACACTCACTCATCTCTGGCGTCAGATTCGAAAGCTTTCCTGCTGTCCCACAGCTCCTGAATGTCCTTCTCGATCTCCTGGAGCTGAGCCACCTTCTTCCGCTCCTTTGTGATCTTTGACATTCTTTCTTCTTGCTTGTAAAAGCAAAACTTTGTTACCCTGAAAAATGAGAACATTGTTTGCTCGTCGCCATATAAATATGACGAGAGACGGAACACAACATGACGAAATCTGAGTGCCAATTGCTCATGCCAAGTAATTAGAATTCAGAAGGGTAGTATAACTGAGAATTGCGAAATTGTCACTTTTGAAGGTCAAGATCATGGGGCAGATTTCTATAATCGTGAATTCTAATAAAAAAGAAGCAACAATGCGATAAGCTCCGCAAAAATAGGCCTTTCCAAAACTCGGTTTCAGGGCACGGCCTAACTTTTCCATCTTTCCCGGCCACGACCACATGCCCTTTTCACCCATCACATTGCCGTCAATCACTACAGAAGATGTCTGATAAGTAGCTGTACATGCGTCCAAAACACCGCATATCTCAAAAAAATAGCCAGCCTACGAAAATTCTAGTTCCGATTTCACTTGTTGCGCAATCGCTGTCCGCGATGGCCATCCGCGCAGAGGCGGTCTCACCCTCCCTCCATCACTTTCTCACCTATCACGCAGTGGCAAACTATTATTTTTACCCATGCCATGGCTAAAGCGAACCAGATTATGGCAACGCCAAGAGATGGGCTAGCTTTCTGAAGGTTTTGTTACACTCAGGGGGCACAACCTGATCATGAGAGTATTTAAAGCCGTCTTAGAGTGACCGATTTTAACATTCCCTCAATGCGTCTATATATTCTTCTGGCGATTAGTGCGGTCAGCGTCAGTGCTTTGGCCAACAAAAAGGTGAGGTTTCTTTCAAGAATTAGGCTATAAACTGTGTTTAAGGCGAGACAAACCACGGAGGACGAGGTGGGAGATGATTACTCGGACTTTTCGTCCCAGTCGGTCAAGAACGCAGGAGCGAATCATGAACTGAAGCAAGTGACCTACTCAACAATTGCCCCAAAGTTCGACATTCCGACACGCACACCTCTTCTCAATCCGAATCCAATTGGACAGAACCGAGTGCAAGCTACCACGAAGAAGCCGGTTGTGGTGGACTACAGAAGAGGTTACTACTTCCAGCATTACCCGTGGGATCGGCTCCCGAGACGTTACCTTCTTCGTCCGGGCATGACCTACGTCTATCCACCACAGTATCAGTACGCCAACTATCGTTATCCTTATCTTCCGTCCACCTACATCGATCCTTACAACATTTACCGATCCCACCCAGGAATTGGATACGGCTGCGGACAATCGGGATGCGGAGGAGGATACCCACAAGGATACGGAGGATACAGCAGTGGTTGCGGAGGAGGAAGCGGATCAGGATGTGGATCATTCGACGATGACGAGGACGAAGATTCGTACGAAGACGAGGACGAGGAGGGAGGAAAGAGCGGAGAAGCCAAGATCAACAAGAAAGATCCACTGGAGGATTTGGAGCTGGAAGATCTTGAAAAGCTGTCAAAGTCAACGGACGAGGGCAAATCTACTTCATCTGGGGCTGCTGATGATCTTGATGATGTGGAGCCAACCCCAATTAAGAAAACGAGTGTGAAGGCTTCAGACGATGAGGATTTGATCGATGATAGGAAAAAGGCCAAGAGAAACTTCTTGATCAAGTGGGCATAGACCACGCGCTTCTAATTATTTTTGTTGTATTTATTTAATTTGTTGTTAGATCTCAGGGAATCGCCATAACTTGATGCAATACATGGACATTAGCAATTTGAATAAACAGTTGAAATCACTTTATTCAAAGCGGGCCATTGAATGTTACTGATTACTGAAGGTCACAGAATCGCAGCATCTGGCAAACAGTGGAAGGCGGAATGCCTTGTCTTACTCGTAGGAAAACCTCTTTCACGTTCTCCGAAACGAACTGCACGCACACGGGTTCCATCAATCCCATTTTGTCGCACTTCCTGTATAAGACTTGATTGAGCTCACATTGAGCTCATTCACTCACTTCAGCATGGCAGTGACCGTAGCAGTGGGAGTCATATCCTTCTCCAGCGGCTCCGTGATCACTGTGCATAGCATGCAAGTCACGACGGAAGTAGCTTCGCAGCGCCATGCTAAATACGACCGTATTACGCAATGGAAGAACCTGATTTCGATTTCTGCGCTTCCCATATCTTTTCGCTCTCCGTTCCAGGTGAAACACTGCTTTCGATTCTATGGTTATCTCCGATGGTCGCCTGTTCTCGCTATATCATTGTTCTTTTTTAGAAAATGGGAAAAGTGAGAGCGTTCAAATCTTATGGAATCCGATGAGAAGCTTCTCATATTTCTGGTAGGAGAGCGAAAATATTCAAATGTGAAATCGAGTCGTTCTGTAGTCAAACACAGAATGTGAATCATCAGAAATTGAGCCGTATGATTCTCTGTCTGACTTCAAAAGATCAGTGACAGACACAAGAGCATCTTTTGTGATTTCTGACGAGTTTTCAAGAGTGGAAGTCTAAAACGGAAAGATTATTTGCATTTAGCAGGGGAAAATCCTCACTGATTCAGTGACACCAAACATGTCATTGGATTTTTAGTGACTAAGGTAACAACTGGCAGCTTTTTGAGAAGGTAATGTCTTTTATTTCGAATTTTAGGACTAATATAAAAGAAACTGAAAGTGTTCGGAATGCTCTCGATCAAATAGTTCGGACCATATGGTCCATACTGGAAAATTTCGTGCGAACACTCTTAAGTATTCTGGAACTTCTGATAGCAGGTGACCGATGCAGTACCCCAATTTACTTTTGTGTGAACTCACTCGAAGCGACAAGAAGAAAGAAGAATGCGGACCAGACGAAGTTCGAAGGGCAGACCATCTCGGACGGAACGAAACGGACAGAATGACCCGGAATGCGAGAGCTCAGCGAGCTCCTCCCGACTCGGACCACTTCGTCATCATTCCGGAACTCCGATATCGGATGGCACCGTCTTCCGGCGGCTCTCCGCTTTTCCGCGCACTATATGAGCTGCACATCATTCGCGAAATCTCAAATTCCCAACGACTAATAATAGGAGAATGACAGAAAAGTGCTTTCGGCGGTGGAGGCATGCATAAACAGATGTTTTGATTGACTCGAGAGAACAAGCAAAACGGACGGAAATTGGCAGAAAAATATGCGGAGGAGATGGAATTGTTGAATACAAAACGGCGATAAAAAATGACGAGGGGAACGCACGATCGCGTGGCCGATTTCAACACATTTTCAGAGCGTTCACACTGCTCGTTCGTTCAAAGATTTCAGAAACGAATTTCCGAGGCGGGAAGAATGCACAGCGTGTTTGACATGCTCCGAACTTCGTTAAGACGTCGTAAGTGACTATTTGGACCTTTTACAGAAGGACTGCATTTCTGTCTGAGAACGAGACAACAATAGAGCTGATAACACAACGTTATCATTCAAAACACCTTTGAAGTGTTTTAGATTTTAATTCTTGGCATTTTACACGCGCCGGAGGCTTTGGTTATTAAAAAAAAACAATAAAATCAATAGGGAATTAAAAATTCACTTGCTAATTTTAACTACTGTACACAAACTGTGTAGCGTGTTTACACATATTTTTGTCTACAGCACTTTTTAAAACTTTTTGAACTCAAATCAACGTCTCCTGTTTTTTTTCGATTCGTCGTAATCTGTCATGGTTCGGAGCTTCAAAAAGAAAACTGCCACAAGTAAGTGTATAATTGTCGCTTCTCTACATTTCCTGAAGACGTTTCTCTCCTGCATTGCCAGTGTTGCGGCTCTTCTCATTTTGTTATTTTGCTCGCCCGTCGATAGAAAACAGCGAGAGAGTGAGAGATTGTGTACTGCAAAAAGAGAGGGACAGACACCGCGTGTATGTTTGCCCTATTGCGAAACGAAAACGAATGAGTCAGTCCTTCCCTTTTGTCGGTTCGTTCCCCTGACTTTCATCGTTGTTTCATTTTCCAGCCAACATGTCGAAAGTTTCAACTCCTGGAGATCAGCCGAAGGCCGCCGATCAAGACTTTTACCAACTTCTCGGAGTTGACAAAATGGTGAGCGAAATTTTATTGATAGTTCACAGATGTTAGTGATTTTAGGCCTCTGAGGCAGAAATCAAGTCGGCGTACAGAAAACTCGCCCTCAAGTATCATCCGGATCGTAATCCTGGAGACACGCACGCTCAAGAGGAGTTCAAGAAGGTTTCGATTGCATACTCGGTGCTTTCTGACCCAAACAAACGAAGACAGTACGATGTGAGCGGTCCGTCTGAAAACCAACTCGATTTCGAAGGATTCGACGTTTCCGAAATGGGAGGTGTTGGTCAGTTATCGATTTTTACCTTCATTGAAATTGAACAAAAATGCAGGTCGAGTATTCGGAGCGCTGTTCACCAAACTCGGAGTTCCCATTCCGACACAAATTGTTCCCAAAGTCCTCGCTCAAGCTCGGCAAATTTGCCTTGGACAGGAATGCGATGTGCATGCGAAACCGCTGCCACCAGGTGATGCGATCAGTTCATCAGTCAGCAAGCAGGTGAGCGCTTCACGAGTTTGACAGTGAAAATATTTGAAAAGGATTTCAGCACGCCCACTTCTACGAGATTGATATGAAAGAAGAGTTCCGAAAAAACGGAGTCGCCATCATCTGCAAGAGCTCCTCTAGCAAGTTCAAGTTGGTGCTGTTCGACAAGGAAGGCGGCGTTCGGATGATTCAGGAGAGCGGAAAACGTGGAAAGTCCGGCACACAGGCTGATATGTTCTTCGTTCCGTACACAGTGGCTAATATTCAAGAGTTCAATCCGATGAAGTATCATTTGGAGGACAAAGAAACTCCGATCGCGTTCCATTACCTGGATTCATTTGAAATGCAGACGGCGACGCTTCTGGAGACTCGAAAGCACTACATCGGAGTGTACGGAGACAACTGGATCAGCGACGTCAAGTACACCATACACTTCTTGCCTGTTGCTCCGGAAGCAACTGAGAAACTGGCGGATATCGAGCAAATCGAGAAGAGCATTTCAGCTATCAAGAAGGAAATGCTCGACTTCCAACGAGTCTTCACAGAAGCCAAACGACAGTAAGCGTCTATTCTCGAAGAGTTTTACACGGTTTTCTTTTCCAGATACGATGAAGCAGCAGCCAAGCTAAAGATGCAAGACGAGATAATTCAGAAGACGCTGGTGTTCCGCGAAGAACTGTACAGCGATGTCATCCGACAAAGTCAAGAACCGTACAACAAAAAAGTGTCACCATCGAAAACGTCGTCTGGATTTCTGGGAGGATGGTTCAAGTAAACATGGAACAATTACACCGCCAAATATTTTCACACAATTCACTGAATGGGTAGTATTGTTATTCACTAAACTTCCTTTCACAACTCTAGCATTGATTCAGAGCGAGCTTCTCATTTATTCACCCCCATTTTCCAATTGTCGATTCCTCAGATCTCAGAACAGCTCTTCCAGCTCTTCTTTTCCGTCTGTGAATTTTCTTAAAGCTCACAATTCGACATTCTGTTCTGTATAGTGCTCCTTTATGCTGTACTAATAAATTATGGTTTAACGGTTTCTTCCTGTTAATTGTAATCTTATTCCCTTGTGATTCATCTGTAACTCAAATATTTCTTGTTATTTCTTTCTTTTATATGTGTTTTGATTTTTATTTCCTGTGCAAACTGCTTCGAACGTGGCTGTAAGAATCGTTGTCTCAAATTGACGTCATTCCGAATTTCGCAATCGCAAAGTTGTTGTTCAGTGCATCGACCGGACACGACCCTCTCGCCAACACACACTGTTTCCTCCGAGGCGTGGCTGCGAAGCGGTCGCGTCGCGGTTATGCTGACGTTGCTTTAGCGGAGGCCCTCAGTCGACGCACCACTCCGAAACCCCCAGAAGGCTTTTCTTCGCCGTTCTTTTTCTAAAACCGCCCTGGGCGAAGGCCCCCTTATCAACTGACACCCGAAATGAGCTACCCACAACGCATCTATGTGCTCCCTGCACGTCAAACTCAGCCTCACAAGCAACACGTGGCACCGAGACATGCTCAGAAACGAGCTCCTCCCACTGAACAAATCGTGGCGGAGCTGCTCGGAGACGATTTCGGACCAACTGGACCACGTAAGAGGGAGAGATTAAACCATTTGACTCAGCAGGAGAAGATGGAAAGAAGAAAACTGAAGAACAGAGTTGCCGCACAAAACGCCAGAGACAAAAAGAAGGTGGGTCATTCGGAAAGTAATAATGAGTGTGGAACATGATGCTTTCAGGAAAGATCGTCGAAAATTGAAGATGTGATGCGCGATCTCGTCGAAGAGAACCGAAAACTCCGTGTCGAGAACGAGAAGCTCCGTCGTGAGAACGAACAACTCATCCGTAACCAGGAGAAACTGTCCGCCAACCCAGTATACATCGAAACGAACAACGAGAACGAGTCGAACATCTACACAAACGTCGTCTACGAGGAAGAAGTCGTCGGAGAAGTTGAAGATTGTGCCTTTGAATCAGCAGCATTCATTAGTGTGCCCCTGCCGCGGGAACAGGCACTTTCTACCAACAACCTCCAATGCACGGATTCCAACAAGAAGACGTTCAGTGCCGAGACGTTGATGACTATTGTTACGCTCCTGTGCAACCAAGTGGAGCTGATGGGGAAGACGATGAACATTTCGAGCGAATCCTCGAGCATCTCAAAGTGAGCTTCGGCAACCATGAGGACATCGTTTCTATAAATCCGTTTACAGAGCCCATCTGGAGAATTCGATCGATACATTGCTGGTTACCTTGAAGAAGAAGGGGACTACTGTGCGTCTTCTTCAAGCGGATCCTTCCTTGCACCTTCAGAAACACGTGAAACACTTTCGCCGGGTTCCCTAGCCTTGTCGCCGTCGATGAGCAACTCGAGCAACGATTGGGAAGACGAGACGCTTTACTGTCAAACGGCATCCACGGAAACTGATGACGCCCTCGTCGACCCCGGAAACTGGAACTTTGAGACTTTCGATGAGTCGTCCATCGACTTGAATTTCTTTGAAAACTGATTTTCTGTCCGCTACTCAGAATAATTATAGCCGCAGTTTTCGTTTGCTTCATCCTTATCCCCGTTCGTATTCCTTTGTATATACCCTCTCCAAAGTCTGTCTGGTACATCACCTCTCTCTCTCTCCTTTTCTTTTCCTTTGTACAACCGTCTATTTATTAATTTCTTCTGCTTCGGTCATATTGATTTGGTTTCGGAAGATAGATAATAAACCTGGATAACAAAGATTCTGCGAACACTTGGAGCTGACTGTTCGGATGCAAGCAGAACTATATTACTGAAATTTTTTTTTTAATCTTGAGTGAAAACTCGGCCACGATCATGAAACTTGCAAAAAAGTGCGTAAGCCAGATGTTCCGTAAGAACATTCGCTTCAATTTGTATAAAAAGACGAAGAAAAAACAACAGTATTGCCCGTGGACGGAAGGAAGTAGAGCGGCACGGAAGTGAGGAAGAGACGGAGAGTAATCGGCCGGATCCCTCCATCTTTTTCTTATTCTCCTTGTTTGTAGCTTTCCGATTGGGGCTATTCAAGTATATTTCCGTGGGTGAAGATGATAGAGACTTCGTCAATATTAGTCGAGCTGAGTAGTTTTCCGAGATCCCCAAAAGACTTCTATATTTGGCGTGCAATCCAATCCGCTGTGACTCACTTTTCCGTGTTCCCATCCATATCATACAGTCGGTCAATATTGCATCTCTATGTTAGCTGTCCGACACCCTATTCTTGTTGAATATGCAAAAACGATTGGATATTTGCACAACATCCGCTCTTTCTCAACACATTTGTGCTCCACCGCCTCCTTTTGTCTCTCCACTGTATATTTCACTTTCCATTCAGTCTCCTTCAAGGTGGTGCCGGATGGCTTTTCCTTCCATCTATATCGTCCGATTTTATTGCGTTTTATCGATAAAACTCCGCTTTCTCTTCTTCTCGCTCTCTCCCATCTGCACATTGTGGACGACACGTGGGAATGCGCTCACTCGATCGATACTCCCCGTTTTTCGTACCGTACCCCGCTAATTGGGCAATTCAGTCCCTGTCTCACGGGCTGTCCACACTCGACCTCTCTTTGTGCACACTCTCTCCACCCATTCACATCGATTGAATCGGTCGCACATGGTGAGAGATTTCGCCATCTGTCGCCCACTCGCTTCCTTCCATTCCCCTCGTTTACCCCCACTGCCAGCAGCTCTTTCCTTCCTTCCTTCCAATTTTCCCACAAATCCGCCCGAGGCAGAGAAAAGACACTTTGCAATTTCCGCTTTGTTTCCAACAAAACTAATCCTCCTTTCCGTCCGTCTATTTCCCTTTTCCCTTTCTTTTCTTCAATTTTTTTCGCTTCCATTCACACCACCGAAAAAAAAGTGAATTTTCGATGAGATCACTAATGAAAAGGGTTGGCAGCCAGAACAATTCGTAGTGCTTCTCGTATATTCGGCCGATACGTCTGGCAGTTGAATGTCACGACAACGGACGCTAATAACAAAGAGATCGTCGCAGTTCGCCTGCGCCCTACAAAGTGTGAAATCCGAGAACGCAGATGTTATCACAACTACCGTATTCCTCGTGTTCCTCCACTTGAAAACGGGCCGAAAAAGTTGTTTGTCTCAAAATGACCCATCTTTTCCGTCTTTTTTCGTCCCTCTTCTCCCTCCGTTCAAGGTCTTTCCGTTGTGTAATACTTGTTGAAGCAACTTCAAAAGCAATTTTGTGGCGGATTTCGAATACTTTTCCGCGTGGAACATTCGAAGACTGTCGCCGTCTCCCTCTCTCCTTTGTTCTGTACACATTTGAACTCACTTCCAATTGAAACCCGATATTGCGTGTAGGTTAATAGTCAGTCTCCTAAGTGCCTCTCATCTCCTTTGCGTTACTCCCGTGCTCAACTGCTCAGACATTCAGTGGCCGAGTGGCCGTGGCCGAGAAGCAGCCGCTTCCTTTCTGTTGTGAGCTCAAATTCGTTTGTGCACGCGCGCGTGTTGAGACCCGCTCTGATTTATCGCTTCTCCCTCAATTTTCGAATCGCTTCGAAATAGTGATTTTTGAAAAATCCATTGAATGTTTTGCTTCCGCATCTGCCGAATCTCTCCGATTCAAATCGTTCCCCTATGGTTTTGTGATGCTATAATTGTATTAATGTGATTGTTTTCAGAGATATATTGTATCGTCACAGCAAAATGACAACAGCTGCCGAGTTAATGAAAGCCGTAAGTTTCGTTCTCTTCCCTTCAGATTTTCAGGTTTTTGTTCTTTTGATTAGAGTAACTGAGGAGACGTCCCCCCTATCAAAATTGCACCGTTTCTGACGCGGACCAGCTAATTTTTGTGGCGCTCTCCTCATTTTCAAGCTCTCTCGCCCGTCGTGCACATGTTTAACCCGGCCAAATTATTGATTTTTTGTGGTGATGCACCTTGCGACGATCGTGGCGGCGCATGCGGTTGTGGCCTTTTTCTCATTTCGATCGACATGTACGGTCGTTTCAGTTTGAATAACCCTTCTCTCTGTCTGCTCCTCTTCATTCCCCACGCTCTCTCTCCAGCTTTTCCAAGGCGTCTGTTCGACACGTGACTCTTTTGAAGGTTCTTGTGCATGGATGTTGATGATCGAATCACTCTTGTTTTGACTCGAGTCAACACTATAGGACGAGTACTAATCACTTAGAATTCTGAAAACCCAATTTGTTTTGACGGAATCTTCGCATGATCCTTTTGAAAGTCTTAAAGGAATGTAGAGCAGGATTTCGGTAGAACCTAATTGCACTGTGCAAGTTGTTGTTAAGTTCACTAAGAGTTGCCTACCGTATTCTTGTAATAGTCTACTTCGCGAGTCACATTACAGTCATTCCATTATCTCAACGACTCTCATTTCTGACGTTAGCGTCTAATTATTTTGCCGAATAAGCTAGGCTCATCTAGTTTATCTCGGTCCATTCTCACACTTGCTCAATATCCATTCAAAAGAGCCTCGTACGACAGCCAGTCGAGATTCGCGTAGGGAAATGTGTTCCTCAGACGCAGCCACACCAATACATTACTCCTTTAAAACCTTGTCTCCGGAGAGATCGCATGCTCGACCCAGTGAATGAACCGCTTTTCGTTTTCAGGAAAAATTAGACGATTTCGACTATAAGGTGGCTCTGCAACAGCAGATGGTTGCGGCTGCGAACGCGGCCGCCGCCAATTCTGTGCAAGTATCCACGAACGGAAGCATCCACTCCCTGCAAATCGGACCAATTCAAGTCGCCGCGCCGTCTCTCAACTCGCCGACTCTCTCGGATGCACCGCCCGCCTCTACGGGCTCAGCGGAGATGCTTGCCATCGGCCCCGTCGCTCCTTCGCAACCTGATCCCAGCACTAGCTGTAAGAGACTCTCCTACTGTCCTCTCTTTCCTACGTTCTCTCTAAGTATCGTAGCCTACCAGACCAGTTCCTTTTCACGGAAAGGAATCGGTTGCGAAACAAATGCATGGCGGTTTTTGTGATATTTGATGATGATGATGATGGTATTTTCGGTGAAAAACAACAGCATACAGACACGCGTACTTAGTGGTTTTCATCTAGTAATAATTAACCTTGTCCCCTTTCTTTGGAATGCAACCAGGCACCTTCCACCCAGCATACGTTGACAGCTGCTTCTTGGTTTCTAATTGCATCAGTTTTTATCGTTTCTTTTCGTAGCGAGTGAGCGAAAATATCCCCAAAGAGCATTATAGGACAATCAACAGTTTAGCAGAACCAAGGAAGTTAGCAGCATCATCGTCCCTGCCCTTTTCCCCGTCTTTCTCATTAATTCTTCTATTTAGCTGACGGACCACGTCGTCTGCACGTCTCCAACATTCCATTCAAGTACCGAGACCCCGATCTCATCGCCATGTTCGAAAAGATCGGTCCAGTCAGTGAGGTAGAGATAATATTCAATGAACGCGGATCAAAGGTGCTCACAAGACACGAAAGAACTCATTATTAATCGCCGATTTTCAGGGCTTTGGCTTCGTTACAATGCAGCGAACGGAAGACGCGGTGCGCGCTCGAACCGAGATGAACGGAATGTCGATTGAAGGCCGACGCATCGAAGTGAACATGGCCACGCAGAGAATCCACACGAAAAAGAAGCCGCTGATCGCCTCGGTCGCAGTCGATCCGATCGCTGCCCAGAATGCATTAAATGCACAAAACATGCAGAGAGCCGCTCTCCTCCAGCAGCAACTAATTGCTCAGCAATTCCTTCTTCCTCGTCAACAGTTCATCATTCCTCCGCCCACCTCGGCCGCAGCTCACATGCAGGCTCTGCAATACCAAACTCTCCTCGCCAATCAGCATATGCACCAGAGCCTCCAGAATCAGCAACTGCTCTTCAGCCAAGCAGCACTTCAGCAGTCTCAGCAGCCACCGAATTCCATGGCTCATGCTCAGCTCTTTCAACAGCAACAGCAGCAACAGGCGGCGGTTGCTGCTCTCGGATTGGATTCTATGGCTCAGGCCAATCAAATGGCGGCACTCTTCGCGTTGGATCAGCAGCAGAGACTCCAATTAGCAGTTGCTCAAGGTAAGTGGGGGGTTCTTGAGAAGACGTGGAGTGCCTCTTGAATTTTTGAAAAAGCGGGGGAGAGGGAAAGAGTTAGTCAACAGACAGGGGTTAGTTCATTTTCAGTGACGGGAATATATTTTTCACAAGATCCGTTTGCAGGCCGTGTCGCTCCAGCTGTCCGCATCCCGACCTCTTCTGCCGGAGGCGCCGTTCCTCCTCCGCCGCCTTCCGGACCGGCCCCAGGCAGTCTCGGAGAGCAGTTCCTGCAGCAGGCGCTCCCGGCGTCCGTCACTGCTCTGCACCATCACAACCTGCACCCGGCCGCGGCTGCTGCTGCTCTTCAGCGTCGTTATGCTCCTTACTAACTATTTATTTCCGCAGACACACTCGCTCCAATTTTTGTTCCATTCACTTTTGTACTCATTTCAATTTCAAGTGTTCTGTGCACCTAATAACTGATATTATCCCCTTCTCTCCTATCGCATATTCCTTCATGTGTAATTGACATCAATCGACATATTTTGACATCCTTCGTTCTCCCGGCTCCGTCCCTTTGCACATCTTCCATTTTTCTTTTAAAATCTCACACCGACCGCACTGATGACACACCCGCTCCCCTTAATAATAACATAATAATCACACGGAAAGTGGAATTTTGAATGTGTTTTCCTTTTGTTCTGCTCCACCGCATTCACGGCATGAGCATCGGATTCCTCCGGTATACACGCATCTCTTTTCTGCTTTATTTGATTGTTTTTGTGAGTCTCTGCGCCTTTCTTCTCTACAAATCTCCGTTGTTTTCTGTGCAATTTGACTGCTTTTTCACCCCAATCCACAACGATTTTCATTTTGAACATTTTTTTCTGAAATAAGAAGTCTTTTCTTTTTTTCTTTTCTCACGTGTGGTTGTGGTGGAGCATGCGAACAACTTGGTGGTGGCTAATGACAATACGAAAACGGGTTCAGTTTCAGCACCGCATTTCCCCTCATCGTCACACAGGTCCCGGTGCGATCTTCGGAAAGAGAAAAACGAGTTGACTATGAACTATTTATAAACGGGTGAAATCCAAACAATAAATCGATTGAACAGTGAAAACAACGGGGCAAATACAGAACGGCAGGCTTACAAGTAATGTACACATGGAATCATCTGAGAAGGGCATTCAGAAGCTCATTTCGAATCCTCGTCGTCACTCATCGGCTCGTCGTCTAAATCGGGCATCGGGAATCTCAAAATGGCGGCGCATCCGGTCAGCTGGGCGAGCTGTTCTCCTGACACGTGCATCGACGAGAAAATGTGAACTTTTCCGTTTTGTTCGCGAACGCTCTCTACCAAACGAACATATTTCCTTCGGGTCTCAATATCCTGTGCGCGGAAAAGGGAGTCCGCCACCAGAAGAGTCTCGATCGCCAGCTCGGCGTTGGCTCGATTCACATGGCTGAAGAAAACTTTTTTTGTGAAACGACAATGCTCTTAGATGCTCACTTGTATCCGTAAAATGCGCGATCAGGTTCGGTTGACATGAGCTCCAGGAATTGATTCAATGCCTTTACTTCTCCTTGAGCCTACAACTATTTTTTTCAATCTGCACAATGACTTTTTGACTCACTTTGGTATCTGCTAGCCTAGCAGCCACTTGTGGAGTCTCCAGAACTTCCTTCAGTGCGTGCTTGAATCCACTGCTCGAATGAGTCAGCAGAAACTTCGCTTTTTGTTCTGTCGTCAGTTTCTTTCCGTTCGCATCTGCATGAGCGATAAGATGCTGCATGAAAGCGTCTTTCACAAACCCCCGACTCGCCACGATCACACATTTAACTACCTGAAATCGGCTGGATTTCTTAAAAGGTCTAAATGACAGAAGTTGCTCACCTGTAAGTTAACATGACGCATGAAAGCGACACTGACTGCTTCGTAGAACTTCTCTAATCCTTTCTCGTGCTGACTCGTGAATCCTTTTCGTTTTCGTGGAATCTGAAAAAAGGAAACAAACTTTCAAAGACTGAAAGCAACATTCTTACTGTTATGTCAATTTTTGCCCTCGTGAGAGTCATTGCAGGTGTTATCAAGCACACATTGGCCAATCCTTCGTGCAGGACGACTGCTGCCACGTCAGCAGCTTGCGCAGGATCCAAAGCAAGATTCAGACGTTCTGAGATAACATAATCTTTTAAAATCATTTGACACTTTCTTACCCAAATCAATCGAATCCCACTCCGTCTTCTCAAGTGTGAACTTTCTGTTCGGTTCCAGGTCAATCGTGTGATACGCTCCAAGTTTGACGATATCGTTTTCTTCTACATTCCGCCCTTTCAGATGAAGTTCTTGAGCTCCCGGATCGAAGTCAATCGACTCGACGGAAACCGTCAGCATCGTGTGTATCCGTTGAGAAGAAGTCGTTCCAGTTGATGTTTCAGATACCACCTTAACTATTTTATGTTTTGGAAAGTACGGATATACTCACTTTTCTGATTGTTGGCGCTTTTATGATATCACCGACACGTATCAGATTGTAGATGTGCCACATATCTTCTGCTTCTTCTGCCATCAACACGACGAAGCTGAAAATGATGGGTGTTTAGTGTTATTATTACAGAAAGGTTGCTTTAAAAGCGGAGAACTTACCCGTGTCCATCTCTTTCGATTCCTCGCTTGAACTGCTTCATTTTTTATTTATTTGGGAGAAAGACTGAAAAAAGTTGAAATAAATTTCGCAATGATTTACGATAAAGAGGGCGCGGTGCGGAGCGTCGTTGTCATCCTTGTGACTATGGGAAAATTAACGATTTTCTGCATTTCTTTTGAATTTTTCCTTGTTAATTTTCTACAAAATGTAATAACGCAAATTTTTCGTAAATTGCAGCAGCAAGAATGGGAAAGACGTCACGTGACAAGCGAGACATCTACTATCGTCTTGCGAAAGAAAACAAATGGCGAGCAAGAAGTGCTTTCAAACTAATGCAAATTGACGATGAGTTTCAAATTCTGAAAGGTAAAAAAATTCCAAAAAGTTAAAAACTATTCAGTCGATGGTTGCAGGCGTTCGTCGAGCTGTAGACCTGTGTGCAGCCCCGGGAAGCTGGTCTCAAGTGCTTTCCAAAAGATTGTACGAAGAAGACCAGGAAGCGAAAATCGTGGCAATTGATCTGCAGCCGATGGCTCCGATTGCTGGAGTTATTCAATTGCAGGGAGATATCACTTCTGTCGACACTGCCAATCAGGTTATCAAAGAATTTTCCGGGGAGAAAGCCGACATTGTCATCTGCGACGGAGCTCCTGACGTGACTGGAATTCATTCACTCGACGAGTTCATGCAAGCCGAACTTATTCTTGCTGCCTTCAACATCACAAGCCACGTTCTCAAAACAGGCGGCAACTTCCTCGCAAAGATCTTCCGTTCCCGCAATTCCTCCCTTCTGTATGCTCAGATGAAGAGATACTTCAAGAAAGTCTATCTGGCGAAACCCCGCAGTTCCCGCCAGACAAGTTGTGAGGCGTTCGTCCTTTGCCTTGACTTCTCTCCACCTGAAGGATTCGTTCCGTCAATGAAGAAAACGACGCTGGACGGAACTGATCCAACAACAATTTCTTCGGACGTCATCGATGGCTTCATAACTTGCGGAGACATGAGTGGCTGGGACAGCGAGAAATCCTATCCACTGGATATTGACATCGGTTTTCCAATAGGAGCAACTAATGAAGACAAAAAGTGAACCTTGGAAATGTAAATCAATTTCAACTATTCTCATTTCAGACGTTACGAATTTAAAGACGTTGTCCAGCCGCCTACCGAACCCGCTTACAAACAAGCGTTGGAGATGAAAAAAAGTGGCGTTTTTGCAAAATTGTCGGCTGACTTGACCAAAGAGGTTGATTGAATGAGAGGATAATTCAGTTAATTGACCCATTTTCAGATAACAGCTAATCAGCGTCGAAAAGAATACAAGAAAGAGATAGACATTCAGGTAGAGAAGAAGAAGGAGCAAGGACAGTCGGATGCGACGTTCGAAAGCGTGACCGAGGCTCTCGAGAGATCTCTACTTGATGAGCAGAAACAGTGATCTTTTGCAAGACTATTTTTTGCGATTCTGCCAATTTCCATGTTTCTCCATCTCTAATGTTGTTTTTTCTCACATTTTCTCAGCGTAATGAATCATGTGCATTTACTTGTGCATTTCGTCGTATAAAAATAGGTTGCCACACTTCCAGAATCGGCGCCGGGGTGGCCGAGTGGGGCGAGGCGTGAGTATTCTGAACTCGGGGCACCGCCCAATGCGGGTTCGAATCCCGTTCCCGGCGAGCGTTTTGCCGAGTTTAGACGAATAAGTACAAAGATCACATTGGGGACCGTTCTGGATGCCAGCATTCTGCGAAACGGCGGCGCTCTTCCGCTCTTTGAACCCCTGCAGCAGCAAATTGGATGACCTCGTCTCTCGTCACGCAAGTCCACCGTGCCTCCGGTGTCCCATTATTATTATCCAGAGAAGAGAAGAAGTGTACACAGTGGAGAGGGCCGACGGTAGGCCAATTAACTGCATTGAAATGTCACACGAGTGGCGGGCGCAGTCCGGCCATCCCACACGCGACTAGCCGTCCCGACCGGCCACTCGTTGCCTCCAAGTGCTTCTCGCTTCTGCCCTCCGCCCGGCTACAGTTCCGTTCATCATGAACAAACAGCTGTTTCCATCGACTTCTTTTCTGAAAACGACGATGCGTCCGCGGTTTCTGAGGCTGTACTCGTCGGACGGACAGCGGAGTACTCGGTTGGAATGCGACGAGCAGACGACGTGCGCCCTCATCTGTCAGCAGTTCTCTTGTGACGTCATCACTCTTCAGATTGGCAACTATCACTTTCGGTTCGTTTCTTTTATGAAATCGTGCACAGTGTTGTCTAGTTTTCTGCACTTCTGAAATGCGCTGTGTTTATCTAAATACATTCATTCACAGTGAAGGCCTTTTGTACTGTAAAATAGAACCTTAGAATCCATATATCTTTGTTGAAAAAAGGTCTTCAAAGATGAAAAGCATCGCGCGATTCCAATAAATCACATCTCCTCCGTTTAACGCGCGTCCAATTCAATTCCGTCCGTTTGCAGACAGCTGAAAGCGGACACGTCTCCTCTGGCGATCCTCCACGACTTCTGCCGCATTCTGGCGATGTCGGAAGAAAGCGGAGAGACGAGCGGCGCGGCACTTGAAGAGATCCTCTCGTACACGGATTCGCCCGCATTCAGACACATTTTCAGTTTCTTTTTGGGCCGACCGAGGATCCGGGCGAAAAGCACTCTGAACTCAGACATTCTGAGTGAGGAAGTCATCATTCGGAAGGGCAAGATCATTCACACGTGGCAGAATGCGAGGGCGGTATTCTATAACTCGAACATCCGATTGCAAACAAGTGAGTTCATCTGTGAGCTGCTGAGCTTTAACCTTCGAACATTTCAGAGAATAATCAAGATGAGGCACTGCAAATCAGAAACATGAAAGTGGATGTGTATGATTCCAAACGAGGTTTCCCATCGATATAGTCTTCTGACCGTGCGAACCTTTTTGCAGGGAAGTCTCTCCGACTACGCGACGACGACGCGTGCTATCTGATCTTGTTCCAACGGCCGAACATCCTGCAAGCATGGCTCTCTCGGGCTCAGCAAGTGGAGAAGAGCAGCCACGTGGATGCCAGCGACGAGCAGCTCACACTGATTCCGGAGCAAGTTATGAGCAACGAGGCTCGCATTCAAGTGCTCAATCTGCGAAGGAACTCTCTGATATCCCGCCCGCCGACGGAGAAATCAATGACTCCGCTAGGGTACATTGACGACTTGTACCGAGTGAACACGCTTCAAGTGATCGACCTTTCTGCCAATCAAATCCTTTCGTTTCCCATCCAACTCACTCTTCTTTCGCAGCTTCGTCAGCTGAATCTCTCCTCCAATTACATATCCTCGGTGCCCAGTGAATGCTCAAACATGCGACGACTACAATATCTGAATCTCTCAAACAATCAGCTCGATTCCCTTCCCGATTCCCTTAGTGAATGCCAAAGTTTACAAAGTATTGATATCAGTTTCAATCAGTTCTCACAGGTATCTCTTTTCCGCTCTTTCCGTGAAATCTTCCCTTTCAGATTCCCAATTGTCTCTTCCATTTGCCTTTGGATATGTGGAGACTGGCAGGCAACAACATTGAAAAGATCGAAAGAGTCGGGGAAATGCCCATCGAGAGGATCGACCTGCGGAGGAACATTCTCAGCACGTCCTTCCGGTTGGACATTGAGAATGTGACCCATTTGGATCTCAGGGATAATGCTCAAGTGTCCACAGTTCATTTGACCAACTTACGCTTTCTCAAGGTACTCACCGGAGAAGAGTCTCGGGATCATTCCAATGTCTTTCAGGTGATTCACTGCGAACGCCTCCAGCTGACCAGTCTTCATTTGAGCGGAGATAATCTGACACATGTATATGCGGATCACAACTGTCCGTTCGGTCTGTTCTTCTGAATCTTAATTCAATTGTTTCAGTACTGGATTCCCTCGTTGTGATGCCCCTTCCCGAGCATCTGCAAACCCTCTCCGTGGCTTATAATCACTTTCGGAGCCTTCCTGATTGGATATGTGACTGTCCCAATCTGACCTTTCTGCGAGTCAACAATAACCAGTTGGTCTCGCTTCCAGAAAGGTCCGTCTCGCTTCGTGCTCCGTGCCAACTTCCCTTCTTTCCAGAACATTCTTCTCAACTTCTCTTCGGTCCATTTTCGCGTTTGTCAATGAAATCGACTGTTTGCCCGATTTTGGCGAAGACAACCATCTGGAAACATTGATACTCTACAAGAACAAGCTGACTTCTCTTCCCAAACATTTCTTCTCTTATGTGCCAAAGTGAGACTCTTTTTAACTTATTAGACTTAATCTCGAACTGCAGACTGCGTCAACTGAACATTTCATCGAACTTTATTGAAATCTTGCCATATTGCGATGGTTCTTCTTTCTGCCGACTTCAGGTACGAACGCAGTACGCTCCTGAAAGAAGCACACAATGCAATTAAGATTCTGCGAGCAGCCAACAACAGTCTGACCGAGAACAGTGTGCCGGTGATTGTGAGCATGAAGCATCTGAAGATTATCGATCTCAGTCACAACCGATTGAATTCCTTCGATGACAGCGCGTTGAGCTCTTTGGAATTGCTCGAAGAGCTCAATCTGAGCTCGAACCGTCTCACCAGACTGGCCGATTGCCTCGCATTGCTACCGAGTCTTCAGGTGCTCAGAGCTCACTCGAACCAGCTGGTCCACGTGCCAGAACTGCAGAGTTCCAGCCAACTTCATGTAAGTGAACCGAAGATTGAAGATGCAAATGGAGGGTTCTTTCAGACTATCGATGTGTCCTCAAATAATATTTCCCTTGGAACGCTACAGTTTAAAGCTCCGCCCACTTTGCGACACTTTGACGTCACCTGCAATTCCGGAGACTTTGATACAGAAAACTTTCCCGACAATGCGGAAATGCATTCGAAAATGAACACGATCAACATAGCAGAAGGCACACAGAATCTTCATGGTTTTCAAGTGGGAGTGTCCGGATCAAGAGGGATGAAAAACAAGTGAGTTCACGGAAAGGAAGGGCGGAAGAGACTGAAGACGTTCAGACAGTGCATCCGGCAGATTCGGGTGGAGAACACGTTCGCGTTCATCGACGGAGGCTCCAACTTTTACATGTCCGCCTCGATTCTCCGGTTTCTAACGCATTATTTGAGAGAGAATGTAGGCGTAGAAGACTTTTGTGAGCGAGAAATACTTCTGAAATTTCAGATTGAAGTGGACATTCGATCGATTCTTCTGCGATGTCACTGTGAATTGGGAGAAGAGGGCGAACGGTTGGGAGCCAGTGAGTTGAAGGAAATACAGAAAAAAATGAGAGCAAGATAATGGATTCAGGTGTCATGATCATCAGAATAACTGAAAAGAAGCTGGAGATTGCATCGACGGGAACTATGAGCGCCGCCATTGCCAAGAATCGAGAGCTGAAAATGATGTGAGTCGGAAAACGGCAAAATGCGAAGTGCGTGTGTTTTGTTTTCAGAATAAATGGCCGTTATGAGATAGACGATGACGAGTACTCTCGAATAAGAGAGGCGCACGGATTCGTGGACGAAGAGAACCGGATAAACGGAGTGATCGGATCTTCCCGACAGATCGGACACTTCTCCACTTTCCCGGTTGTCCTACCCACGCACTGCTACAAGAGTATTCGGGTTGACGAGCTAATCGAGGGGCTGATTGTAGCGAACGGGGTCGTTTGGAGCATGCTCTCAATGGAGGACATCAACAGTCTCTTTCATAATAATCGCAGTCCAATTGTGGTGGCCAAAAAGATTCAGGTGAGAGAGAGAGAGAGAACGAAACTGTTCAAGATTATTGGCTATTATAGGATCAACTGCAATCGTTCGACTATGGCGGCAACTCTAACATTCTGGTTCTTAGGAGGATAAAACCACAAATGACATTCTCAGGGTTCTCAACATTATCAGCGTCTTCCTCCAACTTACCAACACCTTCAGTCGCCAAACAGGTTCCGAGAATAGATCAAGAGTAAGGCATTACCTTTTGCAGTTCGAATAACTTTGCAATTTCAGATTGGTACTTGCTGTGCCCGCCCTCGTGCTCCCTGAATTCCATCCGTTCCCACCCGCTCCTCCCGCTCCAGAGGGGACCGCTCCCCCGATTCCGGCCGTCCGTCACCGGACCCCTTCGCCGCCTCCTCCGCCTCTTCCGTTGTCAACCCCTCCTGCGGTCTCTTCGGAACTCGACGAAGTTAACATTCATTCGAGCGCAACACACTCCGGATACATGCTTTCGATCGATCGATTCTACAGCAGCAGCAGCAGTACGATCTCTTCTTCCAGAAGACAATTCAATGAAACAAGGGATTTATTGAGCAAATCTCTCAAATTGAGTCCTCCCAACACGGTTACGTTCAACATTTAGTTGTGATAAATGAAGCAACCTGGTGCCATTACTATTTTCAAGGAAACTGATATAAAATAAAGAGTACATCGAGAAGGTTTTCACCAAGTTGCCCACTGCAAACCGATCCCTCAGCTGTTCTGCCATTTCCCAACTTTTCTGATTTTTTGTTGTATGTATTCGTTTTAGGGTTGGCAACGGGGCGCCTTCTCGCCCCGCATTACTATAGGGGGGCGAAGAGGGCGCCCCCGCGCCTCACACGCCCCGTTTGCCCCCGGGCCCTTAAAGTGTAATTAAAATTCTGAAAAAAATTTAGTAGATTAATGAGTTTATTCACTATCGACGTGCGTTGAGAACATTTTTGGAGGGACACGACTAGGAGCGTGGCAAGGATTAGAAGCGGGTAACGGAGGAGTCAAATAAGAGTATAACATCCGGCTTCTTCTGCAACAATCACGAGAGTACAGAATTTCGCTGTACATTGTCTTGATCGACTACCAAAAGGCCAACGGCAGTGTAGCGCGTTTTGAGCTGACTTGTCGCCCTGGCCCTTCTCTTTCTCGCCCTATTACGCAGACATGCAACCATCCTCTCGCTTTCACCCCATCTTCCCTTCTGTTTCCATCATTTTCAGACTATTTTAAAGCAAATGAATGTCACCAAGTCGGAAATGTTACTTTCATACCTTTCTCAACAGCAACGGACACTCCAGGATCTAATAGTAAGAGAATCGTTCTGTTCCCGGCAGTCACCGGCGCTACCTCGCCGTTTCTGTCTTATCGGACAGACATCAAACCTCCAAGTCCTTTCCGCTCCTCGCTTTGCCCTTTCTTTCTGTCTACCTTGCTCTCAAAGACGTTTACAAAGTCAGTTTTACATCTTCAGGTTGTTTCAACGTATAAAAAACGTAGGTTGTTTCTCGGCAGTCCACTGCGCCGATAAAAGGTCCCCACCGTGCGCGCAATTGAGTCAGAAGGTGAGATAGAGCGGTAAAGAGAAGGGTCAGGGCGACAAGTGAACACGATTCGCTCTGATTCGTCTGTGTCTTAAAAAGCCTGAATCTGGACAGAGAGAGCGGTTCGGTTAGTGATGAAAGCAGATGGAGCAAGCAAGCTGTCCGGTCGAGAACGCGAAAAAAGAGCGACTGCGGCGCAGTCGAGTGCCCAAATGGATATGTATATATATATATATATATTTCTGACCAATTTTGTATTCTGTATTAGAAATAAACAGTCTTTATGAACAAATTCATCTGTCATTTCAGAATTGCATCTTTTAATGAGGCCGTCTGTGAACTTCTGATGGAAACAGTGATTTCGTGATAATTATTTTTATTTTGAAATTAATTTATTTGATCTGCAAACTCGATATCGCCATTGTATCGCCGGTGCATCGCATTTGAACCGCCGATACATCGGTAACCGGTGTCCGGAGCTGAGGGCTCAGCACGAAACGCGCGCAAAGGCCGACTTTGCGTCTTTTCCGCTTGGCGCGTTTCTCGCGCATTGATTTCAAACTGACAGAGTTTTTGTCGAGTTTTCTAGCAAGAAACGTAATCGAAAATCCTAGTTTTTTGCTTCTGATCGATTAATTGGACCATTTACTATCTTGGTTTCAATTTTCTTTCTTTATTCTTTCGTCCAAGCTCGGTATTTTTCTGTTTTTGGGGCCTGCTCTCTATTTTCGAAAGTCACGCTCCTTCCACATATTCTCGCTGTTTTCACCGTTTATTGGGTGCTACTGACCATTTATAAGCGATTAATGTTTTAGATATAGAAATGTCTCGTTCGGGTCAAGCAGGCGAGGCGTATGCACAAGAGTTGAACCGGAAACGAGCTGCAAATCTCCGCGCGGCCGCCGATGACGACGATGCAGCCGTTGGCAACGGGAGTAAAGTCGCGTTCGGAGCGGCCGGAACTTTTGATACTGTTTGTTAACTTATTGAGAAATTAAACTCAAACTTAGAAATTTTAGGATGTCTACGGAAGTGTTCGCGGCGAGAGTCGTGATAATTACATGGATTCGATCGGAACCGGCGAAGAAGATGACGTCGATGATGATTCGATGCCGACATTACAGAAAAAGAATGTGAACTATGCGCAGCCTCACAAATTCATCGCGGAAGTCGCTGCTGCAGCGGAAGATACCGATCCATTCGCTGAAACGCGAACCAAAACCATTGCCGAGCGACAGTCCAAATACCACGAAAGGGCCCAGCGCAGACAGATTTCTCCAGACAGAGCTGATGCGTTCAGTAAGTTAAACATAATGTCGTCGTATCAAAATATTTTATTTCAGTTGATCAGACCCCAGACAATCGCAACCGCGGATATGCGGAAGTCATGCGTGATCAGTTGTTCCACGAGGAGAAGGGCCGCGTCGAGCGGGAGCTCGCAGACAGAGCAAAGGCTGGAGAACTTCATGTCAGTGGGCAGCCAGAGAAAAAGAAGGGACGATGGGACGAGACTACCACGGATAAGAAGGAGTCAGAAAATCTTGGAGCAGCTTCGGCAACACCCGCTCAAGGATCCGCTCCTCGTAAACGTCTCGGTTTCTCTAGCATTAGCGCAGAAGCAGCCACTCCTCGTGTGGCTCGGTGGGATGAAACTCCGGCTCATGCGACTGGAGCTGCCGACGCGACGCCTTCCGTTGACAAGTGGTCTTCAACTCCTGCCGCTCAGACTCCTCGTCGTAATCGTTGGGATGAGACTCCGAAAGAGAACATTAACGATGGATCGATGACCCCTGGATGGGGAATGGAGACTCCCGCCAGAGGATCCGACGACGTCAAAATCGAAGACACTCCTTCCGCTTCGAAGCGTCGTTCCCGCTGGGACCTGACTCCCGCCCAAACTCCCTCAGTTGCAGCCGCCACCCCACTCCATTCTGGTGCTCAGACTCCTTCCTTCACTCCGTCGCATCCTTCTCAGACGCCAATCGGAGCAATGACTCCAGGCGGAGCCACTCCGATCGGAACAGCCGCCATGGGAATGAAGACTCCGGCTGCACACCTGGTTCCGATGACTCCTGAGCAAATGCAAATATACCGTTGGGAGAAAGAGATTGACGACCGCAACCGTCCGTTGACCGACGAAGAGCTCGATTCCTTGTTCCCGCCCGGATACAAAACACTTGTTCCTCCGATGAACTACATTCCTCTACGAACTCCTTCCCGGAAGTTGATGGCCACTCCTACTCCGATGGGCGGTGCTGCAGGAGGAGGATTCTTCATGCCAGGAACCCCAGAAAGAGATGGAATCGGAGAGAAAGGAGTGGGCGGACTGGTCGATACTCAGCCAAAGAATGCCGAACTTCCGCCGCTCAAGCCGGATGATATGCAGTATTTCGATAAGTTGTTGATGGATGTGGATGAGAGTCAGTTGACCAAGGAGGAAAAGAACGAACGAGAGATCATGGAGCATCTTCTGAAAATCAAGAATGGAACACCGCCGATGCGCAAGAGTGGTCTCAGAAAGATAACTGAAAATGCGAGAAAGTACGGAGCCGGCCCGTTGTTCAACCAAATTCTTCCACTTCTGATGTCGCCGTCTTTGGAAGATCAAGAGAGACACTTGATGGTGAAAGTCATCGATCGTATTCTTTACAAATTGGATGATCTGGTCAGACCGTACGTCCACAAGATTCTTGTCGTCATCGAGCCGCTTCTTATCGACGAAGACTACTACGCTAGAGTGGAAGGTGAGAACAGTCGAATTCAGATGAAATAAACGCATATTGTGTTCAGGACGAGAAATCATCTCCAATCTTGCTAAAGCTGCCGGATTGGCAACGATGATTTCCACGATGAGACCGGATATCGACAACGTGGATGAGTAAGACCCTTCTGAATCCTGAATGGAGTTTACCCTTATGCATTGCAGATATGTCCGTAACACAACTGCTCGTGCATTCGCCGTCGTCGCTTCGGCACTCGGCATTCCCGCCTTGCTGCCTTTCCTGAAGGCCGTGTGCAAAAGTAAGAAGTCTTGGCAGGCGCGTCACACTGGTATCAAAATTGTGCAACAGATGGCCATTCTGATGGGATGTGCTGTCCTCCCGCATCTGAAGTCACTTGTCGATATCGTCGAGACCGGATTGGATGACGAACAACAAAAGGTAGACTGACAAATAGACGTATTTAGATTGTTCTGTTCTTCCAGGTTCGTACCATCACTGCTCTCTGTCTGGCTGCTCTTGCTGAAGCATCTGCTCCGTATGGAATTGAAGCTTTCGATTCAGTTCTGAAACCACTCTGGAAAGGAATTCGCATGCATCGTGGAAAGGGACTCGCCGCCTTCCTGAAGGCCATTGGATACCTCATTCCTTTGATGGACGCCGAGTACGCTTCGTACTACACAAGAGAAGTTATGCTCATTTTGATCCGTGAGTTTGCGTCTCCCGATGAAGAAATGAAGAAAATTGTGTTAAAGGTGAGTATCTCGCATTTTCCTCTCCGTTTTTTTTCTTTCCAAATTTCAATCTTACAGGTTGTGAAACAATGTTGTGCGACTGACGGAGTTGAAGCCAGCTATATTCGTGATGAAGTACTTCCGAGTTTCTTCAGAGCTTTCTGGAATCAGAGAATGGCCATGGACCGAAGGAATTATAGGCAATTGGTCGACACGACTGTTGAGATTGCTCAGAAAGTTGGTTGTGTCGAGATGATCGCACGAATCGTCGATGATCTAAAAGATGAGAATGAGCAGTACCGCAAGATGGTCATGGAGACGATTGAAAATATTGTGGCTTTGCAAGGCGCAAATGAAATAGACGCGCGTCTTGAAGAGCAGCTCATCGACGGTCTCCTCTATGCTTTCCAGGAGCAGACACAGGAAGACTCTGTTATGCTCGATGGATTCGGGACGATCTGCTCCAGTCTCGGACGCAGAGCCAAGGCTTACGTCCCCCAAATTTGCGGAACTATTCTTTGGCGTCTCAACAACAAGTCGGCCAAAGTACGACAACAGGCAGCTGATCTGATTGCTCGAATCGCTCCTGTGATGCACATGTGTGAAGAGGAGAAGATGATGGGACACATGGGAGTCGTTCTCTACGAATATCTCGGAGAAGAGTATCCAGAGGTGCTCGGATCGATTCTCGGTGCACTGAAAGCAATTTGCAATGTTATCGGAATGACCAAAATGACCCCTCCAATCAAGGATCTTCTCCCGAGATTGACTCCGATTTTGAAGAACAGACACGAGAAAGTACAAGAGAATTGCATCGATTTGGTTGGAGCCATCGCTGACAGAGGATCCGAGTTCGTGTCGGCCCGTGAATGGATGCGCATCTGCTTCGAACTGCTTGAGCTGCTCAAAGCACACAAAAAAAGCATTCGACGTGCCGCCATCAACACTTTCGGATTCATCGCCAAAGCCATCGGACCGCACGACGTACTGGCCACGCTTCTCAACAATCTTAAAGTGCAGGAGAGACAACTGCGTGTTTGCACCACGGTTGCCATCGCAATAGTTTCCGAGACTTGTGCTCCGTTCACCGTGCTCCCAGCCATCATGAACGAGTACCGTGTTCCAGAGATCAATGTGCAAAACGGAGTTCTGAAGGCTTTGTCGTTCATGTTCGAGTACATTGGAGAAATGGCGAAAGACTACATCTACGCAGTTGTTCCCCTTCTCATTGATGCTTTAATGGAGAGAGATCAGGTGCATCGGCAGATTGCAGTTGATGCCGTCGCCCATCTCGCCATCGGAGTGTACGGATTCGGATGCGAGGACGCTTTGATGCACTTGCTCAATTATGTGTGGCCAAACATGCTCGAGAACTCACCGCATCTCATTCAAAGATGGGTGTTTGCGTGCGAAGGAATGCGTGTCTCGTTAGGACCAATCAAGGTATATTTTTGGGAATTAAAGGATATCATTAAAAAATCTGTTTCAGGTTCTCCAATATTGTCTCCAAGCACTGTGGCATCCAGCTCGAAAAGTTCGAGAGCCAGTGTGGAAGGTACTTTTTTCAGAAACGAATTGGACCTGTTGCAAAAATAGTATTATTTCAGGTGTTCAACAATCTGATTCTCGGTTCTGCGGACGCTTTGATCGCTGCTTATCCTCGAGTTGAGAACACAGAAACGAATGAGTACGTTCGTTACGAATTGGACTACACGCTGTAAACTGCACAGTGCAAACAATGATGATCGGATCTCTCTCTCTCTCTCTGTCTCTGAATTATTCCCTTTTCCAGCCGAAATATCATTTAGTTTTATCCCCACCTCTTCTCTTCCCGCCCCCGTCTACCATCTAAACACTGTTGTTTTGGTTGTTTTCTTTACTTCGTTCCTTTTTGTCTCCCACAGACTTCTCTCTTTTCAAGACAAGCTCTTTCCTATCTTATTTATCTAATCGTCCCATTTGTTTAACACTCTTCAGTGAGCTCCTTCACCCTATTCTCCCCATTCAATATAAAATAAAGACATGTCAAATTCAGACTGTTTCTGATACTTGAAGTCGAAAATCAGTTGTCTTTTCTCTTCGTATTACTTCCTTATATTTTCTAGTTTCTTTTTGACACCCTTTCAATGCGCTTTGTTCAGCCGACTTACAAGAACAGAAAACGCGAAAAGAAAACGGGTAAAAAGGCCGCAGAGGAAGCGGTGGACGGATGTCTTTCGAAATAGCGCTGGAAGCGGATGAGCACATGGAGGTGCCGTCCACATCCACGGCGCGGCCCGTTCCTCCCGAGACTCTGCCTTCTCCCCATGAGGTCCCAGAGCCGCCGCTCACTGCTTCGGTTGCTCCCGATGCCTCGCTGAACGGTATTTTCATCGAGGAAAAGAGGCCGACGTGGAAAGCACGGATTGTCTATCACACGGTCGACAAATGTCCGCATTGCGATCCCGTGAAAAAGCCAATGTGCAACAAAGTCGAGGAGCACATGGCAGTAGTTGTGGTGAGCAGAAAAGGGAAAGGTGCTGCCCCGAATCGGAACTTCCCGAATCAGAACTGGTACGAATCAGAACTATTTTCAGTGCTAATTGGTTCTGATTCGGGAAGTTCCGATTCGGGGCAACACCAACTGAAATGAGCTCCTGACACTTTCCTTTTCAGCACGACAGTTCATTGCCGTGCCAATTCACGAAGCCGTGCTACGTCACAGTGTCAAAAACGGACGACTCGAACACGGAACACTCGCTCTCCTTCTACATTCAGACAATAATCTTGGCAGAAGCGAAGAAGGTGAACAGTGCGGGCAGCATCCACCGGAACTCATCCAGCAATCGAAACTCACACATTCTCGACAACAGCGAACATAAGGATCTAATGGCGGAATTAGAAGGTGAGGAAGGGAAGAAATCATTGACTGAGCGAAAGTTATCTTTCTTTTCCTGCAGTTATTTCGACGATCTCATTGGTCAAGGGAGCGCCAGGACTCATAACGAATCGGATAGATTTCCTGAAGGCGAACGACATCGTCACGTGCACTTTGGAAAGCATCGAGACCGTCTCGCTGGATAATGTTCAGCTGACGTTCCGAGAGCTGTACATGAGTCGAGCGGACATGTACAGATACCGCAGCTGTCTCGTCGGACGGATGACGTACGTGGACGAGCAGAAGAGACATCTGAACATCAACACGCGCGTCTCCGATTTGTGGCGGAAGGGATCGCTAGTTCGGAGTGGATTCGTTACCGACAAGACGAGAGTGGTGTTCCGATCCAGTTCGAGCACGGTGCTGATATTCATTCAAATGTGTTCCGAGATGACTCAAATCGATCCACAGGGAGACCTGTACCTGGAGAAGTGCATCAAAGGCTTTCTGACAGATTTATTCCAAAAATGGAGAGAACAATCGTGCACTCACTACGTTTCCATTATTCTCTGCTCAAGATTCTATGCGGTGAGATTAGTCGGAGAACAACATTTCAACTATTTGCAAATTCAGATCAAAGGAGTTGACGACGCAGCGAAGAAGACAATGACCGGAGCTTGCGACCATCGCGGACGATATTATCAGGACTTTTACCGTTTGCTTATTCAGAATGAGCACTACGAAGACTGGTTAGACACTCTCAAACAGGTACACGCTGTCGGCAACCCACAAACTCTCCCGTCGTTTCCAGATCAACCTGGGCTGTACATCCTACACTTCACAGATCCAGACCATGCTGAAGGAGCAGCTGCCGCATGTTCAATTCGAGATTTCAACGGCCGCCGATGGAAACTTTCTGCAAGTGGTGAATATGAGCATGAATTCGTTCAGCATGTACCACACTGACCGGCGCTTTGAAACCACTGGACAACAGGTAACTTAACCTCATCCAGCATTTCCAGACCCCCTTTTTCTTTCAGATCATTTTTGTCACTCCGGGAAATGGCGTCCTGCACGTCGACCGTGATCTGGTCGGATTGACAAAGCAGAGAGTGATCGATATGGGCATCTCCCTGGATATGGTTTGTCTCGGAGAACAGCCGCTGCACGCCGTCCCACTCTTCGTATTCCATCCGATCGTCGGACAGCAAGAGGATAAGAACGAGTACTTCATTCCACATTGGATGAACTATTCCTACTATCGGACGGTCAAACGAAGCGCCATTTATGTGCAATTCAGTCCTCGAATTCAGCTTCCCGCTGACGTCCTTTCTGCTCCCAAAAAGATGATAATGGGACAGACGACCTTTGGCAATTGGCAAACGGATGAATATGATAAGGAGTACGACAAGAATAAGCTGGAAAAAGTGTGCGCAGCAATACAACTGCTGCCGAAAGAAGAGGCGAATGACGATGACGAAATTGTCGTTGATGCTCCGAAAATGGGAAAACGATGGCTGCGCGAGCTGCTCGGACTGCCATTGGATCTGGATGGGGTCAAAGGCGAACCTTTGCAAGACGAACTGCTCCCAGTTCCGGCTCCGATTTCGAAAAATGCTCCGCCTCCGCCACCTCTTCCACCTCTTCAACGTTTTCCTCCTCCATCTGCGCCGCCACCTTCAAGAAGAGTCAGAGAAGAAATTGAAGCGAACGAAGACTTTGAAGAACCTCCGAAAGAACCGGAAAGTCCGACTGGATCGGGGCGTCCTGTTTCTGCTGCCAAGGACATTCAGAAACCGTCGCCGTACAAGGCTCTCCCGCCTGTGGTTCAAAATTCAGGTAACGCGTGGAATCTTGATCAGGTACGTTCTGAATATTCGATTCTAACCGTCGACGTCAATGTTTTAAGCAAGATTCCCCTCGATCAGACCCCTACGATTCACCGAGACTGCCAGCCGGTTCCATCGGATCCATCGAAACCGCATCATGTAAGTGTAATCAAAAAGTTGCAGATTTCGGCCAGATTCTCTTCTCCTCACAGTAATATTCATCCGGTCTCTTTCTATTTTAGCTGCCTATACGAAATTGCATGTTCGTGCCGCAATGAACGCAGCTTCTCGTCAAGGAACCGCCGACGCAATTCAGCCAATCCGCCCGGATCCCGATTTGACGATTTGGAAGAGACCCGAGACCAACCAGCTGATAAATCCGTTCCGTCCGGAAGACTTCGCAGTTCAAGTCACTGCCAACCGGCGCCGATGGATCCACGTGTTCCCGATGGACCAAGAAGGAAAGTCAAAACTGGCACATCACTACGTCGCAGGACAAAGCATTGTGCACATAGTCGGCGCTCCAGAAGACCACAAGAGAATCGTCGCACGTATGTTTACTCTGAAATTCTTGTAATTAATTCCTGATAGTTTTAGAAATCGGTCTGGCTGCGTTGGAATCGTCTCGTTCTCCTCCAGAAGTACTGTCGACGAGCAAGAGTCCTGAAAACGTGCTCTCGACGTCTGGAGGTGTCGTGAAAGTGTCCTCTAAACCAGGTTCCGGTGGAAACTCGAGCAAAAGATACAAAGTGTGGGCCTGGGGAAGTACCGGAGAAGAGAAGTGGAATGTCGATTTGGAAATCGGAACGGATTGGAAATCGCTCGTCAGATCAGCCCTTCTGCCCATTACCACTGACTTTTTCCCGGACGGACAGACTCTTCAGTTGATGTTCAATGTTCACGAGTACAGCGTTCAGTGCATGGAAATAGACGAACAGGCTTATCGATACGGGCTGTACGAGCCAGACGGCTCCAGATCGCCAGATGAAGAGACGATCACAGGCAGTCTGACATCGCACGGATTCCGACGCGTCAGGGAGAAAGAGAAGCCGTCAATGACTCAATTGGTCTATCAGCAACTGATTCTGCAACGTCTCCAGCGTGGATATCAGATTGTTCTTCTTGATAAGAGTCTCGTAGAATTGAGTTGTGAAGCTGTCAAAGCATCGACGAATCGTATCGAAAAGACGAGCCTCCCCAAGTCTCCTAACGAAAGAAGCGAGGAAAGAAGGGAAGAGAGAAGAATCGGGCGGCGACCACTGGAACTCGAGATCGTGCTCTCATTCAACAAGTTCTATCACAGACTGAAGATGGACGAGGAGAACAAACAGGTGCACGTTACGACGTTCCGTCCGAGAGACGCAATGCCGGAGGAAGTGGATGGCTTCCCGGGGTGGTGTGAAAGACCGTCAATCGAGACTGATTCGTATGAGGAGAGTCCGTTCGATGCGGACGCACGCGATGACGAACTCAACTCGCGTTACTTTAACACAGTCTACTCTTACTACTTCCAGGTTGGTCGCGTAGAACACTCTCTCCATTCCAATTAATTATTTTCTACAGGTGCCGGATGCGCCCACTTACGAGAAGAGTACCACTAAACTACGTCATCATGGTCTTGACAAATTGAACTGGTCACAGTTTGACGTCGCCTTCCGAAACATTTTCGACGATAATCTTTACGCGGATTCAATGAAATGCTTCTCCGCCACATTTCTCGTAGTGCTTCACCCCTCCGATATTCTGAAAACGAAACTTGAAGTGAAGCAAGGGAAAGGGCAAGGAATTCAGTTCAGAGATCCGAAAGAGTTCGAAGCGCCGAACGAGGCGTGGTACTCGAGACTGACGAAGTTGCTGCTGCTGATGAACAAGCTACAGTACACGAGGACACCGCCCGATCCGAGTTCGTTGAAGGAAAGGGAGAACAAGTTGAAGAAGGACGACATCTCGATGAAAAACGTAATGGATGAGTTCAAAGAGAGCCCGTATGTCGGATTGGTCAGTACGAATGAGAAGCAGATGACCGTCAAGCATCCGAAAGACATGTTCGTCATCTACGACTTTGCCCTTTGGCTCAGACGTAAGAGGGACTTCTTTCCGTCTTTTATCCCGTCTTCATTCATTTTCAGACAACGTGGAAGGAATAAACAATCCGAAAAAAGCGATGAACTACATCCGCAGAGTGGAAGAAATTGGACGTATTCAGGTTATCACCACGAGTAAGCTACACGAAGAATGCCCGTGTTAAGCCCCTAATGAAGTTTCAGAAACTCCTAACAATCCGGAATCGATCATGTATGTGTCGGGACTCCGAAAGAGAGGAGTTCACTACGGCTTCCAGTTGTGCCATATTGCTGATCCGGAAGTTACCATTACGAATATGAAAGTGTCTCGCTTCATGATGGTCGAGTACTCGTACAAGATTTGCGACGAGGATGAGACTGAATGCGTATGGAAGCAACACGGAAGCATCGACATGGAACTGGCTCCTTCTACAGCCGACTCACCACTGGGAGAGTGGACCAGAGTGAGAGAGAAGTGAAAAGAATCGCCTGTAAAGAGAACTTCAGATATACTACGACCACTGGTTCTATCCGGACACTGCCTTCCGGTTCACAATGAAATGGGTGATGGCGACAGGTCAAACGGTGGCCGACACGGTGCTCTCCTGGTTCAACAAAGCATCCAAACAGGGAATGTCTCTGTATCCGGTGCCGGAAGATCCGTTCGCTCTTGCTCAAGACACTGACTCGAATCCGCTGAGATGTCCCATCAGAATACATATGAAAGAAGGCGTCATTGAGCACGAAGACGAACGGGAATTCCTGCTGAGAATCCTGTTCCGTTTCGGGTTCATTGACATTGGCTGCAATGTGAAACATGATTTCTCCTCGCCTCGTACCGAATCTTCGTCCTCCGAGCACGCGAGACTCCTGTTCTCATCCCCGTCACCGACTGGAAAGGCGACTGATGATGATCAAGATGACACCAAATCTCTGAATTACATCCATCAAGCTGGAGGAATGTTCATTTCTCTTGTGTTGTCTGATATTCAACGCACACCGCCCTTCTTCTATTGGGCTTGGAATCACATGCTCAGCAACCGATACAGAGGGTCAGTTTCTCACCTTCCCTCCTCTTTTCTCACTTCCTATTTTCAGACAGTGCTCTGAAAAGTTCCAAGACTATCTGCTCTCCGAGTTTCGTACTGTTTGCTCCGACACGGACGGCGTGCTCACAAGGCTCTACGCAGAGTTCCTTGAGGAAAAAGCGGAGCGGATGGCGCGTCAGCGCATCTCAACACCTCCGACGTTCGAATGAATCTCGTGTGCCATCTGATGTATTTAGCACCCTTTCATCTCTATTCTCCCCGCATTTCTCTTCACTTCTTCACTTTCAGATCACCTCAATTTTAGCCCGATTAGTTTTACTAACCCCCGTGCCTACCGTATTCCATGTGTGTTGAGCAGAACGATCCGAAGCTCCGCCCTCGCCTTGCTTCTTTCTCCATGATTTTGTATATTCATCTTATTTTATTTTTACTAATCCCTCAAGATCGTCCGCCCACGCATCAAACACATACCCGAATACAATTAATTGCCTTTTAACGAGTTTAGTATTTTTTTATCAGTCCAGCCCGTCTAGAGTTTAATTGTATTATGCTTTTTCTTGTCCTCTATGTTCTATTTCTCTTTTCACAGTGGTGATTTCTATTTATTTTCGGTGTTTTTTGGCGGCTCATTTTCTCTTGTTTTCTTACGTTTTTCTGAGGGTTTCATGCTATCATTATCCGTCATTTTTTGCACTTTTAGTGAATTTTAGTCTTATTATTATTCGTTTTCCTGAAATTATTATCGGTGTCCTTCTCGCCTCATAGTACTTTTGAAAAAGGATGCCATTAGAATCAGACTCCAGAATCTTCATTGAGATGCTCTTCGAACTAGACGTATTTCCACTATGCTTGAAATCAAACGGCGACGGGACTCGTCTTGTCGTTGGATGTGTTGACGGAACTGTCCGATTCTACGATACGACAGGAGACGAACAGTTCGAAGAGTTCTGGACATTCAAGACGAAGAGCAGTATCCGAGCAGTCGACATTGATGAGAAAAGCGGAAAAGTATATGCGGTGACGAAAAATAAAGCACTTTGTGTGTTCGATATCGAGACTGGAAAAAGGTACATTACTCTTGACAAGTACAAGAAAACGACTGAATTTCTCAGAATCCGCTGCATTCTGAAGTGTCACTCGTCCACCCCTTCCGCCATTTGCACTCTTCCTGCGTCCGCTCTCAAGTCACAACAACTGGCGACTGCCGACGAATCCGGTGAAGTGAGGACGTGGAATTTGGATGCGGAAGAACCGATGATCCGGAAGTGGAACGAGCAGGAAGAAGAGATCAACGAGCTGAAAGTCGATGTGAAAACGAATCTTTTGGCGACGTCATCAGATGGAACTCTCGGAGCGTATGATCTGAGAAAAGGAAAGTTCAAGGTGCGGAGCGAAGTGATGCACTCAGAACTGTTCGGAGTTTGTCCGACGGAAAGATCGGTGTACGTGGGCGGAGAGGACGGATACGTGGAAGTTTTCAAACTGAACGAATACGGAAATCTTCTCGAACGAGTCGAGAGTGGTTTCGAAATGGGAGTGAGTGGCATTGTGGAACTGCGAACTGGGTTGCTCGGATTGACGAGTCAGGGAAGTAACAGAATGAGACTTTTGAACGTGATGCCCTCGAAACGACTAGGATTCGCTGGATGTCACGGCGACGAGAAGAACGATGACGACGGAATTGATGCGATTACGGTGAGAACGAACGGATCCGAACACAAACATCCACGTTTTCAGATCTCTGCTGACAAATCGACAGTGTACACTATGATCTCGATGAGTAGAACCATTAAAAAGTGGGAAATGGAAGCGATTACGCAAAAGATTCCCGTACTGAGAGCACAAGATGCAAAGAAGAAGAAGAATCAGAAATTGGAGGGATTCTTTGACGAAATGGTCGAGAAGAAAGACGAGGATTCCGATGACGAGCCGAAGAGCAAGAAGAGAAGAGAAAATGATTCAGATGATTCGGATTTAGAAGGAGAGGATGAGGAGGAGGAAGAAAGTGGAGGAGAAAACGAAGAAAAAGAGGAGGAGGAAGGGGAAGACAGCGATTAGGCCAGTGTGATTCATATTTCACGTTTTTATCCATTTTTTAATATTTATAATTTTGTTGTTCTCGTTTGTTGTCGTTGTTGTTGTTGTTGCTTTCCTTTCAAAAAAAAAACTGAACTGCCACGTCTCCGAGATACTTATTCTCGTCTTTGTTTTTGGTTGAATCCCATGAAATTCCTCATCGAAATATTCTTCTTCTCTACAACTCGTTTTCAGATGGCCTCCACCTCGTTAGAATTCATTCCCTGTGGAATCTGCGGAGTCGAGCGGAAAGAGCCGTACAAATGTCCCAGATGCTCCATTCTGTACTGCAGTCTCCAATGCTACCGAAATGTGAAACACTCGGAGTGCTCTGAAAAGTTTTACCAAGAGCAAGTGCAGAGGGAACTTTCTGGCAAGAAGGCGGATATGAGTCACAAAGGCGAAGAATATAGAGAGAAAATGCAAAAGTTCCTCGACGGAGATTGGAGTGGCATCGAAGAAGGTGAACTTCTGGACTCGGATGACGACGAGGAAGGACGGAATCACGATCACGACTGGCAAAGAGAAGAGGACGAGGCGATGAAGAAGACTGTCCAGGACACAATTGACGACTACGAAATGGACGACGGCGAAATTGAGAGACGGATGATTGCCCTCGGATTATCGGATGACGTCGACGAACTTCTGAACACTTTGACGCCAGAAGAACGGGAAACTTTCAAGACACTGGCTTCGCAGATGCAGGAGGAAGAGCTCGGACTCAGCAATTCTTGTTTCGCCCCTCAATAAATTATTTGTCTTGTGTGGGATCCGTTCTCGTCCCCGATTTATTTCGGTGGTCCACCGTCTCATATCTTCTTCCCTTTCACTCTACCAATTCCCGTTTCCCATTTCAGATGTTGTCCAGACGGTGTGCCGCGCTTCTCTCCCACTGCATGGCTCGACGAGCACTTCCGGCGGTCGCTGGAGTTGCCACGTCATCGGAAGCCCAAGTCGTGGACACTGGCCGTGTGCAGAAGGAGGTGTTCAAATCGATCTCAGAAGAAGTGACTGAGACGAAGAGACAGCGACTCTTCGCCGTCGTTTATATTAATGGCAGACAGTGGAAAGTCAGTGACGGAGACCTCATCAATCTGGAGGGCAATCTTCCGCTGAACGTGGGCGACGAGATCAAGCTGGAGAAGGTTCTGATGGTCGGCGGTGCGAATTTCTCGCTCTTCGGTCGTCCGCTCCTTGACTCCTCTGCCGTTTCCGTGAATGCCGTCGTCGTTGAGAAGAAGACCACATCGCCGGAGCTCGAATACGTTCACCTCAATCATCATCAGACAAAAATTGTCAGATGTAAGCGAAATAAGAAGGAATTCCCATTATTTAATATAATATTTTCAGGGAAAAGCGACGAGGCGACGGTGCTGCGAATTAAGAGTGTGACGGCGAAGCAGGTCGATCAATAATTAATTATCATGATTTATTCCCTTTGTGTTTGTTTTTTTCTATCGTTCTCTTTCTAGGCTAGTTTCAATACTTTTTCGTTTTCTCTTCATAAATTTTTCTTCTTGCACCGAATTTCGAAATGTTGGCCAATTTGGTTGACGACAGAGGGAGGGGCAAACAAGGGAGTGAAAAGGGCTCAATCGAAGGTTCGTCTCGACCCAACTGAAATGGTATTCGGGTTCTTTTCTACGTCGGTCGATCCGCCCGCTCTGATTTTCATGGGCGAGCACCAGAAAGAGAACGAACGTCTGCTGAGGGTGATCCAATTTGAGATCTGTCGTTCCAAAGGGCACTTTCAGATGGAATTCTCTGATGACGTGTGGTTCCACGTGGAGAATCTGTCGTCCGCCCACGTTTACCTCCGGATGCCACGTGGAATGTCGATCGAAACGATACCTGAGCAACTTGTGAGTCTGTGTCTAAAATCAAAAAACGAGCAAAGTTTCAGCTGGAAGAATGCTGTCAACTGGCGAAGAAGAACTCAATTTCTGGATGTAAACTGGACAGCGTTTCGATTGTTTACACAATAAAAGCGAATCTGAAGAAGGAAAAGGGAATGGCTGACGGACAGGTTCGTGAGAAAAACCTGATAATCACGGAATTATTGAGCATTTCCAGGTTGGATTCCATAAAGTGCATTTGGTGCGGAAAAGGAAAACCGACAAGAATAATGGAATTGCAAAGCGATTGGAGAAGACGCGATGGAGAGAGAGAATAGCCGATTCATGAAGTGTTTGCACTTGAATCGCTCATTATGTCCTCATGAGGAATATCGCGAATATCCGTAGTCGTATCTTTTCGGGGCCATCTCCGATTGCGAGGATACATCGAGTTCGGAATCGAAATGAACCAAAAACCATCGGGTGGCATCAATTCGATGAGTGCCCTCATTATCTCTTCCGTGGAAGATTCTGGACACACAATTGTTTCAGATGTTCTCTTTTTAATGTTTTCCTTTATTGGTCTCACTGAATGGAACAATTTACGCCTTTTTCAGATTAATTTCCTTTCCTGTCTCGATGTTCACGTATTTGTAATGAATCTGTCAGCAATTTCCTGTAGTTTGTCTGGCCACAAATCATACTATTTTCGCTCTATTTTCTCATTTCTCTTCGGAACTTTCGAAAATCGTCTGCGGTACAGCACTTAAATACGCGCATTTGCACGACTACAAAGTAGACACGTTTATTCATTAAACACAATCGAAAACGTCACTTCCACTCACAAATCACAGAACGATTTTGTTCTTTTTGAGTGCAATTGATCAAAGATTAATGGAAGGAAAAGTAGAATTAATTCACTAAAGATTGGGGACAGCTCAGAACGAAGAAGTCCTTAACTTGAAACTGCTATCAGCAAGTTCTACCTCCTCGTTTCCAACTTGATCCTCATAAGCCCTTTCTAATTGTTCTCTGCCTCTTTCCTCTCGTGTTCGCCGTCATTCGCCGTCATCTCACTACAAATCGATCTGCTGATAAAATGCGAATGAAGCAAAGTTTCGACCGGCTAGACGCTCGACACTTGAGAGTGTAGCCTACACTTGGTCAGAGTCATCTGTTGATAAAAGTCTCTTTTCATCGATTAGCGTCCTTTGTCACTTTGATTCTTTTTGAAACTTTTGTGGGTAACCTTTCTGTTCGAGTTCCACTTTCTCCCTTGTCTCTCGAGTTCATTGAATGATTGGTCTTCTCGTAATTCAAAGATGTCCCCCAAAATGTTCTGTCGGATAACAAGAATAATAATGAAAGAGTGGAGAATAGAGAAGCATCGTTGTCACGTCAACCGAAAGGGAATTCTGTTTCAGTGACGCCTGATTTTGTGGAGAGACTAAAAGAGGATAAGCTCACTTTTTGATCTCGGATAAACAAAGCGCAGAGCAGCCGAAAACAACATGCGGACGGGCATAATCCTATACTTGAAAAGAGAGGAATACTGCCAATTATCAGATGGATAGAGTCTAGTCAAGACGACGACTTTCAGAACTTTGGATTCTGTCGAACCACTGAAAGGTCTCATTTCCTCTCCCAATTCAATAAACCACGTCGATTTTCTGTTTTCATGGTAATGCAAATTTCGACTTCGCTGCCCGTTCTCTTTTGTTCGAAAACAGCCGTTCGGCGGGGTGAAAGGTATACATTTTTCACAGGATTTCGTATGATTTTAAATCAGAAATTTCGGATTAACTGAGCGCCCCAAGTTTTGACGGCTTTTAGAATTTTAGAACAGCCGTTCATGTTCTGCGCAGAAAATGGAGAATTGGGTAGGCCGTAGCCGCCACGTGGCCGAACACGACTACATCAGCATCACTTTGGTGCCTGAATTCTTCTGCAAAAAGAAGACGAAGAAGGAGAAGAAGTGGAATCTCTCCATCTCTCTCCCTTTCACTATTTCTCTCTCTCTTCTTTCTCTCTCTCTCTCTCTAAAGATCAACAACCTTTTTGGCGGCGCTCCCTGTCCGCCTGCGTCTCTCTTTGTCTCGCTATTTCGCCGCATCGGACGAGGTTTTGTGTCCTCCGAATCACCTTGCCCCCGTCTTGCTCTCTCGCTTCTTCTCTCTTCGTCTCCTTCCTCCCTCTCTCTCTTCCTTACTCTCCCATTTCCCTTCGCAACTTTGCTCTCAACTCATTACGATTATGCCTGGCACAAAAAAGAAAGAGTCGGTCCCTCTCCTTTTCCGCTTTTCTGAACTCTCTGATCCTTTCGCTATGACGTGGAAACGCCTACAGTAATCCGGTGATTGGGTTAATTAGTGATGATAATGACATTCGAGGACCGAAATTTCACGTTCGCCCGACTCCCGGACATTGCTTTTCACTAGCCAATTGAAATAATCCCTCCCCAAATAGTCACCGACCGACCGTTCTTGATCTTTGTCTCGGTTCTCGCTTGCTTTTTCGTGAAATTCTATCTCGAAGGTCGCAGATCAAGATGCAGATGCGGATCTTGGACATCTGGACCCGAAATTTACACTGCACATGTTTTATTCCAACTGGAAGACACTGAAAGTTTCAGTTCATTTCGCCCAGAAGCCTCACAAGCTTTGCGTCGGATTCATCGAAGAGAAACAAGTGACAAAGTTCGCTTTTAAACATTCGTCACTCTTCTCGATGGGGCTCGCTTCTCATTTTGATACGCCTTGAACTGAAATGGACTTTCCAGAGGCACAAAGGTTTCTTTCTTTTCACACGTTCTCGAACATGCTCGCAGGCGGCAAAAGATCTCAGTTCTTGCTGTGTTTGTTCACGATCTTCCTCCCGACTCTCTCTGTCTCTCTCTCTCTCTCTCTCTCTCTTTCTCTCTCTCTCTCTCTGTCTCTCTCTCTGTCTCTCTCTCTCGGCCCATTTTTCAGTGACGGAATAGCTATCACCGAATCAAGGTGTGTCTATGAGGACAAATAAGGTTACCCTGCTCCGCTCTTTCTCATTTAATCTTTCGCCTCTTATCACAAACGCTTGCTCCTTTTTCCATGTGATTCGGTTTGCTCCCTTCCCCAAACCTATATTATAGTCTTCTAATTAAATTTCAATTTCTGGATTACCGGGAGCTAGAATGATAACTATAAAATAAATCATTAGAAATAATCGGATCCGGTCCCGAACCGCTAATTGATTTTCCTCAGCTCTCCGGATCCCGTGAAACCTGATTCCCCTAGGAAACACTTCCATTCTCATTTTCCTGCTTTTTTGGCCTCTTTTTTATTTGTCAAATGAAAAATCTACGGAATGAGCACCCGAAAAAGAGGCAAATTCATTCGGAATAGAAACACGAGTTGACATCAGAGTTCTAGTAATATTTTCGACTTGAAAAGCTGTAGAAATGCACCTGCCTTCTCCTTATCGCTGGACTTTTAGTTTCTAGAGCACTGTTCTCATTAGAGCGCGCTTCATCCTCCCGAGAATCCACATTACAGCTATTGTCGCCTTCTCTTTCTCGCAAATGCCTTCCAGATGCGCTTCTCCTGCCTTCCCATTTTCTGAACTTTCCGGTCATTTCGCTTCTCGTTTTCCCATAATAATCAGGCGGAAACCTGAGCAGAGAGCGAGAGAATCAGACGGGAAAGTGGTCGAGATGTGGCCATTTACTGGTACACTTCGGCCGCTTCCCTTCTCATTCGCACATTGTGCTAAATAATGTTACTAATGTTTATTCCAGCTACGTGACCATCCTTATCGGCGATGCTTTCCTTTCTTTCTCTGCACTCTCTCACTCTGCCACACTCTCTCGCTTCCCACCGCTCTCTTTTCAATTCCACTCCATCGAACATTCCAATCAAAAACCGTTTGTTTTATTTCATAAAAATGGCGCTTAAAGGGTAGAACTTTATAAAACATTATGACAAGGCTTTTGTTGATATATACAATAGCTACAGTAGGAGAGAAAGGCGCCCGCCCAGAGCAAATCAGAATAAAAGCAGGGGAGTGAATGCAGAATTCTGAATCAGAAGGGATTCGCCTAGACTACCCAAATCCTTCATCTTTCCTAGACTTCTCATTTTTTCGGCCCCGCCCTCCACTTGAATCTTGATCCGTTCCCTGACTTTTCTCGAAAATTTCGAGCAAAAAAAGAGGATTCAGGCGATTAGATCGACCGTTTCCAATCCTTTTCTCTCTCCTCCGGGCATTCATTTCACTCATGAAATTCAAGATTCGGTCGTCATTCCGTCCTCCGAAATTCGATGCTTTTCCTATGGTTCTTCTTGATGAAGTGCCAAAGATCTTGGTGCCCTTTTCCATGAAACCACTGATTTGCAGGACGGTGAATGAGAACAGAGCGGTCGGGTGGCTTCAGTGGCATTCCGGCCACGGCGAAATGTCTCGTCTGCGAGCATCCGGACGGCGGATCCGCGCACTTCGGAAGCACTTCCTGCCTCGCCTGTGCTGCCTTTTTCCGGAGGACCGTATCGTTGAACATTCAATTTCATTGCAAGAAGGACAATAACTGCATCATTTTCCATGGTGAGAATATTAGTTTCAGCATCGGTTTGAGCATTCCTTCAGAACTGAGAATGATCTGCCGGGCGTGCCGATTCGACAAGTGCGTAAAGGCTGGAATGCGGAGAGAATGCGTTCAAAAGAGGCGTTCCAACAAGAAAGTGCCGAAGAAACACATGCTGAGGGAGGACCAGATCAAAATGGAAATTGACGATTCAAAGTTCGAATGCATTGCAGGTACTCAGAACTGTTTAGAACAACGAAGATCATAATCTCGTGGCTTTTCTTGCAGAACAGACGGACGACAATTCGCCTCTGTCGATCGAAAAGAAATCTCCGCCGGGTCTGAATCCGAACGACAGTCCGCTCATGAATGAATGCGTACGATCCATCTGCTCACATTCCCAATTCTAAGTTCTCAACTTTCAGAAATTCGATCCGAGTGAGTTTCCGTCTACGAGCTCCGCCAGTTTGCCGAATATAAGTAAGCAAAACTTGAATACTCAAAAGTAAATTTAATAATTTCAGTTCATACAAGTCAATTATCCGCCGAGAAAGGCTACAAGTGGATTAATATGAATGGAGAGGAACTCCTCAGGCTTTATGTGGACCAACTGAAGCTCTCAATGGATCGACGGAGGATGATGTTCACGGAGACGGCGCTGATGGCTGTGGTCGAGGAGCGCGGAGACATGCCCTTCGACTCCTCCAATCCGCCTCCGCACTCACTGAAGAGACAATATGAATCTCAACGATTCGACAACATGCTCGCCTTTGATTTCTGCAAAGCGTGTCCTGGATTCGAGGGCTTCAACTCAATGGAGAGGGGAATATTCTACCGGTCCTGCTCTCTCGCCTATTGTCTTTTGGACATTGCCTGGATTACAGTACAGGCGTACAAAGAGGAGGCGGACAATCCGGCGATGATGTACACGGACGGAAGCATTTGCACTGTGAACGACATGTCCTACGGATGGGACGACGAGGATGACATTTGTGCGCAAGAGAAGAAGAAGTGAGTGGGAATGTGCGCTCCGATTCGAACAACTCATGAAGCTTCCAGACTGTTCTTCGCGTTCGTTGGTCGTTTTAACGATGCAGTGTGTCGTCCGATCAGGAGTTTCAATTTGACGCACGTGGAGTTTGCAGCATTGAAAGCACTGTGCATTTGGAAGTTAGGTCAGTCGTTTTCTTTTAAATACTCATTGCCTCATCACGAATTTGACGGTTTCTTTTCTGCGATGATCCTCTGACATCGTCGAAAGTTTCCAGTGTTTCCAGGCTACTGCGAGTACACGAATAAGATGAAAGAAGTGGGACAGGACCACCAGGCGGCACTGCTCAGCGGACTCAGCAACTACTACGAGGAGCACATTCCAGATCCAGTGGAAGTGAGCACCCGATTGGGCAATATGATACTTCTGATGGGCACTATATTCGTAAGCGAACTAAAAGCAGTTTCTTTCAGTCATTTATTTTAATGATTTCAGGAAATGAATCAGTTGATAATGGAAACTTACAAGTCGGCGGAGCTGTTCGCCCTCTTCAAACTAGATACTCTCTCGAAATCCCTGTTGACTCTCTGATAACATCTTTTCATTGTGAAACAAAGAATGCGGGTCATTGTTATTTTGGTTGTAATGTAATATTGAGTACCGATCACATCCAGTCAGCAAGTATATTGTGATTCCAGCCGAAATAGGCACAAAGATATGTCCTTGTGATAATAAAATCAGTATTTTTTATTGCCAGACATCATTTTAGCAAGTACATTTATTGTTTAACAATATTTAAGCTCAAATTCTTCCAGTTACGGCGTCGAAAATAGCCGTGACAAACGAGAGCCGGATGCTAAAAAGGTTACGGTTGTTTTTGAAAGTATGTCAACACTTCGTCAATGCAGACGTATGCGCAGTCCGACAAAAAAAACTATTTTCCGTTCTTTTTTGCGCGCGCATGTCAGAGACCTTGTGATTTCGACCAACTTCTCAATTTTACGATTGATAAATAACTGGCGATCGCCGCGACCGCCGTAATCTAACCTTTTTTGAAAGTTTCCTTGATTCTCGATGAGAAGTCGGTCGTCCCTCCGACTGGACCTACGTACGGACCGTCCGGAACCCTTTCCTCCATTGTCATCGACCGCCTTCTCGTGAATGAAGACGCTTTTTCGCTCCGTGATTGTTTCCTCTAAAATTCATTTCTATTTTTCTTCGAAAAACTGTTCGTTTCCTTACTTCCGCCGGAATTTCGACCTTTCGGCGGGGTGCGCGTGGTACGGAGTGCGATCGTTCTGAAAATGATAAATGTGTTTTCGAAACCTTTCACCCGGTACTCACTTGTTTTCTCTTCCCTGATAAGGTCGCTGACTTCGCGGTGTTCGAGAAGAAACGCCAGTTGTTGGTCTTCATAAGTTCTGAACTCGTTCGTTTCTCTCCATTTCCACATTACTCTTGCCCACCTGGCCGATTCCACGTCAGTCACTCTGTCCAACAGCTTCTGATTCTCCCTCAGCTTCTCGTTTATCTCGTGTCGACGTCTTCGTAGTCGCGTCAATATGGCTTCTCCCGGCATAAACGAGCTCGATTCCCCACTGCTTGCCGTCTGCAATAACTTGCGATGAAAATTTAAATTCTCGCCGCTCAATCGCGACACTGAGCAAATATATGTGTGTTTTTTGACTGAAAACGAACGCACGTTATCGAAAAGAAGCTCGTTAATCGTGGCGGACACGTCGCCGTCGTATTTTCGAAGCACTACTTCTATATGAGCGGGGCTCACTCTGGGGAACATTGCACGGAAGTCTAGCATCGCCTGAATTTCCAAGTTTTCTCTTTCAATAAAAAGCCAATCATTTTTGCACTCACCCTATCGAAATCGAGCAGTTCTTCCTCGGTATCTGCGTAATTTTGAGACATTTTCCGAATATGAGTCAAGTTTTTGGGACTGAAATGCGAATATAAGGTAGAGAGAAAAAGATGACGCATTGAGTGAAGAACGCTCGAGCAAACAAGGTTGGGTGGGCGGTCAAAAAGAATGAGACATAGACTGATAGTACTAACAACGGGAGAAACCACACTGTTTATGGAAAACAACTGATCAAAAAGTGAGAGTAAAATAGTTGCACAAATTCACACGAAGCATAAATTGGCCATTTGATGAGACTAATTATAGACGATAAACATTCGAGTATGCACATTTTCAACTCTTTCTTTCACTCGCAAACTGACCATGCGTGTTTTTTTAATCGTAGGCTTTTCCCGTGGGAAATCTGCGATACGATGCAGGCTTGACCTCAAAAAACTATTCACAATAATATTATTCCGTTTGATAGCCCTCTGCTACTCCAAATTATCATTTTCAGAACCAAAAATGATGCCTACTTGGATACCGAGTAACCTTTGCAATCAGCCGTCAAGACCAGTGAACGGAAATCCCCACGCCAAGGTAATCCTCGCTCACTTCGACTTATATTGCCTCCTTTCCAGCAACAACAATCGGCTCCAAGCGGTCTGACGTACCGTACTCCGCACCCGAAGACGTCCACTCAATACGTGTATCCGAGCAGACAGAGACAAGGACATCGGCAGGTGAGATATAAAAACAAAAAACAGAACGCAAACGGACTGAAAACGACGATTGAATGAATGATAATGACGAATGAATGCAAACAGTGATTGGAGCGCTTTGTGGCACAATTAAGCGGCTGATTCGCATTCGCTCTTACCATTATCGCGAATTGTGCAACAACGTCGATGGGGTGTACTTTTATGAGCCTATTAGGGAGACTACCGTTAGACGTCAATGAAAAAGAAGATTAGTGACGAGGAATTGAAGGCGCAATGCACAAAAACCTCTAGTTTTTCTTTTGGCTGGGTACTAGGGGACTTTCTGATGATTCTAAAAGATTTAGATTTCGAAGTTTTGGAAAAAAATCGTCCCCTTTTTCTTTTTTTCAATCTCGAGAGAATGGTTAGCCATTTGTATCTAATTTCATTCTCGTCTCGAAAGTCGTAAAGTAAATGGGAAAATAAAAGGAAGGAGATGGAAAAGGACAGAAAGATTGACATTTGAAATGATCGAAGATTACTGTAGTAAGGGATAGATGGAAGTGTGTTTGTGGGATTAGAAAACAGCGAAAACTGGAGTGTTCAAATAAAAATTCGCCGGAAGTTTCCGTTTTTCCACTAGAATGGCCCAGATTTCATAAGTCTGTTCTCTTCCCCGCCAAATATCCAAGTTCGAAAACCCAATTCGTCTGAAATCTGCTCAGCTTGAAACTCTCATTCCTTCCTATTTCAATCAAATTATTTACAAATCCGATTCTCAAACATTGGTAACCGTCCCCCGCCCACGAGAAACATTGTAATTCTGTTGAAATCGTCCGAGACGCATCTGTTTCAATTTCTGACGGCCGAGCGAATGTTTTCATCCCTCTGCGATTCTTTTGTTGCGGATTCATTCTTCGCTCTCATTCGTTCTTTTTTATCGTCGTGGCTTCGTCGCAGAATTGGAAAAGAAACCAATTTGATATGCGAGAGCAGAGCACTCATCGCTCTTTCTCTCTTTCTCTTCCTTCGCCGTCATCGTCTTCTTCCCTTTCGATCGTAAACTGAAATTGCACTTGGGGCGGTTTGTTTGTCATCGACAACGAATGCCCCCACACTGAATTTACCATAAAAAGACGAAATTGAAGATTTCGAGGCTGGGCGCGTTGGATTACACACTCGAAATTTGAGATTTCAAATGAAAATGAGTGGGGAAAAAGGAGAAAAGAGGAACTCTTGAGACCGGAAGATGTGTGCCGAGCTACTCTTTTTAGAGACGTTTTTGAAGTCGTCAAACTTTGAGTTCACTCAGAAAAGTTTATTTCTGGAGTGCTCTTTTGGTCCCTTTTCTGACTGACAACCGTCATTTAGTAGCGATATGAATTCAAGTGGTTACTCACTTGTTGTGATGCGTTTCTGTTTACTGGATAAAGTTCCCATCCGTGAATTATTTAACTATGAGATCTCCTCACAAATATCATCATTTCGTATTCCCAAGATTCACGTGATCTTTTCTGCAAAACGTATTTTAAAAAACGTGACGTGAATTGTCCGAGAAAGATAGTTTTCAAACCCTTTCGAAGAATAACATCAAAAATATCTTCGTCCACTCAAATCCGTTTGATTCTCCTTTCGCTCTAACGTACAGTAATCCGGGAGGTTATCCGCACCAAAACACAGCTCTTCCAGGAAACCTTTGAACTTCATTTTCGTGCTCATCGGTGCAGGTTTCATGAAAAACCCTCGACGGGAGCACCCTGCTTCTCTCTTTTTCATCTTCATGCCTCATTTCACTTTGCTCGAAAAAGACAACTCGAGGACTTTGAAATGAGTTTGTGCCCATCATCCCCTTCTCTGCTCCTTCTGCTCCGTCCGTCCGTCGTCTAGACCCAGAAGCGGTTCCATACAATCCACTCTCTTCGTTTTTTTGCTGTGATATTTGTCCTAGAGGGCCACGAGAATAGAACACGCATTGTTTGCCGACGGAAAGAGAAGGCTGCACTCTGAAATCCCAACTAAACCAACCATTTGGTTTCTGTTTGTTCATGCTTGTCGAAGAAAAATGGTCTGTGCCCAATTCTCCCTCTAGCTTTGATTCTTTTCTAAAATGGATTCGAACATACTACGGTAGAATTGCGGGCCATGAGTCATGCAGCTGCCGGAGCTAATAATTGATTTGTGATGGGCGCGAGGGCACTCGCAAACAAACTCTTTCTCCTCATTCTTCTCCGCCTCCAAGCAGCAGCAACACAGCACACAGCGCCCGTGGCAAGGGGCCAATCGTTTTCCCATAACTCTTTCGTCTCTTCTCTGTCGGCCTCCGTCTCGCGCCTTCCTCCACTTTTCTTGTCTCCTTCTCTGCGTGTCGCTTTCAGGGCGCCGGCCGATTCACAAAGAGACATAGCTGACGAGACGGCATTTTGCCTATCATTCCGCGCCGCAATATTTCCACACTCACTCGTTTTTTCTATTCAGCGCAGCACCCGCACACACACACACACACACACACATACGCTTAATTCATTTATTTTTGTTCCAACGATCTATCCGTCTTTTTCTATCCGTGCTCCTATGTGACCCCTTCCGTTTCTTTCCGCTCCGAATGATCGTCGTCGTTGCTTCCTCAACTTTTCCACTTCTTTCGTCTTTGTGAAGCACCGAGAAGCTAACATTTTTCACGAAAAAGCTCGTTCTGGGTGTGTTTTCGGTTGCTTGTGGTCAGACGTCTGGATCCCTTTCTGGTAAACACGAGGTGCCTCGAATTGTCTGGCCGAAATGAGCGACAATCCGACGTTGAAGGTGTGACGCATCCATTGTTATTATCCTCCTTTTCTCGTTCTGAGCGACTGTTTATCGCCGTTGCCACCTCTGGGTTGCGTTGTTTTGACTGAAGACTATGCAGAGATACTGGAAACGACTAATAATTCTTCACTTCCTGCACTTTCGCTTCTTACAAAGCTGTATTAGTCCCGCACATTTCTGGCAAAGTCGCTTTACCGCAATTCCACGTGAAAATTCGGCTGCGGCCGCAACTTTTTCCGATTTAGTACTGAATTTGCGTGGTGACCGGTTGAACGAGATTTCCAGAAAATCAGCAATATAACACTTGCTTTCTTCTTCACCTACTTTTGCCCATATAAAGTTCATTCTGTTCACTTTTTCAAGTGATTGAAAGAGTTCAGCCCTTTAACCAGTCCCTGGGGACATTTTTCCATCTCTAACGAACTTTTCGCTCCGTTTCCGGGCACGTCTTCAGCTTCTTTTCCAGTTCCGGACCCGTATTCCGACTTGTTTTCGGTGGCATTTGACTGACGTCTGCCAATTTCATTTTTGTGGTCATGTGTCCGTCGGTCTCGCGTTCCGTTGCAACCCTTAAATTTCTATTGTATCGTCTTGTGCTCCGAATGGCGGAATTTGCCTCTGTTTTTTGTTGTTTGACGCCAAAAGTGAGAAACGCGGCCGCTCCATTTCCGTGTTTTGCTCGAGATATTTTGAAAAGAGAAACTGGAAAGAGAAAGTCAGTTCTTTTCGTCGTCTGAAGATGGTACTGAAGTGTTTCTTCTCCCCCTCCCATCTTCAATTTCTTCGCCGTCACGCGATATTTGACACGACTGTAATTGGCTATTCCACAATTCTCATTTCTCTGAATGCCTCAATTCGTTCCCCATTTGAATAATCAATCAGTCGGTAATTCATCCTCACTTCTCGCATTCCCTCTCATCTCTCTCCGTCTCTCCTATCACTTATCTGATTGATTAACAACGCGGCAGAAGTGAGCCCCTCAATGTGTCTGGAGCAGCAGGAGCCTTCCCCTTCCTTCCCTTCTTTTCTTTTTTTTTCTTCATCTGATTTCTGATCAGAAACTGCTGCTTGTCATGTCGGAGAGGACATTTTCTCACTGACTCCAGACGCATGTTGTTGTTTCCAGTTGAGTCTTCCTTTTCCAATCTGGAATAATCATTATTATTAACAACTCTTCACGGGTTTGTCCCTCTGTTTGTTTGTTTCTCCGTTTGTCCGTCCCCATAATCATTTCTAAAACGAAATGATTGCGACGGAGAAACTAAGAAATGAACACGTGAACTTTCGAACGGTTATGAGAAACAAACAAGCGGCAAAGCCGCTTTCGAACGTCAGCTCGGCTCGCGTACCGGGCCCTGTTACAAAAAGTATTGTACTTGATATTCAATCAGAAATTTCTGAACTGGCCTTTTGAGAGAAAACCTGGCCAGACCGACCGGAAACGAACTAGTAATGCGTCACAGTTTTGATAAGAAAGAAGTGATCAGGAAACTGATGCTCAGTTCATGTTCATCGGTAACTTTCGTTCCATGTTTTGAGGCCAGAACTGAATAGAATTGTGCGCGTAGTGCGTTCTATTGCACTTTCAAAAAATGTGTAAACAGGAATGTCCGAAAACGGCGCTCTCGTTCTATGAGTCAGACCTCGCCTTTTTCTACTTGTAAGTCACTTCTGTCTTTTTTGTTTTGAGTGCCTTTTCAGGTCGGTTTCCGCTCAACGCACACCGCCCATTGTCTATGAGAATGTGGTCAAAAAGGCGTGAAAGATTATTCTTGGGGCTTCTTCTTTTCTGCCTGTTTCTCCCGTTTTCCTCCGGGCTCCGCCGCCGCCGCCATTTGCCTTTTTCGTTTTTTGCTCCGTGTCTGTCCGCAGCGCTCGCATCCCTTGCTGCCGCTGAGCTGCTCTGCTGCTCGCATTTCGAGTGCACTTCGCTAGACTCTCAATTTTTAGCCCGTCAAGGAGAAGAAGAAGAAGAGGAGTGCAAGAAGGAGAGGTGCAAAGAATGAAGGCTCTGACGGCTTCTCATCATTCCTAGGTTGCCACATTTTGCAAAGTTTCCGGTTCTTCTAAAGGGCAAAGCGATTACGTGCATTTAGCATTTTCGGAAATCAGCTCCTTTGTGCCGCCTCTCCACGTCGTCTGCGGGCTCTCTCCAGCTCAGACCTACTACTACATTTATATCCAATTAGGATGGCGAGTCGCATCGGATTGTTTTATTTCACCGCTAGCTGCGCCGTCAGAAGCTGTGCTTCAGTTGTTTGTCGCCAGAGATTCGCTCCCGAGAGGATGTAGTAGGAATAAGGGAAAGTATCGAATTGCGCCGTACTCTCTGGTGCTCTGATCGTTTTTCACTTTCAATGCCACATCATTTTGATGCGGAACTCTAGGAAAGTACTTTAAATCCGGCTGTAATCCCATTTGTATCTCGCTCGCAGAGAGAACAAAAGGGATTTGCTATGAAGGGCGAAAGCGAAGTCGAGAAGACGAAGCCTTCACCTTCTTGATAAATTTCAACGTCATCTGAGAAAGTGGGTGGTGCCTGCTGACAGATGACGTGGCAACACGCGAGCACGAGAAGGGGGATGGAGGGAAAGACGTGTTTTACCCGGAAAAGGTGAGACCCGAGAGGGCGAGCAGTTGTCATGCCAACTTTTTGCACCTGTCTCTGCTCGCTCCTCCAAATTTTCCAAATTTTTCAACAGCTCCTTCATCTTTTTACTCTGTTTAGCCTCGCGAAAAAGCGAGCCTTCGTGTCTCCATAGAGATTATCAAAGCAGCCATCTCATGTTTTTGTTGTCGACTCTCGCTCCCCGCTAATCACTTATGTTGACCGCGAGACCGACTTTCGGACGAGCTCATATTCTTTTGGCAAAGGAGAGGATAACTAATTATTCATCACGAGTTTCCTTTCCCCCGTGACTTTCTAGAGACCAAAAAGCGCCGAACACAGTAGTTTATGTTCCAAAAGTCAAGTGGATTTCGACCAAGCAGTCCATTCCGAACCCCATTTCCGCTCAAATCGCCACAAACATCTGAAGAGGCGACAGCACGGCAATGAAAAGATGATGAAGAAGAGGGCATTTACATAAGTATATCCGGCCATAATCCTCGTCCGTCGCATCAAATCAATCCAAAATGGAGGAAGAGACGGGCGGCCGGCTGCCCCTGCGCATATCACAGTCGCCTTGACTTGTAATAATTGTTCCCTCCTCCTCGTCCGTTTTGTCTTTCTCCCGTCGTTCGTTTCCTCCGTTTTCCCATCTTCGTTCTCCCCGTTCATCGCTATCACGAGTTGGTTGGCTTGCGACCGAGGGCGAAAAGAGCGAAAAGCCACATTTCATGCATTTCCAATGTGATTTCGACACTTCGACCACCCTCTGATTTTCGCCTTTTTCACTTTGCCATTCAAACATTCGCTTATTTGCAGATGGCCGACGGAGAAGCGGTTATTTCGACAGTCAACAATGTCGAGGAAGTCCACGGACAACTCTTCGAGGTACACAACTAACTTAGAACTGAAAAAGTGATCATGCGTGTTTCAGGTGGCTCCTCGCTACGTCAATCTTTCGTACATCGGCGAAGGCGCTTACGGAATGGTCGCGTAAGTTTCGATAGTTCCTCTTGCTGACGTCATCCATCCCTTTTTGCAGTTCGGCTCTGGATACGATAACTCGCGAGCGCGTTGCCATCAAGAAGATTTCGCCGTTCGAGCATCAGACATTCTGCCAGCGCACACTTCGCGAAATCAAGATTCTGAATCGCTTCAAGCACGAGAACGTATGTGCTCAGGCAACTGCGGAATTGAGAGGAAATGTTCACATTTTCAGATCATCAACATTCAGGAGATCATCCGCTCGGAGACTGTCGACTCGATGAAGGACATGTAAGAGTGTCTTTGTCGGTTCTTCCATCCAATGTTTACTTTCAGCTACATAGTTCAATGCCTGATGGAGACTGACTTGTACAAACTGCTGAAGACGCAGAAACTGTCGAACGACCACGTCTGCTATTTCCTTTATCAGATTCTGCGTGGTCTCAAGTACATTCACTCTGCCAACGTGCTCCATCGTGATCTGAAGCCGTCCAATCTTCTGCTCAACACCACCTGTGATCTGAAAATCTGCGATTTCGGACTAGCTCGTGTGACCGATCCACAGACGGATCACACTGGCTTCCTGACTGAATACGTGGCGACTCGCTGGTACCGTGCTCCCGAAATCATGCTCAACTCGAAGGGATACACCAAGTCGATCGACGTCTGGTCGGTCGGATGCATCCTCGCCGAGATGCTCAGCAACCGCCCGCTCTTCCCGGGAAAACACTACTTGGACCAGCTGAATCTGATTCTGGCAGTCGTCGGATCGCCGTCCAACGAGGATCTGCAGTGCATAATCAACGACAAGGCCCGCTCGTATCTCATCTCGCTGCCGCACAAACCGAAGCAACCGTGGGCCCGCCTCTATCCGGGAGCCGATCCGAGAGCTCTTGATCTCCTCGACAAAATGCTCACTTTCAACCCACACAACCGGTAGCTTTCCGCTGTTCCTATAGTCTCATTCATCGGTTTTCCTTCAGCATTGACATTGAACAAGCGTTGGCTCATCCGTACCTCGAGCAATACTACGATCCGGGGGATGAGCCGGTGTGCGAGGAGCCGTTTACTCTTGAGATGGAGTTCGACGATCTTCCGAAGGAGAGACTGAAGGAGCTCATCTGGGAAGAGGCCGAGGCTCACCACAAACGCATGGAGCTCGAGGCCGCCCGAAACGGACAAAACGGACAGAGCACCGTCTAGACCGCCTGATTCCACTCATTCCGTTATCGTTTTCCTCCATGTTTCATACAGAATCGCCTACTTCCGTCTACCCCCCGATCAGTATATTCCCTATTTTTGTGCGGCTAGTTGTTAGTAACCTTCCTTCCGCTCCCTCGCATTCTAATCGTCATATGCCACCATTATTTCAAAAACTTGTCCGATTTTAACAAAATTTGAGACATTTACATAGTGTATAGCTTCCCGTTCCCAAAAGATATATATCCATTCGATCTGTGATGTGAATATTTCTTTTCCCTCTTCTCGCCCGTTCATTCTGTCCCATTTACCCCCGGAATTCCCTTCTGATTCACAGTCCCCGTTCCTCTTCTTCTCGTCTCCATTCGTTTCCTTCCCAGTTCAGAGTATAATTCAACTGTTCGTCTATATTTGTGGGATCTCTTCAGTTCTCTTTTTATGTTTCCAACATCATTTACCTTTCAGTTGACTTTGGATAAAGAAAATATTTTTGGAGTTTTTCAATAAAATCATTGGGAAAACTTTCAGATAAATAACGGGACAACTGCTATCAAACTTCAAAGAACTGAATAAAGTTTATTGCCATTGGTTTTGGAATGAAAAGTAACAGGAAAAGAGAAAAGTGGGAAGAAAACCATCTGAAAAAAAAACGGAGAAACGGTGCAAAACATTATACGGGAAACACGCCTAGAACAAACTACTGAAAAAAAGATTTAAATGTGACAGATCTATTAAGAAATGTTCCGAAAACAGCAATATCCAAATGCCTATACGGTGATGAAGTTGACGTTGCTTAGACGAAAGCGACGCGGTCCTGAAAAGACGTCGTTCGAAAGGATGTTTGAATTTTTCTTGGTTTCAAGTAGATTCTAATCTTTGTTTGCAATATAATCTCGCGCTGATCTTCATACCTTCTTCTGGGTAAACTTGGCGAACACCTGATCGATCTTGGCCTTAACGTCGCTCATTGGCTTCGCGGCGTCGACGGCAACGTGGATTCCGTGCTTCTTGTAATAATCGACAAGCGGAACAGTCTACAAATGAGCTTTCAAAACGGTTCAAAACTTTTGCGCACTACCATCTGGTGATATTGAACGAGTCGTTTTCGCAGAGTCTCTTCGTTATCATCGGAACGACGAATAAGAGCTTCGCCGGTTATGTCGTCCTTCATCGGAATCTTCGGAGGCTTGAACTCTAGGTGATAGCTGCGACCGGAAGCGATGTGGAAAAGACGGCCGGTGATGCGACGGACGAGCAGGTCATCGGCAATGTTGAACTCGACGACAGTGTCCAACGGCGTCTTCCTGCGCTCCAGCAGATCGTCGAGCTGAAAACAATTGAGCGTTTTCGAAATGTTCTTTCCAGCATTCTCATAATTTGTCTTTTGCCGCCAAAAACCTCGAATTAGTGATGTTCGTTATCAGTTTGCTCGAGTGATTACTTGACGAGCGCATAGAGCACAAACACGCCATCGTCTACCTTCTCGGCCTGTCCACTCGTGCGCGGGAAGCCATCCAAGATGAATCCGTACTTGCACTCTGGCTTCTCCAGTTTATGCTCGATCAGCTTGCAAACCACCTCATCGCTGACCAGCTTTCCAGCGTCCATCGTCGCTTTCAGTTCCTTTCCGAACTCGGAGCCCGAGGAAACCTCGGCGCGGAGCAGGTCACCTGCAAAATCAATATTTGAAGCTTTGAGCGGAAAAAAGAACACACCGGTAGCCAGATGGCATGAGAAGTACTTCTCCGCAAAGGCAGGGGCTTGGGTTCCTTTTCCAGAACCTGGTGGTCCGATGAAGATGGCACGGATGCCACGGGCCAGGGTTTCCGATGGTCCGGACGACTGAGTTGCCGGTGGAGTGGCTGGCTGCGTCTTTGGAACTCCCATGTCTGAAAAAAATAAATTTTCGAATGAAACTCGTTTTGACAAGAGTGAAAAACGAACAAAGGGTTATTTACATGAAGGGCGGAAAAGACGGAAAGTTGCCTGTCAATTGATAAAATGTGGGGGGGGAGCACGCACAAAAAGCGCTCGATTCTTCCTTTTTCTGGCAAAGTGAGGTGATTCTGATATGATTTCTCGTTTTCGGTTATTAAAAACAATGAAAACCCGACGAGATGGAACAATTTGAACACGGGAGCGACGGAGGAATTAGGGGCTAATCTGATTGTTCGACTACAAACTACACACTCTATACATTTCCACCTTTATTTAACCTCACCAAAAACTAAACTACAAAACACAGTAAAGTACGAATTCTAATCGGAAAACGGTAGAAAAAGAAGACAGAATGGGCGCGGGTCCCGCCGCGATCGCGTTGGCAGTTGGCCGTGTAGTTCTCGTGGAGCCGGCCAATGAGCGGCAATTCAAAACGCGGCGACGAAAGCGAGATGATATGAAGCGGCGCACGCGCGCAGAAATGGGCAAATGGAGAGGAAAAGAGTGCGCGAGACGAAGAAGGAGGTCAAGGAGACGGCGAAAATGCGAATTACGGGAGAATCAAGCGATTCGCATTGAATTCAGAACGTCTTCCGCCTACTATTATGACCAGTTTCAGAGGTTTTCAGCGTGTGTTCGGACTGAAAATCGAGCAGACTTTCAGAACGACTGACTATGAGGAATGCGACGAATGTGTGCATCAGAATTCCATTGGCGACATTCCTCATTCATCAGTTTTCTCATTGGCTGTTCAGCAGATCTCGAGTTGAACAGCTAGTCCTGGTAAGTCGGCGTTGCGAATTGTCCCCGTTCAGCCGAGGTTCCCCTCAGATATTCACCGCCTATCCGCAGTTCCAGTACCCTTACCGGGCTGCGAAAGATCTCGCAACTCTCCAGAAGTTGACTCGTTTCTGGCCACCTCATCAGGGATCCGGACTCGGAGAGTTCTCGATCGCATTCACCGTTTCGCTCATTCTCTTCATCAGGTATTCGTCAGTTTCTCTTCTTTCAAATTCCTCTCTTTCAGACTGATCGACGTTCCAACAGTGCTGCAGTCGGTCTTCGGTTATCGCTACGATTCAAAGATTCTCAACTTCGTTCTGACGCCAATCTACGCTTCCGTCATCCCGTTTCTTCTCCTTCTTCCCATGATGAGACTCGCTGAAATGCACATTTTCGTGCTCCTCCTCAACTTTTTCCACATTCTTGTCTCTTCTTATTTTGTTTTTACGGTGTGGTTCTTCTTGAAGTCTAGAAGCGAAAATTCGAAAGAAAAGACTGAATAGACGGGTGTCTTGGCTTATTAATTCGGAAAACTTTATTAAAATTGAAACATTGAATCGGTGAACAATTAATTATTATGTCTTTCGAATGAATCATTTTATTAGAATTACCAGAAATGGAGCCTAGCAAGTGGTAGAAGAGACCCGGCATTCCACAGTGAAATCCGATCGGCCACTGGAACAAGTACGGAATAGAAACGGTTGAGATGTTGACTCACTTATACGTCCACACATTTCCAGAACTGCACAATAGCGCATTGGCCGCCGAACTCGCACTTCCGCATCCCGTTGCCACCGCCGTGCTCTGCGAATCCTGAAAAACGGAAGTGCGCTCAAATGTGAATTCTCTGAATTACCACGATCACACTGATAGTCACGGTTTGACTGCTTCCGTCCTCCGGTATACAGTTAATCTGAGCCACGTCGCACCTGAAGAATCCACAGGAGAAAATGCGGCGTGATGAGAAACTGACCAGTTAACAGGATCCACTCCCCGTAGAAAGTAGGCAGTTCCGGGCGTAACAGTGTCCGTCGGAGTAAAAGAAGAGCCGGAAAGGGTGGAAATGTCACAAGAAGGACAGTTGCGAAGAGTCGGAAGCGAGACGACGGACTTTGTTGACATGCATCCGAAGACCGAAGGGAACAGGAGCGAAACGAAGAGGACGGACATGTCGGACGGGAGGGAAATGGACGGATCCAGCAGAAGAACGAGAGGGAATGGCAAAGAGATCCGGGTCAGTTTATGATAATCGGTGTGTAATTCGAGGGTGTGAGGAAGAGAATGTGCGAAATGGAAACGAATCATCAAGAATCAGAAGACCAAACAAACAGTTTTTTACGAACAAAATCAACGGTTAACAGAAGAATTAGACCCTGACCGGCGGGCTGCGAGATCGGGAACGGGACCGCTCGCGTTGCTTCTCGGTGCGCCAGTTCGGCCACTTCTGATCGACGATGTCCATTCCATCTCCCTTGATTTGCGGTGTGTCCAACGGAGTATTCACGTACTTGCGCCAGGTTACACGCGTCGGATGCAAGGCACGGACCCATCCGAAGCCCATTTGGTCGTACGCATCCGGATTGGGCAGTTCGGTTCCGTCCGGCAGCTTCATGAAGTAGCTGAATTTGGCAGGTTGGCCTGTGGAAGGATTCGCTGGAGGTGGAGGGGGTGGAGAGTATTTCGAGGAGGAAGACGACGAAGAGGATGCTCCGAATGGCATCGTGATCTGAACAGGAAGAGAAGCGTGGCGAAGGAAACTTGAAAAAAGCCGAACCTGAGGGCAGTCGGCGGAGACGCCGTCCGATGAGAAAACGGAAATGAAGATTCTGTTCTTTCCCGGCAGCGGCCCATTTCTTCTATATTTGTGTTTATTCGGTTGTTTAGCCGGCAAAATTTTAGAAGGAATCATCGGGAATACAAGCTGTTGAACAGGGACGAGTGATGACGGACATTCAAAAAGAAGGAGGGATTGAGCAAAACGGAGAGACGCAGAGAGCAGGAGAAGGGAAAGAAAGAGAGAGAGAGAGAGAGAACGTGTAAAGGGGGTACAACAAAAGCAAATAAACAAGAAGAAGAAGAAGAAGAAGAAGAAGAAGTAATATTGCGAAAAGGAATAGATGGACAATACAGATCGGCTGAGCACAGAAGAGAAGGTGCTCGGTCACTGCTCGGAAAACTCCTGACTCTCCGCGCGCGCTCTCTTCTCTTCTTCAATCGTCTTCCAGATTTTGTCGCATTCTGCGCGGGATACCATACTGAAGTGATCGAATTCGACCTTCTCACACCCTTTGATTCTCTTGACGCACTCGTGCTGAAATGAGACGAACTCAAAGGGAACTCACTGAAAACTCACAATGGCCTCGTGAATTCTTCCACAGGAAATCGAGTAGTTGACAAGTGTCTCAGCACAAAATGCCCGAATTTGCTCGTGGAACTCTTCGGGGAACTCTGGAAGTCCGTCTTCCTCGCTGTAATTCAGTTCCATGTAGTCGACCATCATGTTGATCATTTCCTGAAAGAGAGAGAGGGAGAGAGAAAGGCAAAGTTCGTTGACTGAAGCGGACCGCTCACCTTTAGATGTTTGTATCTTTCCTTTCGCCAGTGGTACTTATCCTCGCCCAACTTGAGCGATCCCATCAAGCGGAACTCGTCGATCATCTTCCGATCTTTCCCAGTGCGATTTCCGGTCGGATACTTGACCGGCTTGCTGATCTTTGCCACGCTCTTCTTCGGCACAACAACGGGATTGGGGCGCTGGAGTGGAGGAACGATCGGAAGAAGTCTGGATTTGTATTGTGTGATGGTTGTGGCACGGTGGAGATCCTGAGGATTCGCAGAGTTCGATGAAGGCGGCGGAGAACGGATGAGCGTCATTTCCGGAAACTTTTCAGACTGAAAACTGGAGAATGAGAGGAATATTTCCGAGAACAAGCTCATAGAAATGGAGTATGTGGCATTTTCGGATGGAAAGGGCGCAACGGCTCGTAGAAATAATTGCGACCTATCCCAAAACCGAGAATCATAATTCCATGTTTCATCGGAGCAGAATCGAACGTCTTCTGATAATCGGAAGATGAAAGGATAGTGCGGAAATGGAAACGGGAGGCGGTGAGTCAGACGAGTGAAAGCGATGGAATTGTTTTGGAAGGGAAGGGCGAGCACTCTTTTGAACGATGTTGCTGTGAGACTGTATGGATGAGAGAGAGAGAGAGAGAGAGAAAGGAAGGGAAATATCGAAGGAGAACAGGAGAGATAACTGATGATGAGACGAGGAATATCAAAGAGAGAGAGAGAGCCATTTGAATGGGCGAATGGGATGGAATGGTCAGTTGACATCAAATGGAAGACCGAAAAGTCATAGGCAGAGAAGGTAGACGGAGTGCAATCAGAAGTCTCCAAGGATTGATAATTAAGGACTCTCTCACTCTTTCTCTTTCTCTTCCAAACTCGCGAGTTTCCTGTTTTTGGCAGATTACTTTGATTAAACGGAAGGTACGGGTCCACGGGGTGTCGCATCGGATTATACTCACTCGCATAGATTTGTTTCCTTCCACATCGACTGGAGTTCAAAACGAAAAAGATGCGTGTGAAACAATAAAACCACCAATTAAACGAACAACGAATTGCACCAAAAAAAGGAAAGAAGAAGGGGAAGAAAGAGCTGCTCGGCTCGTACACCCTTTAATGATAGGGGTCTCTTCTGCGTGGCTCCTCCGAACGAATCGTACTAGTCGTCTTCAGATTCTCTCAGCTCTGTTTGTACAGCTCTGCGCCAGAAGGTGCCCAGCTGATGGACGCCCTAATTGTTCACAAGTCCCCAGTAAAAACTCCACTCGTTGCTCTCAATTTCTCTTGTCGGTTTCATAAATCGCAATCCGTTGTCAGAATGGATGGAAATGTATCCGAAGGACTGACAATGAACGAGTAGTCCTCTCAATTGGAGCCATGGATACGGGCGGTGTCAGGAGGTGACGGAGAATGTCGCGAGAAGGAGGAAATGAGTATACGCCGAATAGATTCATTCGGACTGATTGCCGAATCGAACCAGTAGGAACCGTTTTTTTTTCGTTTTCGTTTTTTCGTCCCCTCCACACATAACTTTGACGCCTAAAAAGTTGTGGCACGAAAGGAGCTGGAAAGAGTTTCAGCCGAATCTTCACACTATTCCCAGACTAGCTTTGCCGTCGCAATTAGAGTAATCTTCAGCCGTTTCCCTCGTCACTCAAGTTATTTCTCTGCGTCTCTCCATCCATTCATTTCTCATCCAAACTGACGTGTTACCATGATGATCACATTAGAAAGCGAATCTCGTTTCCAGGGAGCCCGTCGCCCTCCGCTCTCACTCGCCCTCTTCTCCGCCCTCTTTCTTCGTCACAAATGACTACCTACTTCGTGCCGGTCGACAATTCCTTCGAGCTCACTCGTCAGCAACTGCTTCAAGAGTGCAACGTAAGTCATTATTTCGTGTTATCTGAGTTCATTTCACTTCAGGATCTCATTCTGTCGACGGCTGATTACATGGAGAAGTTCGTCCGATCGTTCCGTCGCTACCCGGACGTTCCCTCTTTCACTTGGAGGGTAACTGCTCCCTGAGCACCTGTGCTTCTTCAATCTTTCCTCTTTTCAGTGGATGCAGCACTTCATCCCGCGAGTCACCCACCACAAGGTCCCTATCACCCCGGAGATCATCATCACTTGCGCGGTACCGCCCCCGGGACGACCGTTCCTTTCTCAACTCCACCCGTTTTCAGTTCTTCACCACCTACATCCGTCTCCGTTTCCGATACGCTCCACGCGATTTCTTCTACTTCCCGCTGCCGACGTCTGACTCGTTTCCCAGCACTGTCACCGACATCATTTCCGTCATGGAAAGCTTTCGATTGGAATGAAGTCGTCTCTTCTGTAACCGTCGATCTCTTCTCTCGGACACATTCTCAATTACCCGAATAGTTTCCGGAGTCCCCTTTAGGTTGACCTCGTTCGCCGTCTCATGTAACATTCAATTGAATGCATTCTATTGCAAATCCAATAAAGTAGATATGTAATTGTGCGACTGTGGAAAATGGGAAATACATATGGCTCGTGAAAGTGTGTGTAGAGTATCAATTATTGAAGTACAAAGGGTGCGATAGACGAACTGATAAGGATACATTGATGTCTGTGTCCTCTCTTTCTCTTTTCTCGTTCTTTTCCTCGTTGTTTTTGTTCATTTCTCTCTTTCGCATTCGAATTCTGGATAACATCTCAATTGATGCCTATCTTCTAGAGATCTTCTTTCTGTTCAGCTTCTCAACCCTCCCGTTCTGTTCTTCCTGCTCATGCTTCTGTTCCTCATTCGTCCGCTTTTCCGTCTGCGCATCCCTTCTCACTTTCACTCTCTTTTCCGTCTCACGATCCTCCCAAATCGCATTACAAACATTGCGATTCCATCGATTCAGAATGCCATCCTCCAAAAACGTCGTTCTTCTCGTCTACAATTCTGTTCTTTTCCTACTCCATGGCTACGCATTCGGATACACTCTTTTCGCAGGAGCATCCCTCCAGTTCGACTACTCGAGCATCTCCAACTTCCTTCTCTTCATCACTTCCCTTCAGTACCTCGATATCATCTTTTCCTTCTTTCTGACAAAGTCCAATCCGGTCGCAGTTTTCATCCAGGTTTCATCCTTTTCTTCTCTGTCCAATCTCTCGTTTACCTTCCAGGTTTCCGGCCGTCTCCTCGTGCTCTGGACCGCCGGATACACAATCAGATGGACTGCCGTCGTCTTCACTCTCGTCACAGTCTACCTGCTCAGTGAGCTCTGTCGTGGCCCGTTCTACCTCGCAAACTGTCTCGGATCTCCGAATGACAACCTCACTTGGCTCCGTTACAATGCGTTCAAAGTACTTTATCCGATTGGATTTACTTGTGAAGGTCCCTCAGAACGACACCTCTTCCCAATCTTTTCCTTCTTTTTCCAGGTCTTGTCTTTGCCAACTTCTTTCTGAGCTCTGGATCCGTGAGCGTGCAAAGTCCCTCATTCTTCCTCGTTCTCATTTTCCCGTTCTTCTTCGCAGCCATCGTGTGGTTCTTGTATACTTCCATGAGCAAGAGCGCTGCAAAGAAGAACAAAGAGCTCCAAAGAGCGAAGAGCCAATGATATAACTATGTTTTTATATTTCAGATCTCAAGTAAAGGCGTTTCATTCTGAATTTATTTTCTGCAGTCGAAGAATGTATATTTGAATGCATAATTGTTCACTTCTGCGGATCTCTACTCTTTCTTGCAGTTCCGATCAATACGTCGAATGAACGGACCCTCTCCGCCTCTCTCCTTCTTTCCCTTCCTCTCACTCGTCGTCCTATTCATCGACTGCTTTGATAGATTTTGTTTGAAATGTTCCCTCTCTTGAAACTGCCTTCCGTTCCATTGGAATTTGTGATTAGCCAATTGGCACCACTCGAACGGTAAGTTTTCTGTTTCAATTCGTTCACCTCTTCACCAATTTCAGAATTATAAATCTCATTTTGCTCCCGTTCAATAATGCAACTAAAGAGCAGAGAAAAATTATGGAAGAGGACTATGCTGAAGAGAGAAATATAAACGGAAAGCTTGTACCTGGAGTGTCATATGAGAGTGAAGAGCAGAGAAGAGATCTTGTGGACGGAGGTTGAGTGAGTTTCTTTCAGAATTTTAAAAGTAATGAAGAGAAAGTGATTTCCAGTAAGAACGGCGTGAAAACTTCAATCGAAGCAGACTTGCACATTCTGGACGACGCTGGAAACATCCGAATAACGCTCGGCAACATGGAATAAGCCAGATGAACTCTCGCTCACAGTGTGGCCTGTCAGAAGCTCCATCTCGCTTTCCAACTATTAGGTCTGTATTTGCAATCTCACGTTTTGTTTTACTTAATTTTTTGCTCATAAAGTTGTCAACTTGAGCTCTCACTTAAATATTTTGAAACAAAGAATTGTATTGTAAACTTTTTTTTGTTTTTTTTTTTTGGAAATTAGCTTTCTTGATTGCCTAGAGGTCTCGAGCCTCGAACGATCGTTCCTGCAGTCTATTGTTTTGCTCACAAGCAAACGAAACCTTGAAAATCAATATTTGTGGACGGATCGCTGGGCAAACCCGTTTGAACGGGCGACCACACAGCGCGCCGAATCTCAATCAAGGAAGCGATTTTCACTGATCTTCGGCGCTTTGACTGTGTATTCGCATCGAAATCTCTTTTCGGCGCTGTTTTATCGCGACGTCGCAGGAGATTTTTGCAGTTTATCTGAAGCAATTACTGTAGACGTACGTTTCCGTATTTCGGTTATTATTCGAAAGCACAACAAATCCTTGTCAGAACTTTTCTTATCGGGTGAGTTTTCTTCGTTTTTGCCGCCCGCGGCCGTGGCCGTGGCCGAAGAAACCTAATAATTTAGTGATTTGGCCAAATGCCAATTTTATTTTTGCTCAGAATCCGCAATTTTCAAATTGTATATTCAGAAAGAAAAGTGATTGTTTCAGGTAAAAACCTCATCGGTTTATAGTAGAGTTTATTGGAATGCCATCAAAGATTGTAATAAGAAGATCATACAGGTGAGCATTCGTTTCTGAAGGGTAATTGCGAATTCGCACCAGATTTGCAGATTAAAAGACAAACCAGCACCGAAATACGACTATCAGGATTATCTGAAAGTGGCAATTCTCACTGCGATCAATTCTTCTCCACCGACAACAATGCAGAAAATACGAAAAGTTCGTAAGCAAGCCCGAGAAAATCAATTGAACGGAGACGATGCGAATTAAATTAAATCGATTTCAGCAAAAGAAAGGAGAGGTGATCGATAATCTCGGGATCAATGCGAAGAGAAAAACGCGGTCTGAAACGAATAAGAAGTACGATGACATCTTCACCGCCGTCGTCGCCAACGCCTTCTTAATGGACGTGAAAAAGACCCCTGCTCAGTACTTTGTAAGTTTGAAACGAACAAAAAAGATACGAAAATAGAACAGTTTAAGGCAGAAAAGCGAATGGCACAGAAGCGGAAAGGAGAATTCGTGGAACTTATCGGACCAGGCCCAGAAGAAAAAGACGACGAAGATGAAGAAGATGAAGACGTGATAGTGGTGGTGGAGAAAAAAGCGAAAGTTCGTGAGGTGTCGGAAGTGAAAGAGGAACCACGAGAGTTTGTGGAGAGTTTAGAGGTGGAAGTCTTGACGCAGGAGTCGTTCGAATGTGCTTGTGGACAACGTTTCGGGCAACATTCAGACTGTCACAGACACATTTACGAAGAGGTAAGTAATTCGAGTGAACAATTGTTTTAAATTGATGTAAACCCTCTCTGATGGCGCAAAAGTGAATTCCTTATCAGAAAGCAATCAAAGCAGTCAATGAGCCTTCCATTCACATTTTTTTGTAGCACGGTGATAATGAACTGAACGCAGAGTGCAGGCAATGTGGAAAACGTCTTGATGATATCCGAACCAGTAATGTCTGCCAGTGAGTTTTTTCATTCCACTTTCATCAAAAATGTTTCAACTGCAGAGTATGCGGAGAATTCTCGGATAACCTCGACGATCACATAGCCTCGCACTACCGCAATTGTACTGCGAGATCGGCTGTGATGGAGTGCCGTTTCTGTACGAAACAATTCATGAGTAACACTTGAGAAGTTGTTATTTCCATTATTGTTTCATTTCAGCCGTGAAACAAGTGATGGAGCACGAACAGCAGAAGCACATTCAGAAGCAGGTCAAAAAGGCGAAACCTTGCTACAAGTGCAACGAATGCTCCGTGGAGTGCCAGACTCAAGAGGGACTCGCTATGCATTACTCCCGGCACATGGATATCCACCTTCTTTGCGCTCGAATCGCCGAGCTGCAATATAAAGTTCAAGGTGAACCACTTTATTTACAAAAACGAATTCCTGAAATATTATATTTTCCAGCCGAAAAGGAAGAGTGTCCGTTCTGCAGAGTGCACGTTTCCTCGCGGAAGACATTCCGCGTTCACATGCTCAAACAGCATTACGCCGCCTGCAAATCTCTCGTTCTGATGAACTTCCTACCTCCAGATCAACCAAATCCTCTGAATTTTATGGAAGTTAAAAGGGAGGTCGAAGAAATGACGGCGAACGCAGCGGCCACGTCGGATAAGATGCCACGTGCCATCAAGCAAGAAGTGAAGGAAGAAGTGCACGACGACGAATATCCATCCTTCTAAAGTCACGCTGTACGACTTCTATAGTGTCCGGGCTAGGCGAATGGTTTTTAATGGCTTGGACTCTTGACCCGGATGAAACTATCCGATCGGATCATTCCAACTTGGTCAAAAGTCACTGGCCTCTTTAATTGCATTTACTCTGTCACATTTCCCCCAATTTTTTAGTCTGTGCCCGCTCTTGTACAATTTCTACCTATCACCTCATTATTTTTGACCAATTCAATAGTATTTCAACTTTGTGATGTCTCTAATCATTGCTAATCATTTTTTCCTTGTTTCTTCTGTAACATTTCTATTTCCCTATTCGGGGCTCTTCCGGAATAGTCTTAATTATTGAGAATTTAAAGAATTCTATTGCGTTCTCATAAATCGTTCATATCCCGAAAATCTCGTTCGTTACTTCGATAAGATTCGGGTTGCGTATGACGGCTCCGGTGAATCCTATTTGACGCAGAATTTCGAATTCCTGAATCGCACTGAAAAATAACTAGATTATTCGTTTGATTATTGGTGAACTCACCTTTCCATGTCTTTGAAGCGAAGATTCCGTGAGGCCAAAGGCTGTATGTTGTGCTCCAAAGAGCCGACGACGGCCGAGCGGATACTGCTGTTCCACATTATGTCCGCATCCTGAAAGATCTTTTGTTCGACTCTAGAAATAACCTTTCGCAATCCAATACATTGACTCGGTGATAGGTTATGATCGAGTGAGTGATTCGCCGCTCGCGCGTGTCCCAGATCATCGTGAACACCGTATTGTGCTCGGCGAGCAGCGGATTCACGTCATCGAGCTGTTCGATGGCGGCTCCCGAGCTCCGGAGAGCCAATCCACTGACCGAAGGATCAGTTATTAACTGGGGAATCCAATCGTTTGGCTCCGAAGAAACCGGGTCGACGAGCACCTTCGGCAGCGAATATTTGCTGTCTCTGAGCCGATGAAAGCTCCTCATTTTGTACTCGTGCTCCATATTTTCGCCCCTTTCCATGTCGATGAGAATGGCGTCTGCTTCGGCGCATCTGTTCTTAATGTAGATGTCACTGCGGAAGAATCTAGAAAAATAAGACTTCTGGAAGAATGAACGTCCGCCAACCGACCTTGTCAATCTGACACGAACGAGAGATCGAATAAGCATGTGTCAGTAGGGGTCAGTCAGTGTTGTCAAACTTGGAATGAAATCGCAATTCTTTGTGACATTCTTTATTAACACGTTGAATTACGAAAACACGATTTCGATACAACTTCGATACAACTTTATCCAAATACATTAAAATTTCATATTCTAGATTGAAAAAATCAGTTAGAAAAAGGCGGCACATTTTGTAGCGTTCAGTCGGTTCATAGTCTGTAGCAATAGAAGTGATTTCTTTGTCAAGTTCGTGGAAACCTACAATTAACTGTCCATTGTTGTCTCTCACTGTCATCGGCTCGAATTCAATCTCTCTGCACACTTTGATTGGAGGCGTTATGAAACGTCGGCTCATTCCTCCTCGATACAGAAGATCAGCCAGAAGCTCCGGGATCTGCTTCGATTTGATAGCTTCCGACGGTATGCTCCCGAAGCATCGATTAAATTCGCGCAGTTGCCCGTCTGAATGGAAATGGAACTCCCACAGACAGCACGGTTGTTCTCTAGAATAACCTCATGAATGTCTTGCAGTCTGACTACAGCTTACAGTCCGAGATGTTGATTGCATTTGTTTGTGAAGGCAACTCTCGGGAAAAGCGATTTTGAGTTCACGAGAAGATGAGCCTAAAGCATTTGATTGGTGGCAACGGCCCGCGTCACAGTACCTCAGAAGTCTTTGGTAATAAGTTTCTATTGTTCCACTCGTCATCTAGAACCACTAGAACTTCCCTGATTCGACATCGCTCATTGTACTGATTCGAGATTATTGTTTTAAAGAATTTCGAGCTCATTTCCCAATCTGTTGGAAACATTCCGAACTGAAGAATTTTCAGAAAACCAGATCCTGAATATTTCGATAGCTAAGTAATCCTTCATTGTTCTAACCTTCATAGCAGACATATACGAGCGGAAACTTGCTCCCCGGATCACGGAGCCATCGGTACGGAATTTGTAGAGTGAGACTGTAATTTAGGCACTCGGCTTCCTTATTTTTATGACTTCGCATACTTTATTACCGGGATCGGAATTGGCTTGACTGGTTTGAAGTGGATTCCATCTCTGGAAGAAGCACGTTGCTGATTGAATCTCCTCGCCTCTTGCCTATACTCTTCTGGCATCTTGAACAATTTCTGAACAGCCAGAGCACCACAGAACTCGGAGACTGGTGCACCCGAAATGCGCTTGCCTCGTAGAATAATCGGGAATATCATCGTCTTGAGAATTAAACGATCGCACTTACTTGCTGATATGACTCATCAATCTCCTGATCTGAGTTGTTGTAACTGGGATGTATCACATCTGTGAACGCCTCCAGAACGGATTCGTGCAAGTGATGGCGTAATTCCCTTCGCTTTTCTTGCTCTGGCTAAAACATTTATATTACTAACATTTAGGCACAAACAAACTTCAAACCTCAATTTCCTTTTTCCTCTGAGCGTCTATATAAAAATCGGAAATAACGGACATCAAACGATATGCCGGGCATAGTTCGGATGTAGCCAAAATGATCAGGAAACCCCGAATCAACAAACCAGACGGTCTGTTCATTTTGTGACGGAGCAAAAAGTGTGCACGCCGAGCGCCTATTCATCCGTGCGATGAACAGATAAAAGCCTTCGTGTTTTAATCTTTCCCCCGCTTGATTCATGTCGCCTGATCCTTTCAAGTCACAATTAAAAGCATTTCTCGCATTTTCTGACATTTCTCCTTCGCAGCATGAAGAGACTTGTCACGTCAACATCACGTGATATCGAGGATACGGCCGTGACGTGGCAACGAGACGTCGCCTGGATCCAGAAGATGCGTCAGAAGATGACGGCGCCAGTCGACACGATGGGATGCCACAAACTGGCGGATCCGTTGGCCGCCCCAGAAGTAGGAGTAATTCCACTTCACACAAAATCATAATACTCGAATGTTTCAGGTGCACCGCTTCCAAGTGCTCGTTGCCCTCATGCTTTCCAGTCAGACCAGAGACGAAGTGAATGCGGCCGCGATGAAAGTTTGTAAAAAAAGTAATGAACATAAAGGGATTAGAACAGACTTCAGAGACTAAAAGATCACGGATTATCAATCGACAAGATTCTCGAGTTCAATGTGCCAGACCTGGAGCAGATTCTGTGTCCGGTTGGCTTTTACAAAAGAAAGACGATTTATCTTCAAAAAACCGCCAAGATTCTGAAAGATGACTATTCCGGGGACATTCCCGACTCCCTGGAAGGTCTCTGTTCGCTCCCGGGGGTCGGCCCCAAAATGGCGAATCTCGTCATGCAGATTGCGTGGGAAAAGTGCGAAGGAATCGCCGTCGACACTCACGTGCACAGAATCTCCAATCGACTTGGTCAGAATTGAGACAACGGACTTTGAAATATGGGAAAAAATTGTAGGTTGGGTCAAGACGAACACTCCAGAAAAGACTCGGATGGCTCTGGAAGCGCTCCTTCCTCGCTCCGAATGGCAGCCCATCAACCATTTGCTCGTTGGATTCGGACAGATGCTCTGCCAGCCAGTTAAGCCGAAATGCTCAGAATGTCTCTGCCGATTCACGTGTCCTAGTTCCACTGATAAGAAACCGAAGAAAGAAGAATTGGAAGAAGGAGAGGAAGGCGTAAAGCAGAAGAAGTCGAAGATAAAAATGGAAGTGAAGGAGGAAATGAAAGAAGAAGACGTGGATAAAGAGGAGGATGCAGCGGAGCAAATGAAGACGTCGGCTGCTTTTGTGAAGAAAAAGAAGAAGAAATAACTGTTTTACTGAATGAAAATTGCATAAAAAGATGATCGACGAGCAAACAATCAAATTTAAAATGGAATAAACAGAAATATCAAATTACAGATTTGTTTAGAAACACTTTCCCATTCATAAATTCCAGCTCGTTCCCAATCATGCTCTTCTTTTTCATTCTCGCCTTTTTCACTCTTTCTCCTCCAGTTTCCTTCCTGAAATCCTACAAAATCTCCCATTATTCCTGGAAAACCTTCCAAGTGTTCGATGGATTCGGAGCAGTTTCTGGCGGGGGAGTTCGTTCCGAAACGGCAGAATCGGGAAATGTTTGTTGAGTTTTAGGCCACTTCGAAGCTCCTGTTCACCTATTTCCCAACGGAAACGGATCGAAAACGGATTATGGAGATTATGTTCAATGTAAGGAAATCGCCAAAAATTGAGAAGATCAGATGGCAGATGATGTTGCAGAAAGAGAACGGACTGCAAATGTTGAAAGTGGAAATGGGCGGCGACGATCAGAGCACAGAGGGCTCCGAGTCCTCGCACATGTCCAAAAGGGGACGGATCTCGCGGACGAACTACGAGTTCGAACTGATCAAAGAGGCCCTTCAGGTGAATCCGTCGCTTCCGATCTGCGTTCTCCCGTGGGCGTTCCCCGGATGGCTCGGCGCCAATCCGTACGAGAACGAAACGGAGACTGCCACTTATGTGGTCGAGTGGCTGAAGATCGGAAGGGACGTCTGGGAGTTCGACACGTACTGCGTGGGCGTCTGGAACGAACGCAACTTTTCAGAGACGTATATAAAGGTAATGATTTGAACAGAATCTAGATTGATAAATTGGAGAAATTTTAGGAACTGCGACGTATTCTGGATAAGAATGGATTCAAAAAGACACTGATCGTAGCCGGAGAAGGATTCCGAATGGACGACAGTTACCCGAGACTGCTGGATAAAAACTTCATTGATCATTTCGATATTATCGGGTAAGACTTTGCCGATGCCCCGAATCGAAGCATTTTCCGTTTAGAGTGCACTATCCAGGTGGTCAAATTCCGGTAAACGTTAAGAAAAGCGGGAAGAAGATCTGGGCGAGTGAAGACTTCAGTACGGACAATCGGGGAACCGGAATGGGGTGTATGGCACGGACGATGAACTGGAACTATGTGCACGGGAACATAACCGGCATGCTCACGTGGCATCTCATGTCCGCTTTTTATCCGCAACTTCCTTGGTGGAGATGCGGGCTTGCCAGTCTTCAGAAAGACAGATTCCAGACCGAAAATGCATTCCATGTCCTCAGTGAGACTTTTGGACGTTCTAGGAGAAATGATGACATTCAGAGTATGTGACCGGGCATGTTAAGAGAGGATGGAGGGTTGTGCCACGTGGGAAAGGAAGCGGAATGTTCGAAGGAGGAGGGACTTATGTAACGTACACGGATGGGCACGATTTGAGCATAATAGTCGAGAGCATGGTGGGTGGAAATAGAAGAAATCACTGATCGGAAGTTCAGAGTTATGAGAAGTCTCTCTGCGAATACTCCTCTCCCGCTCCTTTTAAAGTCAAGTCGGAACAGCTGACCCGCTTCGAACTTCCGTCGGGATTCCGTGGTTTGAACGTGTCCCTCAACTTCGAGCCCGCCCGTTTTCTGCCCGTTCTCGCCGGGAACTTCATCGAACTCCGACTATCCGTCGACTCGTTCGGTGTTCTCTCCACCCTCCCTCTTTCTGTTCCCTCCGAGATCACAGTGTTCCCTCCGCCCCTTCCCAAAAAGTATTTCGACGACTTTTCCGATTACAAATACGGAGAAGAGCCGAGGTTCTGGACTCCTCAGAAAGGTTCTTGGGAGGTGAGAAACGGAAAAGCCGTGCAGAAAGTGACGAGACCGCCCATCAGCTGGTGCACTTCTCATACGAACACTCCGTATTCAGTGATGGCGTAAGTGCAAATATCATTTGGGCAAGGAAAGGGTATCTATCCGAGATGGGTTCAGATACCCAGAGAAGACAGACCTGCTCAGTTCCGATGTGAATATCCCTCCGAAGTCGAACGCGTCTTCTGTGATTCAAGGCATTCGCAGTAATTGCAGTGGTTCGAGCTGACATTAATTCGGATCTGTGCAATATTTCGTTCAGGATGTGACATAGAAGTGACCAATTGCAGAGGAATCTTTGCGGAAATCGAGTATTCTTCTGGAAAAGTGACCGTCTTTTCTGATTTCGGTGAGCCAACTTCTTTCCTTTTCTTCTCTAACTTCAGCACTCTTAAGTTCATCGCTTCATAATTGCGGAGCTGAAAATGGAGAGAAACGTGGAGTACGGAAAGTTCTACACCTTCACAATTCACCTCATCGACTCGCATCTCTTCGTCAAATTCGGCTACAACCTGATAATGACAACTGTGGACATTCCAGAAGACGTCCTTCAAAAGGTGGTCCAGGGTGTTCTTCTTCTTCTTCTTCGTTTAAACACAGTTTGTTACAGACAAAGGAAGACACCCTGTTTGTGATTGCCACTGGAAACTTTGGAATCTCCGAATGGGATAATATTTCCACTGATTTTGTATTGTGATTTAGTGATCCACACAAGTGAATAAATGTTTCGTGGTCGTTCAGTTGGCCGAAATAATTGTCACTTCGCCACTTGCCGTCCCTCTCGGCAGCTTGTTCCTCCCCTTTCCCAGTGGATCTCGAGTGGTCACTCGGAAAGTGTCGAAAACGAACGAATACAATAAAGTTTGGTGACCCGATTCGGTATGCTAATGTTGCGATTGCATCTTCTTTTTTGATCGTCTCTCTGCCAATTATCCCGTTTTTCTTTCTCAGCTTTAGACTTCAGAAATGGCAGAAAAGCTGAAATGTCTGCAAGGGCTCCGCGGAATTTCCATCATTCTGGTGACCGTCTTCCATCTCTTCCCTCTGCGTTTTGTCAACGGATTTGTGGGCGTCGATATGTAAGTTGCATTAAAAATAACTGCGCAAACTTTCTCATCCACAGATTCTTTGTTCTTTCCGGATACCTGATGACCCGAATTCTCACGAAAGGGCTTGGCTATCAGTCTGTCATCGAGTTTTACAAGAAGCGTTTCATCCGAATTGTGCCACTTTACTACTTGACGATATTGGCGACTATCACAGGTTCCCACTTCTATCCAATAACACCTCTTCAATATTTTTGAAGGTGTGCTCTGCCTCGTTCTCAAATCCGAAAGATGCGATTTCATACAAGACGTCTTGTGGAGCCTCCCTCTCATTTCCAACTTCCAGCCCATTTTCGAGCACCACACGTACTGGCAACAGGTCTCCTCGATCCGATATCTGACCCATCTCTGGTCCCTTTGCACTGAACTCCAGTACTATCTGATCGCCCCGCTCATCCATTTCATCGCTTCTCGCCTCGCTTTTCCCAACCGAATTCTCGCGTATTCCGTCGCGATCGTCTCGTTTTTCTGCTTCCAATTGCTCACTCCTTTCGAGTATTCCTACTGTTTCCTGGCCTCTCGAGTCTGGCAATTCCTTCTTGGATCTGTGGCTTTTGAATTGTCGAAACGGAGTGATACTGTATTGGATGAACGCGTAGAAAAGAGGAAAAGGATCAGAAAGCACTACCTGGTGGACATATTTCCCTTTTTCTTCACAGCAATTCTTGTTAGTTCCCTTGTGTTTCAATGGCTTTTCGGAGAGAATGCTACACGGTCAGTGGACTGGACCTCTTCGAGTCTTCAAAATCTCGCTTCCATTTTTCAGATTGACAGTTACATTGGGTGCCGCTCTTTTCTGTTTCCTAGGTCCTCAACTGGAACATTCGTATTTTTCGTAAGTTGTTTGCCATTCCAACAAACTCTTTTCTAACTTGTTTTCCATGCCAGAAGCCCGCCGCTCGTGTTCGTCGGCGACCTTTCCTTTGTGATTTATCTACTGCACTGGCCAATCATAAACTTTGTCAAGTACATCCAACAGAAAGATCACACGGAACTCAATTGGATTGGTTGGTGCACTCGCATTCTCTACCTAACTCATGCAAAAACCTGTTTCAGAAGCTCTCGTCGCCGTTCTCCTCACAATTTCACTTTCTCTGCTGACCCATTACTTTTTGGAGGTGTCCTCGTTTATCATTCAACTAAACAAACTCCTCTCATTCATTTCAGAAAACGACCCTAAATCTGAACTTTGTCACCAACTTCACTCTCTCCTTTTTCGTTCTCGGATTGTGCTATTCTATGACCAATTGGCTCCAACTTTATCAGTGTCTTTCCTTGAATTCTCTGCCGAATTTCCTCCAAGAACGAGTGCAATTCAACCTGAATACCAGCAATCTTCTTATCAATTTATCTCGTCTTCCGTGCCACGTAAACGAGAAAAAAGCCAAATTATCGATTGATATGTTTGGAATTGAGTACTGCGCTCATGTACGATCTGAACTGACTGGCCGCACAAAATGTATGTGCTTTCAGAGAAGCAATGGAACTGGAAAGGTTCTCGTAATCGGGAATTCCGCGTCAATCCGAGCATTCCCGATGATCTTCAATCTGTTCGATGGGCGGTACGAAGAGATCAGATTGTTTGCGAAGCACGGAGGGGCTCCGCTTCTGAATGTTTGGCAGTACTACACGGATGCAGCAAAGGAAATGGCCGAGGAAATGCGACCGGATGCATTGTGGATCATCCAGGGAGTACAGTAAGTGACTAAAAGGCCGTTTTCGACTTCAGATGCATTTCAGCGAAATTCTGCATCCCGATGTGCATCCTGGGAAGACATTGATGAACTTCGACCCGAGCCATCTCGACGTGGTGGTGACGAAGCAAATGAACGAATTCAAGATGCTGGCAGGGCTTGTGTTCGTGGATCTTCCCTATTTTATCGCCAAAGACTTCCCGGCCAAGCTGATTGCACGCAGTCTGATATACCGGAAGGACATCGAGGAGAAACTGTCGGTGAGTTTGGAAGAAGTCGAAGAGCAAATAGGCGAACAGAGGGAGAGAATCAGGAGTCAGAACTGCTCCAACTGCTACTTCAATGATATTCAGAAGGTGGGAAAGAATTGACGATGTTGCATAAAATCAAGAGAGAATTCAGGCTTTGACGAACGGAGAGAAGCGATATTATCTGTACGAGAGAAGTACGTTCAAAGTTTTGAACTACGACGGAGGACACTTGTCACTGACTGCCTACGAACACATTCGGCCTATTTATCAGAGCAGAATCGATCAGCTCCTTGATTTCATCGCGAAGAGTACATGAATCAAATGTAGTACTGTATTTAGAGATAATGAAGTTTTTTTTCATAATATTTCTGTTCCTACTTGTTTACTTCCCAGTTCCCATTGAAAGTGTGCTCTACCGAGAACTCATACGACACTCCGAAATGCCGCGCCTGCTAAACACGGAGAAACTCCCCGCGCGATTCAAATTTTGTTTCACTTCCTTTTTCAGTTCCCCTAATTTTCAATTTTGTTTTAGAAAAATGGCCGAAGCAGCAAGAAAAGGACTGACCGCCTTCAACACTATCAAACATATAATCTCGGAGCTCAAAAAAGTGGATAAGGTGATCAACTAATTATCGATTTGTAAACAAAAGAATAATTTGATTGCAGACGTTCTCCCCGGAGTCTCAACAATACAAGTTCTTGATGGATCAGATGAGAGCCGATCAGGTGACGACGAGAAGATATTCGAAAGCCGCGAACGAGTCCGAGAGCGTTGCCAAGCTCTATCTGAGTTATATTCAAGGGTGAGCCTATAGTTCAGTTCAAGCTAAGCGCATAAATGAAATTACAGCACTCGCCGACTTAATGTACTCCAAGAGCGATACAAGGGAGCCGAAAAGACGGTCGAAGAGAGTGCCCGTCTTGTTGGATTGAAGCTTCCAGAGCGAAAATATTGAGAATTCTTCAATTCTGTGATTAGTTTAGTGTCTCTGTTATAGTTAATCCTTTTAAATAAATATGTCGATCCTCTGTTCTGTTCTTCCTTTTTCTTTTTTCTTATGCCTTGGTTTCATCGCCATTCTATATTTGGTTTAACCTTCTCAGTTTAAACTTTTAACGTCATTATTTCAGCCAGATATGAGTAAGAAGAAAAACGATAACAACGGAGAGGATGAGCAGCCGAAGCTCGCGTGGCTCATTGAACCAGCGAAGGATCTTGTGGCCAACTTTGACATCGATCTTCTTCACGTGAGATTAGAATGAAACGGTCGAAAATTTATTTGGTGTTCAGGCTCTATCCGAATACCTGAACGTAATCCGAAAGGCTGGCGATGAAAATGCGCTGGAGATGGATGCCGCCGGCAATTACAAACTATTCGACTTCCAAGAAGCCGTTCGGGTGATCAACAATTCAATGAACGTCTACGCCAAAAAAGTGGATCACATTTACGAACTGACACTTTCCGTCGTCGATTTGTTCGATAGGAATGGTAACGACGGAGAGCCAGCAGCTGCTCGGAGAGGACCGAGAGGCCGCAAAAACGTTAATTTGGGGTCGACAAGTTACGAATTGATCGATGTGAAATTACTGATGGCAGAAGCATTCGAAGGATGGGAGAAGTCAGAAAAAGAAGAGAAAAAAGCGATTGACAATCTGAGATTGGTCAAAAATGCCGAGGACACCGAGATGCACTACGATAGAAACTGTTGTCTGATTGCCAAACCGACGCAGTTCATGTTCAAACTGAACTACGGACAGTTGAACAGAACAGACGAACAGGTGCAGAATGCAAAATCCCGTCCGGAAGTTATCGGAAAAGTAAAAGACTTTGACATAAAAAAATCGGAAATGAACCACGAACAGCAAATGCTATTCACACATGACTGCTATCGATCGAACGTGGATCAGTTTACGTTGCCGGGTGCCAGATGGGTCCCTGACAACAAAGACTTGGCCAAGAACTTTGGAGTGGCGGATATTGAAGTCGAATTGGATTTGGAGAATGAGCACGAGAAGATTAATGCGTACGGACCGTTCAAAGTGAGTTTGTATTGTGCACTGCTCTTTATCAATAGCTAACTTTTTAGGATCCTCTTTCCGGCCGCGAAGTCGTCGCTCCTCCAAAATGGTTTATTGAACAAGAAGCCGTCCGTCAAAAGCAGGATATCCAGTCCCGCGCCAATTCCCGTGCAACTTCCCTCGCTACTCGGACTCTCCGTGACTCGCAGCAATTCGGATCTCAGCCCACTCGTCTCTCGCAACCATTTGTGGAACGTCATAGGAACAATCTGAATCAGTTTGTCTCGTTCGTCGAAGGACGGCTCAACAAAAACCGGCCGAGCGCTCATCTCAATACTGGACTCGTCGATATGTTCGTTGATAATTTCGGAGCTCAAACGCAGCCGTTCAACCATAATAATGGCTACGATCCGATGGAAGTGGACGACGAATACGACGGAGAAGCGAACAATGATGACTATGATGCTCCGGATGACTACGTGAACGATTTGACGAAAAGAAAGGAGCGGAAAGCACCAGCGCCGTGGGATGACTTTGAGAATGGCGGACGGATGATGTGGTACACAGGGGACGAGGACATCCAAATCAGCAGAAAGTCTGTGAAGACGATGACCAAAGATCCTCCATCAGCTGTCGAAATGATGAAGAGAAAGCATAGGAAGGAGGCGAAGATCGGAAAGACACGTCGCGACGAATTCATGGAGACTCACGAATATCTGCAAGATTACTATTACTGGCGCAGTGCTGCGCGGATAAATCCGAACAAAGACTGGAAAGTAGAAGCGTTGAGGACAGCCATTTTGAAGGAGAAGAAACGACGTGCAAAGGACAAGATTGCGAGGATTCGTGAGGCGAGAGCACAAATGATACCGAAAAGACGGACAGCGAGGCCAGCACTTGCAATGGAAGACTTTGATTTCCAACCAGAAGACGTCGAAACTGCGCCGACAAACAGAAAAACTCTCGGAGCAGAATGTGAGATAGTTTTCAACAAATCTTACAAGACATCTATTTTCAGACGAAGACGTGGCAGATGAAGATCTTGCCGCTGAAGTTGAGTTTTCCATGCTCGGAGGAGAATTCGAAGACGACGAAGATGACGTTCAGCCCCGCGGAGAATTCCCTCCTGTTCCGGCTTCCGACAACTATGAGTTTAATGCCGCAGACACGTTCCCTCCGCCTGCACAAGCCACTCATCAGCCTCTTCGTTTCGATGACATCGACGATGCCGAGCTGAACACAGTCATCAACTTGCCCGGCAACCTTCTCATCGACAGTGCGTCCTTTCTTCTCATCTCTTCTTATTTTCAAGTTTACAGAGGCATTGCCACTCCTCAAGAAGTTTGCCGAGAATCGAACGGATCGCGAGCAGATGGCGTACGAAATGGCGAAAGCCTACGAAGATGTCGACGTGGCAGTCTCCACTCTACAGGAACAAGTGGACAATTGGCACGCAAAGCTCGATCCGATTCTTGAAGAAGGGGAGACTCGCAAAGAGTACAACGTATGATCGGATAAGCAGAAGATGAAAAATGCGAATTAATTTCAGGTGCACCACCTCGGAAATACAATCCTCGCGTACTTCGAAACGGAGGGAGATACGAAGCGGCTGGTGGATCTGGTAGTCGGACGGCCCTGGTATGAAATCAGTCGCTGCTTCCTGTCGTGTCTGTTCATGTGCAATTCACTGAATGTGATGGTGGCTGACGACAAAGAACTTTCGCTCGAAGAACGAATCAACTCGATGAAAATCTCCCTGCTCAATCGCGAAATGCACCACGAAGTATTTGCACAAGATGATGCCTTCGCTTGAATACAAAAACCGATGTCCTTTTCCAGTAACGTATAATTGTATTATGTACCTCCTGTTTCTAATATCTCTATCTCACTCGATTCTCAATCATTCCGAAAAATCGCATCTGTTTCATCAAATTTTCTAACAGGTTTATTAGGAATTATAAACGTATTTCCCGACTTATTTAATCGTCCAATCCCAAGTCGTAGTCGAGTGACTGATGTGTTGCGTACGAATTCATGAATGCCGAGCCGTGCTCCAGTGACTGAGTGACCGACGTGACGACATCCGAATGGATCATGGCATCGAACCAACGAGTTAGCTTTGGATAGTTCTCCTTTCCCGGGAACGACGTCTGCGGAAGATCGACGACTTGCAGTTCGGTCGCCCACCAGATCTTCTCGAAGAAGGGAAACGAGAGGTAATCCGGATAACCCGGTTTTGCACCTGAAACGAAATATTAAACTGCGATTCCGATTCTCTCGACACGAACCTGCGAAGAACTTATCGGAGAGCAAGTCCTCGGCCTGTTTGAGCACTTCGAACACCTTCACCTGCTTCTCGTCCTTCAGAGTACGGTCCCGCATCACGGCGAACAAAAGGGGAACGGCATGAGCAACCTGAACTTGGAACGATTGAAACTGCGTCCGCCCGGCTGAAGAAGGGAACCCACGGCCGTCAACCGATCCGCGAGCAGTTTCTGCTGCGCCTTCTCGTACGGATCCGTCGGCAGAATGCGAGCTTCCGGGAACGCGTCGTCGAGGTATTCGGGAATGAATCCCGACTCGATCACCACTTTTCCGTCGTGCTCCACCGCGGGCGCTTTGCCCAAATAATGTTTGTTCCAGTACCACTCCGGCTTGTCCGTCACATTCAAATTCACTACTTCCGCGCTGAAATACCTCCGGTCGATTGCCCGTTTCCCAACTGCAATGGCTCACTCGATGCCCTTGGCTGCCACGTAGAGCATCGCTCGTTCGGCCCACGGACAGAATCGCATGTTGTAGACGCGGAAAGTTCCGGAAGAGAGCGGCGGTTCCGTGTCGCCCTTCCGGATGGCCTTCGAATTGACTCCAGTGAGAACCATCTGAAAACAAAAAAGAGACGGTGGAAACGAACTGAGAATTAGGAGAAACAATGGGAAGTTATCAGACGGGAGAAATGAGTGATAACGGCACGAAAATGATCTGATGCAAGAGGAGTAAACATGTTAGAAACGGAATATGAATCAAAAGATGCAGGGCTGGGCAACAGGCCGGCTTGGATTGGAGTAGCTTGGGTCCAAGTTTCAGGCCGATCAGATTTTTAAGTCCGGATATACTTGACAAGAATTTTTTAGACCGAATTTTTGCGATTAAAGAGAAAATTATGGGGACATACAGCAAAGATGGTTTCACAATACTGACTGAATTCAAAGTGTTCCCGAACAAAAGCGAAAAGAAAACGCGTGGGAAGGGACATGCAACTTGTACACGTTCGTCTTCATTGCTATTCCAACCGAGCCGAATTCCGGGAAAACACAAAATTCCTAACGGCCTTTGTTGAAAATCGGTTAATTTGCACTTCATCGGAGGGGAAACGACAGCTTCTCGTCGCTTATCACACGCGTAAATCATTTGACGGAAAGCATTTTTGATGATGGAAAGAGGAAAATTCAGATGAAAAAGAGAAGAAAACCGATGAGCTTCAGAAAAATAAAGGAATGGAGGCGTTTAATGCGCCCATCGTAAATATAGTTGCGCAATTTTATTCATGGTTTTCGTATTCCGCATTTGCATAGGTCGATGAGTCATCGCGGCGGGAAGAGAGCAGAAGGACAGAAGAAGGTTCCGGGCGCCGATCGGACCTGAAACAAAATAGAAAGACTCACTCGGACAGTATCCATCACTTGAGAATCACTGATTTTTGACGCTTCTCGCATTCGATTTTTTTGCATTGGCGAGCGAAAACCTGTTTTCTCATTTCTGACACTTTTTTTCAGAAAGTATATAGTTATCAGATCGAGAAGAGCAACGCAGTTAGAATTAGTTCAGGTTCTGTGAGAGACAATTATAATCTGGGACTCTTCAGAACTACTAGACGCATAAAGTTAATCGGTTCTTTCGGCGGATTCCCATTCGTCTCCCGTGATTGCGAATTTCCATAAATCAGTAGCCCATTCTCATCTGACTTCTTTTCAGAATACCATTCCAATTCGGGTCTCATCATCTTCTTATCACTATTAATCATCTACAAAATTATCGGAATGAATACAAAAACGATGTCATCTCCTCCCAAACGACGCAGTTTTTTTCGGTTTTTTCCCCCGACCGGATCAAGTTTTTCGACGAGTTTTTGCCGCCGTCAAAGGGCGTCGTCGGGAGGTATGCGTATAAAAAGAAAGGGCGACGGAGAGACAGCAACGTTCTTTCTGAACATGTCGACTCTCGGATACGTGGGCGCCTCCGTCTGCCTCGTCGGAGTGCTCTCCTCCCTTTTCTCCATCAGCCATATCGTGCGCGACATCAATTCGCTGAGAACTGAGGTCGAGGATCGTGTCGATGAGTTCAAAGTTTTGGCCGATGACACGTGGCAACGCCTTCTGATCCTTCAATCGCCGACCGGAGAGACCGAGAATGTGATGCCGTCGATCTTCCGTTCCAAGAGATTCGTCTACCCAGGCATGTGCAACTGCGACAGCAACTCTCAAGGATGCCCAGCTGGACCACCAGGACCACCAGGACTCCCAGGAAAGCGCGGAGACGAGGGAGCTCCAGGAGACCTCGGACGCACCGGAGCCACCGGAATCTCTTTGGCCGCCGTTCACCACATTCCAGGAGGATGCATTTCTTGCCCAGCTGGACCAGCTGGACCACCAGGACCCCAGGGAGCCGTCGGACCACAAGGGTTCGCGGGAATCGCCGGACCAACTGGACCATCCGGAGACGACGGACAACCAGGACCACAGGGACCACAAGGAGACAAGGGAGCTCAGGGACCAAAGGGCTTCGATGGAGCCGACGGGCCAGACGGACAGCCAGGAACCGCCTACTTCCCAGGAGCCGTCGGACAGCCAGGAGAGCCAGGATGGCTTGGACTTCCAGGACTTCCAGGAAAGCACGGAGAGCCAGGAAAGGACGGAGAGGAGGGACCGACGGGAGCCCCAGGAACCCCGGGAGCCAACGGAAGAGACGCCTACCCAGGACCACCAGGAAAGGCCGGAGAGCCAGGAACTGTTGGTGAGTACCGCATTCTCAGCGGTTCCAGTGAGACTAATGTGTGTGATTTCAGGAAAGGACGCCAACTACTGCCCATGCCCAGCTCGCCGCGACTCAAAGACCGACAGCGTGCACGAGCCACCAGCGGCCTCCCAGAACGGAGGATACAGAAAGGCCAAGAGACACTAGATGTCCGCTGTTTCCTTATTTATTTGACACTTCCAATAAAGAGTGTTACAATCAAAATTCTTTTCTTTACTCATTCCCAACTCACACGAAAAAACAATATATGTACAGATGGCCGTGGCCTAGAAAACGACCCGCGCCTCGTGATTCGATATTGTTGCATGCAAAGCGAATGCCACAACGGAGAAATTATAAACAATTTGATAATATCGAAGTAGTTGTACAGCGCAGACATTAATTCAATTAAGATATTTTATTCGGAATATAATTGTTCTCTTCGTCTTCTTATATTATCCATCCATGTTTCCCGTTTCCGATCGATAGAATCTGAAAGGAACGTGCATTCGTGGAGAGACGCAGAAAGCGCTCGGTGAGCGTCTCTCCTCTGGCACCCTCTCCCTCTCCCTTCCGAATCGATTCTCTCCTTTCCGACTGCCACTTCAGCTTCTTCTATTATTGTGCAATTCATTGATTTCAGGATGCCGAAACATCCGATAGCAGAGGAATATCCTGTGGATATTGTCGATCTCAGTGATGACTTCAAAACTTCGAAAACGTTGGACATCACCTTGGACGAAGAGAAGAAGATACACAGATACTGGATCATTCTGAGAAATGTGAAATGGTCAGTTTGCATCGTCAATGATCAACGAGGAACATTTTTCGTTTTTCAGGCAAGTGGAGCTCCGTTCGACTTCGTTCGAGTGCTTTGCAGCCTATTTCAAGGCGCCTTCCACTTGGTCCGCCGAAATTGACTTCGAAATCCGCGCGCACATCACCAACTCGGTCCGTACGGACCGTTTCGCCGGAAAATTCACCGGCGCCAACCACATGCACTTCCGTCATTTAAAGCTGCACGAGCACATGGCTCGCGAGAAGCTGAAGACGTTGAGAGTGGAGATCGTGATCAATGTGACGGCTCTCCGCAACTTCGGAATGTTCCACGACTACTTCGACATGATGCCGGAGGAAGAGGATGCTATGCTGAATGTGGAGGGAAGACTCATTCGCATCAACAAAAGGTACTTGGCGATGATGTCGCCGTTCTTCAAGGCCCTCTTCTATGGAGAAATGGGCAAGGAGAAGGAAATGTTCGACCTGCCGCATGACAAATTTCGAGAGGTCCTCACTTTCCTCAGAGTCGTCTACCCCCACAGACAACCAGTCACCAAGAAGAGCCTGGATTTCCTGCTCGACATGTCCGATCGTTACCAGTGTCAGCCACTCGTCGATGCTTGCGAAATGTTCATGTGTGCTCACTATCACGAGTACCAAAAGAAGACCGAGAAGTGTCTGATGTACGTGGAGAAGTTCAAGATGCAGCGTCTTCTGGTAGGAAGTCAATTACGCTCAAAAATGCTCATAATCGATCATTTTCAGCGCGTCGTCACCGAGTTCATCTCCATCAGTCAGAATTCCAATGATTTCCGTAATCAGTCCTACTGGCCGAACCTCTCGGAAAAGACGCAGTTGGCTGTGCTCGAGTACATGGCCAAGTCCAACAAACAGCAAAAGGGCATCGAACGCCGTCGCGGAGCAAATGCTCACAGAGCCAACATCGACCCGATCGACGACCAGGACCCGCCGAACGGCCGACTGGTGGTGATCCCTGATCCGGTGCGCAACGCAGATATGCACGTTCCCGCCGATCACATCAATCCGTACGGACGTTATCAATACCGCCCTCATTTCTTCCGTTACAACTGAGTCTTTCATGACACTTTGCCCGCAATTACTTCAAATCTCGTTAATGACTGATTGAAATATTTCCAAATAGACCGATCACCTGATTGCTTTCTCCCCTTCTCTTGCGTTGTCCGTCTTCTTCTTTCTCTATCATTGTTCCTCCCAACAGCCATAATTAATTAATTAATTGTAATGCCTAGTTCCGAATAAAGTGGGGAAACACAAGGCATAGTTACCATCAAATACGTTTCCGAATGTTGAGTTGGTGAGAATCGTCGAAGTTCGGCGTTAACCAGCTAGAGTGGTAGCTAGTCGGTTGATCGACATGGCGACAACTGTCTTTATTGATAAGAATTCAGTAAACTCAAACATTTCCGACTTTACTGCGAGTATGATATAGTGGAATTCTAATGGGTGAGGACTCTCAGAAGCCTGGAGAAGAGAATACATAGAACCATGCTGCAAGCAGCAGCCACTGGAAGCGAGCCACTTGTGTGCGATTGATTCGCTTCGCCGTCCCCTCCGTGCCTTCTGCGCACTTCTCCTGCTTCTATCATGGTTCTATTCTCTTATCGAGGCTTCTTAGATTCCCTCCCCATTAGAATTTTACGACGTCATCCTCGGATGCTCGAAGAGCAGTCTCTCCAAGCGATGAGTGCCACAGGCGTGCGATCTTTCCACTTCGCCGTCTTCTCCCTGCCTTCTACGCACTGCTGCTGTTTCCAGAGCTGATGGGCGAGTAGAAGGGAATAGAAGCATGCTGAAAGCAGCAGAAGTGCGTCGAAGGCAAGGAGGACACATGGCTCCGCTCCCTTCGAGTTCCTTCTGTTAGATTGACAGGCACAGGTGAATCGCGAAAAGTGTGGAATTAGTTCGCGATTTATCCCAGATTTTTTCTCCAGGTACACGCGATGAAGCGAATTGTTGATTAATAACTGACAAATCGCGAACGGGCATTGTATAATTGACAAATCCTGCGCAAATCGCCCATTGTATAACAAGCCAATTTTTCACAAATCGCACTTGAGACGAGATAATTTTATTAAACGAAAAAAAGTAACAAAATAACAGAATGCAATGTTAGAGACAAAAGAAGAAGTGAAAGAAAAAATCGAAAAAAAAGAATTAAGTAGAAAATCACGTAACAGTCGGCGATTACTTCTGCGACTCCGTCCTCATGCTGAATGTGTTCATCTTTTCTTTCCTTTTCGAAACGTCATCGTTTTCTTCCCACACACTATTCGAAGTCGAACATTGACTGAAATTGAATGATTGATTTTCTTTGTATCCTTCTGAATCTCACCGTCCAACGACCACGTTGTTCGTTTTGGCGAGGAATAGGCCGTCTGACACTGTTCGAACTCTGCGCCCGGCACACTCGAATCACTTTTTTAAATCTTGGTCGGCATTAATAACTTCCAGTTATTCTCTTTTTCTAAATTCGTTCGCATTATCTGAAATCTTTTTTCTGATGCAATTGAATCAAAAAACCATTTTCTCACCTGCGGCTGTCTGTTTCTGGAAGTATTAGTCGTGGCAATGAACCATAACGAATTGAAATGCGAAACCTGTATGCTCTACTTTGGTTTAATTACATAAAAAGCATGCGAAATTGCAATAAAAAAACCAACGAAAAATATGAAAAAAATCACAAATATTTGAATTCAAAAAGTGAAACTCAGAGTGACCAGCCCGTTCGCCGATTTGTCGATTGTGCACCCTCGTTCGCGAACTTGTCAATAATTCACTAATTATACATCAATCGCGAACAAGCGCGATTTCTTTATTATACACTGTGTTGTGCGCCAATCTGCTTCTCATCCCGTTCGCGATTTGTTGATAATTTGTCTACAATTGGCTCAATTGTATAATTGATCAACCGCGTTTCACCTGTGGGGAACTGATCACGACAGGGAACTGATCGAAGAACGAAAAGGAGAAAATTGAAAGGAAGAACGAGTTGCTGATTGAAAAGGTAGTAAAAGTTTTTCAGAAAACTTTGACTGTTCCAAACTGAACATTTTTTAGTTCTCTGGGCAGCGCAATGATTTGAAAGCGGCAGAAGACAAAGCTGAAAAGCTTAAGACCGAAATCAGTGTTCTGAAACAATACGTCAAGTCGGTTAACGCTGAGGTACTTAAGCGGTTTTTTTTTCAAATTTTATCTTCTCCATTCAAACTGTTTCGAAGTTCATAAGTATAACTTTATTTCAATCTTCTGGATTGCTCGAAAAGATTTTATCGGACCTAAAATTCTAGTACTTCTTTCGGGAATCAAATTTCGCATTGAAAGCTTTTCAGTACGCACAACTCTTGGATGCTAATAAGATAAGTTCCGTGGGAAAAAAGCGGAACAAGCGCGGATGTGAAGATTTCCTCCACTTGACTCATTTTTTTCAGGCTGCCGATCAACGTCGTGGGTTGGAGGAGACCATCAAACAGCTGAGAGAGATGTGCCGGATACTACAAACGGACTGTGATATGCTCCGTCTGGATGTGGAACAGCTCGAAAAGCAGGTAAGCGCGGCTTTTCAAATCTTGGAAAGAAAGAAGCAATTGCTTTCTGTAGCTTGCTTTTTTAAAGTCCTTTCCCGTTCTATTCGTTTCAAAATTCATAACAATTCGTTTCGATATTCTGCCCCGCGAATTTCTGGCAATGTCGCTCTAGCGCGGTACCGGTAGCTGCCGCAATCACTTGGAAATGTGACATTTTCTAACTTAGCGGTAAACGCGATAGCCAGACTTCTGCGGCAGCTGTAGATGCTTTGCTGTATTTTGAATGTTCCAGGCGGAAGTGTGTACATCTGAGGCGACGTCGGCCGTTGCGAGAGCCGATGGAAGCAAGGTTCGCCGTATGATCTCGATGAAAGCGCGTAAGATACTGTTGGAGTACTACGAGCAGGACAGCACTGTCAAAATTACCAGGATAGAAGAAATAGCTGCCGATCTCGTTGCGAAGACAGGAGAGTCGGATTGGGACAAGAAACGAGTTAAAAAAATTTTTTTATAAAGAACGGCTTCGGAGACGGAAGGCGGAGGTGGACGCGAAGTCTTAATCTTTGAAAACGTTTCAATTGTTAACCAAGCCTGTTCTCATCTAATTTCCATTTGTTCCATCTGGAATTTCTCATTTATATATATATTTTTTATATTTTCATATTTATTTCACGTGCCCCTCTTCTTTTTTCACCCCGAATCGCCCATTTTCAGCACTGATTTTCGTGTGAAATTTTCGTTTATTTGTGTCATATTCACCCATTTTTTCGTCTCCCGTTCCTCTTTTCTTGCGGAAATCCAAAGTTTCCATGGAAACTGTGCGAAAATAGAATTTCCGACATTTTCACATTTGTGCATGCTTCATTCAATTTCGCTCTTAATTCTCTACCCGAATTTGTAGAAGATAAAACATTGTTCATCACAGGAAATGTCCGATTATGAACGTTTCGACACTGTTTTCCTCTCCGCCGCTCAGCAACTCCGGTGGCGTCCCTCAAGTTCTAGACGTCCTTCTAGACTTCCTGTCCAGGTATTTTTTCTACTAAATACAACAATTTTCTTCCCAGATTTTCTATCTGCACTGATTCGTTGTTGTTAGTAATTCCAATGTCTTTCTTCAGAAAATTTGGAAATGGACGAGGACATTGAGATTAGTCTTCCACGGAAAGGGATCAACCAGCTGATGGTTTCGACCATCTCGAGGGCGTCGCGATCCTGCAGCACACGATTCGCGAACCGGTTGTACTCCATCTCGCCCAGAGCGCCAATGAGAAGTCGTCGTCGGGTCGCCTCGTTCAGATCCGCTCCTTCTTCCGTCAGCATCTCTCCGTACCGATCGTACCAGTGACTGAAGGTGATCCCATTCTCCGGGTCATACTCGAATCTCTTCAGTCGTGCCGTGATCGAGTCTATCTTCTGAGTTCTTCTCTCTTCCACCGACGCTCCTCCTCCCTTGCCAGTCAGCCGTTCGAGCAGCTTGTTGAACTGTTCTTCGCTCATCATGATTCTCCGCAGTCAGATCGTTAGTTTCTTGATCGCCAGTTGTTGTGTCCGTAGGGACGACTCTTTGAGGAAGCTCGGACTTATATTTAGAGAGTTTATTAAGAACTGACGAGTATCACCAAAGTGAACTCTCGATTATGAGAACACTCAGTAACCACATCAAAAGGTCACGTAAATACACAACAAAAATAAACGCTATTTTTCGTTCTTTTGATTTCTGTGCGATTTCACGAGACCCACAAGGCTCCTTTTTTTGCCGCGCGCCGAACCCCTGGGCAACAAATCAGCTGCTTCTACATGCCCGATGATTTCGTCACATCGGGAGTGGCTTATTTGGCAGAGAAGTACACCGTCTCACGCAGGTCAGAGGTAGTGTCTGAATACTCTCTGCGACCGGGCGGCTCCAACTCTGGCTTAGCAGATCATAATGGCCCTTGACGGTCACGGGTACGCGGCAATTTTTGCTAGTCGAACCCACTACCCACTGCCCTTTATGCGAGAGGCCGTTTGGCGAAGGCCTCATACTGTCTGCCGTACCCGAACTTGTTTTGATGTTCCCTTTTCGCTCATTTCGATTTCTCTCTGGAATCATTTATTTACAACATTTTTGCTCATCAGAATTTATCAAATTACGAAAAACAGAGGGACAAAATTGGGGGATTTTAGGGGAACGAACAATTGAAGGAGGGGGTTTGAATGTGATTGCCATTGAAATGGTTAGGGTGAGAAGTGAGGAATACGGGCGGCCCGGAGAATCAGGAGCTGCTGAGCACTACTTAGAAGGCGTGCTCTCGGTACTCGACGATGACGGAATGGTCACCGGGGAGGATGTATGTGTGCGTGTATACTCAATGTATCGCTCTTTCCACCTCGGTGTTTGCAGACTCAAACCTAATTTCTGGAAATTTTGGTTTGAGTCTGCAAACACCGAGGGCAATAGCGATGAATTGAGTTTATGAGGGTGAGACCCGGGCGCTTTTCCGAACGTCGCAAGACAGGATTGGTTGGAGGGTAACGGAATCCGGAAAAGCGAAACAACAACAGAACAAACGGTCAATCAACAAAACGTCTTCTCTCGCTTTCAAACAATAATTAGAACAGGTTCTCTTGAATGAATTGTGCCTTACATGAAAAAGAGTAGAGGGATCAGTTCCTAGTTTTCAAGAAACAATTAGCATTAGGCCATGACATTTTCATCAAGAGCAGAGAACGTGTTGGAGTGAGAGACGAAGAGAGCATGTGAGGGGGCTATGTACAATTGGGGGACAGATTTGTTCGTAATTAGGGGAAGGGACGGACAGACGAAATGAGCATTTGAAACCAGTCAAAGAGCATGCATTTAAATTAGGGGGAGACAGAGAGAGAGGAGGGGAAAGTTATCGATTCATAACGTAGAATATAATAGAAATTTATAGAATTACTTTTTTTTTGTTTTTTTGTTTGGTTTTTGATAGGGGATAGATAGAATTATTAGGATATTCAAGGTTCGGAAGTCTTTTAATGAGGGGAGAGACGGAGAGCAGAAATTTGAGAAATCAGTCAACAAGAGAACCAGTGTGCGTTCGCGTTTTGTGTGCATGAAACGATTAACGAAAGGACAGAGGAGGAGGATGTGATGGGGGAATCGACGTGCCACGTGGCATGAGGATCGTCATCAGCTTCATCATCATCATCATCGTTAGGGTAATCATCGATTGTTCGCCTAACAACATGGTATGGAAACAAAACAAAACAATGTGTGTGTAGGTGGGAGGGAGGCGTGTGCTTGATGATGGGACTTTGAGAGAGCGGCTAACAATATGAACATGGGTATTGATTGCGACCACGTGGCACACTGTGTCTTTTTTCTGATTATAGTCCTCTGGAGAGATGAGGGTTGTGTTTAGAGTGAAAGGATAGAGCAGAAAGAGTTTGGATGATGAATGAGATGCTCCGTGCGAAGACGTCCTTTACTGCGGAATTTGCTGGAAATACTAAATTTTAGGATTCTGCTACAGTTCTGATTACGACGGTGATCACGTGGATCCTAGACTACGGAACGCCACACACCTTTTTGTTGCGTCCGTTGTTCGGGTTCATGTTGTAGTACTGTTGTTGGTTGCCTCCTTGGCCACCTTGTCCTCCGGCCTGTACTCCTTGGCCACCGGCGTTCTGTCCACCGTACATGTGAGCTCCGTACATGTCACCGCCGCCGTTCGCCTGCGGGTTTCCTCCTCCGACATGCATACCGCCCATCTGCGAAGCCAACGAGTTGACATCGTACTGTTGATGGTAGACGGCAGCCGGGTGGTATCCGTAGTACGACTGGTAGACCTGCGGGTACTGCATTCTCTGGAGCATGTCCTGGTTTCCCATGGCGTGCTGAAACAGAATATTTAGTACATGGAGAAGCGAGGGAAGCGAAGAAATCAGCAAGTCTCCGGGCGGACATGATTCGAGTTCTAATAGTCTGAAATCCTACCTGGCCATTCAAAAACGCCGACGGTCCGCCCAGAGAGCTAAACTGGTGAAAGGAGGGATGGCGGCCACCAACCTTACTCTTCCTGCCGGTGTCGGCTTGCTTGATGAGAAGGGCTGGGCCTTCCTTGGTCATGGTCTCGAAGCGACCTCCGTTCAGAGCAGAGATGATCACTTCGCACTTTTCTTTCGAATCCATGCGAGCGAAGCCAACTCCGCGAGACTGATTATCCGGAGTACGGAGAATACGGGTCGAGATGACCATTCCGTATTTGTTGAGCTCAGTCTCGAGCATCTGTTCGGTGAAGTCTAATGGAAGATTGGCGATGTAGAGATTGGTCGGGTCCTGCTCTTGTTGTTGCAGCTTGGCCATCTGGGCTTGAACTCCCTCTGTATTCAGTCCATCGACGGCAGCAGCAGCGGCTTGGGGCGACTCGAAATCAACGAATCCGTATCCTTTGCAGTTGTTGGTGGCCTTGTCCATGATGGCCTTTGTGGACGCGATGTTTCCATACTTCGAGCACATGTCACGAAGAGTGTCATCATTGGTGTTCGGGGCCAGACCGCGAATGTAGAGATTGGTCTGAAAAATGAGGACATAGATAGGACGATGAAGGCACAAAAGGGGGTGGTCGTACAGAACTGGGAGTTCCGAAATTCGAGGAGCGTTGTTGTGAAGTGGGAAAAGTTCGTCGCGAACTCACCGAGCTCAATGGCGTCGAGTCGTGGTGCTGGTTTCCGTCACGCGGCGCAGTGTAACGGCCGTAGCCGTTGCTGTTTCCAAAAGGACCACTGCCTCTCATGTGGTTCTGCGGACGCTGAAAGGCAAACGATAAGGATAATCTGTATGTAATAGGAAGGAGAAGTGAAATTTAGTCAATTTTGAATGTTAAGGATTTGGAATTATGGTCTTGAGATTAGAGTTTATAACCGAAAGGCGGACATAATAACTTTGAAAAGATGCACTTACTCCTCCGTAGAATTGACGTTGTTGATGTTGTTGTTGCTGCTGCTGCTGCGGCGGTTGCCCTTGTTGCTGCTGTTGGGGCGCGGCGACCGACGACGTGTTCATGCTTGAATGATGACCAGTTGAGGAACGGTGATGTTGTTGAGACGGGTGTTGGTGATATTGGTGGTGTGGAGGATAGTGAGGGCCACCCTTATCGCTTCTCGTATACAGTTGTTGCGCGTTCTGGGCAGTCGGCGGCATCAATGAAGCCAGCGCACACTTGCTGCAAACACCACAAAACAACGACGTGCACAGAGAGAAGCGATTCAAGGGACGGCACAGAGACACAGAAGGGAAAAGGAGTGAAAGAACACCAAGTTGCTGTGATTTACACCCGTCTGGATGGTGTAGAACACAGTGAGCGAAAAGTCAGGGGAGGGAGGACAGGTGCAAGGAAAGGATAGCGTGTTTGTTATACTCACCTTCTTTGGTTATTGAACGAAGTTGATTAAATGAAGATGGTAGATGGGGCGTTCGAAAGCAACGTGCTCTACAAAAATATACTTTTGAGAAAAGAAGGAACGGGTGGCAGAAAGTGGAAGAAAAAGAGATAAGATCATGAAAAGTTGAGATCGCTCCGCGGGGAGAAGTAGTGGGCTTGGAAAAGTCATAGGGAGACAGGAGAAGGAAATTCGGACAAGAGAATGACCCAAACAAGGACTGCGGTATAAAAAACAGATGATGAGAGAAAATGCGAAGATCGGAGACTTTAGACAGACGTCAGCCTTGACCGGTGGCGTCGGCGCACGACGCCAGTGCGCGGACACCACATACAGAAAACTGAAAAACAAAATAAAACACGGAGTGAGTAGAATGTGGATTTGAACGGTCAAGACAGAATTGTTGCTTCTCCTGGCGGACAAGTGCAAAATAGATGGGTGAAAAGACGAATCAGCGTCTCGCATTCGTGCTCATCACCGTGGCCCGGCACACACAAACATCTATTATCATGGCGCCGCTGACTCACAGATTATATTAAAATGTACATTTCCAGCGGGGGCCTTCATTGTTGCTGTTGCACGAGCCACGGAGACCCGGTCGAATATTTACTCTCATCACTTCACGCACACCTACGAACGGATAGGTCCGAAAAAACTGACAGCGCGCGCGCTCACACTCTCTTTCTCTTCTTCTAGACCTAGTGCATCGAAGATCAACGGTTGCTATATTACGCACACAGTACGCGCCGGTGCGGTAGAAAAGTGGAGTCGAACTCGCGTCCAATTGAACGGCGGAAAAGCGGATTTATCCTGCATGGTGTGTGAGTCATTGCGAAATCGCAAGAAACTACGTTTGAGTGGGAGCGCGCGCATTGCGTACGTAGTAAGAAAAAGAAGATAACAAGAAAAGGGAGAAGAAGCCGAAGGAGCAGCAGAAAAACGAGTGGGGAGGGGTCAACAGGCCGACTGGACACATGCTCTCCTCTGTCGTTTTCGTTGAGCAAACCGAGACGTGGGAAGAGGGGCGTATGTTGTGTGAGAGGACGGTGGGACTGCGCGGACTGTTTGTGGCGGCCTGCCTGGCGGTAGGGTGGTTGTTGGTGACGGGACCGCCCAAAAAGTGCCGATCAAACTATATACAAAAAATGTGCGAGTGTGGAGGAGTAAGAGTGAGCAGAGAAATGGGATAGCGCGCAATCGGACGGGCGGTCCGCTCACTCTCGGGGAGGTCGCCTCCCGTCCCTCCCTTCTTCTTCTACTTCTTTTTGTTGCACACACCGAGCGGATGGGCAGACGGACGGGGAGGATAGGTGGCCACCCTCGTCAAGGACGCGCTCGATGGCTAGGAGATACAGTAATACAAGTGAGAAAGAGGAGGGTGGGAGACCGGCCGCCCGCATTCAATCAACTGCATCCAAGTTGGTTGGGAAACCGAGGGGCCTTGAGAGGTAAGGGTGATGATGGGGATGAGATAGTGAGGGCGGATGGTTTTCGATAACGTTTAACGGAACTCCAGGTAGCTCGCGAAGAGAGTATAAAATGTACGAATAAGTTACGATATGCAAGGGCGGCAGTGTTGCATGCTTCTAAATTTCATATGATCATAAAAATTTAGGGGTTCCGTAGGACCTCCGCTGCAATTATATCATCCTTGTTTTTCTCATTTTCTAATCTATCAACTTGTTTGTTCCTGTCTAGTTATTGCGTCTCCTTCTAGCATTCTAAAGTCCTCATATCACTTTTGAACATTTTCTCACATCTTCATAGGCCCCGCCCACTTTGAACTGATTCGTGCACCACCCCTTTCCCCAGAGAAAATCGATCGAAGTTCGGCCCGCTCTTGGAAAGGAGAGTCTAGGCTGGCCGAGAATAGCTGGCAGCGTGCCAAGAAAAAATGGCGAGTAGAACGGGAGGAGGAGGGGGGATAGGCCCGTTGCGATCGTCCAAGCCAACGACGAAAGAGTTCTTTCTCGCGCAGAGACTCAGAAAAACAGACACTCGGGGCCAAGTGGGCGGGGCTTGGAACAGTGCCAAGGCATATGGGCAGCAGCAAGCACGCCGGAGGGTGTCCTATGCGAGCGGGGAGACCGATCACGAGTTGTTTGTTGGACGGCCAGAGGGAGAGAAAGAGAGAGAGTGTGCGTGAACAGAGACTTAGACCTCTCCCTGGCTCTCTAACCGTCTACGGCTGGCCGCATCTCGTTGTCTATGAGACCGCGTTGCGGCACGCGTCGCGACACGCAGTGACCAGCAATGATGAGGCAAATTGGGGCGGACACTGGGAGGGAGCGAAGGGACAGCAAACAGATACACACGAATAGCGACGGACGGACGGAAAGTTGGCATCGTGCCAGAACCAATGGCCGGGGTTGTGGGCGGGGCGCCGCGGCCACCGGATACTCGACCACCCCGACAAGAGAGGGTCATAAATCAGGGGGTGAACTTTCGCGCCGCGTTTGAATTGCTAAAAGAAAAGCGGAGACGAAGATGAGGATATTTGAATTTCGAGGACATCGAACTTTAGAGACGAAAACAAAACGGGAAGGTCAGTTCCGTGATTCGAATGAAATTGGCGCAAATTTGAACGAATCGAGAGATTGAGGGAGGTTCTGGATGTCTGAAAACGAGCTGAAAACCTGTAACAATTTTAACAAGAACTAAACATGTTCAAGCTCCACTACTGTCTGTAAAGTCGTCTGACATTTTCCAATTTTCCATAGAAAAATTCACACCGTTTTTCAACGAAATGTTCCAGATACTCTATTCTTTCGAAATTCACCTCATTTCATTTTACAATTTGTGGAAGCAGAATAACAATAAAACAAATGAGCAGAGACATCAACGAAACAACGCATTAAATATAACACAAGAACAATTAATAGATCATCTAGATGGGTAAGAAGGGACTCACGGCTCGTCGTCGTTGGCAATCGTCTGATGTGGAATGCGGACCATCCCCTCTCGCCGAGCGACGGTCCGCGAACGCGCACAACGACCCGCCCACATTGCGCAAGAAGTGAGGCAGTGGGGAAGAGGGAGAGATGCAGATGTGTTTTCTCTAATCCTAAAAAGGCTCATAATGAGACTTTCTTGTGGGATGATTCCCGTGGACTACTGTAGTCATATTTGTTTAGAACCCTTCTTGCCACGTCATCATAGACTGTGAGAACGTGACGAAGACCATCTGCCTCGGAAAATTATAAGAGTTGACAAGATAGAGTCCAAAACGGGTCGTCTTTGTTGCTACACCAAGTACAAAATTTTGCGACTTGACCTAAATACGTGCACCGGGAACTGACCTTAGATAAGATAACTAATAAAGGGAACCACAAGAGTGATAGCTGATGGTACTGTATGAGTGAATCTAGGCAGAGGAAGTGCCTGTCAATCATCGGAAGGCAACCCAATGGGACCACTATTCATAATGCATCGGCTTCTCAATCATATCCGATTTCATTACGAAATGGATCTTCGCATGAGATCACGAGAACACAAAGCACAGTTGGAAATTGTGATTGAGGTGTCCAAATAGGAGAGAAAAACTGCTTTCGGTTGTGTCCGCGAGCCAATAAAGCTTTTGAATGTGTCGGTCATAAAATCGGAGAAGAGCCGGAGGCAGTTGGTCGCCGCCGTCGCACGCAAAAAAGCTCCGAAGTAGCGGACGGAAGGGACCGACGGATGGGTCGCATTTCAAAGACAGGTGGCACGTTGGGAAGTGACTCACTTACTCAGCCACTACGAATATCTCTGAGGGCTCACCGAGCAACTGATGGTTACGTCAAGGAGAAGCGGAAAGGGCGAAGGGAGCAGGGAGCAGGCTTATGCAAATTTGGATTTGGCAGAGAGGACCAGCCGCTTCATTGGCCTAGTTTTTCATCAGGGAAGAAGAAATAGGAAATGAAGGGTTTTGAAGAACGAAAATGTCTAATTGAAAAAACAAAAAGCTTATTGCAGGAATCTACAATGAGCATCATCCGATGTCTAATTGAAAACGAAATTGAAACACCAAGCTCTGTTGTTTTTCTTTTGACTCATGTACTTTTTTGGCATCGCCTTCCAATATTAACAATATTAGAACTCATGAACTGGGTTTCTATCTTTCAGCTTGTCAGATTGTCACCCACATTCATCAATTTTCTATCGGTATGTAGTTTACATAAAAGTCGCTTTCTAGCGCAGACACCTCTCTCCGATTCCGCTGATGGCAACTTTCTCACAATCAACGATCCAATGTGGCGCCAATTTTAAAACAATCGCGAGGGGAGAAGAGAATGAGTCATTCGGAATCCCATTCAGGGTACGTCATCAACGGAACCGAAGGGGACAAGGAAAATAGACGGGCTGGGAGGGAAAAGGCCTGCGGGAGGGCGACGTCGACCCAAAAAGTTGTTCAGCAGTCGATCGGGCGACCGCACGGGCACATGACAAATATACGATCCGAGTCATACGGTATGCAGGCGCAAGGGAACTTTCATTTGTGTGAGACGCAGCTTTGCGCGCTCCCTCTCTCTTCCTTTCTACAAAAAATATGTTGGCGCGGCGCCAACCGTATGGTTAAACGGTGAGTTTCTGTTCCGCGCACACCCGAGAGATAGAGCGGACAAATCGGAGAGGAGGCGGAGAAACGAGAGACAGAGATTTTGACAAACACGGGCGGCGCTTTGATCAAAGACGAGGGGCGTCCGGGGCGAATCAGGGGGTCAGTGGGGAGACGGGAAGTTGCATTGTTGGACGGACGGAGGAAGACACGTGTAGGACATAACTGATAAAGGCACAAAAGTTGTTTACAGGCAGATGGAAGGAGTAGAAGTGTTTCAGGGAAATTAGAGAAACCTGTACATGCAACCTACACGGGGCTCTTAGAGGCTACGCTTTGACTGTGGTCGATTACAACTGAGCCATCTGATCAGTCGAAAACTGCGATGAATGATAATAGTAAATTTGAATTCCCTTATATTCCGTTCTGAGTGGTTTAGCAGCTCAAATCTAATTCAGGTCCTCCTCCTATTCTTCGCGTGAAAAGAGTAAGCGGGATTATGCAAATGGGTCGGGGACCAAAGTGCAAGTGAACTGTGTACTGTTTGACCGGAAACCGGAGTGGACTCTCGAGCAGCTTAAGACTACGAGAGAGGCGGTGTCGGAAGGGTTATTTTGCCGTGGAGCTGAGACGAAGGGACTAACTGATCACCACTAGAGTTTATTATTTCCTTCAACATTCTGCAACCGTGCATTCAAACAGTCACAACTATATAAAGCCCATCTGAGTTGTATCTACTTAAATAGAAATGATCGGTGCCGTAAGTGCTGCTAATGACCTCCCTCCTTTTTTAATCTGTTCCCTTTGAAATGTATCGGCATTTCTTTGAAGTGATTGCTCTTTTGTTCTAGTCCTTTTGCTCGCCGGATTACTGTAGCATGCGACCCGAGAGCGGGGGATATCTAATCGACCAAACAACAAGATTAAGGCACCAATAAACCGGGAGGGCGGTTGGCAAGGGCCCTTCCAATGATGACGGATGCGCTCACACCAACCGAATACATCTCGATCAAGAGCCGATAGAGTGCGCGCTGCGGAGAGACCCAGAATCGACGTGTCAACGAAATCGTCGCTGCGGACCAAGTGGCGGTGGCCGGCCGGAATGTACTCAGAAGATTATAGAAGACCGTCGTTCCGTGTTCACGTGAAAATCAAATGAACGGGTGGGCAGCGACCGCCCGTAACGACGGGTTATGAGCGAAGGGACGCGGAGATCGACGACAGATGCCGTTGCTCCGTGAGCAACCTACGTACAGACAGTATCTCCATTGGGCCGACCATCTGACGTATTCATGGCAAACAGAGAGAACAATGACGTAGGATCGTAAGCCTGGAGAGAACGGCTCAACGGGAGATGGATGAACGTGCCACGTCACAGGCCGTCATTAAGAAGACGAGGAGGGGTCAAAGGATCAAAAGAACAGATCGAAAGATCAGAACGGCGGGTCAACGACGGAGGTCAGCTAGCATGCGGTATAATAACCGTGAGTTCACGAACAAACAAGGGACCGCACTGCCAAATATATATTTGAATGCATTTTCAGAACATTTCCATGGATCTCTGACATTCTATCTTAGCACAACATTCTATCAGAACTGGAAAAAGGGAGAACTCAATTTACACGTGAAAGAATAGAGTAGTAAATAATCAGGGATGGATTAAAAAAGGATAAATACGAATACAAACTGACAGTGAGCAGTTAAGATAATATCTGAGAATATAATTTTTTACCAAAATTATCTTCAAAGCGAGAGATAAGTTATAATTCAAAAAATAAAAGTGCTGCCGCTAAGTAGAATAACAGCGAAGGTTTGAGGCCGCGAGACGTCGAGTTTTAGACTGCAGCCGGCTGAAATTAACAAATATTTTAATTTTTTATATCTTGAAAACTCACGAAGAAGCGTTGAATGAGCGTACGTTCGTGATGGAAGTGTCCGCGATTGAGAAGCTCCTTGAGCAGACGAGAGATCACTTCCAAGTCAGCGTTGTAGCCCCAATCCAGTTCCGCCTGCAATCAATCCCATTTCTGAACGTTTCCGAATGTTTTCCTACCTTTACTCCCGTTCCTTTGCACTGCGCAACAATGTTATTGATGAGTTGTGTCGTCGCCGGAATCGGATTTCTTTTGACTGCGGCCACTTGGAGCACAATGTTCTCTGAAACCGTACAACGTCAGAAATGTTCCCATTTTCCAATGCTCACCTGCAACTGCAACGGCACGGGCCAGCGCAGGCGCACTCATTCCGCAGTTCTTGAGCGGAGCGGCCAACTGCAGAATGACTCTGGCGGTTTCCTCCTGCCATCTGCTCTCGAAGTCGATCTGAGAATGAGATGAAGTACGTGTTCCAGTCAGTTTCCCCTTACATCCAACTTCTCAATACGCTCCAACGCCTTTTTGAGCAGACTGTCGGCAGTCTCCACAATTTCAACCAGATCATCCGAGCTTTCGTCCTGCCCCTCGCTTTCCATATCAGCTTCATCAGACGACTTGCTGTTGTATTCTTCCGCGTCGCCATCCAATGAACCGAGATCGTCTTCTTCGTCTCCGACGTTCACGTTTTCTGGGGCTACGGCGGCAACATCATCGAACTCGTCACCGAATGAGTTTGTGTGAATGTGAAGCACTGGCTTCGGAGTGAGACCATCAAACTTGGCCCATTTCTGAATAATCAGTTTCGCAGTCGGTGGCGTCAGCTCGTTTCCGCACAGATACACATTCTGAAAGTTAGCATCAAGAAAACCGAGCATATATTATTGGTAACCTTGAGTTGGCGATGAAGAGACGGGTTCAGATGATCAACGATGTAATTGCACCCGGCGTCACGGATAAGACAGTCCGACAGATTAAGCACCTCAAGCTTTGGCCACGATTCGAGAGTTTTCGCCAGTGCCTTGGCTCCTTTCGGCAGAACGGTATTGTCTTCGAGCCAGAGATGACGGAGATTACGGTTGTGCTTGAGAGCGGCGACGAGAGCACGGATACCTTCTTCATGGATTCCGTTCTGACGCACATCGAACCACTCGACAGTTTCCAGCGACTTGAAAGTGGCCGCAAGAGCATGGGCTCCAGGATTCTCGAGCCTGTTGCGTCCTGCGATGAACGTCTTCAAACGGAGACGAGTCTCTCCACCGACAGCCAATGAATTCTGAAGGCATTCAGTCAATGACTTCGCAATCTGTTTTCCACCGATTCCGAGTCCGTTGTTGTTGAGCTTCAATGTGTCCAGTGTGTACGCGGAAGGTGACTCAAGGAGCTCGATGAGTGCATCTGCCCCGATTGGCCCGAATGCGTTGTCGGACAGGTCAAGCTCACGGATCTTGCAGCCGGCGTGGATAATCGCCTTTCCCAAGGATTCCAGAATAGGCGGAATCTCAGTCTTGAGACGACCAGTGAACAGATCACTCCACAGACATCTTTCGAGCTCAGGATGCCGTTCAATGGCAGAGGCGATCACATTTCCCGCAGCGATTCCGAGAGTATTTCCGCGCAGTTCCAACGTCTTCATCACAACCGTCGAATTGATAACTTGGACGACTCTTTGGGCACTTTCAGCTGAGTCCAACTTGAGTGACTGGTCGAGGAACGAGACGACTCCTTTGTTGTCCTCTCCGATTCTCATGCACCCGAATCCTTCGTTTACCAAGTCATCAAGCATTTTGTCTGCGCTTCCAGTTCTCGGCTCTTCTCTCACCGATCGATCTATGACAGTCTCACGGGAAGTGTTTGCGTCGTCCTCCATGCTTCCGTCGTCAGCCGCTTGCTCGTCGCGTTCTACGGGAAGATCGTCGTTTCTGGAATAATCCAAACTTTGAAATAAATTGAGATTGCGACAGAACGGCGGGAAATTCAAAAATCACGGATACCGGGATAGTCCTGAAGAAAAGAGTCTTGCACCGTGGCTCTAGGAACACCTCATGACTGTGACTCTTGAAATTATATCATGTCCGCTAACAAACAAACAAAATTTACGAGCCTGCAACTCGGCCGGGAAATGTAATATTATCTTGAAAAGTCAGAACCATCACTGGTATCCACAATTTGTGGACTTTTCACTGTGACGCACCCCTGATGACCAAAGTACATGTTGGTGCCGGTTCCGTAGGTGGCCCTTGCTCTTTCAAAATCTTCTCCGAACATGTTTTCCGAAACGTCAACTTGCCTGAAAGAGTCGTTGTGTTCAATCCGTTTTAGTAGTGTGAACCAGTGTGTAAATTCGAATTTTGAAATTCGAATATTTGGTGAATTCGAATTAAATTCGAATTAAATACGAATAATAATTCGAATTTAATTCGAATTATATTCGAATTTTCTGCGAAATTCGAATTAAATTTGAATTTTCTGCAAAATTCGAATTAAATTCGAATTATTATTTGTATTTAATTCGAATTTTGGAGAAAATTCGAATTTAAATCCGAAGGCGCTAAACAGGGGGCGACGTAATTCCGGAGTGTCGTTGGAAATTTTTTTCGTCCAAATTTTGAACTATTGATTAAATAAAATGTTTGTTTTTCGTAGAACTAACGAATTTTGCAAGTATCGAGCATAAAAAAGAAATGTAGTTCTCAAAAATAGTTTTTATTGGCATCAAAGCAAAAGTTTTAATTTTGATCCCCGCAAAAAAAAAACGAAAAAATAGATTTCCCCCAAAAATTGTGAACTGTGAACTTTTCACTCACACGTGGCACATCAATGCGCTTCTGAATAACCTCCCAATTGCATCGACGATTTCTGAAGTTATGTTGTTTCCGTTCAAGATAACTCTCTGAAGATTTTCGCGCGAACATCCTTCCAATCCTGCGAGTAGGGCAAGAATTCCCGGATCATCGCAGACACAGTCGCCCAGATCGAGCTCTTCCAGGGCAGGCAGCTCGCTAATGGCTTCAGCGAGATCCAACGATGCATCTGGTCCGATAATGTTGTCGTTGAGATCGAGAATGCGAAGGTTTTTGTTTCTCGCAATTGAGGTGGCGATCGCTCGAATTCCTTCACCTGCGATGGCGTTTTGAGGCAAACGAATCTCTTCCAAAGTTTGTATCAGCTGAAATTGTCGAATTAAAACCTGCTCTCATCAGTTAAACATACTAAGAAGGCGTTTGTGAGGGAAATGGTGGACTGAACTTCCAGACGATTGCGTCCGCAAACGAACTTTTTCAGCTTCAACGGTGTTCCAGCTTGGAGCGCCGCCCTGAACAACGCGCATAATGCGTCTCCGACGACTTCTCCAGCAAGACCCAGTCCGTTATTGTTGAGAATCAGGTTCTCAAGCTGGAACATCGCAGGAGACTGCAAGAATGTCGCCAGAGGCTCAGTGAGTCCTACTCCGAATGTGTTATCGGAAAGATCGAGAGTGGTGAGACGGCAGTTAGAAGCAGTGATACCCACGCAGAGAGCGTTCATTACTTGCGGAATCTCGCTCCTCATTCTTCCTGTGAAGATGTCACTCCATAGGCATTCCTTCAGTTCTGGATGATTCTTGAGTGCCTCGGCAATCCGTCGGCTTGCACGCACGCTTAACGAGTTGCCGCGTAGGTCGAACACTTGAAGATTCGGATGGTTGCAAATCTGGAGAGCAAGCGGAGCCACTGAAAGATATCGATTTCGAAGCGAAGGCATGAGATGGGCACGGACCGTCACTCTCGGAGTTCAACATCAGATGTCGGCCATAGAAGGAGAGAGTGTTGTTGTAGCTCATTTCGAACAGCAACCTCTGAAATTCAGTAATTTCGCTCGAACTTTCGGAGGAAGCTTCGCTAACGCAATTCTGCTTTTCCCGTCTCTCATAGTCTGAAATATTGGGTGAACAAACTGGCAAGATAGTCAGGAATAACCGGGGAAGCATATGAATAAACGGGAAGGAGACAACAGTTCTACGGGAAACAAGTGGCAGGGCGAGATAAGGGAGAAGTGTGGAGAAGGAGAAAAGTGATACAATAAGAGTGATAACGTTGTCATTTCTAACAGCAGAGAAGTAGACAAGGAACGGGCGACAAAAACAGAAAGATGCGCGAAAAGGGAGATTCTCAAAACAGTTATGAGATCTATCGGAACATTTTAAAATAAAATATCAGGGCTCAAAGAACTTTGGAAAACCAACTCGTGACTAGTAGGTCAACAACTGTCTCATTTTTCCGCAAAAAACAACAAAAATTACATTGCCAAGAAAAAATTAATGTGAAGAGGAACAAAGGAGTAAAAAGGTATAGGGAGATCGAGTGAACGACATTCAGAAAAATTCAAATTTAGTAAGCTAATTCAAAATAGTTCATTGGTGCGAAATTGCGATGTAAGAGTGAAAAAATTTAGAAAAAATGATAACAAAAACCGTAGAGATCAGTGATCCGGAAAGAAACGATGGTAAAATAGTGATTAAAGTGCGAACGGCTTCTTGCGTTTCTCGATGTATCGCTGCTCCCGCCGCTCCAGAATCGGCCCGAATCCTTCGAGAACCGCCAGAGAGATCGATCCGACATACGTTGTGTCGGGACGGAAGAAGGCCGCTTTGGGCATTGCCTCTTGTCTCTCGAGCTGCTGTTCAACCCACTTCACGTTTCCCTTGATCCAGGAAGTTTGGTTTCCGGTGGTATTTGCATCTGTGTCTTCCACGATCGATTCGATGTCGGACGGAAGGATCAGCATACGCGAGAGTGGAGTCCAATCGGGAAACGAATCTCCTTCTGAAAGAATGGGACTTGTCCGATTTATCCAGATTGTCCTGGACTCCAAGTCTCAGAACTTACTGAGTGTTGCGTGGCTGTTAATGAGGTAGTCGCAGAACTTTCCGAATATTGTCTTCTTTTCCACGTCTTCCTTCGATTTTATCCTGTTCCACTCGTCGTAATCTATAAGCGCTTTCCACATCTTGTTCACTTTCTCTCTCAATTCGGCTGATGGTTCGTGAGCCGCCATCAGATCTGCCAGCAACTGGAAAGCCCGTGCGAACCCTTCGATCGTGGCCTCGTCATTCGGCTGATTGGCCATATTCCATTCGAGCATCTCTTCCACAGACATCATCACATCCAACTCGTTGCCGTACCCAGTTCTGAGTATTTCAATCGGAATCCTCTTTCTGTGCTTCATCTCGGGATATCGTCTCTTGTAGAAGTCGAGCACTTCGGAAACGTCCACTCCTTCGGTCTTGAGTGTCACAGATGCACAATAATAAGCACGTGTCAGATACTCGGTGAATTTAGCGAAGCTCTTTGACTCCGTGTCCGCCAGACTCATCAGAGTGTGCGCCGCCTTCCCGTACTGTTTGTTGGCGATTTCTCTCGAGTAGCGGAGCTCCTTGAAGCTGTCCAGATAGTCGTCCACTCGTTTTCCTCTCTGCTGCAGAAGGATGTCATTCTTCCCGTGCTTCTTCAGATACTCGCACAAATACATTTCAAAGTCGTAGTGCTCGAACATTTTCTTGTATCTGTCGAATGTCTTCTGCCTGACGTCCATGTCCGTCGTTAAATAACTTTTGACAAGTGTGCCGAAGTCCCGGTGTCTCTCGGCCAGTTCCATCGCATCGGAAGGCTTTCCGAGGCCGATCAAATCTTGGAGAATCTTGTCGCAATCTGGTTGCTCCTCACTTTCACTCAAGTAAAAGTCATAGACACTGAAAATAGACAATTTGAATAAAGAAAAAATAGATACTGATACCTGAGAATGTAAAGTACCATTCGAGTCCGTTCGCTGTCCGACAGGGTTCCCTCTCTAAGCTCTTCTACGATTCTCTGAGCAACATCTCGATAGCAAGGGACGAACATGTCCCATGTCCACCATCCGACCGAGGTCTTCGGAACCGACACTTTCATGCTGAAACTTTTTCAGAAATTACCACCACTTATCGGATGTCAATCGAATACCCTCTGTAGCTGGTAATCGAATCTTTGATGCCGACAAGCAGTTCGCAAATCGAGTGGAACACTTCGAACTTGTGTCCTTTCGCCTTTCCGATCACCGCCACGTCGAGTTGTTTGGCCGCAATGAGTGGAATGTGGTGGACGAGACCACACCGTCCGAACAGAGCATCCTTGTCTTTGAGCCCGAGTTCCTGTACTTCTGGCACTCGGAGCACCTTCTCGATAACGGCGTCAAATATTGCCGCGTTCGTTTCGTTCGTATTTCGCCACGTCCAGACGGCTGTTGTGGTAGCGACTCGTTCGGACATCTCTCCCAACATAGCTGCTCCCGTTTGTAGAACGGGGACACCGTTCCTGGTGTGAATAAGTGGAGAGAGAATGAGTCGGTCGTAGAGACCCATGTGGCTCAGGAAGAGAATCATTCGGGAAGTGAGCACCCTCTTCGCGTGGAGCTCCGTGTCTGTTTTGTTCGCAGCATCCGAGTAATCAATTATCGCGTACATGAACTGCTGAATGCTCTTCGCCATTTCCTGGTCGGCCATCTTGACGAGTGGCTGCAACTCCTGTGCCGACTTAACCATATCTTTGTCCCCGAACAGCTCGAACGACCTGTGCAACGCATGAACCATTGGCGTCTTTGGCAGTCCAGATGCGACCATTTCGGAGAGCAACTCGCTCAAAACTGCCCAATCCTCCGTCCCTGCAGCCGCCGACGGCACGACCACTTGTTCCTGATTGTACAGAAGAGATCCATCCGAGAATCCGCGCGGAAGAAGACGGACTGTCGAGACTCCTCCGTCGAGAAGCATCACGTACACGTACTGCTTACAGATGGAATGCCCGATGAGCTGATCGCCAGAGGGCAGGCTCAGGTGTTTCACCCAAAAGACGTCCGATTTCTTCCTCGGCTTATCGAGTGCAAACGGAATGTATACAGAAGCAGCTGAAAAAACCTCTGAAAATGACAAACAATGTTGTGAAACTAACCAAAAAATGGATTGAGAATGATGATTCCGTCCGTCCGATCGGCTGTTTTTGCGTGTGCAGTGTTTTCGGAGATACAAAGAGTCAAACTAGAAAATATCGATTCGTCGTTCTTCACGAAAAGGGGCTTGTAGTCGGACATCGAGATTCTCGCTCCCCACTGTGGCTCCTTCGGCGTCTCAGTCTGCCACGTCGGTCCAAACCACATCATGAACAAGTGGGTTGAGTTGGATTCTTGATGCGTGCCGCCCATCAGAACCATTAATCCTTTTCGGAAGATAGCCGCGTCAATCAATCGAGCTCGCACCAGCAACGGCGCTTTCTTCAACTCTGATTCGAAGAGGTCGGAAACTTTCGGTTGGAAGAACTCTTTCGTTTTTAGGGACCACACTTCGCCTGGCGTGAGCATATTGTAAACGGTCAGCACATCCGCAGACACTGCAACGACGAGAAGATCTCTCGATTGATGAAGGAAACTGTTGGTGACGAGCGAAGTGGATTCCTTTGAAGCTCCGCCGAATACTATCGAGGAGAGACGTCTTCTGAAGCCGTGAGCCTCTCGTCCAATCACCCTATGAGCAGCTAACGCTCCAGTTTTTCCGGAATCAGAGCCCACTCCATTCAAGAAATAAACAGTTCCGGAAGTGGTTGTGAGCAAGAAAGACGCGGACTTTCCATCAGCCGGTTCGTCGACCATCTCCACTCGGAGAGCGACCTCACTGTTGATATCGAGCACCTTCTCATCGTAATTCTGCGAGGTTATGGACGTCCAGTGACGGAGAACTCCTTCAGGAGACACGACGAGCACTCCGGGTGATTGTGTTTTGTTAGCTCCGCGATAAACTCCATCGTAGACGACGACACATTTTACTGATCGAGGAAGGCCACTTGTCGGAAGAGGAAGCTGAGTGGGGATGGATGCGCGGTGCGAGGATGCCTGCAAGAACGTTTCCATTTGTTTTTCAAGACGATATAAATACCACTTTTACTCTGGGCCAAATGAACATCTGATTTCGAGAGAGAACCCAGCAGTATTTGTCATTGAGCGAAGCGCAATTTGATGTGACTTCTGTTTTATGAGCTGAAGCATGCCAATCTTAACACCATGAGAAGTTTGTTCCATTAATGAGTGGACTCACTGTTCAAAAAAGCTTCTTTCACTAGAGCCGGATACTCGATAGGCACGCCATCAAGGGTTAGTTCGAGGTCTTTCGCGGCCATCCTGAAGTTTGAGTTCGGAAGCATCATGATTATCTTCGACTTTTGGCGATTTTAACACGAGCGGAGAGATTTTCGTTTTGAAAATGTTTTGAAAACAAAGTTTTGGCGCTTGCAGAATACGGTTTTTCCCAATGGGACCATGGCCGCTGTTTCGCAACATGCGCCTTTAATGTTTGCAAGTAAAATTAAAACTTCATTGTTCAAATTAACTTTTGGAAGCTAAAAAAGAGACAACTTTCCAGATAAAAAATAATTTTGCGATTAAAAACTTCGAACCAATTCGTAAAAATTTAAATTCGGCACTAGAGAGCGCCATTCGGGTCTTTGCGAGCGCCTTCTCGGGTTGACGCACTCTCTGCCGGCTGTCGGCCACCACTTTGTCAATGTCGCATTTGCAGTGACACACACAATGGACATAATCGACAGTCTGGAGCCGGAAGAAACGGCGGCTCATATCTCGGAAAACGTGTCTGAGGAGCTTCAAGGCATTCAGGAACCTAGCGAGAAGCGGCAGAACTATTCGGGAGCTTCGGACGAACTTATTCTAGAAAAACCAACAGCCGAAACTCATTCGACAGTTGCTGTAAGCCTAAAAAAAAATACTTTGAGAATTCAGAATGAGTTTTGCAGCAATACTTTGAATCAATTGACCTTGCACACCCATCAACATCCAACTTAGCTGTTTCGCACATTTTTCAACCGAATGGTATAATTATGCTTTCTTATTCAACGAAAAGCGAATAAATTCAGGAAAGCACCAATCACACAATCAAGCTCATTCGTCTGTACAAAATATGAGCTCGTTTAGTTCCAAAAATCAAGTAAACCGTTTGAGAGCTCACAGAAACACTTCAAGCGCCATTGCAGAAGCTGCGCAGAAAAATGGAATGCAAACTGTGAATCGGGTAACTGTTTTTGCTACATTTATTATGAGAACTGCCTCTTTTCAGTCAGGTTCTCGCTTTGTCGTCCCAATTTCCATGCAGGCGCACCCCACTCCGATAACTGATCGAATTTTAGAAGAAAAAGACGATATTCTAAGTCGTGAGTTTATTTTTGGCGTTGTTTGAACGATTAAGTCGATTGACAGAGCACGAAGCATTTCCGTATTGCTGCCATTGCCATTCGATCTTCAAAACATGGCGGGGATTCGAATACCACGTGCTCCGAATCCATATAAAGTAGTTCCTAACCTTTCTCAAATCGAGCATCTCTGCTTTTAAGATACCGTGCTTTCCGCTGTTATCATTGCCAAAAAGAGTGCTTTTTCACCGAAGAGGAAGGACGGTTTCATCTGAGCACTCAGCATCCAAATGAAGTAATCATGGTAAAGATATTCAGTTTTTTAAAGTTTTCAACACACATTCTTCTTTTAGTTGTTGAAGGATTACGATTTGGCGAAGGAAACCGCCGCTCATAACGCTTTTCGACATATTTTTCTCATGTGCCGGGATGGAGTGAGTTTGCGAAATAGTTGGCCACAAATCCTCTTTCTTTCAGCCAGAAGTAACAAGGGAACGAATTTTCGAGTGGGAATCCGAAGCCGCCCAACAGGTAATGAAGTTCCAGTACTTGAGATTCAAGCGGCCGGTTGTTCTTACCAAAAAGCTGTATGTTTTTATGTTCTCAGTCCCGCTCACGGTGCGTTTTAATTTTTAGGCCTTGTTTCACTAAAGAAGCTCAAACTGATCTGACCAATATGCACATTATGGTTCAGCCGATGGTCACCCGCTCCGGTCGTCTATTCCAGAACGTTCCTGTGGTAATATCTCGATATCTCTGCATTGATTAACTCTGCCCAGTCGTTAATATTTCAGGAGTTTCACCACGCCGCGCCGCGTGCCGAGTATTCCTCCGACCGACTTCCGGCCACTACTCGTCCCCGATCCACTGCCACGCAGCACGACGAAGACCCGAGGGACCGAGAGAAGGTATTTCCGAATAAAGAGATGCCATCTCCGTTTGTTTTTTTTTCAGAGAGTCGCAGCTTTGATGCACGCCGTCACCTCGTCTCACGACTAATTCCATTCATTTCTGTTCATTCTGTATAATTCGTCATCAGCTCGGGTTGCAACTATATTCCAAAACTCTTTCATTCCTAGTTTTAAATCATTTTATTCATTTACATAAAACATGAATTACAGACTCTTTAATCGAATAACCACGTTCAAATCGACTTTCATTATCTGAACATGTGTTTTCTTGTAAATCTGAATGTCTGAAGCTCTAAATCGCCCGCAATATCCTTTTCTTTCTCATCTCCAGCCATAAGTTCCCGTCGTTCGACCTTGTTCCTCCGATCTCTTCAGCGCCATAAAACTCGTCAAACATGGCTTCGCGAAAGGCAATTTGATTTCAATCTCGGCTTTCTCCCTCCTCCATTCATAATTACGGTCGATGTCTGCATCTCGTCGTCTCTGTTTCCACGTGGATGTTCGGGATGTGTTTTGACTATCGCCAACCACCAATCCCTCCGCTCTTTCCGTGCTTCCGTTCTGAGCAAACATTGGCTCTTTTCTCTGCGTTCCTCACTTTCTCACACTATTCTTCGCCTTGCACTGATGCGAAACGAACAAAATTTTGCGCAAAACGCGGGGGAGAGAAGCGAGAGAAACGGGACGACGTGTCCATCCATGTACGGTTTCCTCCTCGTGTCGTCTGTGTCTCCGACTCTCTCCTCCTCGTTCCATCGGTCCGTTTCGTCGCTCGCCAGGTCATTCCGGCCGTGTTTGTTTATCATTGATTAGCTCAGTCTTGAGTCATTTCGGGAAGTCACTTAGTCATGGCTCATAACTTCATTCTCCCTTTTTTCCGAAATTTGTATTATCCAAAGCTTTCTAGGATGTTTTTTTAAAACTTGAAACAACCTTCCGTTATCTGAATGATACTGCACATGTAACTCAATTTAGTCTTCAGCTGAGTTTAAAAATTAAGAGTTGAGCTCACCTCAATTGAGGAGAACAAAAGCGGATTGAATCACCCTCGCAATCACCAGAACAATTACCCGTAGATCTCATTCCTTGTGGTAAAAAGTTCTCCCGTTCTTTCTCTGCCATTTTTTGACATGGACACAATAACATGAACAATAGAACGAACGAAAACTATGAATATGCAATCGCTTTCTCTCCCTTCAGTTGACAGTGTCCGACTACAGTTTGCTTACGTAAATGACGTGGCAAATACCTTTCATCCCTTGCGTTTCCAATAGAGTTAAACAGGGACTTGTTTCTGCGAAGCGTCGCGGATCTCTTTGACCACTGTTCTGATCTTTGTTCTAATGCACAAAGAGCGAAAATTGGGCGAGTACTGTGAAGCGAATAAGAAAGTGTCAAACAAGGCGGCTGTTTGTCCATACGGTGATGGACTTTCGAGTGTTTTCTCGCTCACTAACTTTTCCCTCCGAATCGATTTTTGCTGTTTCGGTGCCAATTCGAAAGGTGACGGCAATGAACAACAACAGGCACTCTTCGCCACTTTCTGGTCTAATCCCACTTGATTCGCCAGTCGTCGCCCCATCTCAAATTACCCCGTTTCTTCTCCTCTCATTACTACTTCTCTCGTCTCAACCCCAATCCCCTCCACGTCTTCTTCTTCTTCTCATTCTTCATCTTCGACGTGTCAATCCCATCGCATTCATGTTTTCCAGATGACAGACGGCACATCTCAGGCCGCTAAGTTCATGTCGTCCGTCAACGGATTGGTGCCGTCGACGATTTTCGATCGCAGTGCGTAATCGTTCCTCTTTGAAAGTCGCAAGCGAAAACATTTCAGTTCACTCCGACATGGACGTTTCGGAGGAAATGGAGGAGATTCGCGAGGTGCTCTACGAGATGATAAAGAAGAATTTCCCGATGGGAGTGGCGGCCACGCATCTCGCTGACAAATACCACGAGGAGTGAGTTCATCAACTTTTAAAAGCAACTCAATTACTTTCTAGCTTCGTCTCGAAAGGCCTCGGACGGGAACTTCCGGATGACTGGATTCAACAGGTGACCGCCGCCGAAGAGTTCGAAGCACAAGTGAGTGAGAATACTCGCTTTCCTGCACCATCCGCCTTTCAGACACGTGGTCCGATCACGATTCTCTTCGTCCGTCTCTCCAACACTTCTTCTTTCAAGAGACCGCCAATCAATTCGGTGAACGTACGAGGTGAACAGATCGGGGGAAATTCGAACACACATTAACTGACACTAGATTAATTCGCAAAGAGAAACAACAATTATGAACACGGCTAACGGTCTTATGTCTTTTTAACGATGTCTGCGTCTGTGTCCTTTTTCCTGGCTTGGGTTTGGAGTTCCTTTGAAGTTCCCTTTGAATTTCATTTTGACCGTGATGGCTTCTTCATCTTCATCCTTCTCTTCTTCCTCGTCTGCTTTTTCTTGAGATCATCTGTTTCCACAGAACTGGTTGCACGTGGCTTCAAATGTTGAACCATGTCGTAACCGCCCATCTGAATGCATATTTTGTTTCGATTAATAGAGATTACAGTACCGAATGTATTCGAAATACCATATAACCTCCCATTAACATCGAAAACATAGAGAATGATACAAGTGCGCTCACATTGAATCCTTCGACGTTTTCATAAGTGAATCTGAAAAAACAGATAGATTCGGATAGGAAATTGACGAAGAAACTTACAATTCGGAAAAAAAGCGAGCGGAACTCATAAAGTCACTAATTCGCTCAAAATGCCAGATTGGAAACGTTTTCCACGGGAAATGAGTGCAAAAACACGCAAAGTCTGATTTCAAATAATTTAAAGTTCACCATCAAGCCGATGTTTCCTTGTTTGGTTACCTTCCGCACTCATTTCCATACAACCTACTCCCGTGTTTGCTTAGCTTTCTCCCCGCACGTCCGTGTCCCTCCCGCTGGCTAATCCGTACTTTCAGCTTGCGATTCTCCTTCTCACCAAATCCGCATTAACCACGCCTTCTTCCTCTGCTATTCCTAACACCCGATTCGCCACAAAACGAAGTCCGGATTGTGAGTTTTCACCGTCGTAATCGTGTTTCATTCTCATATCGGTCTCTGCATGTTCATGTGCATTCTAATTGGAAACATTGTCATTAACATGACTCGTAAAGTCTAAAAATTGGTAGGAATGTTCAGTTATTTCAACGGATCGTGAGCCGACTGCCGACGAACTGAAGAAAATCAAGCAGAGAAAGGAGAACGAGCCCCTGGAGCATGCGAGAACGGTATCTCTCTCCGTCTTGTGCTCCCTATCCTAATGACCCTTTTCCAGTTGTCTCGACAGTCCGCTGCTCTCAAACAAGGTTCAACCGTCTCTGTCGTTTTCGCTAATTCTCCCCGCCGCTTCTTCATCCGAGCCCTTGCCGACGACGATCAATACGAGAAGATTGGGTCAACGCTTGCAGAGATCTATGCTCAAGAGACTCCACCCACGCCACTCGACAGCAGAGTCGCTATTTATGTCAGTTGCACTGCGAGAACCTCTTCATAAACCGTTCACTTTCAGGAAATAGTCGCTGGTGGAGCCTATGCTCTCCAGGATTCAAATGGAACGTGGTTCCGAGTGATTGCTCGTCAGCCACCTCAATCAGGACAAGTTCTGTGCCACTTTGTGGACGTGGGCGTGTGTGAAAAGTTCCCGGTGGCCGCACTTCGACTCCTCCCACCAGCAGTCCACCCTGTCATGTCAAGTGAGTTTGAAAAGTACACAAAATTTATGGTGGAAACGTTGATCGGAAAGAATTAAGTTGGCGTCGAGAAGATTCACGAGAATCTTTTCGAGTACTCGCTGAAGCTGATCAGCCCGTCGCCGTCCTTGTCAAAGTCACTGAAAAGGCTCTCGGTTAATGCTCCGATAGACGGTCTCTCACCTAAGCACCTGATCCACTTGCACCTCGTACTGTTCCGCGTCGGTCATTCCCTTTCCGGCCTCCTCGTGCTTATGCTCTATCATCTTGAACAGCTCAAGGCCATCCAGAAAGTGATCGTGGTTAGTGTCGCCCATCTGAAAGTAGAAGAACTGACGATCCCCCGGCGAATTGTGCCTCTCGATTTCGATCTTGTTCCCATAGTGCTCTTTCAAATGTCTGAAAGGAAATGGGACGTTTCGAACAATGAAAGGTCGATCTCACTCCATGCTCATCTGGTTACTTGTTCCGAACCCTTGATTTTCAGCAGAACCACTCTGAAATTTGATGAACTGAAAACAGGCCGAGAAGAGAGTTATCAACTTACAGAAGCCAAAAAACATAAAAACATCAAAGTCCAAATCATCGATTGATCTCAGAGTTCCGGAAGATTTCGTTCTCAGCAATTACCGCAATTCTAATCATTCCGCCCGAGTTTGACCTTTTCACCGCGAATAAATCCACGCGAATAAATTCAAATCCTTTCCACCGCGAATAAACCGTTCCTTTTCTTCACTTTTTTCGTTTCAGTTGGTGCGATGGCTCAAGAAGTACGTTTGGATGTCAGCGAAGAAAGCGCTCTCAAGCTGAATAATAAGTTCATCGAGCTCACTTTCGAGGTCAAGGATGGAGTCCAAATTCCGGTCAATTTAACGGTATGGCTTCTTCTTTCTTACAATATTGTAGAAATCCGAATTGTTTTCAGTTGTCAAAGTTCGAAAGTTCTTCCGGTTCTCCTCCAATCGTGGACCTTCAAACTTCGGAAGGGGAATCGATCACGGAAATGCTACAGAAGCCGACAGGAATTGTCCGATTGAGCACGCCGACGAAGACTTCCTCCCCGAGCACTCCAGTTTCCGCAGTCTCCTCAGCGACCACTCTGACTTGCTTCTTCGACAGAGCAGCTACCGTAAGTCTGATCTCATTTGAAAAATCGAAATGTTTCCGTTCAGATCCAACCAATGGTCGTCTCCCAAATGCCGATGTCACCGTTCCCGGCCAATGCAATTTTCGCAGCTGGTCCTACTGATATCTCATTAAGACAATTGTCACTGGACCCGATGCCGGATTACATGTACGCAAAACTGAAGGAGGAATGCAATCTACCAGAGTCCCATTTGGAATCTCCTCCAGAATTCGGATCGTAAGAAACTCTACCTCGCATCATTTATTGAATGTTGTGTCTTCAGATTCTATGCGGCATTCATCGATGAGAGGTGGGAACGAGTACAGTGCATTCGAGCGAGCAAGATCGGTTCGTCTGGGTTCTCAGTAGTTATGCTCATTTACACTGTTCAGATAAACAAGCATTCTGCGTTTATCTCCTCGACGTCGGAGCGTTCCAATACGTTAGAAAAGAAGCGATGCGTCGGTTGAATTCCGCCTCTCCGTTCAAAAAGATGCTCATGTTCAAGTGCAAAATCGGAGGGATCAAGCCGATGGCCGGAGGAGAAGTGTGGAGTCGCGAATCGCACGAAGCCGTCAGAGAGTTCTTCGAAGCGGCAGGAGGAGAGCCCGTCGTGGTGAGTGGGAGAAGCGAAAACAACTCGATAATATGGATCATTGCAGGTAGAGCCCACTCCTCCAGGCTGGTCCCAATGGAAACAACTGAATGCGCCGGGAGTTCCGACCTGCGAAGCTCGTCTGTCGTGCTGTGGAAGGGACATCGGAGATTGGCTGATCGCTTGCGGACTCGCCCTTCCTCTGAACGCCCCCATTCCGATCACTAATTCTTCCTCGTTGCTCACTTTTGTCCCTCCCCCGATTAATATTGTTGGAGGGCGCATCTAACCATCTGCCATCCAAAATCAGACACGTTCGAGCTAATCATCAAATCCTTTTGTGCTTTACCGTAGGAACAATCCATGATTTTTGTAGTTATTTCGAGTAGACCACCTCCTTTCCCTCTTTTCTTTTCCTTTCATTTTGCTCATTGTCTCAATCATCTTTCCCAACTTTCTACTTTTCAGTTTTCTCTGTGATAATAATTCCCTCTTCCCGCTTTTGGTGCTTCCTGTTTCCCTCTTTCTTGCTTATCAAATTCACAAAGAATTATTCATTCGTGGACTTTCTCTCTATTGGAACGTGTATTTTCCTACGTTTTCCATACCTGACAGTCGATTCGTTTTTGTTTCTCTATCTCATTTCCAGCCTGTTTTATGTTGAGTGTGGGCGGTGGACGTTCGGCGGTCTGTCGCGCCGTCATAGCCACCTCCATCGTCTGGCTGCTCATCGACGTCGTCATACTCTTCTATTACCTCGATCCTTCAACGACGACAATTCAGAATGACAGCAGGTGGCTACTTTCTACATCTCCCTTCTAAGTTCTCAGTTGTTTAGAATCTTAACACGTGGGCAACGGAGGATAGAACCAGAACCAGAACATGGACCAGAAACGGAAGCGAAGCCGAGTATTCCGGAAAAGCAAGTACAAAGAGTTGAGCCGGTCGATAGGGAAACTGCGAACCAATTGAGGAAACTCATGGACGGTGGGTGATCACTTTTATTTACCCGGACAATTTTATCATTTTCAGTCCAATCATTCGGACCCGGATATCACGGACAGGGTGGGACAGGAGTCACAGTACCGGAAGAGAAGAAAACGATCAAAGACAAGAGATTCCTGGAGAACCAGTTCAATGTCGTCGCTTCGGAGATGATTTCTGTTAACAGAACTCTTCCGGACTATCGTTCTGATGCCTGTCGAACTTCCGGAAACAATCTGCAGACCACTGGAATGCCGAAGACCTCAATCATCATCGTTTTCCATAACGAAGCGTGGACGACTCTCCTCCGAACTCTCCATTCGGTTATTAACCGATCGCCACGTCATCTGCTCGAAGAAATCATTCTTGTAGACGACAAATCGGACAGAGATTATCTGAGGAAGCCACTGGACTCGTACATCAAAATGTTCCCCGTAACCAATCAATTTATCCTATTTTTGCTAATAAACAATTGCTTCAGATTCCCATTCACCTGGTTCATCTGGAAGAGCGTTCCGGACTTATCCGTGCTCGACTCACTGGCTCCGGAATGGCCAAAGGGAAGATTCTTCTGTTCCTGGACGCGCACGTGGAAGTGACCGACGGATGGCTCGAACCTCTCGTCTCGAGAGTCGCAGAAGACCGCAAAAGAGTTGTCGCCCCAATCATCGACGTTATTTCGGATGAAACATTTGAATATGTGACGGCTTCAGAGACTACGTGGGGAGGATTCAACTGGCATCTGAACTTCCGATGGTACGCAGTTCCAAAGAGAGAACTGAACAGAAGAGGTTCTGATCGATCCATGCCGATTCAGTAAGCGAATCAAAATTGTTTAAAGTTTTGCAAATCTCATTTCAGAACTCCAACTATCGCTGGAGGTCTGTTTGCGATCGACAAACAGTTCTTTTACGATATCGGAAGTTACGACGAAGGAATGCAAGTGTGGGGAGGAGAGAATCTCGAGATTTCTTTCCGAGTTAGTCACATTCTGCTTTCAACCTAACTGAAATCCGTCTGTTTGCAGGTGTGGATGTGCGGTGGTTCCCTCGAGATCCATCCGTGCTCTCGTGTCGGACACGTCTTCCGAAAACAAACCCCGTACACTTTCCCTGGCGGAACTGCCAAGGTTATCCATCACAATGCAGCACGTACTGCCGAAGTGTGGATGGACGAATACAAGGCGTTCTTCTACAAAATGGTTCCCGCCGCTCGAAACGTCGACGCCGGAGATGTCAGCGAACGACAGAAGCTGCGAGAGACACTGCAATGCAAATCATTCAAGTGGTATCTGGAAAACATTTATCCGGAAGCGCCACTTCCTGCCGATTTCCGATCTCTCGGAGGCATTGTAAACAGATTCACCGAAAAATGCATCGATACGAACGGAAAGAAGGACGGACAGGCACCCGGAATGCAGGCGTGTCACGGAGCGGGCGGAAATCAGGTGAGTCTGGAATACTACGAAAGGGCCGTCTCGCTTTCTAACAGCATCTGACTGGCTAGTCGAACGAACAGGTACTAACATTCTAATCCAGACTGTCCGATTTGCGGATGGTCATTTCTTGATCATACCTGACCAAAGCGACCGATATGAACGGATGCCGTTTTTGGAAAACCAGCAGGTTCCGTGTGGACATATTCTTGAGTTCGGACCGTTTTTTTCGTGCAACTGGGAATCTCTTTGCTAATCCCTCCCTTGTTTCTGTTCTCTTTGGGTCTCACTCTTCTCTCTCCAATGCTCGACAAGTTCCAGGCTTGGTCCCTCACTGGAAAGGGAGAAATCCGGTCGGACGATCTGTGTCTCTCCTCCGGACACGTCTATCAGATCGGCTCGGAATTGAAGCTCGAGAGATGCTCCGTGAGCAAAATCAACACCAAACACATCTTTGTGTTTGACGAACAAGTACGATTTGCTCTTTCAACAGCCAATTCTATAACTTTTTTGTAGGCTGGTACTCTTCTGCACAGAAAGACGGGAAAGTGCGTGACAGGAGCAGATCATCGGGTGACTTTGGATGAGTGCGCAGTCGGACGGAAAGATCAGATATGGCAGCTGGAAGGATACCAGGAGAAGAGCTCCTAACTGCTCGTAGTCCCCCGTTTCCAACCCTTCACTCCCCTTTTCCGTCACAATTTGTTTCAGTATTTCGGTCGCTTCCCTCTCGGTGTCACCAATTGTCTTCCTTTTGTCCATACCACCAGTGCCTTCTCCTTTTCCCTTTTTTTATATGTATCTTTCCCCTTTCTGGTCTCCTAATTGACCCCATAATAAGTATAATTTATGTGATTTCCCCTCTGAGATCCGAGCATAATTTTTTGCTCTCCACATGTTCCTAGCTCCTTGTTTCGTTTTTATTTAATGCATTCTTCCTTTTTTCCCCATAGCATTTCACTTTTCCCCTGCAATTATGTGTCAGTCTTTTTCTCTTATTCTACTCAATCCATTCCGATTCTTCCGTTTTTTGGTTGTGAAAATCGTCCCTTCTCTGGTTGTGAACTCTTCTTTCGTGGGTCTTTGAATTTAATAAAATCTCCTGAAAAAGAACGTGACTAACACAGCCCCCACCCTCCGAAGTGATAATATTTATTTCTTCCTCTTCTTCCCAATGGATTTGGATCCTCATCGTGACACGGAAAGATGCTTCACGAACACCAAAGAATTCGTGCTCACTGTTGACGAGGAAACGGTTCGGTCATCGGAAAACGGGCTCAGTTCAGCTGGAAAGAGAATTGCAGGTTAAGTTTGAGAACAAGTATTTCGGATGGGGCTACACGCCGTTCACTGTAAACCTCAAGAATCAGACGAAGGAATCGTTCGTGTGGCAGGCGAAGTGCTCAAGTAATCTGCTGTTCAAAATTACGAAGGGTGGCGGATTCATCGAACCGAATCAGAGCGTCCCCATCGACGTGGGCACGAATTGAAAAGACGGAGAGAGAAGAATCGGAGAGGTTTCAGATCGTGCACATTCCCGGAATGTTCATGCCGAGGAAGGGAGTCGTGCACTTCCTCGAGATCTCCTACATTCGGGTGGCAGCGAAAGTTGAGGTGAGCGTCTAACTTCACTCCATTCTTGATTCGGATTCGGTTCTCAGGATTATCGGACGCCGTTTGTAGCGGCGAATCCCGATGGGCGAAAGAATTTTAAGATTGTCTATCCTTCGGTTATTCTCGAGCCGGTGTATCGCCAAGGAAAAGAGCCGAAGGTCAGGAAGAAGAAGGCGAAGGAAGACGTGAACGCGGAGGCGAAGCAGAAACTCATGCAGAAGCTCGATATCGACGAGAAGGACTGAATGGAACGGGAGATTGGCAACTGATAAATAGAGGATTATATCCAAAACAAAAGGGAGAGCTTTGAGATACAAACTCATAGGGACCATGCATAAGTTATGGTTGACACGGGAGTCAGAGCTATTTCGGAGAGAATGACGGAAGTGGGTTCGGGAGCATTCTTCAAAACATTTCTGCTGGCCATATTCTGATCTTCCATTCTCTTCCCCGTGCTCTCTCAGTCCAATCTCTGTTTTCCCCTCCACAGATTGTCCATTTCCGGTCTCTTTTCCACATTCGCACCTTCCCTTCTCCCCTTTTTTCTACGAAATGGAGTGTGCATCTGAGGCAGTGTGTCAGCGGAGAGATAAAGAAATCTGCTATCTCGGCTGGATCCTTCTGTTCCTTTGGCTCGTCATGGTAATTTACATAACAAAAGTGAGTCGTACTCCCATCTGAAACCCCTCTTTTAATGAATTCTTCTTCAGGAAATCTGGTTCGGCGCCCCTCTCTCCACGCCTTCCAATTCGCTCGCTTCTCTTTCGAAAACACGTGACGTGGCAATGAGGAAAAGTGTGGAGGATGATGTCATCGAACTGGATTCCATCGGCAATTAGCACCTCCCGATTGTATGCAAATGAGTAGCACTTTCACCGGTCTCAAGGACTTTCCCTTCTCATTTTTTTCCGGAAATATCGCATTCTCTGCTTGAATATGATCCTGATTCTAGTCGTTTTCGGACTTTCCTCCCTGACTACAGTAACCCTCCAATGTGCCCCTCACTCTCCTTCCAGGCCATGGACGAACACGACTCACGTCTGCAGCCATCATCACCAGACGGTCGAAAACTATTACTTTGGTCAGTTTTCAGTTTTTAACTTGAGAAAACACGACTTTTCAGACAATCGTACCATCTACAACAAACTTGTCGAAATTGAGAAACGAGTTGAGAACATTGAGAAAAAGGAAAACATGATTCCTGTGCAGCCGCCGACCAAAGAGGATCCCGACAAGAAACCGGAAGGACCGGCACTCCCGGAACTGGAAGAAAGTGAGCAAATCGAGCATCCCATCCCACCCAATTCTCTTTGCTTTTCTCTTTCAGGTTGCCTCTCATGTTCCTCGGATCCACTGGTAAGTGAGGATTGTGATAACTGCCTGAAAGTGTCCGTTTCTCCGCCGTTCGACTATTATTCGTGTATGGCAATCAACGTGAAATGCGGGGATGGAGCTAAAAAGTTGAAGATATCCGAGAGTTACCAGCTGAATATTGTAGAAAAGGAATATGTGATCAACTGCCAGAAAGGTACAGAAACACGCCTTCAGACAATCGGACTGGTTTTCAGGAGGTTGGGTGATGAGAATCGGGAGTGTAGAACAGAAAGTGGAGGCGATCAGCTGCTTATCAAGTTGATATCGCATTTTGTGATTTATGATCATAGTATTAACTTATTTGATATGTTTTTTTGTATAGACTTTGTTTATTTAATTTTATACATGAAAGATTTAAACATTACTATGATCACTTGCACCGATAACAGTACTTTTCCCGTCCTTCCTTGTAAACTTTGCACCGGAATCCTTTTCCGCACTTCTCGCAGCTCCTCGTCTCGATATCATAGTTCATTCCGTCGAGCACTCGGTCCGTCACCACGATCGTCGCTTTCCCTGCCGCCAGTCCGGCCGACACTCCGCCGAGCCAACCCCCGACTGCCGTTCCGATGCCCGGACAGATCATTGTGCCGACTGCCGCACCTGGAATTAATAACATCAAGAAAAAGAACGTTAGTGGATGCTCACCGATGGCGCCCCCTCCCCATCCTCCGAGTATCCCTCCCGTCACCGTCGCCGTCGCACACACCGTATTCCTAGTCGTGTTGGCGCCCAGGTCATTCACAACGCTTCCAGTCACTTTCATTCCGTCCCAGAGCCATCCTGCAGCCGATCCGACACTTGACACCCACGCACTTGTCGACTGAAATTGTAAAAGCACACAACAATGAAAGACGGGGAATATATACCGCTGGACTGATTGCTGGAATCACGTCGGAGGATGTCATCGGGAAGAGAAACGATCTGAAAAAGCTATCAGAAAAAAGGGAAAATAAGCATTCAAGAAGAGAATCGGATCGATAATCGGTCGTACGAATGAGGGGGTCAATGCGATCTGGAAGGACGTGTGACCGTCGCCGTCTGTTCGTCTGCGTGCTGTTGTCGCACTCTATCGCCTTTGAAAATAAGAAGTGGAACAGATGAAAGAAAAAAGAAAACAGACAGTTTGTAGTTTTGAGCCTGCACATGACAAAGACGTTCTGTTAGATATTTGGTATAGATGGTTACTCATCATCTGCTGATGGACATGTCTCCTCTTGACTGTGATCGATTCTCATCATCTTCACACCTGCTCATCCTATATACACCTATTGAAACTCTGTTGCCAATAAATGAGGAGCGAAACAATTCCAGCGGCAGTTTCATTTAATGCCTAAACGGTACTCAATCCTCCACCCATAACTCTGCTCTTCGGCGCTCGGCCCCACGTCAAGCTCAAATGTGTCTGGCGGTCTGATTCTCCGTCGCGAACTTGGTCTCTTATCGCTTGGATTTCGTCATCGCGGATGCTTTTTCGATATAAAAGAGCTAGCGGCGCGACGGCCGTTTTGCACACTGTTTCCCGCTTTGATTTGATGAAAAACTAGCTGTTTGTATGGACACACAGAAACACACAAGAACATTACAGACAACAAAACTCATTATCAGTTTACTTTTGTTAAAATACATACATTTAAAACTGATTGGACTGGAACTGATCATTGGTGCACTCATTTACAAAATATTGGGTACGAGTCAGAGAATGACTTTTTCTAATTCGTCACAAACGTTTGTGGCCGAGAAAGAGGCTTTTGTGCACACATCACACACCCTTATCACTTTCATTTATTCATTTTTATACTTTCAGAATCTGCTACTGTTTGTCATGTCTGAAGAGACGAAAGTTCCGAAATTTCGTAAGTTTGCAAAGGTTTGTCTGTTTTTGATGCATTCAGAGAGGAAAAAGTTTATCGTATGCAAATATGAATGATAATGGAAAAATGCACTCCAGGGGCTCTTTAGAATGAAGAAATGTAGACCATCCAAGTGCCTTGAACTTTCGCCTTGGACTTGAAATTTCAGCGCTGTTCCATCCATTTGCGAGACGGCTCCACATAGTTCTTCTGTGCATGGTGACTACATTTGAATTCGAAAATCCTTAACACTCCTCCTCTAGATCGGTTTTTTCTGTACAACTTTTATGAGAATCCATTTTGCGCTGACTATGACTTGCATGGTGAATTCGACTGCTTTGGCAGTGGAGAGTGGACAGTTCAAAGCACATTCCCTTGAGAATGTTACAGTTTCTGTTGAGGTCGGCGCGGATAAATCTGACTGGAAAAGAGCCGTGTTTTGCAGATCCCGTTAGTTTGGAATGGAGAATGTAGTGCGAGTAATGATGCTCACAAGAAGGTCATTATTGATTATGGAGTGAGTTAGGAAGGATATTGAGTTGCTGGTAAAGTGGTTTTCAGGGCCAACTCGTCTGGAACAGTTACGAGCAGAACCTGATATTCTCCGGAACTTTCTGGGGATCCATCATTACCGTACTCCCCTCAATGTTCCTAATTGAGCGTTTCTCCCTCCGACACGTGCTCCAAATCGGAGTGGCCATCTACATAATAATCACTGTGTTCACTCCGTATTTAGCCACTCATTTCGGTCCGATTGCCGTTTTCGTTGCCAGAGTGATTATGGGTCTCGGAGAGGTTTTTCTCCGCAATCTTCAGGTTGATCAGATTTTTTAAGGGTTTCATTGTTCCCACAAACAATGCGATAATTGGGAACTGGTTCCCGAATTCTGAAAAGAGCACAGCCGTCTCTCTGTTCACCACCGGGAATCAGATCGCTTCGGCCGGCGGGAATCCAGTTGTGGCCGCCCTTTGTGCCTCCAACCTCGGATGGCCTTCCATTTTCTATTTCGCAAGTAAGCAGAGCACTGGTAGAGCTCCTCCACATTCCAGTTTCACAGGTTTCCTCGGTACAATCTGGTCTGCAGTTTGGTTCATTTCTGCTTCCAATCATCCCTCGAAAGCTAAAATGATGACCAGAAAAGAAAGAGAGTACTTGCTGGCGAACGTGGTTAAAAGAGTGGACAAGTCAAAGGTATTCGTGTCTTCTCAACGTCTTCCCTCACTAGATTCACTTCAGAATGCGCACAAAGTACCATACTCCAAGATAATGACATCTCCTGCGTTTCTGGCTCAACTCCAGTGCCAATTCGTTGTAAATATAATAGCGACAATTTTCCAAATCTACCTTCCATCGTATTTCAAAGAAGTTCTTCATCTCGGCGTGATTGCGGTATTGCCTTTGCTCAGTTTCAACTCGCACGTCTTCTTATTCAGAATGGAACGTTCACTTCAATTCCCAACATCATCAACATTGTATTCAAAATGATGTGGGGAATTGGAATTGATAGGATGAAAGAGAAAAACATATTCAGTAACACAACGGCGGTGAAAATATCTCACGGAGTTGGTGAGCATTTCATCGTACTTATCAACCTGAAGATGTTCATTTTCAGCCAGTTACGGCAGCGCGTTCTCCCTTTTCCTCATCGCATTTCTCGTGGACTGCTCCAATCCGACCACGGGTCTCGTCCTCTTCTGTGTAATGTGAGTTACCCCCCTCGTCTTCCTTCTTACCCTTCCACGTGTCAGGTACTGTTGCATGGCCACTTTCGCCAGTGGATTCTACACTTCTTTGCTGTGTCTGGCCCCGCAGTACACGGCCACAATGTCCTCGATCTCAATATTTTGTGCCATGATGGGAGGACTGTCCACTCCTGCGATTGCGAGTGTTTTCAGAACTGAAGTGAGTCGCTCAGTCTTTGAAATGGAAAGAATTGAGTACAGGGAACCGTTGCGGAATGGAAGACGATCTTCGTCGGCTGCGCGTTGGCTCATATCGTTTCCGGTTCCATTTTCCTGATGTTCGGGTCGGGAGAACTTCAAGAATGGGCCAAAGTGGAGGATGAAAAGGAAATGGAAATGGAGGAAAAAGAAGCACTGAAGGAGACGGAAGAGGAGTGCGAGAACAGCGCGAGATTGGTCAGAGAGGACTCGCTGTGCATCTGATATTGTTCTGTTTCTTTCTCATTCCTTTCCGCAACTAAAATTATGACGTGTTCGCAACTTCTCTCTCTCTCTCTCTCTCGTCCTTAAGACAGCCGCTGTTTTCTTGGTTAAGTACATCTGTTTCTCCGACTCTAAAGTGCAGACAGTCTCTGCGTCTCTCATATCTCCACAAAACACAGACGTCTTTCCCATTCCGTTCATTTTTCGAATTTCCTCTTTCCCGCTCCCTTTGCAATAACGTCATCAAACATGTTTTTTTGTCATTCAAATCCTATTACATTTACGGGAATTCACAATTCGCATCACACATCAAGCTCCGCCCACTTTTCTTCTCGTATAAAACGGTGTTCAGAAGATTACAGGTCGACGTCGCCGAGTCAGTCTAACCATGAGACACTTTCGGTTCCTGCTGCTCTCGTTGTCCACTCTCTCGATGACATTCATCTACAGTAACCGAGTCGTTTTCGGTTTCACGATAATTTGTCAGATGAGTGGCAACGGAAGTGACGCAGTTTCTCCGGTAAACGCAGGTACTGTGCTCAAGAGATACCGACGGACCACAATGAAACACAACCATTCATTACCCTCCTTCAACTTGCCTATTTTCAGATTCCTACCTCTCCGATCCGCTCAATGTCGCCTGGATGTTCTCCGCCACGGCCGTCGGAATGTGTCTCGGACCGTTCCCGTTCTACTTCGCTTCCGTGTTCAGCACGCCGTTCTTCATTTTCTCCTACGGATTGCTCTCCGCTCTTAGCTCTTTACTGTACCCTTTGGCTGATTCCGTTGGCTTCTGGCCAGCCCTTCTTTGTCGTTTCTTCGCTGGATTCGCCCAAGCGAGTCAGCTGCACTTCACGAACGATCTGGTGCTTAGATGGACTCCGGACTCGGAAGCTTCTTTCTTTTTCTCGATCATGCTGGCCACTTCTCAGTTCGCGCCCCTCATCACCATGATTCTCGGCGCCGAAATGTGTTCTTTGCCATTTCTGGGATGGGAAGGAACTTATTATGTGATCGGAGCCATCACTTTTGCTTCATCTTCAGCATTTGCCTACTTTTATTCGGATTCTGTGGAAGATAATAAGTACGTATTGCTGTGGGCGGAGATTGATGTTTGATTACGTTCTCGGAAGTACTGGAAAACTCCTTCTCAGCATGTCATTTCTGCCTCAAAAGATGCTCTTTGATGAGACCACATAATTCTGACAATTGCTCTGTCCCGTTCTTAACGTGAAAGGTCTTTGCCAGAAGTGTGCAGCGCTAATATTTGGTTTGGAATCTTGTATTCTCGGGGACAATCATCCATCAAAGCACATCCCTCGTTTACTAAACCGTGTTCATTGCCGTATAAACCGATCCATTCAGATTCTGTGAATCCTCTGAGAAGTCTCTCATTCTCGCCGGAAAGAAACTGAAGAAAGAAAGAGAAGCAGTGCCGCACAGCGCTCTTTTTTCCGATTGGACCATTTGGATTAGTCTAATAATGTTCACCGGATACTACCTCGCAATGATTGTCTACCAGCAGTACTCTCCCATTTTCATCAAGCAAGTCCTTCATTTCTCGATCCGCGAGACCGGATACTTCTCAGCCATCCCTCAAATCATCGCTATTATCATTAAAATCGGCGGCGGCACACTCTTGGGTACACTAATCTCGTCTACTTTTCATTTTCATCGTGACTATATTTCCATTTCCAGATTACAAATTCGGCTGTAGTCTCAAAATGACACTCGCCGTTCCTCTCGTTGTTCTAGAGTGTCTCAGTGTTCTTTCCCTTTGCCTCACTGGATTTGTCAGTCCTCATTTTGTTATTCACCGGTTTCTCTTATTATTTGCAGCTTGATGATCGTGTTCTTGCTCTCTTCTTCATGATGACGTTCGCCTCTCTTCACTTCTTTGTGCCTGTCATTTGCAGCAGAACCATCCAGATCGTACGTAGTGCTCTTCCTCCAAACTCATGTGATCTCTTCAATCTTTTCAGCGCGCCGCCCATCATGCTCACTTCGCTCTCAACCTCAACATGATCATCGCTGGAGTTGCTCAGATGGTGATCCCATTGGGAGTGACCGCCGCGGTTCCGGATAACACTAGAGAACAGGTCCTTATTTTAGGACATTCCTCCATTCCATTAGTCTGTTTTCAGTGGTCCAACTGCTTCTATTTCTTGGCTGCCTCAATAGTAGCTACTGCTGTAGCTTACACTATTCTGGCTGAAGTCTCCGCTGCTCCGTGGACCGAAAGAGAGCAGGAAGCTAAAGTTGTGGAGCTTAAATCCGAACCCGAAAGTCTTTAGACCCCGTTCTCAAGTTTTGATTCTTTCGTTTCCAAAGAAAACAGCTTTACTTCCAGATAATGATTACTTTGTTGTTATAGACAAATGTTGAATGGAATGTATTCTTATGTACAATGTTCGAAATGAGTATCTATGGAATAAGCGCGCGTCGGACGGACGGTTATCGGAGCAGTCGGGATCTTTTGGTGGCCGAGGATCCGCACGGTCGTCGGCACCATTCCAGCTGTTTCGTGTGCGAATTGTGACGAAGTCCGTAGGAGCAGGAGATGAACACCCGGCAGCATTCGTTCAGAGGGCACTTGAATCCCGACCGGCGAATATTCTGCTTCACTTCTGCGATCTCCTCTTTCGTTGGTACCGTATCCGCTGGAATCGTGTTCATTTGAAGGCCGACCGAATGTCTCTTACCTTCAGATGCTTCATTCGTATCCTCCGAAGTGTCTCCATGACTGTCTCCTTCCAAATCCCCGGCTCTGACGATTGACATTCTCATTGCTTTCGCTTCGTTTGTTTCACAATCTCGTACTTCCTCTGCACAGTCTTCGATCTTCTGAAACTGTCATCAAGTTATAATATACGAAAGAGTTCTCTCCCAAACTAACATTGAAATTGGTACAACTCCTCCGTCTCGTCTGCTTTCCGTCCTGACATTCCGACCAACTCTCCCATCTTGATCCGTTCTCCTCTTTCTCTTCTTCTTCTTCTTCTTCTTCTTTCCTTTTCTCTCCTTCAGTCATCATCATCTTGTCAGCTCCAATTGCATCTGTTTCTGGAATCAAAGCACTTTGGTTTTCACGTCTTCCACCTGAATTCAATCGTACCGAAATTACGGACTCCGGACATCTTCCGATGTTTGGATTTTCCGGCAGTGCATTCCACTTCGAAGTAGTCCACAATATCAGTGTTTTCCTCCGCGAACAACTCTTTCTGTGTGTTTCTATTCTCCGAATTCAGGATGCAATTCAGTTGACTCTCTTCGAAATAATACATTCCGGAAGTGCAGTTGAAACCGAAAAGCTGGTAACTGTTGATGCACGTGTCGAAGCAGTGCTCGAAAGACGGAGAATCGGAGACCGATTCGGCGAACCCGACGAGAATCATTTGAGGATGACGGGAAAAGAAAGTGGTCGGACAGGAGCTGGAAGATTAGAATTAGAATCGAATGAATTCGGGGACAAACTCGACGAAACTGCTGGACACGCATATTCTCTCGTGGTACGAGGCGTCGTCCCGCTGCTTCAGTTGCCCGTTTCCGACAGGAACGGCCGCCTCGGCAGTGAACGAACACGTGGAAGTGGTGGAGAGGAAGTCGAAGCTCTTGCAGTCGAGACGCACTCCGTTTATCTGAACCCTTGATGCATTCCAGTCCATATTCCCTCTCTCTCTCTCTCTTGCCACTTACTCTGTTCTCCGTGCAAGCCTTCGCACACTCCTTCACGTCCTCCACAACCATCTGTCGATCGTCGTTCTTGAACAGTTCGAAGCCTTCCGTCCGCAGAAAAGTCGTCTGTTTGCCACGTGGACAGTTATCCGTCACATCCACTCCTTCGAATGAAGACGTCGACGCTGTGATTTCAGCCACTTCCGTGCCTTCTTCTCTTTTGTCCGTGTTAGTTGCGTGGGCCACAATCGGAACAGAAGGCGGGGGGCTTGGAGGAGCGTCCTCTTCTGGAGAGATCGGAGGAAAAACGGAAGAGGAGGAAGAGGAAGAGGAGGAGAATCCATTGATGAGTGAGAGACAGTGAACGAAGTCGGTGGGCTCGAAATAGTCGCGAGTTTGGAACTTGAGCAGACGGGCGGGGGACTGATCGCCGACGTGGGCAAAGAGATCGCACACCTGAAGAAGCTCTTCTCGACTGTTTCTCTTTCTCTTCTTCTCACCATATTCACATTGTCGTACACGAAAGATCGGCAGCTGTAAACGCCCGTTTGGCTGTTGAGACAGTGCGATTTGCAGTGAATTAAGCCGGTCGAAGATCGTCTTTCATACGGCTGAGCGTTCACAATTATCGAATTTTCGTATCGTCGGAAGCACGGATCGCCTAAAGTTCATTCTTTTGAAAGGAAAGGTACTGGAATAGAACTTACTCAGATCGGGAATTCCTGCGATCACCTGATTATGAATGTCCGGATCCCGAGCTTTGTGGGCTGCATCCGATCGGTTCTTCGGTTTTTTGGTGGACGAATAAGGGTTTGCATTTGCATTGGAGTTGGTGACCAGGTCCTGAGAGCACGGATTATAAGTTAGTCTCACTTAGATTTCAAACTTTTTCATTGAAAATCTGGAAGTTCTGAGATTTCTCATCTCTTTTCAGTATTTCATTCATTCGAGTGAAGAGCGCATCGCCGATAGTCGTAGTTCCGATCGGGGGAGGAGTTGGAAAACTGAAAGGCTCTTAGTTTCTGGAGGGGTTCGGATGAACTCACGTCTGAAGGTTGTAATCGTCTGGTTCGCTTTTCTCAGTGATATCTTGGATTTGGTTCAAACCACTGACAGCCAAAAGGAAAAGAAGAAGAGAAAGACTTTGAGTGTAAGGGAATGGCATCTGGAAGAAGAAGAAGAAGAAGTAAAGAGAACAAAGAGAACAAAGTATTCAGATAAGCATCATGGAACGGAAACGGACGGATTGCGGTGCGAAGATGCGATGCGAATGCCCATTCAGACACCTCTTGCTTCTTCTTCTTCTTCCTCTTCTACTCTAGTAGCAAAAGATAGAAAACTTTCGAGTGTTCTTCTTCTCTCGAGAGTATGGTTGACTTGACGAATATAAAGGGAGAGGAAAGAGAAAGAGAGTACGGTCACTTCGGAACTAGGTCTGAGGAGGCCGCTAGCATTTGAATGGACGGCCCAGAAGACATACGCAACCATCATTACGAGTTTGCAAATAGGTGAAGGAGCGTCGAGACCAATTAACTCGGAACTTTCCTTCTCTCTAACCACTAGGTTCCATCCAGGAATGAGGGTGATCTCATACCGAAATTGTAAACGCTCAGATTATGAAACGTCAATAGTGTCCAGTGGCTAATTGAATCTTTATCAAATCAACACGGATAAATGGAACGAACCGACGGGAGACATCGAAAAAGTGGAACAGTAAAAGAAGGAAAACTGCAAAACTAGAGGCAGTATATAAAAGTAAAGAAGCTTAGCGGAAGCTTAGCAGATCGGTTCTTCGTGCATTAGCCGGAGATTGCCCGGAGGAGAGGCTTGTTTGTTGCCGATTTGTGTCGAGATTATGAAGTCGTCTGAAAATATTATGAATGGGATCCCATGGATGGATTCATGACGCGTCATCCATACGTTCAGCATGAGTTTTCCAGCGTTTTTTGAAAAAATAATTTAATCGCTGGAAAATTTCAATAATATTAAGTGAATTCATTTTCTCTGGTTGTGATTTTACTGTTTCTACTCTCTGTTTTACTCTCTTATTTAAATGCGCGCCGAAATAAGTATCCGTGGCCGAGATTTCCCCTCGTCCCTCGACCACCAAAAAGAAATTCATTTTTTCGTCATTTTGCTGTCTTTCACTTCAAAATGGGACAAGAACGATTGGAAAACGCAAATCCGACTCTTTTCGATTCGAAACCTCGTGAACGACCTGTTACAGGATTTGAAAGGTAAAGAATTTCAATGTTCTGCATCAATTTACACCAAATTGTTAGCCGCTATAATTTTGTACTGTTTCAGGGACGAAAATGTAGAAGATCCGATTGATTCGTGGGAGATTTTCGATCTAATTAGAGATATCAATGATCCGGAACATCCGTACACTCTGGAACAGCTGAATGTAGTGCAGGAAGAGCTCATCAAGGTGTTCATTGACGAAGAAGAGACCTATGTCCAGGTTTTGGCGTTTTTCATGTATTCCGAAGACAGTAGTTCTGTTTTAGGTCAAATTTACGCCGACGATTCCTCACTGCAGCATGGCTACTCTGATTGGCTTGGCGATCCGAGTCAAACTGCACAGATCTTTGCATTCAAGGATCAAAGTCACTGTATCGATTACTCCGGGATCCCATTCAACAGAAGAATCTATCAATCGACAACTCGCTGATAAGGTACGCTTGCACTCAACTGCAGCAGTAGACAATTGCTTATTTCGCAGGAACGTGTGGCGGCGGCGATGGAGAATCAGGGTCTGATGCACGCTGTCAACGAATGTCTCAGACCTCCACAGTAGAAAAATCGTTTCTTTTCCTTACCAGAACCCACTTAAAAGTAGTCATTTTGCTCAAAAAAATTCCATGTGTTCCGTAAATTTCAATAAATTCTGTAAGCAAAAAACATGGAATTTTCTTTCTGACACTAGTTTCATCACTAAAAATATACTTTTGTTCTGAGAAAGAGTACAGCTCACCATCAGAAATCCCAGAAAATGCTAAAAACGTGTTGTCCACTTGTCAACCATTCTCGCACATTTTCAACGAAAAAACCGAAAGGAAACACACAAAAGTGAGTTTTTATCTGACTTCCCTTTCGAATCCACAAGTTCAGAATTTCAGATACATTCAAAGACAGGCTACTGATGAATTCGCGGCCAAAGCTCGGGAGCACAACTTCCGAGCACGGAGTGCATTCAAATTGTTAGAAATCGAAGATAAGTTCAAGTTTCTCAAGCCAGGTTAGTTGAAAGCTCTTCTTCTAGAAAATAACGAACACATTGCAGACAGTACTGTGATAGACGTCGGCTGCGCTCCCGGATCATGGCTGCAAGTTGTCGTTGGGAAGTGCCCGAATGGCTATGCCCTTGGAGTCGATCTTCAGAATGTTCTTCCTCTCCGCGGAGCCGATATTCTGTCGCTTTCCGACGTCACGTGTTGGGAAGTGCAAAACAATATTCGAAGGAAATTAGAAAACCGAAAAGTGGACGTAGTGCTCAGTGACATGGCACCTAACCCCACTGGTAAGACACTTGATCGTTTGTAATTTGAGAGCTATGAATGTATTTGCAGGTGATAACGCGACCGATCATGTGCGACTTATTGAACTGTGTCGGACAGTTTTCCGATTGTTTACAGAAAAGAACGCATTCGAACTGAAAAGGAATGGAGTGTTTTTGTGCAAAGTGCGCCTACTTTCCTTATGAATGAAAACTATTTCCGTTCTTTCAGGTCTGGGACGGAAGTGGTCGCTCAGACTTCATTCGGGAGCTCTCCGATCGATTCTCCATCGTGAAAACGGTCAAACCAACAGCGTGCAGAGATAATAGTGCTGAAATGTATCTCTTCTGTAGGAATTTGAAATAGTCTCTCCAAAAGTTAATGAAGTGATATTTCCTGTATCGTTCTTATCCACTTTTAATTTACTGGTGCTTTTGCATCCTCTTTTTCTATCTTTTCCTGTTCTCTTTGGTATTCACGCATATCCGATCCAAAGTTCAGCTCAGAGAATGCCTTGGAGAGCAGCTTTGAAGGTGGCGTTCGCAGCTGGAGAAGCAGTCGCAAAAGCACTCTCAAGAGCCGTTCGCGATGAAATTCGGCGTAATTCCTTTCATTCACAGTTCTCATCCACATTTTTCAACTTCAGAGACACAACAAGCGGCAGCCCGACACGCGGCGGCGACCGGACAGACTGCCGGCGAAACGAAGGAAAACGCGAATGCGAACGCGAAGTTGGGCATTTCTCTGGAAGAATCGCTGCAAATTCTGAATGTGAAGACGCCGTTGAATCGAGAAGAAGTGGACAAACACTACGAGCATCTGTTCAAAATCAATGACAAGACGAATGGAGGCACCTTATATCTGCAGAGCAAAGTGAGCGGGACCATTAGTTCAACAATTGAATCGTTTCTCGAGTTGGAAAATTTATTTTGATCTCACAAAGTTCTTGCAGGTTTTCCGTGCGAAAGAACGGATAGACGAGGAATTGGGACGACTGGAACAAAAGGAAGAGGTCAAGCAGGAAGATAACGCCAAAAAAGAATAGCTCCCATCGATGAAATCGATTTTATAACCGGTCTTTTTCCTTTCGAAAAGTAGGAGTCAATCTCCAGATAAAACAGTGTTTTCATTAAAAGTGTGTAGTATTAAATTAGGATTTTTTTTCATTGTTTTGTTTTCGATCGTTTTTAATAAAGCACGTCGTCGCTTTGAAATTGAAAACACCAGAGTGGTACAACATTACCAATTCCGTTCCTTCCTCATTCAATACTTATATGCACGAAAAGAATAGTTGGCAGTGTGCACGAAATGACTCCGACGTTAGAAGAGGCCGAGACGCACGTGAGGAATTCGAACATTGACGAGCACACGATGGAAATCCTCGCCGCAATGCTTGTATCGAAAATGGACGGTACGGAAAAACGGTGACGTGGCATTCCTGAAAATGTCAAATTCAGAGTGGCATCTGGTGGCCGATCAGAAGACGTCCGAATCGATTTGGGTGATTCTGACGGAGGCCGCAAGACGTGGCAAAATCAGTGAAAAACTGGGCGATACAGAAGTGGCGAAGCGATTGGAAAGAGTTTTCGAGGCATTCTTACAAACTGCCGAGAACATGCTCATTTCTTTGATTTTTCAGAAAATTCGGCCGAAATTAGAGGCTCAGCTCCGGACGATTCAGTGGAATTACGATGAAATAATTGACTTTGAAGTGCGAGTTTCGAAAGTGAATAAGGTGAAATTCCAATCGGAATTGGTTCGATTTAAACTCATAATATTGCAGTCCTCCCTGTTCGTGGACCCAACTGCTCAGAGGACTGTCGTTCATCTGAAAGTGCTGCCAACGGGATCGACGGAAGTGAAAACGCTCGTCGTCGATTTCGACGAATCACAGTTGGAAGAGTTCATTTGGAAGCTGCAAGAAGCCACCACGATGAGGGAACGAATTCAAATGCGAGTTGAGGATGGATAAAGAGACTCCCCGAGTAGCTTGTTTTGATGTAAATAAACATAATATTATAAACACATTTTTTATTAACAACTCAAAGAGACCTCTTCTAAACGCGTTGCTCCACAGAGCTCGATGTGGCGGTCACTGGGCGCACTTGGAGCACGCGCACTTCTGAGTTCCGGATCCCCTCCATTATCTCCTTCTTCTCCTTCTCGTCGCGAGTCTTCAAAGAGATCGGAAGCGTCTCGCAGCGATCGATATCAATCTTCACGTAAATAGTGTCGTCCTGAAATGAACAAAATCTCTGATTGAATTCAAATAAGCGTTGCTCACTTTTACGTAGTTCTGAAGAATCGCCAGAGAGCAAAACGACTGAGATCCGAAGGCGGCGTTCCGTTCGCCACGTGGACGAGCCAGAAACTTTTCGTTGGCGCGCAATTTACGTGGATCGATCACATAAGTGATGTTGACCCGCTCTTCTGGCCGAGGATTCTGAATTTTAGAGATTCGGAAGATCGAAAGACTGAAGACGGCACCTGGTCGAGCAGAGAGATTTTGACAGTTCGGTTGAAAGGCCATTCCAATGTCGGATCGAACTCTCCTTTCAGAAGGAGAACGTACAGAGAAATGGACTTTCCGGCGCTCGTTCCGTCTCCGAAAAGACACGCACAAGCCATCATTTTATATCCGAATCGGTGGGACATGAAGGGCACCGAGAAGATGGTCGTGTTGGCGCCCGACTGAAATACAGCTGTAACCACATTGCGGGGCACTGTACCTTGGCCTCATTGGTCCGTTGTTGAAGGTTGTCGATCTTCCAGATAAGTTGAGGGCCGAACATTTCAGTGCACGTCTCCGCCTTAAAACGAGAAACTTCCGAAATTCTGAGAGTGAACTCACGGCCGAGAGAATCCTAGTTTGGCGGTCGTTGAATGCCATCATATCCCTCTCCATCAGCTCATAGGTACCCTAAACGTTCCAGTTCGTTTCATTCATCAACTTCCGCATTACTCACTTTGAGATCTGTGATCTCATCGCAAAGATACATCAAATGGCGGACGGGCTCGTCACTCAGATGCTGTTGGATTGATGCCTTACCACCTAAAAACTAATTTCGGTGATCAGTTTCCCTGAAAACGAATACCGGCGAAGGTGCATCCGTACGGAACGAATGGACAGACATTGTCGACGTTGGGGCAGACCGGACGGTGGTCTTCGATCTGAAGAGCAAAAATGCGGAAAAGGACACGCGCGCAGGGAGGTACCTCATGACGTGGACGATCGGAAAGTCCGCATTGGAACGGACAGCTGATGATGACCTCCGGACAGGTCTTGAGATGTCTCTCGAGGTCGCTCTCCCGGACGGTCTTGTTGCAGAAAGAGCAGACCGCCCGGTTCAGTTTGCACTTCTCCACATGCCTTTCGAAGTCTTTCGATGCGAATTGTCTCCCGCACTTGTCGCACTTGGTGGAGCCTTTGAACGAGCACTCCGTCAGATGGTCGTGCAATCCGCCGAGCTCTCCCTGCCACGGACATCCGGACGACTCGAAGGTGCACACGACCGGAAGAGCGAGAATCTGGAAGAGATCTGCTTGCTCACGGTTCCGTGATCATGCAAATCCGATTCGTGCTCACCTGCTTATGCTTCGCGCGGTCGTATTGACTCAGCTCCGGCTGGATGATGGTCTGGCAAGAGGCGCATTCCGGAGCCCTAGTCTCTTTTTTGAAGCACTGACGGCAGTAATGATGGTCGCAGTTGAGTTTGACGGGCTCGCGGAGTGCCTGCTCGCACACAGGACACGTGCAATCGGACGGCAATCCGCCCTTGAACATCACCGAAGACAGTTGGGAAGCCATGAATTCTGCCGGGTGTCGAGCTACTTGAATGGACGGAAGGCAAAGCTAAGGGGAGCTCGCGAGCTAGGCTCGGCGGGTTTCCAACGGCGACACGTGGATACGGCCACGTCACATGGCAACTTTCGGAACATCTATGGATACATCCAAGAGGAATTCAGGCTTTACGAATCGAGGGGGAGGTTGGGGGGAGGGAATGGAAAAACGGAGAAGCAGAATAATAATGAACCTACTGGAATCAGAGCAAACAATGCTCAGGGGTATAAAAAGAAAGATACACAAACCAATTGCATCAAAATGAAAGTGATAAGAGAGTCGTGTCTGCTGTCCGACCGCATTTGGAATTCCTTCGAAAGTTCGGATGCATCCGTTTTGGGGGTGGCTTTAAAATTATGTCCAGACCGTGAGACCGTTTGAGAGACCGTGAATATTTCGGATTCGGATCTGTTCAATCGTTCCGATGTTCCTTCCAGCTGTTTCTTATCGCAACTTTTGATTTCACACGCAAATAATGTACTTGCTTGTGTTGCCCGCAGTCCCCCTTATCCAGTTTGTTACACTCTCTCTCTCTCTCTTTCTCCCTCCCTTTCATCTTATCACCTTCGTTTCCCTCGATCGATCCTGTGTGTTCTGTTTATTATTTGTTCGTTCCGTTTCAGCAGACATGTCCTCCTACATTCTATTCCTCATTCTACTCATGTTAACGGTGGCAAACACGGAGGTTTTCCCCTCTTTCCACCCATTAATCTCTCTTTTTTTCTTTCAGAAATGTACGGAAAACGAGGAATGCGATGCCAAGTGGCCGGACGCCATTTGTGTTCGGAATAGGTTGAATTCGGATCGGAACTCTTGAACATCTCTATTTTATTCAGGTGTCGTTGTCCGGAGAATACGATCAGAAAGAAGAGCGCTTCGAGAGAATTCGTTTGTCTTTCGACGACCGACGCGAGTGAGCGCCCCTTCTCCGATCGTTTCCCATTCATTTCCGATTCTTTCAGCCGGCAATTCAGGCCCTCCGCTGACGTGTCCGACTCCCGAAGGGGCCGGGTATCAGGTGATGTTCCGGCAGGACGGAGAGCCGCTCAAGTGCTCCAGCAAGAAGAAGCCGGACACGTGTCCGGAGGGCTTCGAGTGCATCCAGGGACTCTCCATTCTCGGCGCTTTGGACGGTGTCTGCTGTCCCGACAGGGGTGAGATTACCGATATTATACGTCCACGAAGACGGGAAATGTTCAGCGAAAACATGTTCTCATCCGATATTCGACCATCCGGACGACGGATATCTCTCGCGGTGGGGCTTCGACGGATCGGAATGCGTCCAGTTCAAATGGAATCCTGAAAGGCCGTCGTCGGCGAACAATTTCAAATCTCGGGCACATTGTGAGGATTACTGTATTGGTGCGATAAACGGATTAATCGAATATCAGTCCAGCCCTAACTTTCATTGACTGCACTCCACCCATTATTTATTTTTGCATATTTTTACAAAAACGAATTCTATAATGGACACAAGAACAAAAAGAAAACCATCACATTTGTGTTTTTATGGGCGGAATACATTGGAATTTTCAGGGAAAATGGTGGTTAAACAGTCAATAATTTAAGAGAATCTGAAGGTATTAGGCCCGAGAAGAAGTAGCAATACGGTCGAAGGCGGCCTCCTTCTCGTTGTAGTCAATCACCCAGGGATGTTTCGGATGATCATGCTTCAGCTGAGAAATAAAGCGATCGACGACCTGAAGAAAATTGGCTTTCAGATTTTCAAGTTTTGATGCCACATTACCTCGTCATCTTTCTCGTTGAGCTGAGCGGCGACCAGCGAGTTGATCAGAACATCGGCATCCTTGTTGTCTCTTTCGAGAGCGCTCTGAAACAAAACATTTCCGCTATTCAGTCAAACAGATGTTCTCACCTCAAGAAGTTCCTCGGCAGCAGCATAATCCTCAGTGAGAACACTGACGACAGCCTGGTGCATCTCAAGATCCGTTGTTCTGCCAAACTTCTCAGCCATTTCATTGTAAATGTACAGAGCATCCTTGACTTTCCCGCCGGCTCCAACAGAAGTTACGAGCGCATTGGCGAGTTGGGAAAGCGTGGCGTCTTCGTCGATCTGATTCATCTTCTTAACTTCGACGGCCGCCAACTTCCGTCTGTTCATCTTAATCAGAGTGAACACTTTGGCAGCGCGGGCCTCGAGTCCTTCGAAACGGGAAACGGCACGGAAGGCCTCTTCCGAACGCTGCAAAAATTTTTTTCAGCAGATTTTTTCATTTCTTTTCCAAAGGTTACAACTAACAGAACTCACGTTGGCTTCATTGAGAATTGTTGCGGCAAGAACAGCGGCAATTTCGGATTGGATAGTTCTGGAGGCGACTTCTCCTTTGACTTCAGTCAGGATCCTATCCTTCGATCCCGGATTGCAACGGAAATCAGCATAGCGACGGACAGCAGCCAAATCAGAAGATTTAGTGGAAGCAGGAATCTGAGAGTAATGTGTAAAGATAACAGTTAGCGACGGAGCAAAAACTTCTTTCAGCGGGATGAAACCTTGGTTCAGCGCGATGTAAGCTCTGTACAGATAGACATCTTTCTCATTCTTTTCATCTTCGCTTTTTGTAATGATTTTCTAAAAAAAGAATACGCGACGTGAACGGGGCTGAATATCGAACTTACCGGTGCCTCACCAATGCACGACTGATAACTTCCCAGGAAGAAGTAATTTCTGATAGGAAACAGCTTGTCTCCCATTTTTCAGTTGAATTTTCAGGCAGATATCGGACGGAAAAATACGATGAAATCCAATGAAACCACGTCACGCAGGATGTTTGCGGACGGCACACCTAGTCTTACGCGCAACGCGCAAACGCAGACCAATTTTATGAGGCGGCCGTGTCAAAACGGCGGAATCCACGAAAATCGCGGATGCCGAAATCGCGGAAACCACAAAAAGGCCCTTGAATGCAACTGTGTTTTGCCAAATATATCTTCTGAAGATACTTTTGACAAGTTTCTGACGTGCTCGCCAGTTCAAAAAACGAAAGCTCACTGTCAAGTATACATACTTACTAGCATGGCACATGTACGAATCCGCGATTTTCGTAAATTCCGCGGTTTTGACACGGTCTCAATTTTTTCATCGTCTGAAGAGATGGCACAAAAAGAAAAAAAACAGATCAGAAATACCAGTAAAAATAAATATACAGACAATAGAATGTTTGCAGTAAAACTAGATTGTCAATTTTTCGATTTTCTACTAAGGCCCGCTGATTTAAATCCGACAAAGCGGAAGTTGGAGGCTGTTGCTGTTTTGACACTCGAATCAGAATTGTCCATGTCAAGAGCCCCCAGAAGTGACGATTTCTGAAAACATACAGTATTTTACATATTGGTGAAAACAATTTATTCTAAAAATAAGTCCTACTCCGTTTTCTTCAGTGTTTCCCGTCTTTGATGTTGACTTTACAAACGCAGGACAACGGAATGGATTAGATGTTTTCGGAGTTCTGGAAGTGATTACGTTGTTTCCCGTTATAGAACTATTCTAGGAAAACGCACCCGTTTTCAGTTGTTTTCTTCGCAAAGTACTTTGAAACTACAGACAGTTTCGAGCCATTCGTTGGCTGAGACTTGTCCGAAAAAGCAGCAGGCGCCGAGTTTTGATGGGTAAGAAGTGGCGATTGGAACTTTTTGTGCTTCTGCGAGGAAGACGAAGGCTCAGGAGTCGAAACTGTTTTGCGGACAGATGGCGGTGGATCCGATTCGGGCTCTTTCTCTGAAACTGAGAGGATCTTACCGGAAGAAAAAGAGAAACTGCTTACCTTCCACAATGACATCTCCTTTTTCCTCTATAGTTTTTTCTTTCTCCGTAAAGGTTTTCGCCGTCAGAAACTCGGAAAAGTCGTCATCCACTTCGAGCATTTTAGCCTTTTTGGGTTTGGGTGGGGGATTCGAGTACAATTTGAGCATCTTTTCGGCCGTGTAATCCATTTCCGGTGCATTTTTCCGTTTTTTAAAGGAGACTTTCTCTTTTTCAATGTCTTCCATGAACTGCTTCACAATGTCGTCTTCGTCAATTTTGCTATCTAACTGGAACTTTTTCTGCACTTTGACACGTTTCAGAGATGGAGAATCGAGCTGAAAGAGGAGAATACAGGGATAAGAGCGACTCTTTTCACTATTTTATACTTTGAATGCTCCGCCACACTTCGTGGCTTCAACTTCTTTCTCCTTTTCCAATTTCTCCAGAATCGAACCTTTACTCTCGTATCTGTTAAAAGAGGATCTCAAAACGAAAACGACCCGAATACTCCTACCGTAATCCCCAGACGCTCCAATTCGGAATTGGCTGAACCAGAAGAAAACGATCGTCAATCGTATTTGCGTTCGCCTGAAAACTAAGGATCACATGGACTGTTTCTGTTAATGAAAATTACGGGATTTCCGAGTGCCAATCTGATGGAAATTCTCTGTGTGCATATTGTGCCGGCGTACTCAAAAAGAGAAGAAGAACGAGTTGAATCGTCAGGAGAGGCGGTCGCTTCGTTCTGAAAAGCAATCGAAACGTTTGAGTGACTTCTCCGTTTCACTTGCTCACCTCCAGATCAATGACTTCGACAGCTGTCCCCTGATACGGCGTCAACGGTTTCTGGCATCTTTCTTTCGGATCAAAGACGATTTGATGCTTGAAAGTGTTTTCCGCTCGTTCGAAACTCGCGATGAATTCCTCCGTCACGTGCTCTTTCAATTTTGAATTCTTAAGATACGACGGAATTTTTCGCAGAACCTGAGATACATCGTTGAAAAGCAATTGAAAAAAAAAACGTTTTACTGTTTTGAGATCTTTAATAGAAGTTAAAGAGAAGAATTTGGCTGCTGTGCTCAGTCCGACGCCAGGAAGACCTGCCTGAAATTGCCTGTTTCAGATTTTTTCTGCAGTTTTCGATAAGTCTCGCCTGCAGATAATCGCACCCCGCTAGAATACAAATTCGGCGAAACTTGACAAAGTCGAACTTGTCTCCGCCGAGCTCCCCTGTGAAACACTTTTTAAGATTGCTCTTCTCGTAGACACTGCATTCACCGTTCGCCGATTGCCATTTGAAATAGATCTGAAATATAAAAGGACACTTAGCTAAGGACCTTACAGATTCTTGCTCACTTTCTCACAGCCAAACACAATAAGATCGGAATCCTCCGTAATGACCGCGTCCACAAGTTTCGCTTGTAGCAGATAAGCCAGTTGCGCGTCTGCTTCATAAGGAGCGACAACAATATCCACGTTCTGACGGGTTCGAAAGTACTGGATGGTCTTCTCGACGATGTCCGCCGAGATACTCGTCGCCATCCGATACGTGTCTCTTGCTTCCCGCTCCAGTCCTTTCGCCAAAAGAAGCTCCGCGTGCTCCTTCCGTTTCTCCCGCAGCTCTCGCCGTTCGTCATTCGTACCCTGCAGAAGCTCACTGAAAATTATCTGACTTCTCTCCCTCAAACCTTTTTCGCCGGCAGAGGCCTTCCGTCGAAAACCATGACCACGTGGCAACCCAACGCGAGCAGCTCTTTAATGTATTTCTCTACATAGAGAACGTAACTCTGTGTTTCCTCTCCCATGTGAATCTTGTCCATACATCCCGTGAGTCCTCTGTGCAACAGACAACTCACGTCCACAGCTACTGACTTGCCACGCAATTCCAGAATGTTTCCCTGTGACAGAGCGTCGGTTTTTCTATCATTTACTTTATCGAACACTTACTTTTCTGCACGCATTCTTAACAAACGGTAAAAGACCAGAAATTCCCATTAAAGTGTGATAAAGGTGAGTAGTTGTGAGAGAAATGCGGGGAAATCACAGTGAGATGTGTCGGTTTTGAAGTTGCCGCTCGTGAAAATTAGCGACGGAGCGCGTTTGCAGCAAAAAAGCAAAAAAAACGAAAAAAAGTTTATAAAAGAAAAGAGGCATACAGAAAGTTCAGAGCGTAAATGATCTGGTGATAAACTGAAAGTGAAATTGTTGAGTAGTTGGCGCCAGAATAAAAAGATGGTCTAGATGCATTAGTGGGTTTTACAGAAAAAGAGAAGAGTTAGCACGATTTCCGTTTGTTTATGCCGATTCGCCGTCACTGTCCGGATCCTCCACGTACACTCTCGGCAGTGGCTGCTTGCTGATCGCCCGACGGGTGTCCAGAATTCGGAGAGCTTCAGATTCCAGTGTTGCCGACTGAAATTTAGAAATGTTCGACATTATTCTAATTGGAATGCACAATACCTGTTGGCTCAAGTTTCTCAGATTGTTGACAGTGGCGTACTGCATGCTGCACAGATCCGAGATGTAGGCCTCTTGGTTGAGGTTCCTTCTCTGAAGATCACGGCGGAGCGACGAGACTTCCTCTGCTCGGATCTTGTTGATGTGAGCCTCCGCAGTGAGCTGTCCGCTCGCTTCGGCCATTTGCTCCGTGAGCACATCGAACTCAGATCTCAGTTCGTTGTGCTGTCTTTCCGCCTTCATTCGCAACTTTCTCTCCTCCAAAAGATCTTCCTCGAGCTCTTCGATTCTAGAAATACAGCGACGGAGCATCGCCTGCAGCTTGGAAATCAGATTGGCATCGCCCTGCGCCTTCAGTTTCAGCTCTCCAATCTCTACCTCCCGTCTGAGAATGCAATGATGAGTGTGTAGTTATCACTAGAAAACGCCTACCTTTTGCAGTCCACGTCGTACTCGTGCTTCTCCTTGAGAGCCAGTTGCAGCTGTGTCTGAGTGGCCTTGAGCTGTCCCTCGAGCTTCTTGTTATCTGAAATTCAGAACAATGAGAACGGGGTGGACAGTCGGTTACTTACGCTTGACATGCTCATTGTTAGCTCTTTTCTCGGCAGCCAACTTGTCGTCCATTGCGTCCAGATCCTCGATGAGCTTCTTCTTCTGTTCTTCAGCGCGCTCTGATTTCTGCTTGAGAGAAGCCACCTCATCGATCAGCTCAGCATTCATTTGTTCCTATAATAGTTGAATGAACCCCTAGAATCGGTATTGTTGCTAACCTGAGCCTTTCTTTGCGCCGCAATTTTGTCATAATCAGATTGGAGAGTGGAGATCTGTTCCTTCAGTTTCTCCGTCTGCGTCTTGTGCTGATTCGTCTCGTTCTCCGCCTCCATCTGCATCCGCCGCTCCCGCTCTTCCCATTCCTTCCGTTCTTTCTCCCGAAGCTTCTCCAGCTCGGCAGCCTTCTTGGCATTCTCGTAATTAGCTTCCGACTCGGCTTTCAGGTTGCGGTTCAGCTCCTCGATTTCCTTGTTTCGTTTGTCGAGAAGCATGCGATCCCGCTCTAGGGCGGCTTTCGTCTCTTCATACTGATCGATCTTCTGTCTGCAAGAATCTATCTTGGATTAGCTGGAATCAGAATGCGCAACTGACCTCAGTTCATCGGCATACTTCTTGCGAGACTCCTCCTCTCTCTTGTGATTCTCCTCCAACTCTTTGCACTTTCTCTCGAGCGCTTCAATCTCCGCGTTCGACTTCATTCCTTTGAGCATAGGCTTTAGACGCGAGAAAAGTCGGTACCAGGGCCACGAACTGCAAACTCCGTGGATGGATTACTCTACCTCCCACTTCCACTCACCGTAACTTGATCCAAGCTCGCACGTTGTCCTGGATGATCGGATAGGCGTCTTCGCGGTCAAGTCTTCGTTTGTACTCGACCTGTAACCAATCAATATCAGTGACTAATCAATAACTACGGGCAGTGTCTACGAGTGGGCTAAAGTCTCTTGTGCGTATATCTGGGGCGCCGAACAAACAAATGAGCAGCAAAGAGCACAAAAGCCACTTGGCACAGAGGCGATAAAAAACGGATTTCGAACCGAACCGTCACCTTCTTTCAGGGATATGCGAGTACCTGAGCAAGATAGTGGCGAGCGGAGCACTGGAACTTCAGAATGACGGCCGAAAGAGCTTCATCGCGCAGTTCTTCGAGACGAGCCAGCATTCCAGCTCTGAAGAAGACCTGCAAAGTTTCTAGATGTGCTCAGATTCTATAATTAGCATTCAAAACCGTACTTTGGTTGTTCCAACTTTGAAATTGTCCACATTCAACTGGTTATTCTTGCTCATCTTGCGGAGCATCGCCTTCGCCGCCTGTATAAACTTTTCCCATCTTCTCGCCTTTCTTTTCTTTATCCCACCTTTGTCGGATCTTTCTCAGCAGCTTCTTCTGCTGCCAGAATGGCGTATCTGTAACGGAAGTCAGCGAACATCATTCTGTTCGGGAATCCCTTTCGGCAAATTCTGATTCCCTCCAGCACTCCATTGCATGTCAACTGGTTGAGAACCAGTGGAGCGTCGATCAGTCCGCTTGTCTTTTTCTCGTTTGGAATGATACATCTGAAAAGTGCCGTGTTCGGTTACAGATACGAGCACGATACCTGATGAAGTGAGGGTGCGTGGTGTGCAGCATGGTCATCAGGGAGGTCAGCGACTCCCTGTACATAGTGGAGACGGTCAGGAACGACGCCGACTTTCCCTTCTTCTTCGCGGCCGCCTTTCCTCTCTTCTCGCTCTCCTCTCTGTCCACGTCAGTCTGATAATCCTCCCACAATTGGAACAAAACTCCTTCCTTGTCACTTGTCTTGAGCACCGCGACCGCCGAATCATTCAGTGGATCCTGCAAGTGACAAAGTCATCAATATCTTCTTCTTCTTCTCTCACCTTGTTCTTATCCAACCACTGTTCCGCATTGTACCGGACAGTTCCTGCGTAGTGCACAATTGAGAAATGAGCCTCCGCCTGCTTTCCCTTTGGTGGCTTTGCCTTTTGGAAGTTCGGATGCTTCCCGAGGTGTTGAGTGAGCAGCTTGTCCACGTATGTCATGTCCGATGCTTTGGGAACAATGCACTCCTCATCGAGCATCGAAACGATTCCGAGCGGCTGAAAAAAGAAGGTCAATATTCATTGCCCACTGTTCCCCCACCTTCTCAATCAACTCGATGCACGCCTGCAAATCGAGTCCGAAGTCGATGAAAGTCCATTCGATTCCTTCTCTTTGATACTCTTCCTGCTCCAAAACGAACATGTGATGGTTGAAGAACTGCTGCAGTTTCTCATTCACAAAGTTAATCCACAGTTGTTCGAATGAGTTTCGCTGCAAACAATTGATTGTGCCTGAAGGTTCACTTCAAGCTCACGTCGAAGATCTCGAATCCGGCAATATCCAGAACTCCGATGTAGAAGACCATGTCGTCCGAGTTGGCCTGCAGGGTCTTGTTCACTCTCTTGATGAGCCAGTGGAACATTCTCGCGTAGATCGCCTTTGATAGAGCTCCGACTGCCCAATCGACCTGAACCCGAATTGGATGGAGATGTGTTGCCTAGTTTACTCACCTGTTGCACATTCTGTCCCTTGTTGACCCACTCCATTCCTACTTTTATTCTCGGTCTGGTCAACGCATTCAGGAATAGATCTGTGTCGATTCCGAACAGTTTGCAAGCGGCGGTCGGACCTAAACCCATACTTGATTCTCGTCCGCCGTAAGCCTTCCCTACTTTTCATGTCATCCACTTCCGCTTGTTCGTCTCTCGGCTTCTGCTTGAACGTGGAGTTTCCGATGTGCATGATAGCCGAACACAACTTGTAGAGGTCTTCCTTCTCGCGTTCCGAGAAGCCCATCACGTTGAAAGCCGTCTAAAAGGGATCTTTACTATATCTGAGTAATCAGGTTCCATTATGGAACCTGGATCCTGCCTTTGGAACCTGATTACTCAGATAGAGCCGGAATCTTTGCGGACGGAGTCAACTCGTTCACTTACATCGGTGATCTCCCACTCTTCCTTATCGTTCATTCCCGGAACAGTGATCTCGGCTTGCGACACGAACTTGTAGTCCCGAATGTTATCGCTCAGACCGAACTTGTCTGCAGTTCACAAAATCTCTCGTGACTATTCGATTTCGACTATACCTCTGAGCGCCTTCTGGGTCATGATTTGATAGAAGATGTGATAAGAGCGCTCTCCCGGAGCCTGCTTGATCACACGCGACTTTTCGAGTAAATCTGAACGTGCAAACTCATTATGATAGTGCGTTTGGGTGGTTTACAGTGCTCAATGTCTCCTCCAACAAGCCTTCCCTTTCGGTCGAAATGAATTCGGATGAACTTTCCGTAGCGAGAAGAGTTGTAGTTTCTTGTGGTCGCTCCGTTTCCGAACGCTTCAATAGCCGGATTGGCCTGCACTACTTGGTTTTCAAGAGAAGACTCCTCAAATACATAGTGTTCCACATGTTCATTTTTCCTTTCATTACCGATTTCTGGTCCTTGTTTCCGGATCCAATCATTGCGAAATAGGCAATAACCTTCTTGGTATTCTCAGTTTTTCCGGCTCCAGACTCTCCCGTGATCAGCATCGACTGGTTCTCCTTGTCTGAACACGAGCTAGTGGACTTTAAATTAGTTCGAATCACTCTCACCAGACATCATATTACGGAACGCCTCGTCGGAGACGGCGAACAGATGAGGAGGCATCTCGGCACGACGCTTGTTCACGTACATTTTGGCGACAGAGTCCGTGTAGATGGGCAGCATCTTGTACGGATTGATGAAGACACAAAAGAGACCGGAGTACGTCTGCAAGGACATTCAAACTGTGAACGACAATTGGGAAAACTCACATAGATCATCATGGAATAGTATCTCTGTCTCAGATTGTGCAGAACGGATGCTTCGTTCAAGAACGTCAGATTGCTCATGTCCTCGGTCTTCTCGAACTTGGCCGGGTTGATCTCCTGCACTTCCGCCCTGGTCAACTTCTTCTGAGAGCCGTCCGCCGGCATCATCAGCGTGAGATTGTCGCCCTCTTGAACGGCGATCGCAGCCGCCACGAACCCCTCGGCCGCATCGGGAACCCATGCGTGGGTCTTGTTCTCGAATCGACGGGCTGCTTGCTCCTGAATCAGACTCGATCAGTTTATCGAATCTAAAGTTGCCCATTTCGGTTTTCGGTGCCTTGCTCGCGTGGGATAACTACTGTTTTGCGCGGATCCCCCCGCATCTCGCCCGCCTCTCCAAATATTTACTTTCCCTGGGAACCGTGCCAAATCTCTTCTCCGAAAGATGTTTTACAAGGAAACTTTTAGAAAAAAACTGTTAGAAAAGGCAAAAACTTGTGTTTTGAAGCTACCGCAAAACTCAGAAACTCGAAATGAGATCGCGAAAATCGTTGTTCTCAAGTGAAATGCTCACCTTCAAAGCCTCATCCTGAGCTTGTCGGAGGTACTTCCACCCAGGATCCATCAGATAGTCGATACTCGCCATGTTGGCTCCGTTCTCAGCGAATTTCGACAGAAGCAACAAAAAACAAGACAAATCCGATCAAAAAGATGATAAGATTTGACGAGCAAAAAAAGTTTTATCAATGGGTGGTCTCGTGAGCTCGGGGCTCGGCGGCTCGGCGGCTGGAGCAAGAGAGGAGGAAGGACTTGACGGGAAGGAAAGATACACATTGTCGCGCGACATGGTTGTGGATCGGGAGAGATCGGGAGAGAGAGACAGAGCGGGGAGAGCACTTCAGATGGGGTGCTCTCCCGCTCTGTCGATGGCATCTTCGGGCGAATTTATTTTGACATGGGTTACTGTTGAACCGTACACCTCACTTGTTGCATTTATCAGTCTGATACGGCACACCTTTCGGAATCGCTTTCAAAATTATTTATTTATCAAATTTCAGTTCAATATGTACAAACAAACAATTCAGACACCGGGAAACAAAGCACCCAAATATAAATAACACGTAAAAGTGGAGAAGGGAACTATCGAAACGGGGATGCTTTAGAAGATGGAACACTTGTACGCCCGGTTGACTCGTCGGAGATCAGACGCCGAAAATTCACTCGCCTTTCCCATAATGGACGTGAAATGAGCATTCTGAAAGAGAAAAAGACGTGTTGGGATGGATGAGAACGTCGGAAACCTTAGCCTCGATAGTGTTTTTGCCGTTCCGAGATCCTTCATTCGCTTCATAGTGCATGATGGACATGTAGTCGTAGTGCTCTCCGTAATAGGAAAGTCCCAGGTTGCTGAGTTTATCGAAGTCCGTGTTGGCACCTGAAAACATTGGTTCGACGGTAATTTCAATTGGATTCACTCACCAGGAATGACGTTCTGGTACTGGATAGACACGTAGGCATCCCTGTCCTCTCTCTGATGCTCATGGATGAATCCTGTTCGGATGAAAAGGTGACAAGAGGTGATAAACAGATACTTACCGATCACATGCATCAGCTCATGGATGATAGTGGCGTAGTCGATGCACTCGTCAGCCAGAGACACTTGTTGACGACCTCCCACTCGAGAGAAGTCCGCGTAACATCTGCAATCGTCTCAGCTAACCAAGTAGGCTATCAAACAACTGACCCATCCAACTTTTGAATCACAATGTAATCCTTGTCAGTCGGAGATTTCGGAACAAATCGGATGCACGTCTTCTTTGCGTAGGCATCGAAAGCGCGAGCCAACACTGCTCTCTGTGCACTTGCTGAAACGTTGGTGAGTTGAAAAAGAGCCCATCGGCTTCTAGATTACTGTAGGCGGCGGACAGAATGTACGGAACTCTTCCGTTCGGCCATTTGTCCTTGTCGGCCGCCACGGCCACTCCTCCTCCTCGTTTGAATCTCTGAAGATCGTCTGAATTGAGCAAAAGGCAAAGGCTAATCGGAAATACTTGAAATGGAATTCTCATATCGTGATAGAGACTTCTGACCCGTCGTGTGTTCGTTGTTGGCAAGAGAAGCGCATTTCTAAAGTCCGTTTCAGTCAGAAAAGAGAATTGTTCCATGTTGGGCATCCAGAAGGGGGCTTGGCACAGCGCCAAAGGAGCAGAAAAGAGCAAGGAGAGCACGATGGGAAGCATTGGAAATCTGAGCACAAAGGGTTCGAAACAATCAAAATGACCGAAACTCACCCACTAGGTGCAGCTCCAGCCGTCCTCCGGATGATGGAATGAGGAGGAAAGTACTGTTTGGTAAGCCCTGCTAACTGTCTCCAAAGGTCGCGCCTACTCCTCCCCCGAGCCAGTATTTCACGCGGCGCATCCACGCGCGGAGCACGAAACCGGCTCCGCGTGCCGTGCGCTCTCCGCGCCTTCCGCACTGTTTCCGCGTGCCATCCGCAGCCAACTACTACTGTCAGAAACTGTGTGCAGGCGGCGAGTGTTCCCGGTGTTTGACTTTTTATTATTTCGATACTGGATTCATTGAGAAGTGCGATAGACGGGGGGAAATGAGAGAATCAGAGGAAAAAAGAGGTCGCCGTGCAGCGATCATGAACAGTTTTATGCGCAAACATTGACTTTGCCGTACGGAATCGTATTTGCAGCTGTGAGTTTTTTAGTCTTCCAGGTATCGATCCAGATAAATGTTGCCCAAACGGACGATTGACGGCAGGAAAAGAGGGATTACGTCGATCTGAAAGCCCCTTTTTTAGTGGCACATCATGAAATCGGATGCTCACCTGGATAGGATCCGTTGCATTTGTGAATCTATGCGGACAATTGTGCTCTATGTAAATGTACGGGTCGGGAGTGTTTATGGGCCCGAAGTCACTCGCACATCCGGTCACTTGGAACATTCCCTCCTTGCCGCTCCAAGTCCTCCCCATAAGATCATCGGATTCCAGTGGAAGGGCTGGAATCACCTCCATTATCAACGGTTTCCCCGGAACAAACTCACAGTCTTCGTCCCACAAGTCGATGTGCACATTCCGAACGGCTTCTGGTTTCGTCGGACATTTCAAAGTTCCTGTGGCCAGAAGACAACTCGTCTTGGACTCGGTGCCGTTGAAAATAAAAAGAAGAAGAGCTAGAATCAAAGCGTTTCGTGTCATTTTCCAGGGTCAAGTGACCAGTGCGTGTGTGTGGGCAACTATTCCCTGGGGACCTCCCTTTCCTTTCCTTATCTTATCGCCCGCCGCATGTTCCCTTTTGTTTGCTCATTGATCAACTGACGCAGACTCAAATAACACTTCATTGCACGCAAAACAACAACTTTTCAGTGTATTTTTCCACATGTTTTGACGAGTCCGTCCTCCTGAATCCACGCAGTTCCTGCCCAAACCGGCTTGTTCTTCAGTTCTTTTGGGAAACATCTCTGAATTTGAACGCCTTCGTCACCACAACGATACTCGACGTCTCCTAAAAATAGAGAAAGAGAGCTTGAAATTGAACTCCAGAATCGGCTACCTTCCCTCCAGACCGCGTACTTCTTGATGTGCAAGTCCTCGTCGTTGACGTCATCATTTGTGGTCCCATTGAAACATCCTGAACTTTTCATTTCTTTCTCTAAACTTTCCCACTTCCTTTTACCTTTCGGCTCGATTCTAACAGTCAGCTGATTGGGTTGAACCCGACAATACTTGAGACTTCTGTTGCCGATCACGAAATATCCGTGCTTCACAATATCCCCGTTCACGTCCACGCATCCTTTGAACCGACGAGAAATGCAACAAATCGCGAATCGATCCTTGAAAATGTCATCGGAGAAATCGGCGAAAGTGGGGCACGAGTTGGTGTTCAAGTGTTCGGTGGATGCCGCGTGCGAGCAAGTGTACTCGTATCCGTGCTCAACGAACGTCTTCGAGCCGACATCTAGAAGGTGTCCGCTGTCAGTCACACACTTCAAAGTCTGAACGAGAGCAGGGAGTTTGTCTCACGGGCATTCATCTCAAACCTGAATGTTTCCATTCCGACAGGTAACCAAGAAGTGGTTGTTGCGAATCCACTTGTCTCCAGATGCATAGACGACTCCGTTGTCATCGCATTGAGCAGTGCATGCAGAAGGCAGAACAGAGGAGAGAGTGTACAGAATGAAAAGACGGAGAGAAGCGGTCATCGAGACGGGAATGTAATAGAAACGACCCGAGAGAGCAGGACGGGAGAAGTTGCAATGCAAAGAGGATTTGTGTGATATGTTCTGGTGATTTGGAGCCTGGCGAGCGAGAGAGAGCAAATGCGCTCACTGAATCCCATTTGACTAGCATCAGAACAGTAAAAATATATCATTTCGTTGTGAAAATAGTGAGCATTACAGTTGTGTTGTAGATTTATTTAAACAAGGAAACGAGTTTGCATTCGTATTTTTGGTTATTGATTGATGACGGAAGGTGTGAGTTGGTCCCCTCATGGGCAGGATCTGATGATGAGTTTCGCACGATCGATGTAGATTGTCTGATTAACATTTCGGTCAAACCGAGCTATATTATAATTAGATGGCAAAACCACCAGCTCGCCGGGAGATGAGAAGTTTCAGAGACTTGTGAGAAATGTTCAGTTTATTTCAGGATGGAATGGTTCAGAATGAGCGACAAAGAATAGCTTTAGCAATAAAAAACAATTAGAACTCGACGAGTTTTCTGTGATGCCCCATGAGTCCCTTGAAGTATTTGACCGTCTTCACTTTCAGCTCCAACGTGGCGTCCTCATCCGCCACGAACGTGGCTCCTTTGTGCAATTGCATCGCCGAAACTGTGCACATGTGGGATATTCCGCACTCGATCGCCTGGTGGAGGGCCAGTGCTTTATGGGATCCCGTGATCAGAATCATGACTTCCCGGGCATCCATCACAGTCTGCACGCCGACCGTCAACGCTTGCGTCGGCACTTTTGAGAGGTCCCCTCCGAAGAAACGAGCATTTGCCTGGGAGATTTAGTTGAACGCATGTTCCACGCGACAAACTCACTTGGATCGTATCCTCGTTGAGGGTCTTTATTCTGGTCCTGCTGGCCAGAGAACTGCCCGGCTCGTTGAATGCAATGTGGCCGTCCGGGCCGATTCCTCCGATGAACAGGTCGATTCCGCCGGCTTCCACTACCTTCCTCTCGTAGTTTTCGCACTCTTTCTCGTGGTTCGAAGTGTTTCCGTCCAAAATATGAATCTGAAAACGTGCTTGTGTGATGCAGAAATCTCGCGAACTCACATTGGCCGGGTCGATGTCAATGTGACGGAAGAAGTTCTCGAACATGAATGAGTGATAAGACTCCGGATGATCCCGCGCAAGATCGACGTACTCGTCCATGTTGAAAGTCTTGACCATTTTGAATGAGATCAATCCTTTCTGATGGAATTCGATCAGTCTCCTGTACATTCCGAGGGGAGTGGACCCGGTTGGAAGGCCCAATACAAAGTACTTGCCCTTCGGCGTTTCGCGGATCTTCTTAGTGACGTATCTCGCAGCGAAATCAGCCACTTTTTCGGAATTCTCCTCTATGATCAGCTTCATCTTTCACTGGAAATATGACCAATTTGAGAAAAGAAAAGCAGGTTAACACAATGATTCAAAAAAGGGAAAAACCCTATAAAGAGAGAGAGAGAGAGAGAGCAAAATATGTACACAAGAGCAGAGGAAATGGGAAAGATGTGACTACCAAACATGACCACAAACTGGCACAAATGTGCACCGTCCCGTCGCTTTTTATACCTGCCTATCTTATCAGGACAACAGGGGAAGCGACAAACATTGACATTTCAGAACAGAACGATAATGGGGCTAATGGAAGGAATGATTTGATTGGAATGAACAATTGTTTGTGAATTCTTTTGTTTATGAAACCGGAGGAACCGCGGAGAGAAAGAGCAGAGCTTACAAAGGAAAAAGTTGGTGTTGAAATTGTGAATTTATCTGTTTGAGTTTGGAGTTCGTGCTGATCTAGTTGTTCTTCAAATGTTCCCGCCTGGTTTTGACCAAAATCGCTGCAAGACCTGAAATAAACGAAGAAAGGATTTGATCTCCAACGCGTGCAACGCAATCGATACCGAAAAAACGGTTACAGAAGAGCACCCGAATACCGTCTATTCAAAACGGTGTATCTCAGCTGTCTCTTGAGATATCAAACAGTTGTCAACTGATAAAATGTACACAATGCGTTAATGAGCAAATTATCAATTGACAATGTTTCCCTATCTCTACAGGAAACTGAGATAAACTGTTTTGAATGAACTCTATTCCAGTTTTGCTCTGCAAACATCCGTACATCTAAACGGACACTATTATTTTCTTCTCCGACTCCTTCTTCCGCACCAAACATTCAAAAGACACCTCGCAGTTTTGTTGACCTTCATGTTTTCGTAAACAATTGTAAAGTCATTTGAATCTTTCCGCTGAAAAACTTTCAGTTCTCGTGTACCGATGACTTTGAGAGATAAGAGCCGGTTGGCATTGTGCCAGGACAGCCCCGAATGCCTACACGAGTACGTTTATCTCATCGAGAAATCAGAACAAATTGTAGGCTAGACCGAGAAGGAGCGGGTATAAAGAAACAAGCGAAAGTGGTCGGCAACATTTCAGATTTCGGCGGGCAGTGCCGTAGTCTCTGTGCATTTTCTCATCTCGGAAACCTTCCCCATTCCATTTAGTACACTTCGTTTCCTTCTCTAAAAATCTGCCAAAATCTGCTTTCTTTCGAAAGGAATAGCCATAAATCAGTTTTGCAAGGGCGCATATGCAAATCGCGTCGGAGGGCCGCCTTTCACTCGGAAAAAAGTTGCAAAAGATGAATATCTTTGGCATTTTCACACAAAGAACTTCTACCAGTTCCTCACTCACACATTTGAACAACATGGATAAACAAAACAGCGAGACATATTATAACCCCTCAAGATGTGAAAAAGACGAAAGGACACGGATTCCCGTGCCAATATCCGTCGGAACTGGTTTCCATTGTCAATAGGTGGTGTGTATCACACTTTCACTATTGTATAATACCTCCTTTCACCCCCTTTCTCATTTCTCAGCTACTACTTCTGACCCTTTCTTCTTCCTCGTTTTCAACTGGTTCAGGCCCTTTATCAATTTATCATCCGCCCCCCTTCCGATTGTTCCGCTTCCCTTTCATTTGCCCCCGTCTACTCTTTTCTTACTGGCGTTCGCGGTTGGGAGGAGAAAAAAAGGCAAAGGCGGAGGGGCAAATAAGTTTGTTTTACTCAAGAGCCCTGGCTTCCGACTATCCCTCGCTGAACCTGTGTCAACACTTTTGTGAGCGGGAAAGAGCTTTGGCACCCAGGGCGGAGGGGAGCAGAACACTGCTGTTCCAGACTTACTACTCGTCAACTGCCTTCCGTTTCGCTCGCCACTCTTTCTTCTTTTAGTACTGTCAAATGACTGGCACTCAAATCATTGACATAAGGTCATCTTGATCAGAAAACAGTATTCAGGGCGAGCAAGTACTCTGTTCCCGTTTGCTCGTGTTCTTTGAAGCTTCAGGAGAATCCCAAGTACATTGTTCAACTATAAACCCACGAAATCACGTGTCGAAAATAAGCGGAAGCGAGCTCCTCAACGCCAGTGCGAAAGAAACGAAAAGTTTCGATTGACAAACCAAATTGATCATCAAAATGCCATTAAAAAGCGAACAAAAGAAGTCATCTGACCGTTTTCTCTCTTAAAACGCCCTTTACAGACCAAGGTCTTGACCGCAAAGTGTAACAATTCGGTGCCGAAATGAGTGTGTAAAGTTTTCAAATTTGCCGCCGAATGTCCCACATCTGTGCGGGTTTCCAGTCGTTTTAGTATTACACCCACCCTCTTTCTCTCTCTCTCTCTCTCTCTCTCTCTCTCTCTCTTCCTTTTCATTTTTCATTCCGTCTTTTCATTCCTTCTGCTTCCAGTTGTTTTCCAGAATCATCCTTCTCTCTTCTTCTTTTTCTCTTTTTTTCTGTTCGTTGTCAACAACAAGATTTGTTATGCAAAACGACCGAGCACACTGCTTTTTCCGCCATTTTTCATCTGTCAACCTCTAGTTTTATAAGCTCCAAATTCGCTGCTCTTTGTGTTTTGAGTGTTATTCGAATAGGTTTTGAAGGTGTCCAAAAAAAAAAAAGAAAAGCAACAAAAAACAAGGAGAAGCTCATTGAAATTCGATCCGCCTGCCTCCAAACACTTTAATATTCCCACTCTCTTTTACTCTTTTCCACCATTTTCTCTCCGTTCGAACTCAATTTTTCAATTTCCAAAATTCAAATTGCAGACTGCTAATGCTGCCAAAATGAGGCAGGAAGAGCCCGATTTGCTCGCCCTTCCCAATGAGGTCATTCTACAGGTAAAAAGAACCGCCCGCTCACGCTCGTTTTCTCAACGGAAATCATGTTCAGGTATTTCGACGTTTGCCACGTCACGACGTAGTTTTCGGTGCCGCTCACGTCAATCACCGCTTCAGAAACCTCATCCACAATAACCTGAGATCGCTTCGTTTGTGAGTCGAGAGTCGAGAAACCCGGGTAAATGCGGAATCATTTTCCAGATTTGAAGCCCATTGTCATGTGAACATTGTTGATGATTTGCCGTTGAACCGGTACCGAGACGACGGAACCGACCCTATTATCACGTACACTTTCACTCTTTTCGACCGCAGAGGACCAGGTAAAGAGGACTATCAGTCCTCCAATTATCAATGTTTTCTTTGAAGAGTTCACCCAGAAACGACGGCTCTGTCTACGTGGAAACGACGCGCGGTACAAGGAATTACACGTGTCCCATATCAATGATTCGACTATGCAGGCTCAGTTCGAACGGGCAGGCACCAATCAGAACACGGCAATCGAGCCGGCGACGGCCAGAACTGTGAGTCTGCAGGGAGTCTGAAGCAGGGAAATGAAGATCTATTTCCAGCTGTTGTCCTACATGAATCTGCAAGCCATTCGATTCCAAGTACGAAAGCAGTGCCGACCTGAATCCAAGAGGATCGAGGACGATTTCTTTGCCGACTCTCTTCAGTTTCTGGAGCGAATGTGCGGCAGAGTTGAATTAAAGTGGGTGATTGATTATCAGAACTGGAGATGAATCGAATCCAATCTTCCAGGTCTCTTCTTCTCTGCTCTAAAAACATTCTGTTTCCGTGGCAACTGGGTCAAAAATCACTGCTGAAATTGTCCAAAATCAACGGACTTCAGAATCTGATTCTAGAAAACATGACCACTTTCGATCCATTCTCTCGTTTTCTGAAGTTGCCAACGAAGCATCTGAGCAGTCTGCAGTTCCGATTGGACCTCAGACATCGCATGGAAATCGATCAGATGATTCTGAAGCAGATCAACGGATCCCTTCTGAAGTTGCTCTGCTCTTCGGCAGTCTACCGTCTCGACTTCTCCGCTTATGCAGACGTTTCTAAGATTGTCAGTTGCGTCGACGCCTTTGACATGTGCTCTTTCATTGAGGTATCCGAAAGAATTCTTCTCTCCCAGTTCTCAAATTCATATTCCAGACGTGGCATTTGGTGTCAAAGCCGTGGATCATCAAAGGAATCTCATTCAACTCCACAGTGACCATCGACGAATTCAGGGCCGTCGCTCATAGAAAACTAAAGTTTGTTGTCTCGCAAATGTTAGAATCTTTCTATTTTCACAGCAATCACTTGGCCATCCACGAAGTTCCTTACTGTCGTTTCCGGATTAATCACAGAAAATCCAAATCGATCTTTTTGGAGTTATCGTGTTATGGCAACGGGGTGAGTGCGAGTGAATGGCACTTGAGGAATGACATAAAGTCCCGATTTCAGGAGGCGACCCAGTGGAACATCCGATCCGGTTACATCGACTCATAGATGCACTACTTCTATTTCCTATCAGTATTGTCGTACTTTCTGCTCATAAACGGGTTTTCTACCGTCTTCCTGCTCAATCATTCGTTCTCTCATTTTCTCGTCAAACATCCGCTCCACCGTTTCTCTTCGGCATTTCTTCCCCGCCGTTTGAAGAGCTCGGCGTAATTACCTGGCACAATTACCTGTCGAGGGATTGCTTTGCGACTGTTCATCTGAGAAAAATGAGCTCCCAAGGGGTTCTGGCTTGCGAATTTTGCAATCGGCTGACAATTTCCTTTCTCAACTCGATTTGTTAATGAGTTTTTGTGCTTCTTCAAATATGCATTGGGATATCTGGCAGCAGTGATGGCATAATTACCCTTCGCTCTCCGAATAATTACTCGTCGCCTGTAAATTATTGTTATGTGCCTCCCCGGGCCCTCGAGAAAAGGGTAAACAACGAGAGCATCTCAAGAGTTTCTTCGTGTTTTGTTTCCGGAAATGATTGCATGGGAACGAGCACTGAACCACTTTTTTCAATTGTTGAGGATTAGTTTATTTGAACCCGTAGTGAAATAATGATCAGTTGCAAATGAATGGAATGTCCAGTTAGGGAGAGTATCCAAAGTTATCATGGTGTTGAACGGAACTGGCGTACATTTGAGGATGGTTGAATTGAGAATGGGACAGATCGCACGAAGCCTGGAGGGGAGCCGCAGACGGTTGGGTGGGAGAGTAGTAATATTGAGGCGGGGAGGAAGAGGAGGAAGAATTGGAGGAGAACGAGGACGGAACCAGAGATGGATGCAGTTGCGCCGAGTGATCGGAGAAGATGTCGAATTGCGATGGAGGCAGCAGTTGGCGGGGTTGCACCTGGAAAAGAACGAAGATTAGGACTGCACAGGAACATTGCTACTCGACGTTCAGCAGCGAAATTGTTTCTAGAACTGACCTGCAGAAGGTTCGCGAGCATGTTCGTGGTGGTCTGTGACAGTCCGTTGGCGAGAGTGTGCGCGTACTCGAGGGGCGACGGCTGCTCGTTTGTCTGGAGCATTCGTTGAAGGGCATCGATGTAGTTCCTGCAATGAAGTCGTTAAAGTCAGATATTAAATTCGGAACAGATGAGAATGATGAAAGATGGAGTCATAAAGGAGGAGGAGGCATGATTACTAGTGCAAGAGCAATCTACTCTTGATGATACTACCGTCAGAATGCGAATGAATGAATGAATGCCTACCTGGCGAGTCTGAGTGTCTCGATCTTGCTCAGTTTCTGATGTTGAGTGGTGATAGGAATGTACTCTCGGAGCATGTCGAGCGCATTGTTCAGACCGTGCATTCGGGCTCGCTCTCTTCCATTCGCCTTCACTCGTCGCACTCTCTTCTTGGTCGCCTCGGCCGGAGCAAAGTTCGGAGAGTTGGGAGTCGTAGTGGAACGCATTTTTTGAGGGAAGTAGTGGATGGTGAAGGTGGGGATCGGTGAGGAATGAGCCACGGGTGAAGAGAGAGCCGGAGGGGCGGAGCTGGTTGGCGAGAGGCTCATCCACCCTATGGTGCGAAGGGGGGCGGGGCTACCGAAGAGAAAGAGAGAGAGAGAGAGAGAGAGAGAAGGTAAAGGAAGTGAGAGGAGAAGGAGAACTGTTTGGGTGATAAGGACTGTTGATGAAATTGATAATACTACGAGTGAAGTTTACGGATAAACTTGGGAACTTCGCTCAAACATTAATGGGAATTTAAAAGATCTCTATGAGCACGTGACCCCAATTAGATAGGTTTGCAGACATGAATCGTTATCTGACTTCCTGTAATTGGATACTGACAATATCGCGATTGTGCAAAACTTTTGCGAACATCGAGATGTAAGTGAATGACTGGCATGACGAGTCACAGATCTGATCTGGGAATCCTCGACACAAGGGGATCATGGGATGCGCGGAGACAGCGTGACGCGGATTACAGACACCTTTTTGTTTTCAACACCTGCAACTGACGTCCCTTGATACGCTCGCAAAGTTCATGAACGGTCGAGAGATCTGCGAACGGTACAGTAGGAACTGTTTGTGACTGACAACACTTTTCATTTTCCTCTTCTACAATAATAACACCCTTACGGTAATAGCCCCGAACGCTAACCTAAATTACCACTAATTAATCGGAGCACTCTTCTTCTACCGCTTCTCTGTTTTTCTTGGTGTCTCGCAGGCTGTCTCCAACAGTTGGTCATTCATCTCTCCACAAAAAACACACACTTAAACGATGAGCGGAGCAGCATGAGGACCCACTACTTATGCAGATTCACTAACAAGTGCATGTCAGTCAATGGACGGATTATTACACTTGTGAGCACACGGAAAAGCACAGAACTCTGGGTGCATTGCACGAGGACACTTCGGGAACACTCGGTCGCACGAAGTGTCACACCTCGCAGCCACCTTCTTGACTCCTTCTCTGTGTTACCGCAAATCCGAAGGCTCACACCCAATTAGTTCTTATGTCACCTCGGCGGATTTAGCACCGTATGTTGCTCCAAAAACGAACTGATGATGCAAGTCTGTAATTAATCTGTTGCCGGTGTCGGCGCAATTTTTTAATAATAACACACCCACATATGGTTCATCATTTTTAGAGTCCGTTGATTACTAGCCGGACCGTTTAGAAGATGGGTTGTTAACTGCAGGTCTCAAGAATATGTTCTATCCTCCGTTTCCCTCCAAACGGGGTTTTTCCAGTTGAGTGCTTCATTCTCTAAATACCGTATCAAATGCATCACAGACCGTCCGTTTTCGGTTCGTCTGCTCGCCGCCCAAATGCTAATGCTCATCACTCATTCCGTTCCTTTCCGAAGCCGACGAAATGAATGAGAAAAGGAGGAGACTCAAAGGAAATGCGTTCTGTCAAAGCACGGAGGTGTTCGATTGATGAGGTCTCATTCGGGGCAGTTTTCGTTAATCCAATAAGTTGTGCAATCAAGAGTCTCTTATCCGTTCCCTTCAGTATCAAAAACAATACAGTATCCATCCGTTCAGCTAGTTGACCTCGACGGATTAGCCCCTCCGGTGCATGAGCATTCGACTCAAGAGCCCTTGTCGCAGCCACGTGGCATCACTCACTCGAAAAGTTTCGCGCATACTCTCGCAGCTACAGTGGCATATTTAGTGTTTGATTAGGTAGAGAATGAACACCTGCTGGCAAACAGAACGGATATGAGAGGGGACATCTGTCAATAGTGTGGTAACAGGTACACGTGTATGCGGGAAAGACACACTGTTATGCATATATGATACCCGTTCGCATGTCATGAAGCTTCTAATTAAATATTATTCTTTTTTTGCTGTCCATGTTCAACTGGGCTATTCAAATTAAAGGAGGTCTTGGTGGGGGATAGCCATCTGTCCGCCCGTGCATTCCATAAAAATCAATCACTTCGGGAGAGAGAGAGAGAAGAGGTGCCGCCGCGTCCGTGCAAATCAAAGCAGGAATATGCAAATTCTCCTGCTTCTTTTGCTTTTCTTTCGGCCATAATTATGTGCCAAGACACCTAAAATTAATGGAATTCACTGTTTTTAAACGGGGTCTGTGCAGGAAGTCGAATTTGTTGTTCCGAGAGAAATTGCACATCAAACACTACGTCGACTCCTTTCATCCATTGCTTCCTCCATCTCCCAACCTTTTTACGGCCTTTCCTTAATAAGCCCTCAAAACAGATCTCGGGCGGCACGTCAATATGGAGAGAGCTCCCCGCAGAGAGCTTCTGTCGGGTGTCAAAAGCCTTTCGGCGCATGCGTACAAACAAAATGAGTGCTAATCAGATTAAGGAGGAGTCAATCATCACTACAGTAATCCCATCTGTCTTCTTGTCTCCTCACATATCCATGTCCCTTTAAAGAATGCTTCTCGCTGTGTTTGTCTAATTGTTGTTTTCACACACTTTGTGACCCGCTGCAATATGGCATTTTATAGAAACAGTTGGGCAGTAAACAAGCACTACAAGCAAGTGCCAAATGAAGAGAAACAAGTGCCCCCGGACGAGTTCCCTACAATATCTTTCCTAATCTTTTATAATGCAAATCAACTTGTTCCGCCAAAAAGAGCCGCAAATGCCAGACAATCCTTGCGAAGAAACAATAAAAAAGCGGACCGTCGGAGGGTGTCTCCACAGTTATTTACATTACAAAAAGGAGGCCGGGAGGGGCATAAAAGCAAGTTTCTTTCGGGAAGCGTTGCCGACAGAAGCAGATGAAAGGGAGAGCAGAAGGATGTCGGTGGTTGTAAATTATACGGAGACGGGGAGAATAACCGAGTGAGGGTAGGGAAAACTCGGTTTCACTTTTGAGAAGATGGAGGAAAGTGCACAAGGAGAATCCCAATCATAAGGAAGAACACATTTCTCTTTTTGCTGGATTTGGATTCTTCTGCTTTATCACTTTTTATATCTCATCCGTCGGCAAATGAAAGTGTGAAAGAGAAAGGATGAGCATTGGTTGGTTGGTTATGTGTTTTGTAAATGATAGGCTCAGAAAGGATCAAGAGAAAGAGCCCGTCGAACCCTTTAATTAAGCTCTTTGCGCAATCGTCGGCAACCGGATACGCCGCTTTTTGAGGGGTACTCTCATGGACATATTGACACCTTCGGTTACGCAATGCTCCCATCCTTTTGTGGTAAATACGACCGAACGCGTCCGACAAGAAATCACTTTAACGGTATTTAGAATCCGGAAAGAATAATATTCGAGGAGGAGCATCTCTTTTTGTGTTACGTCATCCGATGTGCAATCAGTTTCAGCTACGTTTTCAGCTACGTCTCAAAACAGTTTTACTTCAGGAAACACCCTAACCATGAGCAAGAACACTCGAACGAAAGAGCTCCAGCGGGCGACGGCAGTATCGAGGAAGCCCACGCACCGACCAATAACTAAATATTATTTACCCTTGAATAAACCCATTACCTTCACATCTTCAAGAAAATTTGATAACGAGAAGCGTTCTGCACTTTTTTCCAGTATTTCTTTTGACACAACCGCTCAACCATCACGCTTTGAGCTTGCTGCGTGCCGTTTTTCGGAAGGTCGTTGACTGGAAAGGTCATAGCAAATCAAAATTATTTATCAAGATGAGAAGTGACGTGAAAAGGAGGTAGAACGGAAAAATCTGGAGCAGAATAAAGGAGGGGCCGATGGGAACTGGGTAAGAGAATGAAGAAAGGAATGAGTTGGAAGTGGGATAAAGCGATTGTGTTCCAATTGAACTACTGCAGACTATATGGACAATGTGATCCTAGAGCTCTTCTTCATATTCTTCGCTGGCTTCACGGGACACCTTTCTCGACGAACGGCGTTGGGTGGGCGTTTCCGAAGACGTGGACAGTGCTGATGATGTGGATGGGGCACATAAAGTCGAAGGAGCGGAACCTTTCGGTGCAGTTTTCTTCGAAGCTGAAAATCGTGCTGGATCAGCCTCTCGGTTCTCTATTTCTATCAAGCTCACCCTTCTTCTTGTCTTTCGTCTTCGCATCGAGAACCTTTTCATTGGCCGCAACAGCTTCCGACAACTCTGCGAGCATATCTAGCGGATTTGACTTGCCACCTGAAGCACCGGATCCACTGGCATCTTGCGAAGCATCCTAAACAATTTCAACAATTTTTCCAATATTCAAATGAGCCGGACTTGTTGGTTGGCAGCAGCCGCTGTAGGCTGTGCGGCCGGCGGAGACGTGACTACTTTATGAGTAGAAATGGCTTGGTTGGCAGCAATCGCAGCAGCTCGCGGAGCCCGCCCGGTAGGTGCAGATGGTACTGAATGCGTCGACGTTGTCTGCTCGTCCGTTGATTTGGCGCATTTGGCAGGCTCTGAAATCAAACTTATTCCAGTGACAAAAATTGAAGTTTGAACCTTGTGCACTCTTGTCCATTTGCACTGGCTTCGTCGGACTGGATGCACCTGAATTCGTTGATTTCTTGGCCGCAGGCTCTCCGGTAGACGTTGCAGTGGATATCGGAGGGGAAACATTCTGTTCAGTGACTGGAACCGATCCCTCTCCGACCTCGGAGTCTTGACTAGAAGATATGGCATTTATGGGAGCCGGCGTCGTCTTGAGCGTCTCCTCATTTTTCCTTTTTCTGTAGATCCGTGTTGTCGGGGTTCGAGATGCTGAAGTGCCTGGAGTCACTGGAAGTGATTCGGCGGGAAAGAGTGGAGTCTCTTCCTGACCGTGCAAGACTGAAGAGGAGCTAGAAGGCGGGCTGCCGAGCGTCGATTGAGCAGTGGCTCCCTTTCTTTTGTCTTGCGATGCAGCCAGTTGGTCGATTTCCTCTTGAGTCATGCTGCTCAAATCCTTGTTTCCCATCGAAAGAAACGTTTTGACATTCATATTGGCAAAACGAGCGTCGTGGCGAGCAGAATCCAAAGAAGGGTGAGCCAGTCTGCAAGATCCAAGATGATCAAGAAAATGAGTACATTCCGACTCACTGTCCATAGTAACGGGAGCTGGAAGTCATTGGGAATGAAGAATAAGGTATCAATGAGGGATTAGAGGATATCACTGTGTAGCTTGTCGTTACTTTGCTCGGAGTCGTCCCGGTGCCGCCCTTCATTCTATGCGGCGGAATTTGCCCAGGCCGACGGGAAGACAAATTGAATCCTGGAGCAGGATTTCCCACTGTCATTGCCATTATCGGCTCGGAATTGTGTTGGGGATCCTGCTGGTGTTGAAACTGTTGCGGGGATGGATGCGATTGCTGTTGTGGTTGTTGCAAAGGAAGCGCCATCCGATAGGATGGTCTTGGCGTCGACGCATTCACAACGTCAGCGGGATTGAGACCGGCAGCGATGGCACGATGGGGCGGCATCGGAAGACGGGATCCCACCGGACGGAAACGTTGCATTTGCGGCGAAGGGTGCGGAGAAGGTGCCAGGATAGGTGAGGAATGAGTAGAAGAAGAAGAAGAAGCGGGAGGAGGTGCTCCTAGGTGACGGGATGGCTGCTCGGCTGAAAACGAACAATTGAAACAAAAAACGTGACCGGGTATTACTTTTGCGGTAAGCTGACACATTCTTGTAGTAAGGGACCCCACGACGAGGCGGATCAGGGCCGGGGTACTTCGGAGGCGGCGGAGAGCCACGATCTTCTACAAGCTCATCAGCAGTCTGGGGTTCTTGGGCACGATCGAATGAAAACGAATTAGGCTGATAACGTTGTTGCTGCACTGGATAGCGAGTCTGAAGAAGGAACCAAATGGTCAGAACAAACAGAAGCGAGTTACAGGCGGTCCCATCTGATGCAGTTGATGCATTGTACGAGGTGTCGCACCGGATGGATTCCGCCATCCAGCGTATTGTGATGTGGAACGAACGGGCGACGAAGTAGTAGGAGAGACGATCGAAGGCATCGGCGGCTTCTGATTGTACACGGTCGGAGAACTTTGAAGCTTTTGTTGTTGGTCTGGAACTGAAAACAATTATTCCGATGCTTCGTTAAGCGGAACTCACTTTTCTTTCCAGGTCCATACTGACTCGGACTGGCTGGCCGGACTCTAAAATATGTATCGATCAGACTGAATGTATGTCTTTTTCAAACCTAGCACAGCTCATCGACTTCGCCTCTTCCTCTTGTAACTTTTGCAGTTGATGATCATCGAAACGTGATCGAGCGTGAGAAGGGAATTGGTTGCTCAGGTTGGCTACAACTCTTTGAGCAGCGGTTTTCGAAGCAGAAGAAGTGGGAGCACCGGGAGGAGGTCCCATTTGGGGAGGACGGAGCACTTGGGCCGGTGCACCATGGTATCTTCTGGCGGGAGGAGCAGATGAGAGATGCGTAGGCAGTGGAGGAGCGAACTGTTGCATTGGAGAGACCATCTGGAAACGAACAAATCTTCGAGACGAAATTTAACCTATGCTAACTGTTTCGATTCTTGAAAGATTGGCCAGTCTCGTGTCTTCCTCATCGTCTGAGTCTATTATGCAACGCGTCTGTAAACAGAACGTGTTTTTGTTTTTTGATTCTGACAAATCAAATGCAAACAAACCGGAACTTCGACAATAGACGTTGATATTTCATTCGGCAGAGCACATTTATTGCATGGACAAGACGTCGTGCCCATTTTGACGTGTGATTCTGAACAAATAGTATAATTTGAACACTATTGTGATTAACAAACTGAGATGAAATGAGCACATCGGGTTAGAGCCTCCAATCGCAGTTACACCACACGCATGGCAGACATCAAACATTTTTTGACGATGATCCAGTGTGATATCTGAACAATGCTTTCACATTGATCAACAGAAAAGAAACGTACGGTCAAAGCAGAACTTCGAGAGGTGAATCGCCGGTTTGTGGCACTGTTTCTCAATGGAAATCGGAGTGAAATTGTCAATTTTATCGAGGAGGCAGTGAACGGTGTGCTGCACGACAACCGCATCGTCCATATCAGGTCCAACACAGCATTTGTTGTACACTGGATCCACGGTCTGCAAAACAGAGCCCTCGTGAACATTCTCACATCTTTTTCGTACCGTCAATGTGAGATAATCGTTCCGAGCATATCTGTCGGATGCATCGAAGAATCTTTGCTGTGGGATATCTGTCGGGCGGTCTGAAATCAAACACGAAGTGAGAAAAAACAAGAAGACACACTTACCGTCTGTATTATTCTTTCCCGATGAATCGTGCTCTTTCCGCGCTTGTGTCGTGATCAGTTCTTTGAATTCAATCAGATTCTCTATATCTTTTTGAACTAAATCAATCTTAATTTTTAAGAGATCTTTGTCTGTGTAGTAGCGAGCATATCTGAAAAGTCATTCGTTCGTTCCCTTCAGGCGAATCCGAAGAAACCTGAGAGGATGATCATCTAGAGTATTGTCATTGACAGGGTTTTGGAACTCGAGAGGAAGTGTTCCAATTGCCTGCAGGAAATCATCTTCGTCTCTGCAAATCTTGAACTTATTGTGAGTGCAAGACATTGCACTTACGAAATGTATTCATTGGAAGCAATCCAGGGATCGAAACGTCGTCTCTGCATTTTTGTATCGTTTTCGGCATGACACCTCTGCACTTCTTTTCTGTGATTCTCCTCCAAAACTTTTGAAAATTCCACATGTTCTTCGCACCGTCCTCCATTTTTTGCCAATTCCTCTTTAGAACGAACCTGCAATGAAACTGATAGTTTAGCGTTTTTTTTTCAATAAAAATCACCTGTTTGCATCGGAGAAGAGTTCGATAAGAAGCGTAGTTGCATTGCGCGTACTTGTTTTTATCGTATTCATTGGCAATCAGACGGAACTGACTGCCGGGTGCGGTTACATATTGAGCCGGTGGACGCGCAGCCGAGAGCGACTGCATCGTTTTTGCTGCTGTAAACGAATTCAATTTGAAATATCAAATTATCAAAAAAGATAGAATATTAGAAAAGAAAAGCACGATATCAGCAGAATGAATGCGAATTTCCGTTCAAATCAGTCTTAAAAACAAACTGAGCCATTCGCTAAACTGCGCGCGGTTCCCGTCATTTCGGAGTCTCGTTGAGACTTTAGAAGTCGCCGTTTTAAAACGTTTTTGTGATTTTTCGACAAAAAACAATTAATTTTGCAACTTGAACTCATTTGAATTTCCAACTTTCAGAAAATAATGGATATGTAAATAAAAAGAACTGCAAACGATGATGTTTCGAAAGCTCGGATCGTCTGGTTCACTATGGAAACCAAAAAATCCGCATTCTCTTGAGTATCTAAAGTGAGTTTTTGACATTCGAGAATAATTACTGATTGCTTCGAACATTTGTGCTTTGCAGATATCTGCAAGGAGTGATAACGAAGAACGAAAAAGTGACGGAGAACAACAAGAAAATACTGGTGGAGGCGCTCAGAGCGATTGCCGAAATTTTGATTTGGGGAGATCAGAATGACGCCTCTGTTTTCGAGTGAGCTTCTGATGATCTATTTTGCTCTCAAAAACAGCTTCAGCTTTTTCCTGGAACGTCAAATGTTGCTTCATTTTCTCAAAATCATGGAGCAAGGAAACACGCCGCTGAATGTGCAACTTCTGCAAACCCTCAACATTCTCTTCGAAAATATTCGACATGAGACTTCGCTTTGTAATTTTGTCAACTCGAATTGTTGTAAATTGATTTTTTCAGATTTTCTACTGAGTAATAACCATGTAAATTCCATAATTTCACACAAGTTCGATTTGCACAATGATGAGATAATGGCGTATTACATCAGTTTCCTGAAAACGCTTTCCTTCAAACTCAACGCCGCGACCATTCATTTCTTCTTTAATGAGGCGACCGAAGAGTTCCCATTGCTTGTGGAAGTGCTCAAATTGTACAATTGGAACGAGTCGATGGTCAGAATCGCTGTCAGGAATATTCTTCTGAATATTGTCAGAGTTGAGGATGAATCAATGCTTCAATTTGTTACGCAGCATACAAACGTGAGCTTTCAAACAATTCATCTGTGTATTGTGTGTCAAATTCAGGAGTATCTATCCGAACTGATCGATTCGCTTGTTGCTCTTTCCATTGAAATGGATACTTTCGTCCGTTCGGCAGAAAATGTGCAAGCGAATCGAGAAAGGCTGCGTGGCAAAGTGGATGACCTCATCGACCTGATTCATTATATCGGAGAGCTTCTGGAGGTGGACACCATCGCCGAATCTCTTTCTGTTCTGGGTACGTTATCTGTCCCTTGTTCTCACGAGCATGGTTCTTTTGCAGTGACCTCCCGGTATCTGAACCCTCTGCTGCTCTCCAGTCTCTCTCCGCGTCGCAACAATCATTCCCTCCTCCTCACTCCCATTTCCGCCCTTTTCTTCTTCTCGCAGTTCCTTCTCGTCGTCCGGCATCACGAAACCATTCACATTTTCCTGTCTTCTTTTCTCTTCGACACTCAAAAAACGTTACAAACACATTGGATTCGTCAAAATCAAAACTACTGCCTCGAAGCTCTTTCCGAATTGATTTCCTCTCCAGTTGAGAGCGAAACTGATGGGAATCGGTTTGTTAATATCCGTTTATCCCTACTTTTATCCATTTTCCAGAGTGTTCTTCGATACCCTTCTGGAAGCATTTGATTCCAGTCAAAAAGACGATTCGCAGGCGTTTTACGGGCTCATGCTCATCTATTCCATGTTCCAAAACAAAGGTAAACTTTTCTCTTTCGCTTTGTGCTCGTTCTAACATTAATTTTCCATTCTCATGCTTCCCTTCAGACAGTAAGTTGAAAATATTGTGAAGTGTTATATGTTCCGTGGGAATTGGCATGAGCTTTGCATGCTGGAAATGCAGGGAGAACAGCTCCAGCGTTACCAAATTCCACTCCAACTTACAAACTTCATTTTCAGCTGACGTCGGAGAACTGTTATCGGCCGCTCATTTCCCCGTTATAAAGGAGTCTACAAACAGTGTTCAACAGAATTTGGCACGTCTTCGGATGGCATCCACGTCATCAGTGTCCAGAAGAGCACGGGCTATAACAGAGATTGGAGTGGAGGCGACCGAAGAAGAGGACGTTTTCCACGATGTTCCGGAGCAGTTGGTAAATTCAATTTGATGCGAATCAAATAAGGAATTGAAAGTTTCAGGATGATTTAGAAGACGATGTGATGGTTGACCGAGAAAATTCCTCAAAAGAGCAAGAAGATGTCCGCTCGAGGTTTCAATCTGCCGCAGACGACGTTCCTCCCGCCCCTTCCCTGCAGAACTCTTCGGATGGTCTGTCTTATTCCGGATACGATAGTCGTCTTTTCGATGCTCTTTCGTCCATCATTCGTGCTGTCGGATCGGATGACAATCGCATTCGCCCGATCACTCTGGAGCTGGCTTGCCTCGTCATTCGACAGATTCTCATGACTGTCGATGATGAAAAGGTTAAACAGAGATTGAATGCCTTTCAAACGTCGTTTTCATTTCAGGTTCATATCAATTTGACCGATCTGTGCTCAAAAGTCCGTCAGAAGCTTCTGGCTGTGATCGGGCAATACGTGAACGGGGAAAACCTGTTCCTCGAGTGGTTCGAGGACGAATACGCCGAGTTCGAAGTCAGTTTGTGTGTGCTTCCATACGTTGAAACCAATTGTGCTGTAGGTGAATCACGTGAATTTCGATATCATCGGCTACGAAATGCTGCTTCCTCCTGCGGCCACGCCCCTCTCCAATCTTCCTCTCCACAAACGACTTCCAAGTGGATTTGAAGAAAGATTGAGAACTGTAGGCCAACCGCTCTCTTTCTTTTTCCCAACATTTCTTTCAGCAAATTGTTTTCTACTTGCACATTCGCAAACTGGAAAGAGATTTGACAGGAGAAGGAGACACTGAACTGCCAGTTCGAGTATTCAATCCGGGTCAAGAGCCAGTTGCCATTGGAGATTGCATCAATCTCCGTTAGTTCTCTATTTCCCTCGGCCCGTTATTTCCTCCCAATTCCAGATAATTCCGACCTTCTCTCGTGCACAGTCGTTCCTCAGCAGCCGTGTTCTCTCGGCAAGACGGGTGATCGTCTGGCTCGTTTCCTCGTCACGGACCGTCTCCAGCTGATCCTCGTGGAGCCGGACTCTCGCAAAGCTGGATGGGCCATCGTTAGACTCGTCGGATTGCTGCAGGACACGACGATAAACGGAGACTCTAGCGATAGCAAAGTGCTGCACGTGGTAGTGGAAGGGCAACCGTCCCGGCTGAAAGTGAGAAACTGGCACGTCTGTTAATATGGTTAACGGTTATTTCCACAGAAGCGACATCCAGTGCTAACGGCCAAGTTCATTTTCGACGATCACATTCGTTGTATGGCGGCGAAACAAAGACTCAGCAAGGTTTTTATCCGTTCCCGTTCATCCCTCATTGTTCTCTTCAATTTCAGGGCCGCCAAACCGCACGTGGTCTGAAGCTGCAAGCAATTTGTTCAGCTATCGGAGTCCCACGTGTCGACATGTCAATGGCTTCCTCCTCGCCTCGAATGAACCCATTCCGAATCGTGAAGGGATGTGCGCCCGGGAGCGTTCGCAAGACTGTCTCGTCCTCTTCCGTGCGAAATCCTGCAGGATTCTATTCCGCGAACCTTCGTTCCGCTTCACGCGCGTCTTCCGCCGCAGGAATCGTTCCGGAGGACCCTACGCAGTCCTCATCGTCTTCTGCAAGCAGGAGCTGATTTACAGTTTTTTTGACCTTCTCATATATAATTTCTTGTAAATTTTTTGCCTGTTTGTAGTCTCTTCTAGATGAATCCGTTCTGTTCCAGTGATTTTCTGTTTCTCCCGTTTCTGTGTGATATTTTCTTGCCCATAGACCTCTTCATTAGAAGCACGTTCTACCAAATCAATATTTCTATTTGCTCATTGTCTCTTTTCTCGTTTCTAAGCCATTAATTTCACGAAACCGGTCAAATTTCAAAAAAAAGTTTCATTTTTCTCATTGCAACTGCTTATTTTCCTGGTTGTGTCCAGTTGAATACCTACGAAACATCATTCCCTGTTGACCTGTTTTCCTAATCGAACCGTTCAGAATGGTTGAGAATCCATCGTCATCGTCTTCTGCGCTGCCCTCAGAACCCCTCCAAGGCCCTAACGTCGATCAGAAGCCATCAGTTTTGGTGCTGGGAATGGCGGGCTCCGGAAAGACGACGTTCGTGCAGAGACTGACCGCGTTTCTGCATGCGCGCAAGACTCCTCCGTACGTCATCAATCTGGATCCGGCAGTGAGCAAAGTACCGTATCCGGTTAATGTGGATATCCGAGATACGGTCAAGTACAAGGAAGTGATGAAAGAATTCGGAATGGGACCGAACGGAGCCATCATGACTTGCCTCAATCTGATGTGCACCCGTTTCGACAAAGTATGCCGAATTAGTGATTGCTCTTCACCGGGAAACTGTTTTCAGGTCATCGAACTGATCAACAAGCGTTCTTCTGATTTCTCCGTCTGCCTGCTGGATACTCCCGGACAGATCGAGGCATTCACGTGGAGTGCCAGTGGATCCATCATCACGGACTCTCTCGCAAGCAGCCATCCGACCGTCGTCATGTACATCGTCGACTCTGCGCGAGCCACCAATCCGACAACTTTCATGTCCAACATGCTCTACGCGTGCTCCATTCTCTACCGTACCAAACTGCCGTTCATTGTTGTTTTCAACAAGGTAACCCGCCTGATATTCTCAGAAAAGACAGCAGTCATCCTATTTGCAGGCTGATATTGTGAAACCGACATTCGCTCTCAAATGGATGCAAGATTTTGAACGTTTCGATGAAGCTCTCGAGGACACCCGCAGCAGTTACATGAATGATTTGAGCCGGTCTTTGAGTCTGGTGCTCGATGAGTTCTATTGTGGGCTCAAGACCGTTTGTGTCAGCTCAGCGACGGGAGAAGGGTTCGAAGACGTTATGAAAGCGATCGATGAGAGTGTGGAGGCGTATAAGAAAGATTACGTTCCGATGTACGAGAAAGTTCTGGCAGAAAAAAGGGAGCTGGATGAGAAGGAGAAAAAGAAGAGAGAAGAAGAAGTGAGAAAGAATGGAATGAAGAAAACGGAATAAGTGATTGTTTTCAGGTTCTGAAAGGAAAACCGCTGCACGATCTGAGAAAGCCAGGAGGCGACGACGTGATGCTCGAAACGGAGCTCAACTCGAAAGTCGATCGGATCCATTTGGGCGGTGTCGACGAAGAAAATGAAGAGGACGCGGACATAGAAAGAGTTTGATGAGAACGTCGTCAACGCCGTCCGATAAGCCCTCCTCAATTCCGTTCTCACTGTTGTTCTCACTGTTGATTTACCCTTCTTCCCTTTGTTACCGTACTTTTGAATATAATGTTGCTTCCAAATCGCGCCAGCTTATATTGCATCATTGGGCCTTTAAACCCTGTTTCTGCATTTCTATAATCGATTTTGCGCTTCCTCATCTATTCCGATTGCAGAAACCGGCAGATGCCGGAAAAGACCTTCCACAAGGCTCAGACGATCCGTGAGAAGGCATCCGGAGTACCGTCGATCGTCGAAGCCGTCCAGTTTCACGGAGTTCGCATCACAAAAAACGATGCTCTTCTTAAAGAGGTTGCCGAGTTTTTCTACTAAAAAAGTCCAAAATGGATTAACTTTAAGGTTTCCGAGTTGTACAGAAGTAGGAATCTGGATGAGTTGGTCCACAATTCGCATCTGGCGGCCCGCCACTTGCAAGAAGTCGGACTGATGGACCACGCGGTCGCTCTCATCGACACTGCTCCCAATTCGAAAGAAGGATACGTCGTCAACTTCCTCGTCCGTGAGCCGAAGTCCTTCACAGCCGGAGTTAAAGCGGGTGTCTCGACGAACGGAGACGCGGATGTCAGTCTGAATGCGGGGAAACAGAGCGTCGGAGGACGGGGCGAAGCCATAAATACACAATACACGTACACTGTCAAGGTAATTGTCATCGTGATTTGAACTAAATGCATTTTATTCGCGCAGGGAGACCACTGCTTCAATGTGTCCGCGATGAAGCCGTTCCTAGGCTGGCAGAAGTACTCCAACATCTCTGCCACTCTTTACCGATCCCTCGCCAATCTGCCCTGGAATCAGTCGGACGTCGATGAGAATGCTGCCATTCTCGCCTACAACGGTCAGCTCTGGAATCAGAAACTGCTTCATCAGCTCAAGTTGAACGCGGTGAGATGAAAATGTTTCGATTTAAAAAAAAACAGAGGTCTTCAGATCTGGCGAACACTGCGAGCAACTCGTGATGCCGCGTTCTCGGTGCGCGAGCAGGCCGGACACACTCTCAAGTTCTCTCTGGAGAACGCCGTCGCCGTCGACACTCGGGACCGACCGATTCTCGCGAGTCGAGGCATACTTGGTAAGTGAACTGTCTCATTTTGTGTTTGTCGCACAGATTATAACCCTCTGTTTGCTTTTAAACATGACCATTCCACAACTATTCTATCCTTTCCAGCCCGTTTCGCTCAAGAGTACGCGGGAGTGTTTGGTGATGCTTCGTTCGTCAAGAATACCGTCGACCTGCAGGTATGAAACCGTCTTCCGTCCCCCTCATCTTCCAGTTTCCTTCAGGCAGCAGCTCCACTTCCACTCGGATTCATTCTTGCCGCCTCATTCCAAGCAAAGCACCTTAAAGGACTGGGAGAGCGGGAAGTGCACATACTAGACAGGTGCTATCTTGGAGGACAACAGGACGTTCGCGGGTTCGGTCTCAACACGATCGGAGTAGGCGAATTGCCATCTCATCACAACTAGTTTCCCTCATTTTCAGGTGAAAGCAGACAACAGCTGTCTGGGAGGCGGAGCTTCGGTCGCCGGGGTAGTCCATCTCTACCGTCCGCTGATCCCTCCGAACATGCTCTTTGCCCACGCTTTCCTCGCGTCCGGAAGTGTCGCTTCGGTTCACGCAAAGAACGTTGTGCAGCAGTTGCAGGACACTCAGAGAGTCTCCGCAGGATTCGGTTAGTTCACAATTCATAATACTCGAATGGCTTTTTGCTAATCCACACTCTGTTCTGTTCAATTCGGTCTCTTTCCACAGTAAATCATCCTTCCATTTCGTCATCCGACTCCTGTCTGAACACGACTTTCGCAGGCGTTTTTAAAATCGATTGGGACATAAACTTCGCATTCACCGCTTTCCTCATCTGAAATCACCCGATCCTCATCTCTGCAGAAGACTTTTGCCCACCTCACAAATGCTCTTCCCCACATTTTCAGTATCGAACGGATTGATACCGTTGAAGAATAAAGTGGGCTTCGGCTGTGCGGCCAATCTCTCCGCGTGCTAAAACTTGTCTTTTCACTCTCTGCGTCTCTCCATCTCTCTCACTCTTTTCTGTCGCTCCAGTCTCAATTCTCGAAGAACAGCGTTAGATGGTTTCTGCGCTGACACCGGAGCGCTTTGTGCCACCACTGGTCCTAGACGCTTCACCGTTCTCGGAGTTTTCGGAGTTTTGGGGATTGCCAAAGGTGTTGAATAAACGGGATTCGCTCTGTTCTCATTCTCCCTCTGCGCTTGCCGCGCGGCAGCATAATGCGGGACTCTGAACGAACGAAACTCAGAGAGCCGTGTGCTTCAACAACTTACCCAGACATGTTGGGAATTTAGAAATGGCTATTCATTCCTTAGAAGTTCACGGTGTCAGAAATGTTGTCCATTCAGTGTCATGATCAACGTCTCATTTCCTCCACAAATACTGATCGGTTTTCAGGTCTCGCATTCGTTTTCAAGAGCATCTTCCGACTGGAACTCAACTACACCTACCCTCTGAAGTACGTCCTCGGCGACTCTCTGCTCCCTGGATTCCACATCGGAGCCGGCGTCAACTTCATGTAGACATCCATCGATTCCCCGGAATAGCTCCCATTTCAGTTGTCCCTTTTTCGCTCATCAGAAGAATTGTGCTAGGTTACCGGAAAATTAGAACATTTTCCAAATGTTATCGTTTATGTGTGTGTTGTAGGTTCCCTTTGGATTATCTCTTTTGTAACTTCGTTTTCGAAAAAAACATTAAAATACGTACTTTTTACCTAATCTATCAGCTTCTTCACCGAAAAGGTTTCACATGTAACCAATTCATTCTTCTTCATTCAGCTGGAAACAGATTTCAGAGAAATGTTTTGATTTCAGAAAATGAGTACTCTTCGGAAGATCACATTCGTTACGGGAAACGCCGGGAAACTGAGAGAGGTGAAGGAGATTCTGAAGAACTTCGAAGTGACGAACGTGGACGTGGATCTGAATGAATACCAGGGAGAGCCGGAGTTCATCGCTGAAAGGAAATGCAAGGAAGCAGTCGACGCCGTCCGAGGACCCGTTCTTGTGAGACAATCGTGTCGAGGCACAACTGATTCTTTCTCTGCAGGTGGAGGACACGAGTCTGTGTTTCAATGCCATGGGCGGTCTTCCGGGTCCGTATATCAAGTGGTTCCTCAAGAATCTGAAGCCGGAAGGATTGCACAATATGCTGAGTTCGTAGATAACAGAGATTCGACCGGACATGTGTCATTTTCAGCTGGGTTCTCTGACAAAACCGCCTACGCTCAGTGCATTTTCGCATACACCGAAGGAATCGGAAAACCCGTCCACATCTTCGCCGGTATTCAATCTTTTCGTTATCATTTAGTTCGTTTCTTGTTCAGGAAAATGTCCCGGACAGATCGTAGAGCCACGTGGCGACACTTCATTCGGGTGGGATCCCTGTTTCCAGCCGGACGGATTCAACGAGACATTCGGAGAAATGGACAAAACCGTCAAAAATGGCATTTCGCATAGAGCGCGAGCTCTGGAATTGCTCAAAAATCACTTTGAGAAGAATTGAGAAATTAGGTCTCGCCACGAAGTTTCCGCTGTTTTAAAATTCTGTTGATTATGTTGAAATTGGCTTCTGTTCCTTGTTAATAAATTATTATCTTTTTTTAGTTGCCTGTTTGCTTCCTAAGGTCTGTTCGAATGTCAGGTTTTTTATATTTCACCCCGGTAATCGTGACATTCTGAGAAAGAGAAATCCAAGGGTCTGTATGCTAATCGGTAGAGCTCTGAAGTCGATAATGAGGAAAGAGCCGGTGATATTCGTAATTGGCTGCACAGGCACCGGCAAAAGTGACCTCGGGGTGGCGATCGCGAAAAAGTACGGAGGGGAAGTGATCAGTGTGGACTCGATGCAGTTCTATCGAGGTAAATGAATCGAATACTTCTTCTTCTGGTCAAAAATGAATCTGAAGGTCTCGATATTGCGACGAACAAAATAACGGAGGAAGAGGAGGAAGGCATTCCCCATCACATGATGTCCTTCCTCGATCCGTCCGAATCCTCCACCTACAATGTCCACAACTTTAGAGAATCAACACTCAAACTCATTCAGGTCTGCACCTCCCAATCACTTCTTTCTCGTCATGGAAAGTTCCATTCAGGAGATCAGATCTCGGTCGAAACTGCCGGTAATAGTAGGCGGAACGACGTATTACGCAGAGAGCATTCTCTATGAAAACAATCTGATCGAAGTGAAATCTTCTGAAAAACCACAAAGATCGGCGTCTTCCGCATCTTCTTCTTCTTTTTCTGCTTCCGACGAAGAAAAAGATTCTAATGAGAAAAGCAATCGAGAACTGTGGGAAGAATTGAAGGAAGTGGACGAGAAATCGGCACTTCTTCTCCACCCGAACAATCGAACACGAGTGAAGAGAGCACTTCAGATTTACAGGGAAACTGGTATTCCTCTCAATCAGGTTCTATTGTTGGCTATAAATTACTTTTAGGAATCCCAAAAAGTCAGTTCGTTGAGCAGCAGAAGGCAGACGAATCTGTGGATCTTGGCGGACGTCTTCGTTTCGATGATTCCCTTGTCGTTTACATGGATGCGACTGCGCAGGTTTTGGACGAAAGGCTGGATGGAAGGGTGGATAAAATGATTCGGATGGGACTCAAAAACGAGCTTATTCAGTTCTACGAGCAGGTTAGTAAATATCAGTCAAACATCAGCAGAAATCAGTTTCAGCACCATAATTACATAGAATATAAAAAGTACGGAGTCATGCAGTGCATTGGGCTCAAAGAGTTCGTCCCGTGGCTCAAAATGGATGCGTCGGACAGGGAGTCTCCGGACGGAAACAAACTTTTCAAGCAAGGATGTGACGACGTGAAACTGCACACGCGACAGTACGCGAGAAAGCAACGGAGGTGGTATCTGTCGCGCCTTCTGAAGAGATCCGACGGAGATCGGAGGATGGCAAGCACGAAAATGTTGGACACTTCGGACAAATCGAAGATAATCAGTGATGGAATGGAGATTGTCGATGGATGGATGGGCGGTCTGGACATGTTTGAGGAGGTCTCGCTTGATTCTGATGCATCGGAAACTCCATTCTTGTTCAGGTTGCCACGGATCCCGGTCAAGTCCTCAAAGGGAGCGAAGCAAATATACTGTTGAGTTGTGAAGTTTGTGAAATGACGATATCAGGACGGAATAACTGGTTTGCTAGCTCACTGAATGCAATCCACTCATTCTGAAGTTTAGGGAAAAACACATGAACGGCAAAAAACACAAACACAAAGTGAAGACTTTGAAAGCTCAGAACGATTGAGGAACGGGAAATCAGCAGATTCATTGTGTTCCCCTTCATAAAGACGTTGATGTTGTTGCTCGCCTCTTTCCATCTCTCCCTCTCTCTCTCTCTCTCTCTCTCTCTCTCTCTCTCTCTCTCTCTCTCTCTCTCTCATCTGCTCGCAAGTGTCATAAATTTCCCTCGTATCTTACCCTCGCCCGCCATTCCGTACTCATCTAAGACACCCCTCTCCTCCTGTTCGCTGCGTTCCATTCGTTCGAATGGTTAACGTGTTTGGCCGACCTCCAAAAGGGCCGCAGGTTCAGTTCCCTTTCAGCAGTGATGAAGAGTTCAAGGATCTCCTCTCTCTGAGCTCCTTTTTACTTTTTCTCTCTGAGCTCCTTTTTACTTTCTGAGCTCTGAGCTCCTTTTACTTTTATGTACACAAACACAAAGTGAAGACTTTGAAAGCTCAGAACGATTGAAGAACGGGAAATCAGCAGATTCATTGTGTTCCCCTTCATAAAGACGTTGATGTTGTTGCTCGCCTCTTTCCATCTTTCCCTCTCTCTTTCTCTCCCTCTCTCTCTCTCTCTCATCTGCTCGCAAGTGTCATAAATTTCCCTCGTATCTTACCCTCGCCCGCCATTCCGTACTCATCTAAGACACCCCTCTCCTCCTGTTCGCTGCGTTCCATTCGTTCGAATGGTTAACGTGTTTGGCCGACCTCCAAAAGGGCCGCAGGTTCAGTTCCCTTTCAGCAGTGATGAAGAGTTCAAGGATCTCCTCTCTCTGAGCTCCTTTTACTTTTCTCTCTGAGCTCCTTTTACTTTCTGAGCTCTGAGCTCCTTTTACTTTTATGTACACAAACACAAAGTGAAGACTTTGAAAGCTCAGAACGATTGAAGAACGGGAAATCAGCAGATTCATTGTGTTCCCCTTCATAAAGACGTTGATGTTGTTGCTCGCCTCTTTCCATCTTTCCCTCTCTCTTTCTCTCCCTCTCTCTCTCTCTCTCTCATCTGCTCGCAAGTGTCATAAATTTCCCTCGTATCTTACCCTCGCCCGCCATTCCGTACTCATCTAAGACACCCCTCTCCTCCTGTTCGCTGCGTTCCATTCGTTCGAATGGTTAACGTGTTTGGTCGACCTCCAAAAGGGCCACAGGTTCAGTTCCCTTTCAGCAGCGATGAAGAGTTCAAGACACGATATCGACGTCATCGACGCCATCTAAAGACTGATTTCCTTCGTTCGGAAGCGGTCGGCGGCCGAAGTGGACGAGCGCCTAATCTTCTCTCTGAGCTCCTTTTACTTTTATGTACAACAAAAAGGACAACAATCGCAGATCAGTACATCTCTTTTTCGAATGGATCATCGATTTTCAAGGTGAAATCAACGGATCGGCTGAGGAATTCGCGGATTTGCTCGATAAGACTGTTTCGACGACGTCCGAGTGGTTCCAGTTGATATTCGAGGGAAATGTCGGAGGCTGAAATGGAAATAACCACCTGACGTCCAGTAACCCCCGCCACTCACCATCACTGTCTCTGCGCTCTCGCAGCTCCTCCGTCTGAATCGTCGTCAAATCTTTCGTCGCCATCTCTCTTATCAATTTATCAGTCACATTGTCGTCTTTTATATTGTTCTCTTTTGGGCCCGAGATGGGCGGGTCAGCTGTTTCCACGTGATCGTTCGGGTGCTTTCCTTATCAATGACATTGTTAATATCAAAAGTTATTTGGGGGATTCGAAGAGGAATTCGGGTTATGAACACAAGATTTCATGAAGATACGTGAAGAACCGAATGAAAAACGAAAGGGATATTTGATTTTGATGATTGGTAATCTGCAGATTTAGTTCACTTTTTAAATCTGGTCAATAGTTTTTTATCGGCTCTTTTTCTGTTTTCGTCAACAATAAGAACATGACAACTCCAATTCAAATGGTTTTTAGCAATTCATTTCGATTCGGATTTTCTCCTTCCACTTGTCTTAGCATTCCAGAAGCGGCTCCCGACAGCACTTTCGATCGGACGTTAACTGACAGCTTTCGACTGAAAAACACAATAAATAAAAATGTGTCAAAAAGAGTGAATAGTACATGATCACTTTTCCACCAGATCTCTCGAGCGTTTCACGTAAATCGGCTGCTATTTCTTTGCTTGACAAATTCCTTGGCGAATTGTGAATTACTTGGCGACGTCTATCTCTGCAAAAGTAAATATAGAGCATTTCATACGATAATTTGTCACATACAGTAGATTTGCGACTGTTTCCTTTGTCATTCGAATCACTTTCGCTTCCAATTCTTCACACCATGGCTGATTGAAGCCACGGAGTAGGAAATCTGAAAACGATATATGAAGAGTACTCAGTCATAGAGGGACTAACCCGAAATGATTTCATAGAAGTCTCTTAAACATAGAGGCCAGTCGACGAATCGGATGAAGTGTAGGCAGGGAAGTAGCGATCCATATCTGCGACCTGTGACAACCACAAATATCTACGAAAGCCTCCTTCGTCTCACTTTTGTAAACACTTTTCTGAGCAACGACTTCGCATCCGTATCGAATGATGACGAAGACCACCGGTTGGTGTCGTACGGCGCCAAAAACTCACTGAGCTTGAATGCAGCTCCACTGGGCAAGATAATAGTTTGTTCTTCAATTTTTGCAGCTCCCAAACAGAATCCGTGCTCAGGAATGATGAGATTCTGAAACAGTTTGCTGCTGTGATGAAGTGAAATCATGAAATAAATTCTCCGAAGACGTGGTCGCTTTTTCCTTTCCCTTTATTCTTCGCAAACACTTATTGTTCTGAAATGTGGACGTTCGTTAGACGAAAGATGGCGAAAAACATACGTGCTCTGTATGGTAAGCCATTCCGACCGCCATTTGTTCGAGGTATTCGTCTCTTCCATGGAACTTGGACGCAAGGTTGAGAAAGGGATAATAATCTGTTTCTTTATCCGTTCTTGTCAGTTTTCTGAAGTTTTCCTGAAAAATACGATTTCGTTTAGAAATGGTGGGGAGAAGAACATACATCGCAGATTTCGCGAGAATACGGAGTTGCTGTCTCTTTGTTGTACAAATTAGCCATCCCAAATCCAATGGGATGCCATCGCCCATTTGAACTGCTCTCCGGCGGTCCATTCGGTTTTGACGGCGAAGAGGAAGACAGGCGGTTTTTCATGTATCGCGGAGTTGATAGCATTCCCCACTGCGAATCGTAGTTACCGTCATTTTGATACATCGACGACGACGCTGGGTGGGAATGCGGATAATCGAAATGTACATTACTGAGCGGTGTGAGTTCCTCGCAATCCTCGGGACTGTCATTGTTCGCGTGGCCGTAGTTTTCCGCGTTCGCTTCATGCAGTTCAGCACGTGCTTCGAATGCAGAGTGTGAAAACTGAGGAGTGGGTTGCAAGTAGTTTCCGATTCGGTCCGAGAAGATCTGTAATGAAAAAGGCTTGATTGAATAGTGGGAGCTCCTGGAAACCTTTGAGCTTGTCGATTCCGATTCATAATTCGATGGATCGTTCCCCGTGTGTTCAGCAAACTGTCGACCTCGTGAAACATTGCTGAAGATGCCCTGAACAATTGCCTTCTCGCGAGCTTTGGAGACGTTGGGAAAAGTGGAAAAGAAACTCCTGGAAATATGAAAATCAATGTTTCGCTAAAAATCCAGCTCACATGTGCTTTACACGACAGATATCGTTCGCTTCCTTCGGAAAGGAACCACCGTGCGCAGGAGGTCAGTTGTTCATCGAAATCGGGAGCCGCAGATGCTCCGGTATACAACCTACTGGCTAATAAAGAAAGACTGGTTATTACGAGGCGACCGCGCAAGGGAATTGTTTTGGAGATAACAGCTACCAAGCAAAGAGGAAGCCGAAAGTACTGAAATTCATTTGACTTGTGGCTTCCTGCGAAACTAACAGTTGAAACCAACGTTAATTTTGTCGGTTCTATTTCTTCCATCTCCAACTTGCTAATAGTTTGAATGCAACACAACCCTGCGAAGTTCTTCCGTCAGAATAAGTTGGTTCACAATGAAAATATCGGACTTCCGTTCGAAATTGGAACCTTTGGGAAACAGTTCTGAAACTGGTCTATGAGCAAGTTGTTCTGGAAATGTAACGCAACCTTTTTGAATCATTTCAAAGATCCCTTCACCCAACCCGTGTAAAATATCAATAGGGGTTTCGAAGGGAAGAATAAGCGGTACCAATGCCGAGGGAACGTCCACAAAACCGTTCGTCCCCCTTCTGGAGTCTTCAACTGTAAAGTCTCCGGGCCGGATTCGACGTCTGTCTGGAAAATAGAATTCAGAATGTGTTTGGAAACCAAATGTACCTGCTCCACGTAGCTTGAATGTCGTACCAGGTGACAAGCAATAGAAACAGGATAGGGAGGATTGATGAGCACGGATTCCGAATAAACTTCTTTTCGCCTAAAACCGTAGTTGTGCCAGGGTTAAAATCATGAAAAGCTCACCGGTTGATCGGCGGATACCGTAACACAACGGAAAAAGCAGTTGTATCCGTTCACAATCACATTTTCGTGCTCACAATCCGACATAATCATCGGAAGAATGCAGTTCCAGAATGTCGTGAACGGGTTTTCTATGCACTCGGCGATTCCGATAAGCAAAACGTTGGAGCACTGTTGCATCTCAGCCATCGTCAGATCAGCTATCATAGTGGAAACTGGCCAAATTTTTCTGTGAAAACAACGTTTTACATACTTGTAGTGGGTTCGCAAACTAACCGGCAAGTTCCAGGGACGGCCACTCCGTCAACGGAAAGTACTCCGGAGAGACGGAGGTCGTTGCTCTTCCTTTCAAGTCGGCGCATGTGCTTGAAAAACGGACTTCGGAGAATGTGGTCACACTCTACTCCAGTTCTCAATTGCTCCCGGAGAGCTGTTATTGATGCGAAATTGTGATGAAGAACTTCTGACAGTTGGGAACAGACGCCGACGCGAACGAATTTGACTAGAGGACCGCAACTGGAAATTATGTGAAATCAGCTTGCCAATAACATGTAACGAAACGGAAACAAACCAATTTTCTTGCCGCTCACACGATTTTCCACACCGGTTGCAAAAGTAATGCGTGGAATGAACAGTTCTTGAATGATTCCAAATTTGGTTTACATCCGAAACAAACTTGTCGCTGTGCACGGTCAAGAATCTCTCAAATTCTGAAAGAAATGACCGTAGATATTTGTTTAAAACTCTAGTGCACCTCTCTGTGATAACCTAGACATACACGCCGATAGCAGAAATTGAATAACGTTGTCGGGTGCTCTTCGAACGGCTTCTCGCAAATCTGCAGCATACAATCATAGAATAGCTCTACCCGAGCGTTTGCAATATTTTACCTTCATATGTGTCGGTCACTTCGTACTGTTCCTCGTGTCTGTGTAGCTCCTCTGCTTCGTATTGTCCGCGAAGGCCCATTTCGTCCTGTCGCCCATTCATATTGTCCAGTCCATCTTCTGATTCGTATTGTTCATGTGCAATCGCCGATTCTTGTAAGACGGCTGAAGAGCCGTCACTCCGGTTACTGCAGTTGGCGTAGTTGCCGATGGTGCTCTCATTGCGCGTTTCTGAAAGTTAAAAAAAAATTGAACATTTTCAAGAATTATAACACTAACTTGTCAGAATGAGGCGTGCTCCTCGTCCAAAGTGCTTGTGAATGCATTTCGGCATGAATATAAACAAAGAAGTCAATGAAAAATTCCTGAAAATGAAAGAAAATGGGAGAAAACACAAAAAAATGAACGAAAATGAATGGGAAGAGCAGAATGCGTTCTCGGCCCCCGATCCTCTGCTCCCGCATATTGCATCCACGCGCGACCCACGCGCGACGCTCGAGAAGCAGTCGCTCGGCGGCGAGCAACTGCTTCCCTTTCTTCTCATCATTCACCCTGTTTTCCTTTTCTATCTTCTGAGAACAACTTAATTTTTACCAGGGCAGGGCAATTGGCCAGCCCGGGCTTTTCGTTGGCCGGCCCTTGCCCTGGAACCACTTTGAACCACTATTCCGGTCTTTTTGGAAAAAATCGGCTAATGATCTACATATGTCGGGACCAGATGATCCGATCGGGCTGAAACTTGGTTCCAGTATGCTTCAATCCATGTCCAAGAAGCCTGAAAAGTTTGGGTCCGATCGGAATATTGCAAGTGGTTCAAAGGTGAAGGGCCGACCAACGAAAAGCCGGTGCCGGCCAATTGCCCAGCCTTGATTTTTACCTAATCAGTCTCACAGATGCAGTTAATACTCATAATGATGTTCATCTGGACCTTCCGTAAAACCTACAATAGAACAGGTCCCATTACCGTACATTCAAGACCTTATATCTCAGCTGCCCATGGAGATATGCAAAAATTGTAACAGAAAAAATGCTCATTAAAACATTTCGTAAATTTCATCAGTTGACCACTTTTTGATATCTGTACAGCAAGTTGAGATATGCTCGGAACTCTGTGAATCCGTCTTGCTTGCAATAGCAGCAAATGAGCCGTTTCCGTTGGCGATGTTGGCATTATGCTTCCATAATGCATCCACGGCCAACGGCGAACAGCGACAGCCGCTCGAACTGATAAGGCATATTCCTTCCACGCGCGATCCGTGCGTTCTAGAGGACAGTAACGCATATTTCATACACGCGCGAAGCATATTCCCGTTTCTGTGCGCTGTGGATCCATAATGGATGCTATATGCATGCACCTCCACGGTTTCTCCACGGTGTTCGCATAATTCATGCCTCGCGTTTTACCTGTGTGTTCGCTGCGTTCCATTCGTTCGAATGGTTAACGTGTTTGACCGACCTCCAAAAGGGCCACAGGTTCAGTTCCCTTTCAGCAGCGATGAAGAGCACCTAGTTTCTGGTCTGAGCTCCTTTTACTTTTATGTACAACAAAAAGGACAACAATCGCAGATCAGTACATCTCTTTTTCGAATGGATCATCGATTTTCAAGGTGAAATCAACGGATCGGCTGAGGAATTCGCGGATTTGCTCGATAAGACTGTTTCGACGACGTCCGAGTGGTTCCAGTTGATATTCGAGGGAAATGTCGGAGGCTGAAATGGAAATAACCACCTGACGTCCAGTAACCCCCGCCACTCACCATCACTGTCTCTGCGCTCTCGCAGCTCCTCCGTCTGAATCGTCGTCAAATCTTTCGTCGCCATCTCTCTTATCAATTTATCAGTCACATTGTCGTCTTTTATATTGTTCTCTTTTGGGCCCGAGATGGGCGGGTCAGCTGTTTCCACGTGATCGTTCGGGTGCTTTCCTTATCAATGACATTGTTAATATCAAAAGTTATTTGGGGGATTCGAAGAGGAATTCGGGTTATGAACACAAGATTTCATGAAGATACGTGAAGAACCGAATGAAAAACGAAAGGGATATTTGATTTTGATGATTGGTAATCTGCAGAATTCGTTCACTTTGTAAATCTGGTCAATAGTTTTTTATCGGCTCTTTTTCTATTTTCGTCAACAATAAGAACATGACAACTCCAATTCAAATGGTTTTTAGCAATTCATTTCGACCTATTAGGATGTTATATTGGAGCACAAATGGGAATTTAATTACTTTTCCCGGCTAATATATTTCGAAAAACGGTATTCAACTTGTAAGCTCTGGAGACCGTGACGAACAACACAATTTATTTAAGAAACGCAAAATTGACAACTTTAAAAAAAAAACAACTGAAAATTGAGCCGATTTTCGAGAAAGTTCGGGGTATTTTCGGTCTAAAAATTGAAATTCGGATATGAAAACGAAGAAATTGTGTCGGTTTTTTGGTTTGAGAAGCAAAAGGAAAAAAGCAGAAAACGAAGGGACCAGTTGACAGGAAAGGGCTACTCGACTACGGAAAACGATAAGGAAACGGAGAAGGATTGGGTGGGGTTAAAGCTGAAAAATGGCATGGGAATATTAGAAGCGGAGAGAAGAAGAAGAAGAAGAAGAAGAAGAAGAAGAAGAAGAAGAAGAAGAAGAAGAAGAAGCCGATCTACGGATGATCACGGAACTGTTTGTAGAAGGATTGAACGTAGGTGAAGACGCATTTCCAGTCCGGACGGTCGCCCATCATGATCATATCGTCAACTTCCAGCAACGGAAAGATGCCGTTGTCCCTTCAAATCAACCATTTTCCATCTCGAACCATCACATCAACTCACTCGGAAACTTTGAACGCCAACTCGAAGTTGTACCGCCTGTTCTTGGGGTCCAGTTTGGAGAAGTCGAACGCCTGAGGAGCGAAGCGGTGGATCAGGGCACAGAAGGCCATTCCGTCGGCCCAGGAGGACGAGAAATTGGTCACGTTCACATTCTGAATCGCCTTTCGTTCGACAGAAAACACTGTCTGGGACTCACTGGATATCCGGCCACTCTGTTCTGAATCCAACGCAAAAGGGCGTCTTTGATGGAGTTCGGATTGAGCTGACGTGGCGGAGCTGCGGCGTTCGGACTGTAAATCTCGCCGGTCACGTTCATTCCCCCTCTTCTGACTCACGTTGCTCCCGCTTTCTCCATTTGTTTGAACATATTCGGACGAGACATTTTCGGTTCAGCTGCAAAAAGAGAAGATATGAAATCCGTGGAGGAGAGAGAGAGAGAGAACCAAGGAAAAGAGCAGGGGCTGTCAGTTCTCATGTGATTTTTCCATTTCTCCCAGCCGATTTTCGTGCCCGTCACAAGTGAAAACATCATAGAAAACATGTGGAGGGGAGCGAGAAAAATGAACAAATTTTGAGATTATTCTGGAAGAAAAGTGGCCAGATGTTCATTGTTTTGGACGTCATAAGTTCAGTTGAATTCAGAATCACCACCTCAGAATTCGGATAATTTAGACAGAAAGTGAAGAGGTTGAATGACAATAGAGAGTTACTTAATTCAAATGTCCCTCTTTTTGTCTCTTTGTTTGTTTGTTTGTTTATTTCTCCGTTTGTCTGTCCCCACTTTCATTTTTTAACGAAAAAGTTGTGACGGAGAAATTAAGAAATGAACACGTTAACTTTAAAGTGAATTCCAACGGTTATGAGAAACAAACAAGCTTCCGAGCGTTGGCTCGGATCGCGAAGGGTGCCCAGGTTCTAAAAGTCTAGTAAATAAATAAATAAATAAACACAGGGACAGACCCCGTAAGGCTTTTATTAATAAGAATGATGTTGTGATGGCTCGAGGTGATAGAGTATATTGGTAAAGGTGGACGCTGCTCCGCCAGTGTAATATTCTCTTTCTCTTCTCCCTTTTCTCGAGATCTCAAAGTGCTCGTAGTGGCTCCTTATTGTAATAAAACGTGCTCCGGAACATCCCTCCCCACGCAGTGCTTGTCTTTTCATTTGCCCCTTTCCATGTGCACGAGAGTGATATATGCACAGGGCAGCGACGTTCATCGCAGCAGCGTGGCGCAGTGGAAGCGTGCTGGGCCCATAACCCAGAGGTCGGTGGATCGAAACCACTCGCTGCTAGACCTTTTTGTGATTTAACTCACACTTGAGACTGGCGATGCCACCGATAGCGGGACGGCCGATCGGAAGGGCGTAGGAGGAGGTGACAGTGGCTGCTAAACGTATTGATATGAAACCAAATAAAAGGTGTGAAGTGGGCTTACAATGTCTCACTGGGGTCGGCGGCCCACTTTTCGATTGGGGCAAAAGTTGGGCCGAGATGGCACGCTTGGTGAAGTTTTCTTTGCCCGTGGAGAGGGAAAGACGCGATTTGTGAAGTTCATTTTCCTGTGCGGCCGAGATTTCGCCGAACTTACGAGCGAGCATGAGCACGGATTCGGGACGACTCATTCCGCGGATCTCCATTCTGATGCACTCTCCCGTGTCCTGAAAACTAATTGGTTTCGTGTTTACTCGGAAAAGATATTGTCAACTTAAAACAAAACGAATTAGAATCGCTTATCAACGATTGATAAGAAAAAATTGTTAAAATAACAGGAAAACATTGAAGAAGGAACACAGAAAAAGGAGGGAATTGTCAATGAAACACGTTAACGGAGAGAAGAAGAGAGAGAAGGATTGGAACAAAAAGGGGAATGGAATAGTACAAACAAGATATGGCCAGGAGAAGAGGAGAACGGACAAGGGCGGACGGAAGGACGGATGCGGATGATAACAGGCTGCCGAGTAGTAAAGAGTAACCAGAAACTTTGACAGTCTTTCTTAATGAGTCTACTTTCTTCGTTTTGTGTTTCGAATACACACATATTTACCTGCGCCCTCTCAGAAAACCGGAATCAGCAAGGTTCGGACGGGGGCACCACCATCTCGTCAAATATTTTCGCAATTTCCAAAAGTTTTTTTCCCAGGGAAACTTAACTTTCAAACAAAAGAGAAGCGGAGGTCCTGAATGAGGAAAGTGTGTCCAGTTTAATTCAAGTTTTCGACGCGAGATCTCCAGTTCATTTGGGTGTGGTCGAGGCTGAAGGTTGGCAGGGAAATCAATCGAAAACTGGGGTTTTAAACAATCATTTCCAGGTGGGAAAAACAGGGAAATTAGGCCGGCGAATCAGGACAAACACACTGTAATTACTAGGTTGAAGAGAGAAAGTGGTTTGACGTGGCAGCAACTACAGTAAGACTTCGGGGACTTTGACAACAAGAGAGTACGTTTGAACTATTGCAAAACGAATGGCAAGAGGGGAGAGAAAGCCGAAAAATACACAAAACGGATACAGTTTGTTCTTTTTATTTTCCACAAAGTAGGTACCGCCGCTACCACACCTTGTGAATCATTTAAGCTTAAAGTCAACTGGAATACGAAAACAGTATGATGCCGAATGGAAATGAATGAAATGAATGCGTCTAATCTACCAAATGTGATCGAATGGAATAGTGTAAAGGTGGCGGGATTCGGCAGGGAAACAGATGATTATAATTGGGAGGATGAATTGGTTTTGGACAGATTATTATTATCTGAGACTGAGACTTTCTTTCTTCTTTGAGTTTTGATTCCGACGCAATCGGACAAGAGCCTCCAAAATGCTTCAAATCATGATGATATGCGGGTGCAAACAAGACGGAACACTTGTGTTTCTGCGTCTCTCGATCCTCCAAACTCTCTCGCGAGGGAAGTCGTATTTGAGCAAAACATCAAATAGAACGGAAAACGAACGGAAGAGAGTTGCTTATCAGTTTATCACAGAGAGAGAGAGAGAGAGAGAGACTTCCTCCAAATGCGAATATTTGTTCGTCTTTCATTTCCGTGTCAGCCCAGAAGACAGAATGACAGAATTGGGACGTTTCCGAAGAAGGCAATGGCTGCTTTTCCCGCCCGCTACCGTCGACTGAATAGGCAGAAAAGGGGATGATTCACAGGCTTTGTTCCGAATGAAAACATTGATGATATCATCAGAAAACATAAGAAGCAAGTTGTGAAATTCGAGAAAAGACGACAGTTTCAGAAGGGACTCACCACGTTCGTCTCGAACTTTGCGTATCCGTCACTGACGAGAACACGAGTCACGTCGTTTTCGAAGTGGCAAGAAGGAGGCATTGAACGACGACGGTGAAGGTCCTGGAATACGGTAGAAGTGAACGAATACACAAAGACTGGCGGTCTCTGATAACTCGTTCTGGCCGCCAATCTTCCCTTTTTCTTGAAAGAATAAATGCTTCTGACTTCTGAAACCCAACCTGTGCTCTATTTCCGTGAGAGTTTGTGTGACGGAGCCGGCCTCGAAACTTGAGATCATCGCTTCGAAGGGACATCTGAATGCAAACAATTCCCTTCATTCTTTTCTCTTTCCAACTCCTCACCAAATCGTGCTCGGATTCACTCCCCGCGGATCCGTATCCAGAAGACGCTGACTCTTTCTTCCTCGTCATGTCTGGCTGAAAATGAAACTGGCCAATTATTATAAAGTTTGTGGCTACTCACCGAGTAATCCACGTCATCATCTGGCTCCGGGGACACTAATGGAGGGGTGTCTGATAGACTGAACATGGGCTGGAACGAATATTCGGAGGGAGTGCTACAGTACATTGAAGTGAAGACACCTGGAAATGAAATATTAGAAGTAAGAAAGGGAAGAATCATAACGGACCGACGCAGGACTGTGGAGAAAGAGGCTGAGTGACTCCGTACGGGTGGAAAGTTGTCTGTCCGGTGGAGACGCGGGTGATCGAGCCGAGGTAGGCCGAGAATCCGGGCAGAGGGCTCGCCGAGTGACGGGAAATGCACCCGAGACTCCGGTTGCGATGCCGTTTCTCGTCGAGACTGATCGAAGACTGAGGACGGCAACGGCTCGACGTGGACGTCATCTGGAGTTGGAATTCAGATGAAGTTGGGGAGGGCGAAAAGAAAAAGGAAAGGAAAAGGAAACGACAGCATTTGCATCTTGTTACAGATGGAGAATGAAGGAAGAAACGTAGAGGAATGTTCAATAAAAGTCTGCCAAAAACCAATAACATTCCGCTCCTTTTGTTCCACGGGAACAGGTGGACGAATTGGGGCTTGAGATAGGACGGTATTTGGCACGGAAAGTATTATTATATGGAATGTACGGTTACCGTTACCGGACCGATTTAAATGTATTTCGAACATGAGGGAAAAAAGAGAAACGCAGAGAATCATTGCAGATTTTGGCAAGCGGGAGACCTGGTCGAACGGCCGAAAGAAGGGCCAATTAAAAGATCAACGAGGAGAGGAGACAGGTTTGAATAACGGACAACATAGAGTGGATCTTTCTGTGAAACGAGCGAGTGATGACGTCAAAAGAGCCGAGCGACGCAAGTGCATTCCATCAGAATCGGACAGATAGCTGTCGTCTCCTTCGGCCGCCTCCAAATGCGACATCATTCCGATTTCATCGAGACGGAGTCTTCCCCTTTTTATCCTTTTTTGTGGTGGACTATACGAGTATGACGTCATTTTGAGAGGAAGAACAAGAAGAAGAAGAAGAAGAAGAAGAAGAAGGAGAAAAAGGAGAAGAAGTGCTTGACCCTGAGTTATCAGTGAATGGGCGACAGGAGAAGGTCAAATGAATAAATGGCCTGAGAACTGGAAGAAGAGAATCAAGAATCAAGACACTTTCCAAGTTTTTCATAGATAAAAGAGGGTCCGGGGGTTATTTATGATACCACCCAATGAAAAGAAGTGACCATCTTAAGGGAGTGAGAAAAAAGAGAATGAAAAAGGAAAATAAAAAGTTGGCCTGAAAAATCCAAGCGAAACAAGAAAGAAAAAGAAGAATGTGGTCGGGTTTTCCACTGGTCACTGGGCCACACATAATTAAATTTTCATCGAAAGTGCCAACGGCTCTGCTTTCCTTCTTTTCTTGTTTCGCACATTGAAAAGAACATAATTCGGAGTGAACCCTGGCCTTCTGTACTAGTCGTTTGCGTATAAAGTGGATGAGACGGACGGGGCCAATGTTTGTGTACGTACCAAGCATTTCTTTGATCATTAGCCCGAAAGAAACGTAGTAGTCGAGAGGTCATTATAATAGTGGGAAGTGCAAAAAGGGCGGTGCAAGTGAGCGGATCGGATTTCGGATGGAAGAACAGAGTGACCAGTGGGTCTGGAGAGACGAATAGCGAAACAAAGGGGAGAAGTTCCTGTGAGAATAGCAATGTATCGTATCCTTATTTCTCGTCTTGAAAGTCAGAAGAGACAATAGCTCAGCTTCTCGAATGGTAAGGACAGAAACCTTTTTAGATACCTATAGGTTTATAAATGGATATCTACCGTAAATACTGTTATAGAAGAGCACTCCAATGCCTTTTATACAAGACTATTTATCTCAGTTGTCGGTGGAGATCGGAAAGTTGTCCAGTTCCACCCAAATCTATAATTTGAGAGGCAACGGACACAATTTCGGTATTGAAATGTTGGAAAAACAAAGACAAATGTAATAAGATCTCTTGATTCGCATTCAAAAGTGAACAAGACAGACACTCTTCGATGTTCAGAGGCAATGAAGTTATGTCTCAAACGCTCAAAGTGCTTATACCGTAGATCGACGCTCGTCAAATCGAGCCAACGGACACAGTATGTTGTGAGCAAAAGCATTGATAATATCTTTTTGGTCCCCGAAGGATTGCCCTCCCCTCCCCCTTCCCGTCGTCCATTTTCCCTTTTTTGTGCCCACTGCAACTTGGTTTCGTCCCCCTCCCTTTCTTGGTTTTTTGGGACCAAAATGCGAGAGAGCAATAGGGGACCAGAGAGTCACTCTCTCTCTCACTGTTTCAAGTTTCTCTCTTCGTTCCAGTGTCTGCCGTCTCTCCGATGGTCGCACTCTCTCGAGAATGATACGAATGGGTGTACTTTGATCGAAATGGGGGCAGGGGCACGGCTACTTTTTAGGTGGACATACACACGGAAAAGTAAAAGGAAGAAGTGGGCGAAATTATGGAATGGGTAGATCTAAGCATTCGGATGCAAAGTGTTCCGAGCAGGAGGAAGAGAGAGAGAGAGAGAGAGAGAGAGAGAGAGAGAGCTACCGTATTCTGAGAAGAATTCTGAGATTCCAGAAGTACAGTTTCTTCTGATTGTTGCGAATGGGGAAGAAAACGTTTCTAGAGGAAGCAGTTCTCTGAACGAAAGGACCTAGACAAAAGGAGCGCGGCGTGCTCCCGTCATCAGTGCGTCGTCCGCAGTTGTCTCTTTCCATTGTCCACTCGTTTCCCTTTTCTGGCTCACGGACCCCAATGTCCACTTTGTTTATCGCCGTGTTTACCACGCCTAAATAGCTCTGGAGAGACAACGAAAAACTTCTTTCGCTTTGAGGTTTAGTTGCTGACAAACAGCGGGCGGTTGGCAAAACTTATTCTTGTTTATCGGTTCGGCTTATACAATTGAAGCTCAGAAAATGGGACGCTCGTTCGGATGTTTTCAGTGATGACTTCGCGGCATTCCGGTTTGCACAATGCTTTCAAGGGCCGGGTAGACGACAGTCTGCAACACGTTACAGGTGGAAAATGGAAATAAGATTGCACGACGCACAACTGAGAATCCGTAGAAGAATTTAAAGGATTACTGAGTGATAATTCCTTCTCAACTAACTAAAAGTAAGAAAGCAACGGAGTCTGTAAGTTTCTTTCATTCTTTCTTTGTCCGGAAACTTTTCATTTCGAAAACAATATAGTTGTGACGGAGAAATGGAGAAATGATCGCAAGCACAAGCGGCAGTTCTTGTGCCACGAAAAACGATCGAAGAAAAAGGCAAGAAGTGCTAGACATTCTCGAGTAAAAAATCATAGAACCTCTCAAAATTCTCTCCGCGAGAAAGTCGCAGACACTGCGGAACAACTGGATTAATATTTACTGTTGACTAATTTTTTGTCACTGAAATTCAAATACTACTTGATTCATGTGTAATGCTTTTTGGTTAAAGAGTATTAATACTGCAGTATACTGTTTTACTTTCTTAAGGATTTCCTGTTTTGATCTTTATTCCTCGCAATTGATTGAACTCCTGATTGATCAATATCATATTTTTAGGTGCTGCCCCGAATCGGAACTTCCCGAATCAGAACTGGTACTCAACAGAACTATTTTCAGTGCTAATTGGTTCTGATTCGGGAAGTTCCGATTCGGGGCAGCACCTATTTTTTAAGATTTGTTTTATCGCTTCAGTTTATACAAATGAAGAATGACTTCTAGAAAAGAATACACAAATAGAGCATTCATTCAAATCTTTTCGGCAATGGCGATCGCTCCCTTGCATCCAGTCTGAATGATCCATTTGAGAGCCGAATAGGCGGGAGCCTGCAAAACACATTTCAGAGGAGAATGGGATAATTGCGATGACGTGCCTTTAATCCGTCGTGTTCCACTCCCGTATCATGGTGATGCAGCTCCTCATCGCGCAGTCGAGTCAGTATTTTCAGCAGTTCTTTGTGTCTCTCCGGGTCGTCGGCAAGAAGTTCTGAGCATTTCGAATGATTTAAGGAACTTGCGCATCGGATACCTTTCAGCTGATCGTTGTAGTGCTGTCCGATGAGCTCTTCCACCGCAATCGTGCAAGCCATCGCGCCTTCCTTGCCGAGAAGTGCCGACCCGACGCCTGAAATATTTTCGTTTCCCTTTTCGAAACTGTAATTCTTACCGAGTGCGTAGGCGGCGACACTGAAAACGGGCGAGAAGACGGTGTGCGGGACGTTGTGCTGCGCCGCGAGTCTCTCCATCGTATCAAGGTGCTCCTTCTCCTCGTCCCACATTTTTTTGATCACCGATCCGACCGAGGAGCCCTTGAGCACGGCTAGCTGTCCTGCGTAAATCCGATCGGCTCCGAGTTCTCCGGCGTGATCAACTCGGATAATTTTTTCGATGAGAGCTTGGCGAGCCGCCGAGGAGTTGTGACGGATGATTACTCGGAACATCCTGCGGTTGGCATTTCATGCACATCAATTCACCCCTCGAAAGCATCCGATGGAACTAGACTTGGCCATTTAGTCTCTTGCGACCGGAGAAATAATGAAATGAATAATTTATGAAAGAGCAAAAAGAAATTCAATAAATTAAAAGGACACATTACTAATCAACAGAGAAACGACAGGAAGGAGGAGAATCGATCACAGCTAGAAAATGGATTCGTCTTCTGGAAAGGAAGAATGTAGTGGGCCCAGATATGTACAGAAAGACACAGGAAAATGCATGGTTATCTGGTGAATACCGAAGTTTCTGGTTTAAGGGATCAGAGGAGCTCTAGACTAGATTTTCCTTAATTTCGAAGCCTATTCTCCGTTTTTCGATGACCCGGAGATTATTATGCTAATCTGATTGAAGTATTAATGATAAACGACGCCGTCATGAGAATGGCCGTGATGATTAGAAGTGGAAGTTCCGTGTGAATGTCCGTGATGATTTTCATGACCATGAGAGTGGCCGTGATCGTGGTTATCATGAGAATGTCCGTGAGTATCCTGACTTTGTTCATGAGCATCGTGGCTGTGTCCGTGATTATCATTTTCACCGTGCGAGTGTCCGTGATGATCATCATGATGATCATGGCTGTGTCCGTATGATCCGTGCACGTCTCCATTAGAATACGCCACAGATGGGTCTCCTGCTGACCAGGCAGCATCCTTGACCACTTGAACCGTAAGTGTGGTGACCACTGAAGAGAACTTCTCAGTGACGTGGAGCAGCACGTTCTGCTCATCTGCGTCTCTTCGCACTCTTACGTCGACTGTACCAACCTGGAAACAACAAGGATGTTCATGTTTTCCGAGAAATTATTATGCAAACCAATTGATTGAAGTCGAGTTGCCAGAAGCGTCCGCTCTTGAGCTCGAGCACTCCGTCGATGTGAGACGCCTCCGAAATACATCTGAAACAAAATTTCAAAATAACTCCGTGGGATTTCGAAGGGAGGTCACCTGTCGATTTGCATAATCAGATGCGGCGGTGTTGTCTGCAAAAGAATCATGCCCGTATAGGTGGAGAGTGGCCACATTGAGGAGAAGACGGCAACGCAAAGAACGAGACAGCACACTGGATCGGCCCACGCGAAATCATGCCTACAAGAAGAACACTTTTGAAAACTTTTGAACGCTCAAAACTTACTTGAAATGCTCGCAAAGCATCAACAATCCACTTGTGGTTGCCGCCAGCAAAACCATAGAGTTGATGCGGGGGAGAAGTAACCGAGACAGTCCCGGAATGACCCAGCAGATGGCGTGCGACAAATCGGCGGCATGTTCTTGGAGACTAGAGGCAGTTGCCGAAGAGAGAACGTGCTGGAACGGCTGGTTCTTCAATGCATACGCAGAGAGCAACAACGCTACGGCCGAAGCGATTGAGCCGACAAAATACGGCCATCCACCTGAAAGACTTTACGATGCGGGGAATAAATGAGACACCGACCTGTCTCCTCTACTTCGTGATCATGAGCTGCGGAAGCATCATGTGTGCCATGATGATCAGGTGATAACAAGTGCTCAAACGATTCTTTCGACAAAAATATCGAGAACAACTGGGCTAATACCTGAACAATTACTTTGAAGCTTTTTTACTTATCAAATGACTTACAGTAGTACTGAAAACGGCCAACACTGGAACTCGTGCCAATCCGTAACTGAATTTATGCGTAGGTTTGTTGGTGATCGACATCGAATACAAAGCTGCGAACTGGGAACAAAACGCGAAAATTGTGAGCCACAACGCCGCCATGAGCACTGAAAAACCCAATTTCAACTTTTTTTACTGAAACACGACTAATACCGATCGAGTGGCTCGTAGACACGCAGTATGACAGAATTCCAACACAAATGAAACATATCAGTGTAGAAATGAATCCTCGTTTTCCTTGCGAATGGTTTAATGACCTGGATACCCATGCGAGACCGATCATCTGTAAGAAAACGTGAAGAAATAGTTTTTTACACAATGAAACGGTTATTTTGAGAAACATCAGCTGCCAATTAGTTTTATAATCATTCTAATTTTTCCAGTTATCTGAGACTTCTTTTTTCCCGTGTTTTGAGCCGAAAAGAGCCAAAAACCGAAGAATGTGGACGTGGCTGTTTAAAGGCGCATGCATTTTCTCGGTCGGGTCTCGCCGCGATCTCGCTCTCTTTCGCGAAAACTCTGGCAGAATTTGAATTTTCGCAGGGTTTTCTTGACGTTTTGGGTGGTTTCCATGGAGAATCTCTCGCTTTGCTCATCGAATTGTGTCGGGCATTTCTCCTCTACTTTCTTTTTATATGCATTTCTCTCCAAAACTTGAATTTTCTCTGTTTTCTTGAGACCTGAGAAGATAGAGTTACTAATCATCAAACTGGTTCTGATGACATTTGGAAGGCATATATTGATTCTGATATGCAACAAGTTGATGCGAGTTTAGTGTTTGTTGTTTATCAGTATTCATATATGAGCTGAACGTCTTATCAAAATGGCCAATCGTACCATTCCTACTGAAAATCGATTTTCTTTTCATCTTGTCGAATATCCTACCTTTGTTTTGCAAGTATTCTTTGAAATACCTTTATATACTTTTTGAAATATCTTTCAGAAATCATGGCTAAGCAACCACAAGTTCTCTGGGCCCAGCGTGAATCGCTTCTTTACATAACCATCGAGGTCGATGAAGCGAAGATTGAAGACTTGAAGGCAGACGCCAACAAGCTTCACTTCCAGTATGTTATTTTTAAAGAAGTAGTTTCCTATTTGTTTTTCTTCAGAGGAAGCAGCAAGTCTGAGAAGTACGCAACGACGCTCGAGTTCTACGAAGAGGTTGACCCGAGCTCGCTGCTGCGCATTGGAAGTAGCACTCGCGTCGTCGAGCTTGTCATTAGCAAGAAGGTTCCGTCGTCCACCTGGTGGCCGCGTCTTCTGAAAGAGAAAGGAAAGGTCCACTGGCTGAAGGTGGACTTCTCCAAGTGGAAGGATGAGGACGATGAGGAGGAGCCAGAAGAGCCAGCAGTCGGAGGAGGTCTCGGCAACGGATTCGATCTGAACCAGTACATGTCGTCGCTGGGAGGATCTGGTGGTGGCGAATTCGACGGACTCGACGAGGATGAAGGTTCGTGTCTCGTTTAGAATGTTTTTAATCGTTTTCAAAGAAGACAATTCTGCTTAGACAAACAACTACGAACAAAAATATAAGTGACTACAAGACTTTCTGAAACTGTGTCCGTTGAGCGGTTCGAGTTAACGCGTTCGAAAGTTCACGTGTTCACTGCTCAATTTTTTCCGTCAAAATTTTTTCGTTTTAGAAATGAAATTGGGGACGGACAAACGGAGAAAGAAAGAAACGGACAGATCCCGTTAGATTTTCATTAAATAGGAATGATGATGATGATGATTTTGCAGACATGCCGGATCTTGAGGACAACGAGGAAGAAGAGGAAGGAAAGACCGAGATCAAAGCTTAAGCTTAAGCGAATGCATCTCTTCCCGAATACCTCTATGTTCCGCTCATCATTTCTGATTCAGTTTCCGCATTCTTAATCTAAACTTCTTCTCCAGACGTTTCTCCTTCTATTTTTTGTGAGCACCTGCAATCTCGTATCTCATTCTCAGATTATTGGACCCCTTTAATATTATTGAATAAAGTGCTATAAAGAATGTGTAATCTTTTTGTCAGTTGCAATTGGCTAGAGTCGCATCCGTTTGCTTTTCATTCACTTTCCGAAAAACAAATCTCAGCTTAAACAGGATGTCTTCGGGGCAATTGATATGTCCGCTTTGCTGTGCGTGTTTGAAGGAAGAAGGAGCGCATTTCTTTAAGCATTTCCGATACAAGTGAGCAGTTTAAACAGAAAAGCGACGGTTTATGTGATATTTGTAGACGTTTTACGTGCGGAGAAAGCAGTTGCGATTTGGGCTTTTACACCGAGTCGGAGCGGAATGCTCATTGTGCAGAACTCTCTCACAAAAGATCGTTCCAGGTTGTGAACTAGGATTAGAAAAGAAATTAAGATTACCAGTTTTCAGAAAACCGTAAATCCGTACATAGATAATCTGATCAAAATAATTACTGAAGACGCCCGAAAACTGGCCACTGAATCCATGGAATCGGTACTCGCGAGTCGATTCGAAAGCAGCGGAGAACAGAACATTTCCGTAACTCCTTCGGCGATTCCAAAGAAGAAAAGAACTCTTCAAAAGCGCGCAAGCACCCCCGTTTTAACCAAAAAAACAAAACAATGCACTCCGGGATCTGAACAATCTTCATCGAATTCGACCTCTTCTGCTGACCCGTAAATATTCTGAATTCAATGACTCATCACAACATTTGTTTCCAGTAAACACCGTACCAACTCGGCTTCTGCTCCGTCTGGAAATGCCGTTTTTGAAGTCGATTCGACTACGAATGAAGTGCCCGTCGTCCCGTCTTCCACGGAGAAACAGAAGCGAACGAGAAAGTCACGGACAGAAGTGATAGGAAGTGAGCAGTAAAAATGAATACATATTTCTTTCAGTTCGATCCAATTCCAACCAATTTAACACGTCGTAATACGTCCTACGACGAGATGTCTCCTTTCGAAAAGCTGGCCGGATGGTACGATCCGAACGTTCCGGAAAGACAAAACGCGGCGAAGATCCGCTGTGAAGAGTGTAATAAGGATATCGTCTATGATTACAGTTCGTCTCATTCCTTCGTTTCGCTCACTCAAGTTTCCTTTCAGTTATTCGTAAAAGTCACGTTACCAAAGAACATATGGCAGCCGATGTGGCTGCGGAGGATTATGAGGGTATTCTGAAGGCGGCGGTGATTCCATTCTCATCATTCTGTTATTCATTTCCCGGTTTCAGATGGAGAAATCATATCCAGGATACCCGAATTCGAATTTTTCGTGTCAGCTCTGCATGGGCAGTGGCGACGTGGCTAAGAATCGGCGAAGAGAACACATTGAGACGATGCATTCGGGGAAGATTCCGGACCTGAGATGTCCTATTTGCGAGAGAGGATTCAAAAGACAATGCGGGTTGAGCACACACATGAAAGAGGTGTCAGACCGGTATCTGATAATTTCTCACGCTTCGAAAGTTCAGGAACACAAAACGTCGATGTGCCATTTAAAAAATTCGGTTTTCCAAAAAGAGCGTCATCGGCGCAATGCAATGATCGGAGAGCTGACCACGATGTGCTTCCCTTGGGCAAAAATTGAGCCATTCGAATGCAAAAGCGCCGTTCGTTTTGTTGAGTTCTATAATTCCGTTGAAGATCCATTTTGTGCAGGAACCATCAGGATCGTTGTTGTCAAGATATCGATCAAATTCGGAGAGAAACATTCCCGCTACTAATGATGGCCCGATCGTAACTGACGTTCGACTGCGCGATGCTCACGTTAGTATTCTAACGCGGTTATCTTTGTTATAGCTCTTTCGATTCCAGAAGACTCGTCGTGCTCCGAGGTACAACTCTTCGTCCGGATCTTCTACGGACGATGAAGAGAGCGGAGCTCCGGATGACACCGGCAGCGAAAAGAGCACCGACTTCACGAAGGATGTCGAATTCATCGGACAACAATTCATTTCGGAAATCACAAGAAAGCTCTTAATGAGAAACTCGATCAAACCGGAGGAACAGTCGGATGACAAAGCGACTGACCAAGAGACGTCGACAGACCAAGGATTGTCAAGAGGATCAACGGCGAAGACGGTGAAGCAGGAACCGGTGGAAGAGCCGCAGACTCACGGAGAAACGGATAACAGGTGAGAGATCACAAAATGAGAAGATGAAAATCAAGGATAATATTCTTTTTCAGCGGCTCGCAGTTGTCCGAAATGCTCCCTCTGCACGCGCCATTCGTCCCAACCCCCGTTTCTCCTCTTCCAGTTCAAGCTTCCCCTTCTCCGAAGCATCATGCAATAACTTACGATCAGCAACATCAAGAACAAAGTTATCGCAGCTACAGGTAACTTCAAGTGTTCCGCTGCTCACCATCAATTCCATCATTTCAGACCTAAAAATTCCGATTCCCGACAGTCATCATACCTTCCTAGGAATCGATACACTTCGAATTCCTGGTTGTCTCGCCCAGAAAGCGACAGTCACAACATAAACCAGTGGCGCCGTAGTTCGGGACAGTCCCGTTGGGAGACCTCCTCCCGCCACACCAATTCGAACGACTCCCACCGTTCGTCCTCCAGCTATCGCAGTTCCTCCCAAAATTCGAGCTCACGTGGATTCGGAGCAAAACATACCCGTTTTTGATTGCTTTTTTTCCGTTTTTCATGCATTCGTATCACCGTCTCCAGAGCTGACAATATGGGCGTGGCCTCGGCCAAATGGCGTTTTCATTAATTGAGCAGGTTTTTTCTGATTTTTGTTGTCAAAGGCGATGAAAAATGATAGTTCGACATAAAAACACACTAATTCTCAGAATGAATGACGTTTTGGCGCATTTTTCGCGGACTTCGCTTTTTCGCCTTCGCCGCCGATCGCCGCCTAAAAACCGCACTTCTCATTTTGCGCTTTCTTGACCGTTTTCAGACAGAGTTGGTTTTGAGAATAATGAATCACGTAAATGCAAGCATTTTGAGCGCTCGAACCGCTAAAACTACCAAAAAGCTGTTGAAATTCACGCAGTTTTAGCCAAAAACCTTCAAACGGAGAAATGCGGCTTGACCAAATTTAACGCTCTTGCGCTTAAAAAATTCGTAATAGCCTATACAATCGGTCTATCGAGAGACAAATGAGAAATTATCGGTTTTTCGTGGCTAATCTGGCAAAAAACACTCATTTTGCTGTTAAAATTTTAATTTCGCGCCAATGGGCGGGGCGCACTTGCGCCCAATGTCAGCTCTGGAGTTGTTCTAGTTTCGTAATGTGAGGAATAAAATTCATAGCAATTTTTATGACTGTAATCATGGAAAAAGAACGTAAGGCAAAATCACAATGGGAGAAACCGCGTGAGTGATTGGGGGAGATGGCAGCGCACGGAAAATATACAAAAACGGCAGGAAAAGGGGTAAAACAGAAAACTAAACGATGAGATCTTCCAAATCGGAGCCGGCAGTGTCGAGAAGTCGTTGCTTTTTCTGGCTGCCGGAGCTAATTATACTGGTCGTGGAGCCGAGAAGTGAGCCAACTTTCGAGCTGAGAACGGACAGTTTCGAGGACGCGTGGCCACGAAAAACGGCCGAATCATCGAGTCCACGATGCACTTGCACTTGGAATGAGCCCGACTCGAGGAACTTCTGATGACGTTTGAACGAGCTCGTGTAGAGAGTGGCGAGCGTCGGTTTGCGGAAGTTTTTGAGCAGAAGACTGGAGGAGACAACGGAGACGCTGGAAAGAGCCATTGCGGCAGCGGCCATCCACGGCTGCAGCATGAATCCGATCGGACGGAAGAGACCGGCGGCGACAGGAATCCCGATCGCGTTGTAAATGATTGCGAACAGGAAGTTCAGTCGGATCCTACGGGTTGTCATTTTCGACAGTTTTATTGCTCCGACCACGTCGACAAGATCGTTTCTGACGAGAACAATTCCGGCCGACTCGATCGCCACGTCGCTTCCAGCCGCGATGGCAATTCCGACGTCGGCTTCGGCGAGTGCTGGGGAGTCGTTCACTCCGTCGCCAACCATCGCCACTTTGTTGCCGTACGCCTTTAACTGCTTGATCTTCTCCTGCTTCTGATTCGGAAGTACTTCTGCGAACACTTCGTCGATTCCCACATGTTTGGCTGTCGATTCGGCCGTTTTCGAGTTGTCCCCAGTAAGAAGAACGACCCGAAGACCCATTTCTTTGAGAGTGTAGATCGCCAGAGAGGCTTCTTTTTTCACTTGATCGGCGATCGAAACGACTGCTACCACTTCGGCTGAAAAGGAAATAATCAGTCGGATGTACCATAAACGAAGTACCATTAATTGCGCAAATGACCGAGATGTGTCCCTTCCGTTGCTCTTCAGAAAGTGTCATTTTGACGATGTCTGGCACTGCGATACCGTGTCTTTCCATCATTCGTTCGGTTCCAATCACAATATTTGCCGTGTCTGGATTCGGTTGTTTCACTGAAAATGGAGCGAATGATTGAGAGAGGAAAGGACGAGGGCGCACCTTCAGCACTGGTCACTTGCAGCAAGTTCACTTCCGTTCCGGGGATTGTCATATTCTTTCCGTCGGGCAAGCGGGGGACTTCTGGAGGGGAAGCGCCGAGGAGGGAGAGAGAAGCGAACGATTGTCGAATTGAGTCGATTCGGCAAGTGACTCCGTGGCCAGCCGATACGTGGAAACGAGAAGTGTTCGGCCATGTCGGCTCATTGAGCAACTCAAAAAGGATGGCAGGTTGCGAGAAGATACTCGAATGGGCTCACTTGTTTGGCGAAAGCGGCGACGGCATTTCCGATGGGATGCTCCGAAAGTGCTTCGGTGGCTCCAATGAGGAAAGTGATCAACCGGAGGGACATTGAGGACGGATTAACGAATGAAGCTACTTGCACCACGCGCGGCCGCCCTTCCGTTATCGTTCCCGTTTTGTCGAACACTATCGTCGTCACCTGTGAAATACTCATTCCCTCTGCTGTCCGTCCCTCATTTTGCCTACCTTGTGCACGCTTTCCAGCGGTTCTCCTCCCTTGATCAGGATCCCATTCGCTGCTCCGATGCCTGTTCCGACCATTACCGCAGTGGGCGTGGCCAATCCCAAACTGCAAGGACAGGCGATTGCGAGCACTGTGATGGCCGCTTCGAACGCGATTTTCAGAGCTTCTTCGAATCGGGGTCCCGGTGGCTAAAAACCAGACAGTCCTTTTTTCAAATGTGTGTCTGAGACTACCAGATTGGCATTTTTGGATGCGTTATATTCAATCAAAATCCACGCGACAAGAGTGAGAAGAGAGAGTCCGATGACACACGGAACGAAATATCCAGCGATCCGATCTGCGAGCTGCTGGATCGGAGCACGATTCGTTTGAGCCTCCTCGACCAATCGGACAATTTGAGCCAGTGTGGAGTCATTGCCAACATGCGTCGCTTTCAAAATCAAAACTCCTTTCTGATTTACCGATCCTCCGATTACTGTGCTCCCCGGCTTCTTTACAACGGGCATCGACTCTCCCGTTATGAAGCTCTCGTCGGCTGAGCTCTTTCCGTCGACTACAACGCCATCGACGGGAACTTTGGCTCCAGGGACCACTTTGATCAGGTCATCCCGTTGTACCAATTCGATGTTTATCCCTTTCTCAGAAGTAAGTCGGCCTTCTGCATCCATCGTGACAAGAGTTGCCTCTTTTGCTTGAAGTGACATCAGTTTGGAGAGCGCTTCCGAAGTCTTTCCCTGTAAAACATGGCTATTCAATCTTCAAAAGTACTTTCCGAACCTTCGCCTTGTGCTCTAGCATTCTTCCGAGTGCAATAAACACGATTAGCATGGGCGGAACGTCGAAAAACGTCATCGGAGAGGAAGGCCATCGGAAGATGATGGCGAGTAAAAGAACAACAATCGAATAGGTGTAGGCGATGGTTGTGGCGAGCACAATGAGGACGTCCATGTTCGCATTTCCGTGTTTTATGGCTTTCCACGAAGCGGCGTAAAAGTATCGACCTCCGAAGATTTGAACAGGCGTGCAGAGAATGAGAAGAAGGAAATTGTCGAGGGAAAGAGCTGGAGTGAAAATGGGAGTCTGTTTCTCCGGATGCATTGGCGTTCGCAGGATCCAGTGGAAGATGATCATGATGACCATGACAGGCACTCCGCACACGAGAGATATCAGGAAAGTGTTCCTCCACTTCTCGACGTCCTCCGAATGATCCAACCGTCTCAACTGATCGTCTCGGGTCGCCAGTTCGGCACTGAATCCGAGCGATTCAATCACATTGATGATGTCCCGAGGACCGATCGTTTGCGGTGAGAACTCGACAAGAGCCATCGACGTGGCAAGTGACACGTTGCACGAATCCACCCCGGTCTTCGAAAGAACGTGCGATTCAATTCGTGTCGCGTCGTTCTCCGAACCGAGATTACCTATCTGAAAAGTAGTTTTGAATGCTTACAGACATTCAGCTGAGCCTACTATTAATTGTATTTTATTATAATTCGAATTGGAGCTTATCGAGTCGAGAAGTGTCGTCTTGTAGCCCAGATCTTCAGTCATGTATTCCGCGAGGGCGTCGGATGAAGTCCGTCGATTATCATAGATCACTTCGGCTTTTGCGGCGATCAGAGCGACGACAATCGAGTGGACACCTGCAGAATGAGCATTCGTTTCGAGCAGAGACAGGATTCAGAATACCGTCAATTTTGGCAACGGCTCTTTCGATGTACTGCACGCAGGAGGCACAAGTCATACCTTCCACTATGAATGTGCACTTCTCGATATGCTCCGATGAATTCTGAAGATGATAAAGCTCATCAAATTGGGAAATTCAGAAAGAAAAGCCTTACCCCTTTCGAGTATCGTACTCCATTCAACTGCAGTTCGACTCCTTCTCGTTCACTCGCAGACACCTTTTTCTGTGGGCTTCTGGGCGTTTTTTGCGGTGCTTCGGATTCTGGAGTCATTTCTGAAGTACGACGATGAGAAAACGCATGACAATGAGAGATGCCTTGATCGGTGATCAATTTGCACTCAAATCCCATATCGTCGATCGTTTCTGCCACCGATTCGCCCGTCCACTTATCCGGAATATAGTCGATGGTTCCTGAACAGTCATTTATCATCAACGGCGGAAATTGATTGAAGAACGTGCCCTGCTTGAGTTCCAAACTGACTCGGATGCTCTGAATTCCCTCTTTCGCTCCGACGGCATCTTGGATATTATTAACACACGCATGACACGTCATTCCGTCGATCGAGACGACAGCCCGACGGTGGCGCCGTTGGATTTCAGCATTTTCAGCCATTCTGGGTTCAGTGGAAGTGGTGGAGCATGGAAATGAATCTGGAAATTCGATACTTAAAATTCGATACTAAGTCGACCGACACAAATAAACAAATAAGTGAAGGAATAGTCGATCTTAGACGAAAATTGTTTTGGTTTTCCTAATGAAATAAGCGTGAGAAGGAAAACTTTGTCGCTGAATTCTCGTTATCATCTATCAATTGTGCACACACTTTTTTCACTTTATCGACATCAGTGAGCGCACATTTCACTCTTATTTCAGTCGGTTTCACTTCTTTTTTCGTCGCGTTTCCTGGCGAATTTAGAGTAGAAAATAGAAATAAAGATGGCCGGAATACGATAAGAAAAGGAAAGGAAAGACGGTGTGCACATAGTTATCATTTTAAGAATGGACTGTTCTCCCCTATGGATTCCTGTTAACAGTTCTATTTTTCAATGTTTACCGTTGATAACTGTGCACTCGAAACCCATGTCATCCACCGCTTCGGCCACTTTCTCAGCCGTCCATTGCGTCGGATCGTACTTCACTTCTCCCTGTTCTTCCTTCAAATTCACCCGAATATTGTAGATTCCTGACTTTGCTCCGATCACATCTTGAATATTGTTGACGCACGAATGACACGTCATTCCTCTGAAATGAGCACCTCCGCGGTTTTCGTCACTTTAAAAACTCACTTGATTTGAAGAAGAACATCTTTTCCGTTCGATTGTGCTCCCGATGCAAAATAGTCAACGAGAAGAGCATCTCCGGGACGCGGAGCGGAAGGGCGCGGAACTGACGCGCAAAGGCGAGACGGGAGGGGAGAACCGTCGAGCAGACTCACATTCTCCGCCATTTATCAATCTTTTTTCGACGAATTTTAATTATTTCAATTATTAATGGAGCACGAATTCTGAAATTCGATTAGAGAAATTAGTGAACTGAATGCGTGGGGAGAAATAGAATTAAAGGTTATCAACAATGGAGAAGATGTAGAAGATTGATTTCGACCTTATCTTGCTTTTTTCGTATATTATATTATCTATTTCATAGAATTGAAAATTGAATAATTGAAAGTGCACAATTTGGTGGCCGGGAACTGAAAGACTGCGGATTTCTAGGCCACGCCCACTCTCATCATCTGACGTCATCTGTTTCCGTCTCAATTTTCTATTTTTGTTTATTAGCACAGTGGGCGTGATTTCACTGTCGGAACACAGAAAAGGCGCCTGAAAAAACAGGCGCAGGCGCCTAATATCGCATGTTTTGCATCCCTACATCGAAGCATTTTTTCGAAGACGTTCTTTATCGGATTCAATTACTTAAATTAGAATTGTTCAGTATAAAAAGTGTAATTTCAGTCACGTTTGACTAAATTTTCCGTAAGAACTTGCTGAAATATTCGTAAAACCGCCAAAATGTCCATCGAGAAAGTGCGATAAACAAAGAGAATCACTTGGTGTTATGATAAGAAAGAAGGACAAACAGACAGCCGAAAAGTGATTGGACGACGGAAAAGTTATCAATTTTCTTTTTTTCTCTGAAATGACGCAAAAAGGGAGTATCGATTGGAAGTAAAACTAACCTAGAAAATTAATAAATACAAGTACTAGCTTCAAGTTAACTGCTGTAAAGTAAAAAATCAGATGAAAAAGAAGAGAAATATTGAGAAGCGGAGAGAAGAAAACAAGAAACCTGTCTTTGTCTCGAGAAACCGTAGGTGTAATTGCGAGGTAAAGTATTACGTGGGGACTGAACACACACTTCTACTCTTGTCGGAAATCCAAAGCTTTTGTTAATTTCATATACTTTAAGAAAAACCAATCACAAATATCACTGAAAAAGAAATTCCGGGTGATGTGATGATAACAAAATCAAAGGGAGGACAACAAGGGAGAAACGACGACCGGACGAAGGACGGGGACGTATTCGAAAAGAACCGATGAAGAATAGAGGTTATTGAGTGGCAATGTGCCATAAGAGATGGAGAGAAGCAACAAGAGTAAGGGACAAAAGTTATCAAAATCAAAAAAGATGAAATTGAAATATCCTAAATAAGGGTTCAAAAAGAGAACAAAACGATTCGAAATATAAGTGTCACAAACATGGTCGAGTTCTAATATAGAATTGACTTCACATTCAGGAGCTCAAGCTTACAGAAAAATAAAGAAAAAGACAACAAACGAGTTATTCTTTCGTCAGATTCTAAAAAAAGAAGAACGAGGAAAGAGAATTTTCGAGAAGACTGAAAAAATAGAGGAATGAGAGGGTTAATGATATCTTAACGTTCCTTGACGACTCCCTTCTCGCGATTGCTGACATCCTTGTCGATCTGCTTCCGAAGGTGTTGTTTGAAAGAGAAGATGTCTCCCTCCCACTTCTGAATGCCCTGATTGTCGCACACCCACACTTGTTCAGCCACCTTAAAAAACGTTTTTTTTTTCTTTCAGTATTCCCGTTTTCCTAAATTCTGCTCACCTGAGAAACAAGTCGAAAATCGTGAGACACTAGGATCATTCCTCCTGGGAAACAGTTGATTGCCTCCGCAAGAGCATCGATCGATTCCATATCCAAGTGATTGGTCGGCTCGTCAAGAAGCAGAAGATGTGGTTGTTGCCAAGCCAACCAGGCGAACGAGACACGACAACGTTGTCCGTCCGAAAGCTGCTTCATCGGGCACACTTGCTCTCTTCCGGTGATTCCGTATCTTCCGACGATCTTTCGCATTTCTTCCTTCTCTTTCACATCTGGGAACTCTTTCATCATGAATTCGAGAGCAGACAGATCGAGTGGCAGCTCTTCATGCAAGTGCTGAAATATAAGATAACTTTTTTTTTCGTTTATAATCAATCAACGTGTTTTAACTGTTTACGTGGGCCAGTGGGACTACTAAATTATTTCGATATTCTTCCCAACTTGGGAATCCCAGGAAGGTGATCACGAAATGGGGTAAGAGACGATGATATCAGAGCTTTCACGCTCTTCGATTTTTCAGCGATTCAAAAGAAACCGATAAAAATCTCAGCGGACAGTCCAATCTTCCGGTGGCCGATCTTGAGCCAATGAAGGAGAAAAAGCTTGAGGAAGGAAGCAAAGAGGAGGTGAAGAAAGAGGAAGAGAAGAAGGATTTCGGGAGAAAAGAGGATGAGAAAAAGCTGGAGGGTATGAAGAAGGGCGAAGAGAGCAAGTCGGAAGAATCTAAGAAAAAGGAAAAGTCGTCATCTTCAAAGAAAAAGACGAAGACGGCGAAAAGCAAGAGCAAGAGCACCAAATCGGCTCGCCAGCGTCTTTCGATTCGTCGTACTTTACGTGAGGATCCTGCTAAAGACATGAAGGTAGCGAACGAGGTGGTTTCTTGATTGATTTAAAATGTTATTGTAGGCTACTCTCTTGACGTTCCAAGCGGTTCGTAATAAGCTCGATCAGGCTCGTGTTCAACTGCTTCTGTGCAATATTTCTGACCGTGACATTTTTGTCAAATTGCGTTGCAATTCGAATTCGAACGTGACAGCGCTCCCAGCTAGCTCCGGGCACATTGCACCAAAATCCCAGATGCGCATTCTGCTGAACTGGAAGATGCCGGATGGAGTAGGTCAATGGAGCGAACTGCCGATGCCTAAGATCCTGTTGACCACCTATTTTATGGGAGAGAAGACGAACGACGAGGCTCCCACAAACACCCGTCTTATGGCTCGCGTGAGCACGTCGAAGCAATGCGATCCAGATAACTCGCCTATCGAGCAGCTCCTTTTAGATGCGGTTGGAAAGGATACTGCTGTCACTGGGTTAGTTATCGAAAAAATAATAGTGAGGGTATGCGCAATTCAGAGCCACACCATCCACTCCGAACACAGCCGTCCCGCCTACCTTGACCCCGATAGAGCCAACCCCCGAGAAGAAAGTCCCGAAAAAAGAAGAGAAAGATGAGGATGATGAAGTGGACAACTTGAGATGGATTATTATTGCACTTGTCATGGTCATCGTTTTGCTTTTGCTTCAGAAATAATCATTTCAATAAACACTCACCTGATGGTATCGCCCAATTTTACAATGCGAATGTCTTCTGATCAATCCGTCGGTTGGCATCACGTCCGTACACAAAAGCTTGAGCAGAGTAGACTTTCCAGCTCCATTCGGCCCGACAAGAGCGATTCGGGTATCAAGATCAATTCCAAAGTCGATATCCTTGTAGATCCATGGAGTGTTCTCATTGTAACGGAAAGACACGTGCTGCACCATGATGACTGGCGGTGGGATCTCTCCGGCATCGAAGAAGTAGAACTGCTTGACAGTGTCGGTGGTTGCCTTCTCAGTCAATCCTCCGGCAATCATCTTGGCCATTGTCTTCTCTTTGGATTGAGCTTGTCGAGCTAATTTGGCGGAACCGTGTCCGAATCGGGCCACGTAATCCTTCATATGCTGGAGTTGCGACTGTTCCCAGTTGTACCGTTTCTGTTGGTTTTCAAGCAACTCCTCTCGTGTCTTCACGAATTGATCGTAGTTTCCTCCATAGTAGACGAGTTTCTTCTGGAACAGATGGATGATGTTAGTGCAGACTCCATTCATGAAATCCTGTGAGTGCGACACAATTAAAAGAGTTCTCTTGTATTGACTGAGCTCCTCCTCAAGCCACACACAAGCTTCCAGATCCAAATGATTTGTTGGCTCGTCGAGCAACAACACAGATGGCTTCAGGTAAAGAGCACGAGCCAAAGCGATACGCATTCTCCATCCTCCGGAAAAGTCTTTGCACTTTTTCATTTGCATAGTTTTTGTAAATCCAAGTCCGTGCAAAATCTCAGCAGCCTTCTTCTCAGCGAGCTCAGCGTCCATGTCGTCGAGTCTCTCGTACACGTCCATCAGTTTCTCCTGGCTTTCCTCATCCGGCATTGAAGCGAGATGCTCTGCCAAGTGCTCCAGCTCTTTGCGGACAGAGTCAACGTCGACGACAGCTTGCAGCGCAGTCATCTCGGAAGCCGGCATTTCGCGAGACACGAGATACATATCTACGCTTTCGGGAATAGGCATTTCTTTATTGAAAATCGCTTGAATGATAGTAGACTTTCCTGATCCGTTCAAACCGATCAATCCGTAGCGCCGTCCTCTGTTCAACTCCAATTTAGTGTCAACGACGATTTCACGACCATGGAAAGTGATCTGAATATAAACATACCAGAAAAGTTAAAATGTAACGTCTCTTACCGTCAAGCTTTCAACTCGATGATCAAGACCTTTCGGATCAGAAGTTAGTGCCCCTGCGACTGATCTTGCGGCAGCGTTCTCAAGCTCAATTTTGGCAAGAGTGGCTGCGGCTTGATCAATTTCTAAAACATTTTTGTAGACGAGAACTCTATTTTTAAAGTACCTTCGTCAAGTGCAGGAAGACTCGCGGAAGATCCGTTCGTAGGCAATTCGACCTTCGTGACCTTAAACCGTCATTATCAGCAAAATTAAAGTTTATGAGAACTTACATTCTTCTTGCCTCCCTTTGATTTGGCGGCGGCCTTCTTAGCGGCCTCACGCGCTTTCTTCGCATCCGACGGCATTTCGCTGTTGTAATGCGGATGGGGTACCCTAAAATTTTATATTTATTCACATTATCTCTCAACAATAATACGAGAAAGGAAATTACGAGAAGGTAAGAAGAGAGATTAATAAAACTAGAAAGAAACAGAAAAGCTGGCAAAGTCTGACGACTAGAAGACTGCTTATTTCAGAGAAGCGAAGGCCTTTGGCATGGCACAGTGGTCGAGATGGTGGACGTAGTCGGTCATCTCCTGGTGGCAGGTCTCCTCGGTGTTGGAGCGCGAGTTGACGCGGTCATTGCACTCCTCGAGAATGGACTTAAAGTCAGCGACGTGGTCGGCGCAGCGCTCGCGGAACTGAGTCAATTGATCAACTCCTTCCTCCAGTGGCTCTTGTTTGTGGCTCGACATGACGACGAAGAACTCAGTGGCGTTACCTGAAAATAAAACAGCTTCGTGCAAAACATTATTCTAAAGTTATTCGAGACAGAGCATAACATAAAAAATTGCGTTTCTAGGACAAACAATAATATCGATTGCCACCGAAAAATCCGGAATAACTGGTTTCTGGCCTGGGAAACAATGATAGAGTGCTCAATTGTGTTTATCATTCACAAAAAAAGCAGGCCGCACAAAATATTTTAGTTTTGTCGGTTACTTTGAGAAGAAAATAGGCCGAAATTATTTCGTAAATTTGAGATTAGGAACTAACGTCGTCATTTTTTTCTAGAATTTATCAGATTTTTGTCGTGACGGCAAAACAAAATTAACCTAAATATTAAATAAATTAACTTATCGAAAAGTCTAGTTTAAAAAACGAAAGATTTGCGCGAAAACGGCTTGAAGAATAGAGAGAAATCCCAAAACTAGGCGGTCGGCCAAAACCCCAGTTTGAATCGCCGCGCCGGGCTGACCGTAGTTTTGAGCGTGTCGAGACCCGCAAAGTGCCCTACGGGCTGTGCGCGTACTGCCATTTCGACGGGCGGCCGTCTACTTTCCTATTGCTTCTGGCAAGCACCGACCACCGAGGTCCTTCATCCGTTCATCATGTCCAAGGATAAGTCTTTCGACACCAGAAAGTTCCTGATCGATCTCGCCTCCGGAGGTAAGCTTAAAATATTTTATCGCTCGTCGAAAAATCCTTGAAATGAATTTTTCGGGATTTGCTCCTTTTCCAGGATCTTAAAATTTTTTCGGCCTTTAGGTACCGCTGCTGCCGTCTCCAAGACCGCTGTCGCCCCGATCGAGCGTGTCAAGCTTCTCCTCCAGGTCCAGGATGCTTCCACGGCCATCACCGCTGACAAACGTTACAAGGGAATCATTGACGTTCTCGTCCGTGTCCCGAAGGAGCAGGGAGTTGCTGCCCTCTGGAGAGGAAACCTCGCCAACGTTATCCGATACTTCCCAACCCAGGCTTTGAACTTCGCCTTCAAGGATACCTACAAGAAGATCTTCTTGGAGGGACTTGACAAGAAGAAGGACTTCTGGAAGTGAGTTAGATGGAAAATATTCGTTCCTTAATTCAATTTTTAGGTTCTTCGCCGGAAACTTGGCCTCTGGAGGAGCTGCCGGAGCCACCTCCCTCTGCTTCGTGTACCCGCTTGACTTTGCCCGTACCCGTCTTGCCGCTGATGTCGGAAAGGCTGCTGACCGCGAGTTCAAGGGTCTTGCTGACTGCCTCGTCAAAATCGTCAAGTCTGACGGACCAATCGGACTCTACAGAGGATTCTTTGTCTCCGTGCAGGGAATCATCATCTACCGTGCCGCTTACTTCGGAATGTTCGATACCGCCAAGCTCGTCTTCGCCGCTGACGGACAGAAGCTCAACTTCTTCGCCGCTTGGGGAATTGCCCAGGTTGTCACCGTCGGATCTGGAATCCTTTCCTACCCATGGGACACCGTCCGTCGTCGTATGATGATGCAGTCTGGACGCAAGGATATCCTCTACAAAAACACCCTCGATTGCGCCAAAAAGATCATCCAGAACGAAGGAGTCTCCGCGATGTTCAAGGTAATTTGCATTGATACTGGGATTCATCAAACATCGTATTCTTACAGGGAGCCCTCTCCAACGTCTTCCGTGGAACCGGAGGAGCCCTCGTCTTGGCCATCTACGACGAAATCCAGAAGTTCATCTAAGCCTAATGACGATTTAATACTTTTTACCTTGTCATTGTCCAACAAAATCTCGTTATGTAGCTTGTTTTATCAAAGTAGTTTAGTTTGCTACTTTGTTAAGTTTTTCAATAAAGCGAGCCACATAAAAAGTTTTAAACCTTTTTCAATTTCCGACCCCTTTGACTTTTCACACCAAAATCGTTTGAACATTCGTTAGGCTAGAACTTCTAGATTCGGTTTGACCATCTCGGTTATTGCACATGTGTTCACCGTTGATCTTAAAGTGTACTCGAGCAACAATAAAGCTGTTGTTGTGGCTACTTTACACTCAAGTCTATCCGTAGCTTTATTAGTCTCGGAGGCGGAAAATAGTCAGCAAGCAATGAGATTCATCTGAAGACACGCAAAATAAGCAACGATCGAAAAGTGGAGCTAAACATCGGAAGTTTCTGCAAAGTAGGCATGGCGCAACGCAGTGTCAGCGTCGATCCGTCCTGTGGGATTGCAAACGAGCAGCTTCTGCAAATATAATAGTTTGTCTAAATAGTTGTGACAGACGGAGTACTTACCTGCAGGAGATCACGTCCACGAGAATTCAAGTTCGGCACGATTTGACTCCATGTCAGAGTCGGGTGATAGATCGGATACGGCTGAAAAACGGATGAGATTATTTGAAGTGTCGTCTGTGATTCCGGAAATTCTCGTAATACTCGTGCAATGTCAAGGGGAACAGTTGGCATAAAATTGAGATTCAAAGAATGTTCGCAGCGCTCTGTTCTCTCCGATCGCCCATTATCTCTAGGATCTTTGCTTCTCTGCACTCTTTGTTCTCTTCCGTTTTCTTATCAGTAGTCGCGACCGCCCGCGTATGTAATCGAGAAATGGACGGCGCCACGGGGAGATGATAAGGATTGCGTCAGAAGAACAAACAGCTGGGCTCAAAGTACTCATCCTTTTTGTTCTGTTTCTCTTCTCTTTTCGTTCGTCACTTGACACGGGCGGAAAGTAGGCAGCAGCCCTCGCAGCAAAGGAAAGAGATAAGAAGAAAGACGGAATTAGAAAGTGACGAAGGGGAATGTAAAGTACAATGATGTCGAGGATGCAGAGATCGGAGGAGAGCGTGAACTATCAGATGGTGTTACCGGGAGACCGTACTTTGTAGTCTGGCAACTGTGTGATCGAAGGCCAGCTCTCTTCTGACGGACTTCCCAATTGTTTGAAAATTCGCTTGAGCTGATCATCCACGTCAGCTCCAGGGAAGAGTGGGCGTCCCGCATTTGAAATCTCTGAAAAAGAACTGATTAATTGCATTGTGGGGCGGTTTGCAACGGGAACCTGCGAAGATGCACCCAGCCGACCACATGTCGATCGATGTGTTGTAGAGTTTTGCTCCGAAGAGCACATCGGGCGGTCTGTACCAGAGAGTGACCACTTCGGCACTGAAACACCTGACAGGGACTCCGAATGCTCGAGCGAGTCCGAAATCGGCCAATTTGAGGGTTCCGTTCGTGTTAATCAGAAGGTTTTGAGGCTTGAGATCACGATGGAGTACGTGATGTGTGTGGCAGAAGGAGAGCCCTCGGAGCAGTTGGAGCATAAGCGAACGGGCGGTCTGAAATGCAATCTTGGTGAATTCCGTTTGTTCAGTGACTATTTTGAGTATTTCGAACATGCTCTGTTGCTCGAATCCCTTTCTTCTTCCTGAATTTATAACACCGAGACGAACCTGAGCATCCATGTATCCATTCAATGAATCGAAAAACTTTTTCAAGTCCTGATCGCAGAACTCGAAAACTAATGTCAGCTTGTTCTCCGAATGAACAACGTCGTACAATCGTACGACATTTCGATGTTTCAGCTCCCTAAGAATGCAAATTTCTCGGAGTGCTGAGCTCGGTACACCCTGAAAGTATTTAAATCAATGTAATAGTGGGGGGAGTGAGCAGGTGGTTTTGCAATAATTACCTCGTCGTCGTCATCTAACCGTACTCTCTTCAGTGCCACAATCTCCCCCGTATTCTTGTTTCTCGCTTTGAACACCGTACCGTAAGTCCCTGAAATCGTCGTTAAATTCAGTTTTTTTTTCGATTTTAACTCACCCTCTCCAATTTTTTCCATCTTGTCGTAGTTAAGCATTGTTCAGAATGAGGATTTGATTTAATAAAACTAAGACTGAAATATATCGAATTTGTTTTGCAAAAGTCGATATGCGCAAGCACCGGCGCCCCCTGCTGACCCAGACTACGCGGCTCGTCTGCGTCTCCCCGCTTCTCGTGCGCTCTCTCTTCTGACGCATTATCTGTTCCCTTTCGTTCGAAACAAACCTATTGAATAGCGGCTGAATTCAGACTATACTGGCTTCTGGCGATCGACTGAAAGCCAATAAAATGGATCGGAAAATGGGTGTAATGTCGCTCTGTACGGACGATGATAACGACTTCAAAAAACTCGATATTCTTCATGAAACTTACAAAAATGTAAGCATTGCTTAGCTAAAATCAACAACAATCTGTACAAATTGTGTGCTTTCAGTCGTATGCGATATTCAACGAACTCCGTCAGAAGTGTCAGCTCTGCGACGTGGCTTTAGTTGTTGAAAACAAAAAACTGTCAGCTCACAAAGTCGTCCTGGCAGCCACGATTCCGTACTTTCGAGGAATGTTCACATTGGACTTGATGGAAGCGAATATGAAAGAAATAAGTATTGAAGGTCAGCTCATCTTCCATCTGGAGCCATTGAACCTCTGAAGTTTCAGACATGAACTATGACACGGTTGAGCAGCTTCTCTCATTCGCGTACACTGGAGAACTGCGGATATCCACAAGTCAGTAGGCCTGAGAGGATCCCCACTAAACCGAACAATTCCAGGCAACGTACAGTCCATCATGATGAGTGCCAACTTCTTCCAAATGCTCGAGGTCGTCCAGCACTGCGGCACCTTCCTTCTCACTCGTCTCCATTCCTCCAACGCCCTCTCAATTCGCGAATTCTGTAAAATGATGTGTGTAGAAGAAGGCATAGTCGAGGAAGCGAACGATTTCGTTCAAGTAACCTATCGCCGGTCATCGTAGTATTATTTTACAAATACTCATTTCAGAAGCATTTCACAGCAGTCGCCAAAGAAGATGATTTCAAGAGGTTACCAGTGGAAGATCTGATAGAGCTACTGCAAAACGACAACTTGTATGTGGATTCTGAAGAACAGATTTACGAGTTTGCGATGGATTGGCTGAGAGCAGAAGAAGGACGGCATGAGTTGGCTTCCAGGTGAGAATCGACGAGAAGAAGATGTCCGTTCTAACAGAAATCCTCAGAGTTCTTCCGTGCGTCCGATTGCCTCTGCTCAGTCCTACTTACCTTTCCTCTATTGTCGCCTCCAACCCGATCATCAAGAAAGACATTCCGTGCAGAGATCTAGTCAGCTGGGCTCTCTTTTCAATGGACAATTCCTATTTGCAGATTGACGAAGCAAAAGACTATCATCTGCTTCCGGAACGCCGATCTCTCTTCAAATCCTTCAAGTGCTCTCCCCGCGTGTGCCAATGCGTTCCCTGTCTCATTGTGGCCATCGGAGGACTCATGCACGTGACCCAGTCCAAGTCGTCGGTTGAAATATATCACCCGTTCCATAAGACGTGGACTCCCATTGACGGAATGGTCACTTTGAGGACACGAGTCGGAGTGGCCGTGAACCAGCGACATGTTGTTACAAGTGACTGCAACCATTCAATCGAATGCTTTCAGGTCTACGCAATTGGAGGATTCAACGGTCAAGATCGGTTGGATTTGGTCGAGCGGTTTGATTACGACACAATGAAGTGGACCACAGTAAACAAGGCTTCCAGAATCCCCTAGTATCTCTCCGTTTTCAGCTGCCTTCTCTCTCTCGCAAACGATCTGCTCTGGCAGCCGCTTTTGTGGAAAATAAGTTGTACGTTTGTGGTGGATACGACGGTCTCGTCAGTCTTTCGTCCATCGAAGTATACGACATCCAACGGAACGTCTGGGAGGCGGGACCGGCGATGGAGAGCCAGAGAAGCGCCGCCGGAGTCACCGTCATCGGAAAACATATTTATGGTGAGAAGCCCCTCGGCAACCTGAAAATTTATTGACTTCTTTCAGTTTGCGGAGGGCATGATGGCATGCAAATATTTCAATCGGCTGAAAGACTGGACACGGAATCGGGTATCTGGGAGAGAGTTCCTCAGATGATTCAGAAGAGGTGCCGATTCGGAGCGGCCGCCTACAAAGGCAAGATTTATGTGGCCGGTGGATACGATGGATCGGCATTCCTGAAATCGGTAGAAGTCTATGATCCAATCACGAAAGAGTGGTCACCCGTGTCTTCAATGAATATGCGAAGAAGCAGAGTCTCTCTTGTCGCCACAGTTGACGGACTGTTCGCTGTTGCCGGGTTCGAAGTGCCCATAATGCCATTCTTATAAATCCGACTGTTTCAGATTCGACGGAGAGAACAATCTGTGCAGCATGGAGCAATACGATGACGTGACCGACTCGTGGAGCATCGCCACTCCTCTCAACTGCCACGAAGGCGGCGTCGGTGTGGGTGTGATCCCGATGCCTCCGCACATGTTCTAAAAATTATGTGAATTCTCTTGTGTATAGCCCCCCGTTCCTTCATATAATATCACACTCGTATCTTCATAAAATATAATCTAGAACTAAAAAAACTGAAACAATTTCACATTTCAGATTGGCTTCGTTTCAAACTTCGCATATCCTTTGGAGGGAGGTTGTCTGGTGTGCATTGTGGGCGTACAAATCGTACATTCGGAATCCACATTTTCTTAAGAAACCAAGGCTTCCCTTTCTTTTCTTCTCTCAAAAATCAATCTTCCTCTCAATCCAGGACATCGTTTTTCTCTGCGATATCATAAAAAGTGACCAGTTGCTTGCTTCCCGCAATGCGTAATTAATCACCGGGTCATCGAACAGCTGCCATTCCCCTTCGCCCATCCGCTTATTTTCTCCTTTCCTTCAGTCATTCTTCCCCATCATGAACCTTCTCGTATTCTTGGCAATATCAATTGCCACGTCACACGCACTCACTCTTCTCAGAGATCCAATCACGAGAAAAGGCGCAGAGAGAGGGCTGAGATATTTGGGGAAGTACAAGTACGAGGAAGGATACATCAAGGCGCCCATCGACCATTTCTCTTTCACCAATGACTATGAATTCGATTTGAGGTTTGCATTTATTCATTCAGTTTCTACATGGCACTCGAGTTTTCCAGATACTTTCTGAACACGGATCACTTCGAGAAGGGCGGTCCCATTCTGTTCTACACTGGGAATGAAGGAAGTCTCGAAGCGTTCGCGGAGAACACCGGGTTCATGTGGGACCTGGCGCCCGAACTGAAGGCTGCCGTCGTCTTCGTTGAGCATCGCTTCTACGGAAAATCTCAGCCATTCAAGTGAAACGAAATGATTGATTCTCTAACAATACACGTTTGTTCAGAAACGAGAGTTACACTGATATCAGACGTCTCGGCTATCTTTCTTCTCAACAGGCTCTTGCGGACTTTGCCCTTTCTGTTCAGTTCTTCAAGAACGAAGTTTACATGCCTAAAAGATAACGTATTAAACAAAAGATCTTTAGAAGATCAAAGGGGCCAACAACGCGGCGGTCATCGCATTCGGAGGATCCTACGGAGGAATGCTCTCCGCTTGGTTCCGCATCAAGTATCCGCATCTGGTCGATGGGTCCGATGCGGCTTCATCTCTTCATTTCCCAACTCTTTTCTTTTCAGAGCAATCGCCGCATCTGCCCCAGTCTTCTGGTTCCCAGATTCGAACATTCCAGAAGATGTCTATGACTTTGTACGAGTCTCCTTCTTCTTGAACTCCCAGTATGAAACGGACTGTTTCAGATCGTAACCCGTGCTTTTCTCGACGCTGGATGCAACAGAAAAGCGATAGAAAAGGGATGGATCGCACTGGACGAACTAGCGAAGACTGACAGCGGAAGACAGTTCCTGAACGTTCTCTACAAACTCGATCCCAAGTCGAAACTAGAGAACAAAGATGATATCGGATTCCTGAAAGTGAGGGAAACAGACTATTTCATTATTCAGCTCTCTTTCTCTCTCTCTCTTTCAGCAGTACATCAGAGAGTCAATGGAAGCGATGGCGATGGTCAACTATCCTTACCCGACATCCTTCCTGAGCAGTCTTCCTGCGTGGCCCGTCAAGGTAACCCCTCCTTTTTCAACTCTGCTTCAACTGTCTTCTTAGGAAGCTTGTATATTCGCCAATCAACCAGGCCAATCCCAAGAGCAGTCGGCGGAGCAGTTGTACAATATCGTCAATCTGTACTACAACTACACTGGCGACAAGTCGACGCATTGTGCGAACGCAGCCAAGTGCGACAGTGCGTACGGATCCCTCGGCGACCCGCTGGGATGGCCGTTCCAGACGTGCACCGAGATGGTGATGCCGTTGTGCGGAAGTGGATATCCGAACGATTTCTTCTGGAAAGACTGTCCTTTCACCACACAGAAGTATGCGGAATTCTGTGCGCAGACGTCAGTTCCCCCTGAGCATCCTCTCCAATTCATTGTGAGCTCGTTCAGATTCTCCGCCATTTCGTACAACAAGACACTGCTTCGCCCACTCGCCGGCGGTCGTGCTTTCGGAGCTAATTCGCTTCCTTCCGCGTCGAATATCGTCTTCTCGAACGGATACTTGGACCCATGGAGTGGAGGAGGATACGCGCATTCTGACAAGACGGAGGGCTCGGTGATCAGTGTAATTTTGAAGCAAGGAGCACATCATTACGATCTGAGAGGCGCTCATCCACAAGATACGGAAGAGGTGGGAAAGCGGAATTTGCAAAGAGAGAGAGAGAGAAGGGAATGATTTTAGGTAAAAAGAGTGCGGGCGATGGAGACTGTGGCCATCAAGAAATGGATAAAGGAGAAGGCGAAGAAGCAGTTGAGAGAGATGATGTTCCGATGAAATGATAATGAATAGTTTGACTGGAACACATTTATTTCTTGGTCACTTTTTACAGAAAATGCACACAATTCACAATTTAATTGAGCATGTCAAAAAGGGGGTTCGGTACAAAATAAGTTTTTTGTGGTCAGAAAAGTCGGGAAAGTCGTCAGAATCACAACACGTTTGAAGCTCGTGGACAGGTGAGAATGGCGGATGAAAAGGAGAAACTGAGAAGCTTACAAAGGGATTTTAAAGCTATGGATGGGAACTGGGGGAGGGGTCTATTGGAATTTTGTGGGAGGTCGGAGGTGCGGATGTGCCTGGTCCTCGGATTCCGATCGGACAACTCCGATGAAGAATGGGCGGGTGCGGGGAGGTCGGCTGAGATTATCTCTTTTTAATGAAAACGTCGAAACCTTACTAACCTATCTTCTTTTTCTTCCTCTTCCTCTTCTTCCTTCTCTCCTTCCTTCTCCTTCTTTTTCGTTTCTTCGTTCTCTTCGTCGCCCACTTCATTAAACCGTTCGACGAGTGTTATTGCCGGTTCGAAGACGGACGTCTTCTTCCGGAGCGTCAGCTGATTCTCATCCGACTCATCGTCTTCCAGCACGTCATCCAACACGTGGTGCTGGAATGGATGCTCGCTTCCCCGTTTGCCAGTGGATAACTGAGGTTGCGAAGAGGAAGAATCGAGTCGTTTGCCCGAAAAGTCTTCTCCGGAAGTGACGAACGCCGAGTTGGTGAACGAGTTGTTGTTGGCCGGGGAGCCGTCCGTGCTCTTCGAAGTCGTTCCGTCGAAGCCCATGTTCTCGAGCATCCCGTGAGAGAACGTCTTCCGTCCGAGGTCGTCGTGCAAATGGGGCTTCGAGAACGATCTCTCGATTTTGTTCTTGAAACTTCGGAACATCTCAATATTTCCCAGAGAAGTTCGAGTTCGGTGTCCGTGATGTTGTTGTTGATCAGACGGTCTGCAAATTACTCCTTTCCCATTTGAGAAGAGCGATTAGGCCGAACTGACTTGACCGGAACGACGGAAACTCTCCTTCTTCTCATGTCGTCTCCTGGCACCAATGGGAAAGTATCATCGCAATGAGGCACCATCTTGATCTCGTGTACGTACTCAGGAAGTCTGCAACTAATCGTTTTGTCTGGAAAGTGTTACGATTAACTCACTTCACATCAGAGACGGATCCCTTCAATGGATTGTTCGGGATCTTCGCTGTTTCCTCCGAATACAGCGGCTCGACCTCTTCGTCCCAGAAGTCGTCCCTCTTCAGATCGGGCGCCCTGTCGTACCCTTGGTCCACCATCATCAGAACCATCGTGATATTTCGGTCAATTAATGCATTGCACTCGAAGTCGTCGTCGTCTTCGCCGAACGGATTCAGCATCGCTTCGGCCACTTTCATCCATCCCATGTAGAAAATGAACTGGAGTGTTGACATGATTGGGAAGTACAGATCGATCTGAAAGGTTCGTTCGTGCCATCATGATCCTCCCGTCCCGCAATACCTCTGTCTTATTGTCGGCGTGCTCGGATACCACGTACTGTCTTGCGAGAAGACACACGAGGAAGTAGGTGTGGACTGCCAAACAGACGAGTTGCGGGTACATGATCGGGATGGGCACCCAGTCGTAGTTGCAGATCCAGGCGAGACCCGTTCGAAACTTCTTGATCTCGTCCTGCACGACCACTTGGTAATAGTCGCTCTCGATCAACCCCTTCTTTCTTGCATCGTAAGTGAGACTGAACGCCCATTGGAAAGGCACCCAGTACTTCGAGTACTTGTACTGGATCTCGTCGTACCGTTCCTTCTCGTGCGGCATCATGAAGCCGGCAGCCACGACCGTGTCCAAAGTGGGAAAGCGACGGCGAGTCCGCATGCTGATGTCGCGGAACACGAGCACTTGGGCCAGTTCGCAGTAGCGCACGATGTTCCTCCGGTACATTCTTGCTTGTTCGGTCCGCCCACGCACGTACTCGGCTGCCATCAGACCGATGCTAAACAGAAGAGATTAGCGTATTTAGTTGCAAAAGATTGGGCTCACTTGTCAATGAATCCAATGATCTGGTACAAGTAGGTCCACCGGTTGACGACTGCCGTCACGAAGAAACCGAGCATAAAGTTGAGGGGAATGTAGGAGAGTCGGCTGTCACAGTACTGCACAATTCGCTCGAATGTTCTGAAATGAACTGTCTCTGTTTGCTGTTACTTTTGCTGCGAAACCTCTGTTGTCCTGGATTGAGAGCCGTTCTGTAGATGACGCTGAGAATTCCGTAGAGGACGAGCCAGACGGCGAGCTCCAGAATGACGGCCTTCCAGATGCTGCCCCTCCATTTGAGAAGCAACTTGAACAGGGTCCACGGCTTCGAAGTGGAAACTGCCAAGTTGTAATTTATCGTCATTACTGGAAAAAAGAAATGGAAAGACAAATAGAACGACGAACAAAACATCAGAATACACTCAAAATAGCATCTGATGTTGATGTCATTGGAGAGAGAGAGGACGGAAGATTGAAGAGATCGAGAAGAAGGAGAAGAAGAAGAAGAAGAAGAAGAAGAAGAAGAAGAAGAAGAAGAAGAAGAAGAAGAAGATGATGATAGTGATGGAAGGGACAATGCTGCGGGCACGAAATGACAAGAGTTTGTAATAGACGAACTGGTCGTGAGTCATTGATGATCAAAGGAACACAAATGAAAAGCGAGCATACACGGTTGGAAGAAGTCGTGAAAACCGAGAAGGACGGGATGCGTCTTCTGATATCTCTCCTCGAAAACAGTTCAGAAATGCCAGTCGCAAACGCCAAATGTTTTCATTGGTTGGCGGAAACTGAAAAGTCGACAACAGTCTATCACGAATCTTTGAGTGCGCTGCCCCTTCTCCTACAGTACTAACCCATCTTCTGATACTTTCGGCCATCTCTCAGTCTCGCTTACACACTCGGAAAAACGAAGAGAAGAATGTGACTGTCCGTATTGCAGAGAACACTTTGCTTCACACTGAATGATGGATGAAGTGAGAGAGAAAGTGGGCGGAGCCAAGAGAATCCATAGTCGGAAACACAGTTCACAGCGGTCATTTCATTTCGCTATTTGCCCGTCGCCGACTTTTGATGGTTTGGTTCGAAAAATCAAGAGAATGGGAGTACAGAATGGAGACATAACTTGTGATATCGGCCAATGATTCGAAGATAAAAAAGATTGATGATGAATGCAGATGAATGAACTCTTCCAGGCGTATTCAAAGATCAGCAATAAGCGGGCCCATCAGTCGAATCGAATGAAAGTGTTGTGACAAAGAACGCAAGTTCGCTTATAAATAACCCGCCTGAAATCTACAGTAATCCAATTTGCCCTCCCAATCCAATTATCCAATCGGTCTTTTATCATTTCTTTCAGCCTTCCGAATGTTTTTATTTTCAAGAGTACCGTTCTCAAATTGTGTGGCGCACGAAATGTTACAAAAGGAAATGGGTTTCCCGGTGGAAAATGCGGGATGTGCTGTTGTAGTTTGAAATTTCGATCTCGATTACTTTGTCGTGAAACACATACTTTTAAGGAAACAAGTGCACGATTTCTGTTTGCCGCCGTGCAAACAGCGGTCTCTAATTGGACGCCAAACAAAAATGGCAGACCAATGCAGAGAACGTCACGTGGCAGAAAAGGAGAGGGCGATCAAAAACAGAAGAGCTCTTTCGAGAAGGCGTTGGACCGATTGGATTGTTTGTGCTGATGTGGCGACGGAGCATGTGACTCTGACTGAATATGACACGTTTTGGGTAAAAACAGAAACCAGTTTGATGGTATTCAAAGATCATCAGAATCATTCTGCAATCTCTAATGATATCGGAAGACGGCGAAGAACAACCAATTGTCGGCACGATCGGGCACAGAAGACGGAGAAGAATACGAAAAAAAAAGGGGCAAACATGTTTGATTTTCTCACATAAACAGTCTCGGAATATGAAAGTTTGTGGAGCGAAAGTAGCCAAAAATCGAAAATCGAACTCGACAGAGAAGAGAAGAGACGGGCGGATGATTTGCATAAATCGGGAAAGATCTGGAAACATTCGCTCGAAACGAATTTGCATTTACCGACGCTGAAAGTTTTTAAGAAACGCAGGGAATGCACCGAACGGGGGATGGAGGTGTTGTGTTCTTGGGCCTACCTTGTAGGATTATAGGTAGCTAAAGAGCCGGTGAAGAGAGTTCCAAGGTAGGCGGGAACACAGCGGTTCGACAAAGTTCTATACACAGGTTTATTCGGGTGAGTAGCCCAAAGCAGAGATTACAGTATAGAATGAATGAGGGTTCGTCCTCTGGAGGACGGTGAGCCGGAATGATGCACGGAGTCGTGGCAGGGTACACTGGCGCAAGTGCGCTATAATTAATTTTTCAAAAATTTTGCTTTGGCCTAACGCTTGAAGATAGGGGCGCTACGCAATCGACCGTCGGCGGGAGTTCAAATTTTAGTTTTCGATGTACCCGTCACGATTCCGTGTGATGACAATGAAATATAAAACTAGCGGGTAGATCAAAAAGAGATCATAAGAAATTATCATACGTCTGAACGACGCAACAGGAGGAGTGTCCAATTGATCCAGATATCAAGTGTCCATACGGATGAGTTCGGATAATTGTTTCGGAACACGGATTAATTGTGATTCAGATTGGCACTTACGAAATGATACGGAGGAAAAAGGCGATCATTGATGAAGATGTTCTGGGACTCGCAGGAACAGTTCTCAAATGAAATTTTTTTCACAGATACTCAGTTTTTACCCTCAAACCTGAACTCATTAGATGGCGGGTGAAACATGGAATCGATTAAGATCTGAAGTAAAGAATACATTTTAAGTTTCTGTTTTAAATCCTACTTAGCTGATCCATCAAAAGAAACAACAACTTATGATAGCTCTCTGAGTGTGGCCTATAAGGGCTGGCTAGGGATATGACGGACACATCCAGTCCTGTACAGGTTTTCAGTCGCATTGGTAGGAGTTTTGCACTTCCAACAGACGCACACACATACTGCTCTCCTTTTGATATAAAGAAGACACGAAAAGTCAAAATTCTCGAAACCTTTATACAATCTAATTTATCCCATAATGAAGTGTTTTCTATTGGACAGTGAACTTGGCAATCAGCTTGTTAGTCAATCCGAACTCAATGACATCGCCGCTGTTAATCTTCGTGACTCCCGCTGGAGTTCCGGTCAGAACGACGTCTCCTGGTTCCAAAGTGACAAACTTCGTGGCGTATTCGAGAAGAGTCGGAATGTCAAAGATCATAGCATCAGTGCGACTCCGTTGTTGATCTTTTCCGTTTATTTTGCAGAACAGCTCAACGTCATGTGGGTTGGGGACTTCAGAAACTGAAAGAAATCCTCCGACCGGACAGGATCCATCGAACGACTTGGCCAGGAACCACGGCGCGCCGGCCTTCTTCGCCTCGTCTTGGAAGTCTCGAGCGGTCATGTCGAGGGCGACGGTGTAGCCGCCCACGTAGGACATTGCGTCAGCTTTCGAGATATGCTGGAAGTAATCGTTCTGTTGTTCATTACTTCATTCGATGTTTCTTCACGAACCGATGCTTTCTTGGCAATGACGACTCCAAGTTCGACTTCCTGATGCAAATTATTGCATCCAGGCGGAGCTACGATCGGCTGTCCTTCGACAATGAAAGAGTTGACAGTCTGAAATTGTTTTTATAGAAGATTTTCCTTTTCAAAAAGATTATTACTTTCACAAAAAGCATTGGCTTTTTAGGAATAGCATTTCCGAGTTCCAATGCGTGATCTTTGTAGTTTCTGCCGACGCAGACGATTTTTGTAGCCAAGTTCCGGAATCCTGAAAGTGGCGCCATGTCTGAAAGCTCTATAATTACGCTCTCAGCTCGTAGCTGTAGATAAAAAGAGTAAATAGGTAATTTTTGTTAGTAGGCCTGTTATTTTGTACAGAAACCACAAACTTCTCGTTTGCTCTCTCTTTTTGTGGCGAATTTCGCCAGCGAAAAAGTTACTAGAGACCGTCATAAATTGTGTGACAAGTAAGAGACGCAGACCTATCAAAAGAGCGCATTTGCATTATTCGGTTGCCTGGCGCCGTTCGCTCATTCTCGCCGTCCCTCTCGTCGAGTCGCGTCGGCACTCCTCTCCTTCTTTCACACTTGCATCGATTGCCGGTGCCCGTTTGTCGCTTTTACGTACAACTCACCCGTCATGCCTCTATTTGTCGCGTCAGAAATCGAGGCCGTAATCAGTAGTTGGAGAATGGGATGGAAATAAATGTTGTGTTTTCTCGGCATTTTATCATGACTTCACTCGCTTTCTCCACCCCTAAATACCTGACCGCTTTGATTTTTCTTCGCCGAAACGTAAATTGTGAACTATGCTGCCGTTTAGGTTCTGTTTCAAGACGATGTTGCTTTCATTCGTTTTCCCTGCGTCTTGACATGTTCCTTTGTGTCCTCCCCGCTTCTTCTCAAAAAAACATTTTCAGCGGCCACGTGGCGTGTTTCTCACCTGACCGCACACTTTCGCCCACAGCGGTCTCTTCCCTTTGCTAAAACGAAACGATGCACTTGATAGAAACCTTTTCGCCGCTTCGCTTTTTCTTTTCCACTCTGCTCTCTCGCCACGCGCTCTCCGACCGCGCCGACGAGCCTTCGCCTCTGCACGAGAGTGCGGGCGCCGCATAGAGACACCGGCAGTGGCAGGCACCGCTCCTCGCCCTGTGTTCTCCGCGCTTCGCTACCTCTCTCGCCCTCTCACTTCCTTTCCGCCCGCCAGCCGGCCAGGCAGCAAGCCAGCGGTGATTTTTTGTATGAATCTAGATAGCTGCCCTCCATCCGGATGGAAGCTTCCAGGTCTCTTCTTCTTGTGACTCAATGATCCTCTCCCGTACTTTAACCCGAGACATTTATTTTTTTCAGTAGCACCTTTCGGCTCGTGTGCTGAAAGCGTTAGTTCTGGACTCGAACTATGTCGGGGCAAGAGCGAGATCTCGCTCATCAGTCCGGAGATGATCGTGTGTTGGATAACGAGAATGCCATGGATACTGGAAGTCCGCCCGAAGTCGAAGTACCTGCCACCCAAAACACAGCTGCCAATGAACCGATGGAAGCCGCGAATCCGACAGAACGTGCACCAGAACCCGCGCGAATTGAAGTCCGCATAAAGACACTCGATGATAGAGAGACAACGATGTCTATTGGAATCGATGTTGGTTGCTTCGTCAATCTGAAGTTCATAATATCTATTTTCCAGCAAACAATTGGAGCGCTAGTCAATCAAGGACGCTCTCAGCTGGGTATAACTGATGGATTTCAACGGGTTATTTTCCAAGGCCGAGTTCTTGAACCGACGATGACTCTACAAAATGTGGGCATAGCGAACGGACACACTGTTCATCTTGTTGATAGAGCCCCCGGCGGGTGAGTCACTGTTCAACCAGCCCGTGAATTGAATTTTTCTACAGAAACAACGACCGCCCGAACATTGTGCCTCCTCCCGGTGCGGGCCGTCACTTCATGCAACCTATGCCACCCGATTTTATTCGTCGGATGGTTCCAGGAATGGGCCCAGATCGGGAACCTCCTAATCACATTATACTGCCGCCTATTCGAGTTCCTGGAGCCATTAATGGTCTTCCAGTGATTTCATCTCGTTTCGCAGAAGACATATTCCTTCAAGAAACGCAGGCCATTCGGTTAAGAGGGAATCCGCCACCAAGTCAGAGAAATATTCCTCCTAGAGACCTGTAATTGAATATATTTATAATCTCTTCAAAGCAAAATGTATTTCAGAAATACACCAGCTTTCAATTTTGATCCACATGCAATTCATTGGGGTATCAGGATTGTGGACGGGCTCATGTTTCGGCCGAGAGAGAACATCGAAGACCTCATCAAAACTACGATCAGAGACCTTCCGTTCCTTGACGAAGCTATCAAAAGCCTTATCACACTGAGATGGGATGCTAATTTTTCAGAGTTAAGAATCGAGTTTCCGCAAGTGTAAGAGCCGACTATCTTCTGACAACGTCTATTTTTCATGTTTGCAGGTCTCCTCACATCCCTTCCCCTGCTCTAGAAAAGCTTGACTTCCTCTGCTTCTGGGTTGAGCACATGAAGAAATTCTTGGATAAAGTGGAAGAGCAAGATGGACTGGTGGCCGCGGCCAGAAATGTGCTTGAAATGGCGAAGGCCAGACATCGATCCGACGGTCTCACACAGATTGAACGAGAGCATCGGATGAATGCACTGGATGATATCGTCCGACAGCTCGAGATACTTTCTACTGAACTCAGTCACATGAAAGACTACGGTACGATCAACTTTTCAATGACCCACCTTTTGTCATTGATTTCAGAACGTGACCGCTTCAAAAAGAACGACAATCTCGCGTACCGGAATCTTAAGATTCAGGAGTACTCGGAGACTCCTCGTCATCCTCGTTTCTACATGAGACATGCCCTCGATATCGATATGACTAGTGTGCTCCGCGAATTCAGAATCCAAAGAGACCGACTAGGAAACCTCGAGGATTTGATGGATGACCTTACCGACGCCGGGGCAATCAAGTACGCTCGGGATATAATGAGCAGCAATAGAGACTACCGCTACCAAGCTCTGTCAGTCTTCTTCAATTACATGCAACGGATGCGCCATCAAGTATCTCACATGAGCCACGTGGTTTCGGAACTCGACGTGTCTTTCCTCACTCCCTCGCACCCACAACGTCTTCTACCACAATACGCCACCAATTTGCTCACTGTTCCGTTCACTCACGCGGCCACTCTCATTCTCAACTTTGTATCTACGAGGGCGCCTGAGACACCATTTGAAATTCCAGTTACTGCTATAATTGAACCGCCGAGACGTGCTGCCGATGTAGGAGATCGAGTGAATGGAGACTGGCCGTATCTTCCATTCCATCCGCCCAGTGTTCATATGGACGGTGTACTTCAAACTCCCCGCCGAATCCCGGAGCCCCGAATGCGTGTGCACCAACGCCCGGACATCAACGACGACATTCCCCTCGTGATTCAGCCGCCGACACAGCGCGGACCTGCTCAATCAGTGCTTTTCCAACACGAAGTTCATCCAAGGCCTGCAGGACTTGCTGCTCTCGTAGCCGAAGAACCCACCCTGACCGAGTTCCTGCAGGCTCAACAAGATTCGATTGAAGCGGCTATTGCACAGCATGGAGGCTTCGTGGAAGGAGGCAGAGTGCGTGTGACAGCACGTGGGAGAAGAGTGATGACAACGGGAGATGCTCCAAGTGTCCCCGTGGAAACTATGCCGCCACCCGGGGAGCCACAGCTAGGACCGAGTGTGCGAAGAGCCAGATTGAACATAGAGCCGAACGCAAGAGGACCCGAAACTGCGACGCTCGCCGCATTGCCAGTTCAAATTGAACCGAGTGATGTTCAGAGAATCGCGAGGAACATTGCGTCGAGATACCGACCGGAAGCTCTTCATAGGATCGCCGCAAGTTTGACGGAGAGATTCAATCAAGAGTCTTGGGATACTCGCATCCAGAACATGCCGTTGTGCACTCTTCGCGATAGTATCGCTCTTGCTCTCGAGCTTCTTGTTTCTGCCGGATCGAACATAACTGAGTCGAGAGACTTGATGCTTGCACTGGTTCGAGACGAAGACGTGCTCGTTCGAGCTGTTGCCGAGTGTGTCAAGTCGTTGTTCGGTCGTGGCGAATTCCCAACACACGTGTCCCGCCTAATAATGCCTAGAAACGAAGCGGCCTCGGCGCGGACAGATTACGAGTCTGTGGATTCAGTGGAAGAATCAACAAGTGACGAGCTAGAGTCTATGATTGTGCGAGTGCCATCTGATGTATCGCAGCCTCAGAGTGGCGACTTGCGAGCCATAAGAGACCGACGTGCGTCACGGCGCCAGTTCCTGGAAAACCGCCCACGTCCACAGTCCAGCACCTTATCTACAGTTGAACCGCGAGGACCTTCGTTTAATCCAGAAGATCAGGCTGAAATCCGTGCTGGAAGGCTTCCTTTGAGCAATCGCACCAGACGAACTATTAGAGATGTAAATGCACCAAGCACTCCTCCAACTGTGCACAGTGTTTTGATTGGTAGTGAACAACCGGCGCAACTTACGGCCACTTTCCATGTTCATGCAGCCTTCCCCGCTTTCGGACCGTCCATTCCTGGTCCATCATCATCATCATCAACCGGCGCTGGACCATCACTACGTCCAGGAGAGCGGCCTGCTCCACCATCGAACTTCGTTGTTTTCCAAGTTCCCGAGTCGCGTATTCCGCCGTCGACAGAATCGCCAACACTATCAATGCGTAACCTACTGGACTTTGAAATTGGCATTGATCCCACAAGCACACCGTCTCCACCAGCTCCAACTCCTCGGACAATTTCTGCTCCGGCCACTGTGACATCTTCACCGACACGCGGAGAAAGTTCTACTGATGGATCTTCAGAAAGCCCTACCTCATCTGCTGCTCGTCAAGCTGCAAGGGCTGCACGTGCTCGCATCGATAGTCTTGCTGCCTCGTTCAACGGAAATCTGTCGGAAGCACGCCGAGCTGATCCCTATTCGCCGAACCCTGTGACTCACTCAGTGGATCCAAGAAGGCAATCTCTGAGGAGTCAGCCGCCAGAGCCCTCATTCATCAGCAGCCGCCCGATGGTTGCGATCGATCCTTTCATGAACTGTGTTAGCCGACACACGGAGATAAACCGACTACAGAACCCAGAGCTACAAGCAGACGCCGACAGATATACTCTGCTGTCGCTTCAGCCGGATCCAGAACTTGCAAGTCATGTTCATGTGAGTTAAAATCAAATCAATTAAAATCAAATAACGAGTATTAAAAGGTTCAGGGATTGAGACCGACTTCCGAAAGACGGGCTGATTGCACTCCGGAGACGGACGAGGATTACAACTATGACGTGATGCGTAATCCGATCGGAGAGCTTTCATTCCATGATCTTGAAACGTTCCAAAGATTTGTACGAACAACAACCCGCAGCCTTCTTTCGCATGTTATTGATGCTGATACTTTGGTCTCTATCAGTTCGTTTGCATTTCCACAAACTAGTTTTAAAACTATCTTTTCAGATATGAACGGCATAAGTGGTCATCAAGGCGCGAATCACCAGGAGCTAATGAACATGGTCAGGCGGCACGTTGGAAGAGTTCCCTACGGCCGATACGCAAGCAATCGACCGAGCTCTCATCGTGGCGATCCGCGTCCTCGAGAAGATCCGACAAGCATGATTACGGCGTATGAGAATGATATGTTAAGAAGAATTGAAGCTGGAAGAAATCTAGCATCCTCTCCGGCTCCTCGGATGAATAGATCGCCATTCCGTCCAGGAGTCAACGTCGAACAAGAACTCCAGATTCCCAGTCATGTTGCCCATGCGTTGACCTATCTGATTGATTACATGGACAGCACTAGCAACCCGAGGCCTCCCGGACTCTTCGGCCTTCTTCTCGATATGGTCCACGGACGTCTTTTCAGACACGACCTGGCCCAACTCGCCCGTCGTAACACTGCTGAACTGATCCTCACCGAAAACGAGTTCCAATTCCGAGACTACCTTCGCAGAACTTATCTCAGTACACGAGTGGCGGACCGACTGGCAGTCAGCAATGAGGAATTGCACGAGATCGCATCCGGAGTTGCCAATGATGAGACATTCTTCAACGGATTCCTTTCCCAGAATCCGCAACTGCCGACTTCTTTCCTCATTGGAAATGATAATTCCAATCCGATAAATGTCTCATGGGCCTTCCGGCAAGTAGAGATTGCTCTTCTCAAATCGTTGTTCAAATTGGCTGCTCAATTAGAAAATGGTGAGCTATACATCCATCCAAATTTTATTACTTTAAGTGTTTACAGATCCCCCGACCACTGCGCGCCTAGTGCTGGAATGCTTTGATAGCTACCTCTATCGCAATCTTATGATCTTCTGGCGCCTTTCTAACCGTGACGCTGACCGACAAAAAGTCCACCTCCGTCGAATCAGCGACTTCTTTGTAAGGATAGATATTAATCTGTTTCTACAATGATTTATCATCTCAGGCGTCTATTCGATTCGGGAATTCTGTTCCTCCTAGTTCAATTTTTGTTAATTCTTTCATAGAAAACTGGAATCGCATTATCGAATACTGGTTCGATAAATACATGACCGCAGATACCTCCGAGGGACTTTTCACTTCTTTCTTGCTGGCAACTCGTTCTTCAAACGACTGGAATGATATCAATGAATTAGTTGGCTCTCAGCCGTCGACGTCTTCTCAAATGGCGTCATCCACATCATTTGCTCATTCCTCTTCCAACGGCACAGTCGCTTCTAACAATAACTCAAGTAAGTCCTTGTTGGAATATTGTCTTTTGTCGCTTGCTTCTATGTTTCTCCGCCTTTTTTAGCACGTTTTCTTTTTGTATTCAGGCCAGCTGCGCCTCAATTGGAATCAAATTTGGCGTTTCTTCCAGGAAAACGCAATCACGACGGCGGCGACGGGAGCGCTGATTGCGTGGATGTGGTGGCGCCGATGACGTCACTCTCCACCTCTTCTCCTTCAACGTCGTCCTCGACGCAACCCGGCCCTCCAGCTCCGCAGCCTTGAACACATCTCAATATAATCGTAATGACATTATTACAGTCGATAATTTTTTTTAAGGTAGCTGTTTTCTATTTTCATACCCAACTCTTGTATTATCGTATCCCAATGATGTCTTCTGATCCCGGAGTGTTCCACATTTCTGTCATGACCTTTAACTTTTCCGGCACCGCCTTAAAATTTTTACATTTTTCCCATAATGCATTCCGCCGGTCGCCATTATTGTAACTTATTGTGTTAATAGTTTTTATTCATTCTTCTCTACCTTTTTTCTTGTAATTTCTGCAATGTCTGCGAAGAATTTTTATCAAGCAGGGCAGAATGAATGTACAGTATCTTTGACAAATATTTTGCCACTTTCTGTTTTTATGGTTCCCGTATCCCGATATACTTTTGAATCTCTCCTTGTCCTAACAAGGATGAGACCTTATATTTATTTTATCTATTTTTACAGAATGTCAACTCCAAATAGACGCGACGTCTTCGATAAGGTAATGCCAAAAGGACGAAAAACGGCGCTACAACGAAGTAGAAATCTTGTTAAAATATAACTGCGAGTTCCAAATCGTAACAGTTCCATTCCGTGCGAGTTCTACTTCGTTGTAGAGCCCGAAAAACAAGTCGAACATTTTGGTTATTTTATTAATTTGAGGGATCTATCAGAATTGCCTGAAATCTTGATCATTCGGATTTACTTGCAGAATACTCGCCATGTCATCAATGCAGATATTGAAAAAATGCGTGAAACGCAGAGAAACAGAGTAAGACAACACAATTCAACAGTTCCTCAAAACCATTGCAATTATTCAGATGCCGGAGGCGATGGAGGAGGACGATGAAGATTGTGGACCGTTCCATCTGACGCCGGAGCAGAAGGCGGAGCAAACCCGGAAGAGACTTGTGATCGAGCAACTTCGCTATGAGCATAACCAACGGATGGCTCTCAAAAGACAAGCTGAAGATACGTTTGAGCTTTCCCCGGGCGAAAGACTCAAGTGAGTCCAACAGGCTTCTGTTCTGATCACAACTTCAACCTTCCAGCATTCGTCATCGCAACCCGAAGCACAGTCGTCTCATCGAGCGGGAGAGAGGAGCCACGCTGCACGATGACTACATCCTGTCACAGGCCGCTTCGTACGTGATCCTCATCCTCTTTTTCGTCTTCGTTCTCTTCTACGTTCTGCCATTCATTTTCTCCTTTCTGAAATTCTTCTAGTGAAATTTTGTCCTATTTTTGTCAATCCTTCCATGCTGTTCATTCTATGTCAAAATCCGTGTTCCATGCCAATATGTTAAATGAAATGTTTCGTGGGATTTTGTTTTGACCTCACGATAACAGCCCCGTTCACCAAACGAATCACACGTACCTAAAATATCACGGACCTCCTCAGTTTTTGTTTGCTTTACAGCGGGCTCCGAACGAAAAGAGAGGCTCAAATGGAAGCTGCGAACTCCCGGCGAAGCATCGAAGAGGTGATGGTGCGAGCAGCGGAGCATGCGAGGAAAGAGGACAGACATCGGCAGGGAGGCTTCGAGTTCGTCGCTTTGGCTGGCCACATTCTCGAGAGTTCGTGCAAGCACCCGGGCGATTTGGAAGAGCCGAACTGTTTGGTGAGCGGTCACACCGTCACCCACTTTGTAGAAGGATCCAATTGCAGAAGTGCAAGTACGACAGAGAACTGAAACTGGAGGAGCTCCCCGAAATGGTTTTCGCTCGCAATTCTCTCACCATTGGATTCATTGGTTCTCCCGCGTTCATCGAGTTCACCGCACTCGACGCACTCAAAATGGTCTGTGCTGATCGACTTCCGGATGTGAAAGTGGGCGCGTCGACAGCTTGGCAAAGTGCCAGAAGGGACAAGATCCAGCAGATCTCCGAGCATCAGAAGCCGTTCGACTGGACGTACACCACTCATTACAAAGGAACTGTGCACGGATGTCGGGTTGGTAGAAACGGAGAGGAACTAAGGGAAAAGGAGAGTTTAGGTGGAGCCGACCGTGGAACGAATCGATATGGAACGGCTGAAGAAACGCGACGAGATAATGTTCTCCTCGTCTGTGACCCTGTTCGAAGACGAACTCGCCGACCACGGAATCGCGCAGCTCTCCGCCCGTATCCGTGTCATGGACGCCGGCTATTTTTTCGTGCTGCTTCGTTTCTATATGCGCGTCGACAACGTGCTCCTCAGGTTCATTCTCTTTTCACTCACCGCCTTCATTTGCCTACTTACAGAGTCTGTGATACTCGCATCGTCGGCGACAGCGGCGAGCGACGTGTGATTCGTGAGTGGCAGCTCCGCGAGGCTAAGTACGAACAGCTAGGACACGTGGATCCGGAGGCCCTTCTAGACATCGACCGTGCGTGGATGTACTTGCCGATCGTCCAACAAGAAGTCGACTGCATTTCTGCCGAATAACCGATCCTACTAATGTGTCTTTAACTCATTCCTCTCTTTGTTTTGTGAAACGTATCTGAAATTTCGTGATGAAAGACTATTGTCAAACCTCCATGATCTTCCTGCTTCAGCCCGTCTCGCTCGCTCTCCGCCGCCGCCAGGAAGCATGTGTTTTTTCGATGTCATCTTGTCTCCCACTCGAATTTCCAACAATTTCTTTCCCTCTACGTTTTGTTGTCTTTTGTTGTGCTCTCGCCGCGCCGAGAGAAGGATTGATGCAACTCTTCGGGCGCCCATCACCTGCCCGTCTTCCCCTCCCTCTCGTTCTCACTTCGGTTTACAATGCAATTGAGCTGCATGCACTCCTCCCTCGCTTTCCTTTTCTCTCTTTCTCTCTCCGAAGTCGTGTGAGCAATCTGGTGGGCCCGGAGAGCCATGCGTTTCTGATTTGATCCGGTTTCGACTCAACCCGCTTCACAAGTGCGCTTTTTTCAGGAAAGACTAGAATCTAGAGAGTTCCCCAGTTTCCACAGTTTGAAAGCTCTCTAGTAAGAATTCTGAGAACTGAGTACGCTCACAATTCTTTCCAGCTCACTTCCTGATATCTCATTTTATGACCTCTTCCTACTCGTCCCCCGATCATAAAGTGAGCACAGAGACGGGCTCACTTCTTCTGCCCTTTTCTCTTGCGCAGAGTTTTGCTTATTTCCTCTGAAAAGAGCTCTCAAGTGTGTCTCGAATCAGCCTGTACGCTTCCCTCATTTTCCCCGCGTTGTCCTTGTTTTCATTCGACTTCCGGCTCCATTCACACGTGTTTCGACGAGCACATCTGGCTCAAATCATTCGAAAACGAGAGAAACTATAGTCACACTGCGAACAAAAAACCGGTCGGTGACAAATGGCAGCCCATTTCTCGCGAGTTCTAATTGCTCGAGCCGCGAGGGTCCATCTTTATTTCTCTGGTACTCTCTCGTTTCTGAGTACTCTTTCGCCTTTTCAGGGAGTTCGGAACATCAGAAGGAGGCAATGGACAGGAGGAGAGCATGAAGAAGCACACGCATCATAAGGTGAGCACGGCAAGAATCGGAAAACGGTGTTGCTTGTAGGCTTATGGTGACTCGACTGGAAAAGAGCCTTTGATCGACTTGCAAATAATCAGAGAATGGCTGTCTTCGTTCGGCAATCAGGGACACTCTTCCGAAGCAGTTCTCAATGTTCTCTTCACTTTGGGGGTGATTCTGAAGGAGGAAGGATGGGAAACGGACGGATTTGCAGGTGCTCTTGTTCGTCATCTACCAATGCGGATCCCTTTTGCACCGAATGAACAGGCGAGTGGAGAAGCAGTTGGAGAGCAGGACGAAGCAGAAAAGAGTGGAAATGTCGGACAAACAGACCGGAGATGAAATGGTATTCACTGATCTTCACGAGAACGTCATCAGAGAAAGAATGGTAAGCAGGTGGAATTCGAATTGAATCAGAGTGGAAACGTCTTCAGATTCCATATCGGATGCCCGTGATTAACGACGACTTGACCCTCCGAAACTCGCAAATATTCTATGAGGAAATGAAAATGCGAAGGAGTTGTCGGCAGTTCAGTTCTCGCGACGTTCCGTTGAAACTGATTCAGAACCTGCTCAAAACGGCTGGTTCGTTTGTTCTGTGTTCCCCAAACAATCAAAGTCTTCAGGAACTTCCCCTAGCGTCGGAAATCTGCAGCCGTGGACGTTCTGTGTCGTCTCGAGCGACTCGATAAAAACTATGATTCGAAAAATATTGGAAGCGGACGAAAGGGATAATTACGTTTCCAGAAAGTAAAACTGAACATGATCCTATGAAAATCAAAGTGGGAATGTTTACAGAAAAGGAGCGTCGTGGGTGGTGGACGTCTCCCAACTGCAAGACACGTGGCGTCGGCCTTACATCACAGACGCTCCGTTCCTTTTGATTGTCTGTCACGAGGTATTCCCCTACTTTATCGTTCGACTTATTCTGAAAAGCTTGCAGATATTCCGAGACGTGAACAACAAAACAGAACGGGTCTTCCACTATAACCAAATAAGCACTTCGATTGCTGTAGGCATCCTCTTGGCTGCTATCCAGAATGTCGGCCTCAGCACTGTGGTGACGTCGCCACTCAACGCCGGCCCGGATATCTCTCGCATACTTCGGAGGCCGGAGAACGAGAGCGTGAGTCGTTCGAATCCGTCGCAAGTGTGCGAATGCTTCGTTTTCAGATACTTTTGCTCCTTCCACTTGGCTACGCTTCCGAAGACGTCATGGTGCCCGATCTCAAGAGAAAACCGGTTGAACATATCACAAAACTCTACTGATTCTTTCATTTTTCACTTTTTGCTCTCTTTTTCTTTCACCCGGCTATGAAAATGACATTTTTATTCAGTTTCGGAAAGGATGGGAAATCAGTTTGTACAAAAACCCGATCAAATGTGATTTCGGCAGGCAAAAATGAAGAGTGAAAACGAGAAAAGACACGTAGGGTGTGATAGGGACTATCGTCCGTAATCGAGCATGAAGTCGTCCACGAGGCCGTCTTGCTCCGGCTCCGTCAGCCAAAACTTTGCGTTTCTCCGCACTCTTCGCGACTGGCGGGCCACCGAAGCACACAATTGCGATTCGTTCATGTTGCACCAGCCACAAGAGGCTTGACAGTTCTCGGCCATCCATTGGCGACGACGAGTGCAGAATTGTTGACCACGCCAGTAAGCGCAGGACACGTGGCGGTCATGGCAGCCTGGAAACAAGCGAATGGAAGGAAAGGGGAAGAAAAGAAAGGACTCACCTCTGTTATTATCCGTGGATTGACAGAGTCCGCAAGACTTTCTGCAGTATCTGTTCATGTAGACCGTGTTCGTTCTGCACTCATTCTGACGGGACCATTGGTTGCAGCAAGGGTCCTCGTTGTAGCAGTTCTTAGAATAAAGAAAATAAACTTGAATCGAAGAGAAAGAAGGAGCATACCGATTGTGGAGTGGCTGCTGGTCTCTGTTGTGGCAGTTGTGGCTGTGGCGTCTGCTGCTGAGGTTGTACCGGTTGCTGTGTCGGTTGCTGCGGTACGTTGGCCACTGCAGTCGTCTGTGCAGGCTGCAAACAATCAAATCCCGTGTTTGCCTTCCGAAACTCTCCCCATACCTGCTGGAATTGCTGTCCTCCTCTGCACCATCCGGCCACGCACGTACCCATGTAACACGCATCCAACCCCTCGAATCCACGACACAGACCGCCCGGTTTCACCTTAGCAACACAATGCGGATTGCCACGTGTGTCACAGAACAGGTACTGGGATCCGCAGTTGGCGTTGTTTCGGTTGCAAGTAGGACGGGGAGCGTAGTGGTACAAATTGTCAGTGTAGGCGTTCGACAGACCTGGAATCCCGGATGAGCGGAAGCGTTTCGGCCTTTCAGGTCTCACCGTCTCTGTTTATCTTGTCCCACGGTCTCATTTGGGCGTAACTGAAGTGCTGAGAGTTGGCGCACGCACCAATGTCCGGGGGATATTGCTGAAACCCCAAGACTCCATTTGAGCCGAACCATTCCCAACTCACGTTTTCTCTGGCAAACCGATTCTGATGGTTCTGTCTCCACATTTCCCAGATGAAATCGACGAAAGTGTGGTGAAGGAAGAAGACGGGGTCGTTGGCAGAAGTGGAAGGAGGCTTCATGTCCCCGCCCATCCACAGATGGATCGAGGCGTGAGTGTACTCGAGAGCGCCAAAGTACGGGCGGAACGGACATCCTCCCTGCGGCGCAGTGAATGCCATCACACTGACCAGATCGTTCTGAGCCATCAGATTGTTGATGTTCTGCTCGGTGAACATCTTTCCCTCGGTCGCCATTCTCCGAATGATATTCGGCCTCCCCTCAAGAGTTCTGAATCCTGCGAACGGACCACTGACCAGCTGTCCCGAAGCGTCAGTCATTCCCATGAACAGTTGACTGAACATGATCGAATCTCTCGGATCTGGAAGGTAAGACTCGAGCACGCTGTCCCAATAGGGCATCGAGATTCCCGGATCGATCATTCTCAGAGCGATCTCCATTCGTTTCATGTATTCTCTGTGCCAAACAAGGAATCCGGGTCCCGAGTGAGCGCCGGAAGCGGAGCCGACTTGACGGTGCATCACGGACAGACGGTCGTACTCGCCAGACCGTTTCAACTGGATTATCGCGTTGTGCCATCGCTGACGTTCGTTGTCCGTCATCATTCTGAATCAAAGAATGCTAGCTCTGCCAGTTTCAAAGCAATCTAGTACCTGTACTCTTTTCTGTAAGCCATGAGATACGGCTGACCGTTCGGTAGCACACATCCGTTTGCCATTCGTCCCTGAAAGCTTCGAATGGAATATTTCCGCCGTGTTGCTCCGAATACTCACGCCCATGTACGGACATATGCAGGCAATGTTCATGCATCCTTGAGCCGACGGAGCGAACCTTGGCGGGTTGGCGGGCGCGAATCCCTGCACTCCCGGAGCTCCTGAACGTTTTCGTTGCTTCCTTCCTCCTCCTCTTCTTCTTCTGCCTACTCACCTATATTCTGATTGAATGCTTGCCTCTTTCTGATCGCCTTTCTCGCAGCACTGTCCCACTCTTGAAGCATGTGACACGTCTGCACCATATCTAAACCATTCAAGTGCGATCCGACTCTGTCCCAACCGGGAACCGTCTCACCTGAATCAGGTGCTTGTGAACAATTGAAGTCGGCATCGACGAGTGTGAGTGCCGACATGCCGAGGAAAAGGAAGGCGCGCAGCCTACCCATCTGAAAGAGGATTACTGTAAAAGAGAGAAAGAGCAGGAAGAAGAGTGGGAACGGAAGCGAACAAGAAGGAGATGAAGAAGAGGAAAAAAGAGAAGAAGAAGGAGACCGATCAACCTACAGACGAACTCTCTCTCTCAGATGCCCTTCCAGTTCTCTCTCAGTCACTTTTTGCCAAAGTCGTCCGTCCGACCGACTGACCATCTTCTTGTAGGAAAAAGTGAAAAGCGAGAGAGTGTGCAGATCGGAGACTCGCACACAACGCATTCCATTCGAAGCGACCTTCGTCTCAATTGCGCACCTCTGCTTATTCTCGCTTATTTACACCTTCCCTCAAAAATAGCTCTTTCTCTGCGTCGCTTCCTCTCTCACACTCTCTCTCTCTCTTTCTCTCTCTGCCCTTTTTAATGAGGTTGAGACGCGAACGATGCTAATTGATTCGAAAAAAAAAAGAATTTGAAAAAACGTGGGCGGAGCCGAGACTCGTTCGCCGAACGCACGGTGGAAATGAGAGATTTCAGAAGGATCCGAAGGTGATAAGGTCACAAAATTGGATAGAAATGGGCAGAGATAGAAAGGAAGGAAGGGGTGACGTCAGATTGGTGGAGAAGTCTCCGTTTTTCGATGGCCGGTCTACACGAAATGAGTCAGGTTGATAGCGAAGACAGAGATGACCTAGAAAAGGAAGAAACGGGGGATCCCGTTTCGAGTTAACCGTAGGCTAGAACCCTTCAACTCTCTGATTCCTCCTCTATTCCGTCCGAGAAACTCAAAGTTCAAGGCAGTTTGTTCTCGAAAAACACATGAGCTGTTGCAGCAGAAACAGGTCATTAATTACCTGTTTCGAAAGCGAGAAGACGGAAAGCGAACCTAATTCAGGCAGTCTTCTCTCTTCTTTCGGTAAAAAAGTGCATCAAAAATGGGATGGAAGGTGGGGCGGGTGTCCCGTCCACTCGGTTCTCGAACCGGTCGTTCCAAACCCCACTGTTGAAAGGGTTGATTTACGCGCAAATTCGAATAACACACGCACAAAACCATTGTGGAAAAGGTAGGGGGGGGGGGGGGAACTTTTGCGTCCAAATTATCCGGAACAAACCGGAAACACGCACAATGACTGCTGGAAACGGCACCTGAAACAAAAGGATTGAAAGGAATGGATCGGAAGTGATAAAGGGATTCGGCGGGCGGGAGACCTTCACCTACATCCTTCTGAATATTACTGGTTGCAAACTGACTGCGACTGACAGTCTCCGCTCAAAAATGATAAGCCGGAGGGTGGGGGGAAGCTTTTATTTGATGACCTCTGACTTTGGGTGGACAAGGTCAGTTTTGATGAAAAGGAGAAAACGGCTGACGACGTGTGTAAACCCATGAAATAGTCTAGCGTACTTTGAATAGTCACGTGGAAACACCAGAAAAACGATAACATTTCAAAGGAAATCACGAAAAAGCCGAGAAGGCACTGCCTTTTTAGTTCAGAATTCTAAAGAGATAGGAATCATGTCGGAAGATGTCGGAAGACGGGGGAAAGCTGAAAGTGAGAGACTGCAATGCGGGCGAACCTCCGAATATATAGGCCGAAATTGGCGCAATTTATTTTCAGTCGGTCCACGGAGTCGGACAGTGTAATACAGTACATGGAGAAGCCCCGAGGCGCATTTCGTATTTATTTTTACGTTTTTTTGTAACATTCTTCGCCTGTTTTTGTCGTCTGAAAACGATGTCGAAGTGGTTGAAAATGAAATGAAGTTGGTTTGTAGTAGTAGTGGTTTGATTGATAGTACGGGTTCGCGAACTTTGCGAAAGGTTTTGTTACACTCGCCGAGACGGGCGGTCAGAAGCTGCGGTGGGTCTATAAAGTGATAAAGGGCGAAGAAGTGCCATGACACTGCAAACTGGTGATTAGGGCCAAGGTTGAGAAGAACGGGGAAGCGGCGGCGGCGGCACAGTTCGGAAGATCGGACAGCAACTGGCAGACGCCGAAACTGGCACGTCATCTAATTCTTTGACCATATCGATGACATGTTAAGAATTCCGAGACAACAAAAGTCACAAAATAGAAAAACATCAACAATCAATTGGTAGTTCTCCCTTCGTACTCCTTGTTTTTCATCTTTTTAACAACAGGTCAGATCACTTCGAATCACTCCTCTTTCTCTGTCTTCTGATCATTTCATTACCAAAACTGGCCCGTTCAGCTCAAGATTCCCCGACCGAATCAGACTGACCAGGTGACTTCTGCTTGTTTTAGTGACCTTCAGATGACCTATTCCTCGTGAGACGCAGACCGAAAAGTTAATTCTGAAAGAGAAAAGTGTGAAGGAGAATCGAGTGTTACGTCGGCTACAGTCACGCATCCACACACTCAAAAAACAACATTTTTGTTTGTTTTCGTCAGTTTCCGAGGTTAATTGGCGGGAAATCGAATCAGAACGACAGAAGAATCAAGAGTATAAAAAAAGGAAAAAACATTATAAGTAGAGATTGGGAGTGTTCGGAAGTTTACGGTAATTGGAAGAAATGGTTAGAGAACTATGTAAACGAGGATTTGGATAAAGTAGACGAACGCAAGGACGGTGCCGATCAGAGGTCGGACCACTTTCAGCCACTCCTGCCACTTGCCCTCCTTCTCTGAAATCCCTTTTCGATTGGTCAGAAGGGATCTCACTTTCCCACCTTCGTCTTTGATCACGTCCTTCTCTTTCCACGTGGCGGGCAGGTATCCTTTCAGGACATAAACGATCCGGAACCCTTCCGGAACTGGCGTTTTATGCTCAGTGAGAAAGATGAAAACGAAGTGGAGGAAAAGGGAAATCGCGTTGAAGAGCATGATGAAGCAGTAGAGTTTCACTGAAAACGAATATCTTGGGAATGATCTGAAGAGTTTCTAACCTGAAGAGGGCATCGCTCGGACTGTCAGGGGAAGTTTCTTGACCATATCCTGCAGGAACACCATTTGAATGAACTGATTTGCCATGAGAATGTAACAGGTGAACGGGAGAGTGGGGATGAAGAACGAGAGAATGTTGATCAGGGCAGTTATCTGAAAAAGAACTGAAAGAGAGCTGAAGAGATTGGCAGAGATACCAAGCACGGAGCAGCGATTCCGGCCACGAAAAGAGGAGAGTGCCGGACGAACTTCACGTTTACTTTGAGCATCGACCACGCGACGCTGAGGTCGTAGCCACTGACGGGCGCGGACGAGGAAACATTGCCGTTCGAGTAATAAATGGATTCGCTCGACACGTTTTGAATCTTGAAATCCGATATTATTCTTTTCATTTTCTGCTCCTCCCATCCTGAAAAAGCATTTCTTGCCTCCCGAAATGCCGTCAAAATCTCACCGAAACTGAGAGTAGGCGGAATGGAATAAAGATTCTGGAGCTGAACCTCGGACATTGGAAGGGTTGAGAATAAATTCATGGAGCACTTGTTCTCGTCGTTCGGGAAGTCGGTGAAGTCGAAAGCGCAGCCGACTTTGATCGAGAACGTCGGGTACATCTCCACTTTTGCTTTGCTCTCTTGCATCTGGATGATGACGTGGGCGCTCGTCGAGAAGTCGAAAACTGATCCGAGGCCAGACGCACTAAAGAACGGGAATAGAAGCGGGAGGGCGACGGGAACGGATACCTGTTGGCCACTTTGATTTTCGGCTGCCAGACCTGCCACTTTTTGACTCGGGCGTAATGGATCCCACTGAAATCTTTCGGATCCCAGACGAGATATTCATCGAACCATTTCTGAATTCTCTCCGATTCTACCCCTTCTCATACCTATGCAAACCATGTAAATGTGCCCGTGCACAGTCATCGTCTGCTCTTTCGCATTGATCGACACGTGGATTATATGCCAGTGAACGTCTACGATCGTCGGCAGCGACGCGTTCTTCACCGGCCGATTTTTCATATTGTATCCACGGAATATCTTCTGCTCGAGAGACGTCTGATGCTGGGAATAAGTGCGGTTGAAGAATACTGAAAGGAGCAACGTTCTTCTCTGATTATTCTCCTGATCGGTAGGAACTCACTCTCCGCATCGCCTTCTTCGGAATCGATTCCCTGCGGTTGGGAGTACACGGTTTTCTTACGAATTGGCAGATAAAAAACTAAAATAGAACAGAAAGTCAGAAGCAGTCTCATGTTTGCGATGGGGAAATGAAGTGAATGAAGAGTGCCGAGTGCAGCCCCAATAGTTTATTTATTTCCCTATTATCAACAAATTCAACTAGTGATTGAGTTTCCATTCATGAAATACAATCCCTTCTGTAACTTCCAAACTCATCCGCCCTTTCTTCATTATGCTCCGGTGTTCTTAGTTTCATGCGCTTTTCTTAAAAAATTTATTGAAGTGCAAGAAAACAACGCTGCGAACATAAGATCAATTGAGTGGATTGAGTTCTTCGATACACACTTTCTCGTGAATTTATGCAGTCGTCTCCGTTTCTCCATCAACACCGCCCACGTACAGCACGTTGTTGCACCTGAAATTATAAGATACTAAATTTCCAAGACTCATAGTCTGCTGAACAAACCGAATGAGAATCTCTCCGAGGTTTCCGGTGTTGTTTCCGTCGATGTACTCGTCGGCGTTGGCCAGCTGAAGGTTCATGTACGAATCGACGGCGACCAGGACTCCTGAAACAGAACTACAGTCACAGCCTGATGTACTTTCAGGTACTCACCTCTGTACTCCATTCCCCACTTCAGCTTGCACACGACCGCCTTTCCAGTGAGACTGTTGAGAAACGGCTTTGGGTTGACTGGCTGAACTGCGGACATTGCTGCAAGAAATTATTTTTTAGGGATTATTCTCTACATCACAACATTTGTGAGCATGGTTTGAATTTCCCGCCTGTATTTTGTCGCTGAGTATCGACCCAGCCGCGTGCTAAAGGGTTACGATACGGAGCGATAAAAACAGGCCCGAGCATGTTCACAAATGTTCGCCGTGTACATTCGGTGAAGGGTGGAAGTGGGGTAGCGTTTTTAAAGCAATTGAGTGGAAAATAAATGAGTATGCTCGAAAGAACATTCATTGAACACAGATAACCGTCAAAACACAGTAGAAAAACCAATAATTGCGCAGATCTCAGTTTGGCATATTCGAAAACACCGGCATCACAATTGACGCGCACGTGCGGACTGCGTACAATGCGCCAAACTAGACGACCGTTCTCTGAAAATGAATGGACAGAACAGGGCACCAAATACAGAATCAAAATGTTATTTTAAGAAGAGGTATTGGTGTTTGCAATAGTTTGCAAATGTTTCTAAGACATTTTAAGTCTTATGATAGTTCCAGTTCAAATGGAAAGTTCTCATTTGAAAAGAAATAAAGCCAAGTAATCATTCCTGTGTCCAGCTTTGTTCTGAGTCCAAAGCACCTGACTAAGGTACAATAAACGTTCGCTTCCTCCAAACTTGTTTATTTATTCTGTCTTTACTTCCAACACGCCATGCTAGAGAGATGAGACGCGGCGAGAAACAGAGGAAAAGAGGGCACGCGTCGGCGTCATTCGCTTTTCCTATTGACGTGTTTATCGCACTGCTCCTCACCGAAAAAGCCCAGAAAGAAAACTGAAACGAAGCCATAAACCAATTCCTTTCGATTTTATCTTGTTTCTCGTCTTATCATACTATATGGCTCAATGACACAGAAAACCTATACAGTTTGAACACATCTCTGTCCTCATGAACGCGAAAGTCTTGTGACTGATGAATGAGAATAGCAGTAAGCATCACATATTTCATACTTTCGATGTTTCCAATCGGGCCAGGTCGAATGATGCAAATTCGCCTTGATAAAGCATTCGCTCGCTATCTCCGTGTCTCACTCGCTTCTCTTCGTTTCTTTGATGTTAACGTACTTGCTTCTCCAACTGTACGATTCGTTTTTTCCCTAACTACAGTTGCTTTTTCAGGCCGTTCTTCTAGCCCCTGCAACACTTCTGAAGCATGACGCAGGTTCGCGAACCCATTCCGTTTCATCCACAGTCTGTCTTTTTCAGTACGTTTTCGAGATGGCCATGACCTGCGGCGGATGCGCCAATGCTGCCCGGAGAGTTCTGTCTAAGCTTGGAGGTATAGTTTCCAACACAAAAACGCATGAACTTTTGTATTAGAAGACAAAGTAAAGATTGACGACATCAATGTGGAGACGAAAAAGATCACTGTGACGACGGATTTACCCGCTTCCGATGTGCTCGAAGCCCTCAAAAAGACCGGAAAGGAGATTAAGCAGCTGCAGTAAATACTCAAAGTGTCTCCGATTATAATGGTTGTGAATATATAAATCCCACAAGACTTTTAAAACCGGGCCCGCTGCGCGGGCCGAGCTGACGCTCGAAAGCGGCTCCACCGCTTGTTTGCTTCTCATGACTGTTAGAAAGTTCACGTGTACATTTCTCAATTTCTCCGTCACAATCTTTTCATTTTAGAAATGAAAGTGGGGACGGACAAACAGAGGAATAAACAAACAAACAAACAAAGAGACTCTGCTTGCTCGACTTCAGTCTATTTAGACAAAATAATCTAAACTTTACCTGTTATAAATTATAGTCTATATCCTGCTGAAGCGATCATCAATCCCTGAAAAGAGGTCCAATCAACTGTCCGCTTTTATGGGACCAGTTGACAGAACATAACGCCCTGAATTGAGTGCGGCAGTATCCTACTTCCAGACGCCAACAGAAATAGCGGATCAGAGTTGAGCTTTTTGCTATGTCAGCGTGGAGCACAGTGTTGCATTGTTTCGAGACGAGAATATGCCATTCTGAAGACACATATAAATGTACAAAGTTTACCATAAATGATCTCCTTTACGTTGCGCACATGGCTTGAAATCCTCCAATCCACCGGGCTCGCCAGTTTTTCGAAAGAAGGAAATGGGTAAACGTACCTTAGATCCACCAGAGGGGACATTCCACATCTAGCTCCTCCAGAGCGCAATCTATCAAGTTTCTATCCCGACACGATGTGGTTCATTTCGGAATTCAAACACCTTTGCACTCATCGGAGCATGCATTCATGGTTGGGTAGCTGGATAAACCATTGACGCGAACATCCGGTGTATAACCGTCCGCCCCGATGTGTTTATCCCATTTCATTCATATTCGCTGCTTTCTTTTTGTTGCTCCAAGTGCCGATGTGGTGAGCAACGTCGCAATGAATCAAGCATGAACCGATTTGTTCGCATTGCTCAGCCACATCGCGGGAGGTTAAGCAATTTAACGTTATCAGGGTTTATTAACGAGAGCAGAACAGATCAGGTATAACTAGATGTTTAGGGAAAACTATGCGATTCTGAATGCTCATGGAAACGATGCCGGCGCGTTCATCCCCAGAGAAGACTCATGACCGAGAGCGGAATAACCTGGAAAGACACGCTTTCCCAGCAATTGCTTAAATTCTGTTACCTGTCCGTTTGGCATTGGCTCAGCTCCCTTTTTGAATCCGAGGTAAACGACGAACGGCACGAATCCCCATTGGATAGCGAATGTGGAGACGTCGATAGTCTTTCCGATCAGTGATTTCGTTGTCGGCGAGAGCTTCATTCTGGAAAAACAAGTTAGATTTTTAGGCCACTAAAGGGAATAAGCCAAAAGTATTGACCGGATGAATATGAACCGGAGATTTTTAACGAAACAATCATTTACGGAACAGAATTTATCCCCAATCAGTGCGAAACCGAAAATAATTTAAAATTCACTTAGCATGTGGAAAATACGATGCACATCACAATAAGTTAGAATTATGTCATCATACAGGAATGAAAACAATTAGCAGGAGACGGAGCCTACGCGGTCACGCGGAATCAGACGGAGCTCGCTGCCGTGCTTCAGGAAGATATTTCCGGCAGATTGGGCTGGGTTGACCCCGACTCCGTCGTTCGTGATGATGGCAGAAGTGGCCGCTGGAACCTTGAACTCTTCGGCGGCGAACTTGAGGACAGCGGTGAATGGCGTGCCCTCTGGGACCGAAAGTCTGCAATGACGAAATGAGCAAAACCACGATAAAAACTGAAGAATTCTGATGCTTACACTTTGAACGGAAGTTTCGGGTCGCTCGTCAGCGTGATCTTGAACGTGACTTTGCTGCCAGCAGCCGTCGTCGCTCCGTCCGACATGACTGAAAATTAAAGTTTTTTTTCGAAAAACCAACTGAATGTAAATATCCTGCTACATAGAGAAAAAAAATCCTATTTTTTAAACACTGTTATAATGCAAGACATAATTGGTTGCTCACGTTAAAATTGAAGAAATTCGAGGGAGAAAACTGAAAAATGCCAAGTGTCGCACCAAAACTTCGGCCAGCGGAGGTTCCACGGCCGCCTCTGTTTCCGAAAGTTTTTCCAATATAAAACCGTCAAAGTTTTACTAGGACACATTTGTGAAGCATGTCTTAAAAAATAGAATCAATATACTTTCCTCAGTTAGTTTTTCAGTGTAAATTTTTCTGTTCAAATAATTGCAGCTTGAAACTTTAGTTGGGGACTAGCTTTTCGCAGCAGAGCGGGCGTTGGCCGAGATATCTGTTTGACAATATTTTTATCGTGAATCACATTGATCACTGATCACTCTATTTACTAGTTGTCGGAAGATCGAATTGCAGAATGAAACGAACAGTCAGTCTTCTCAAACATGTGCCGAAAACGAGCAATTTCGTCAGAGCACAGCAGTTCAGTTCAGCTGTCGAATCGCAGAAAAAGACACATTTCGGGTTCACAGATGTCGATGAATCCGAGAAAGAGAAGAAAGGTAATTGTTTTTCAAAAATTTTCACCCTCAAATTCTCAAAATTTCAGTGCATGACGTCTTTGCAAATGTAGCGAAGAAATATGACCTGATGAATGATGCAATGAGCATGGGAGTGCACAGATTGTGGAAAGACTACTACGTCGGAGGGCTCCAGATTCCGTACAATGCAAAGATTCTCGATATGGCTGGTGGAACAGGAGACATCGCTTTTCGACTGCTCAGGCATTCCCCGACCGCCAAAGTAACTGTTTCGGATATCAATCAGCCTATGTTGGATGTTGGAAAAGAGCGTGCGAACAACGAAAGAGACGTGAGTCTTCAAGGTTCTCAAAATTTCAAACGATGTGCTCGTTTCAGGTTCAAACATCCCGTTTAGAATGGGTTTGTGCCAACGCAGAGGAAATGCCTTTCGAATCGAACACCTACGACCTTTTCACAATGTCATTCGGAATCCGCAACTGTACTCACCCAGAGAAAGTAGTCGGAGAAGCGTTCCGCGTGCTGAAACCGGGCGGTCAACTGGCGATTCTCGAGTTCTCCGAAGTGAATTCAGCACTCAAACCCATCTACGATGCGTATTCGTTCAATGTGATTCCTGTGCTCGGAGAAATTCTAGCCAGCGACCGATCCAGTTATCAGTACCTCGTAGAGAGTATCAGAAAATTCCCTAATCAGGTTTGTGATTAGGATTTATAATGAGTTTGTATTTATTTGTTCCAGGACGCTTTCGCTCAGATCATTCGGGAGGAAGGATTCGGAAACGTCCGTTACGAAAACCTCACTTTCGGAGTTTGCTCTATTCACAAGGGAACGAAGCCCCGAAAGTCTGCATAGATCCTATCACATTCGCCATGTCTCCATTACCTAAATAGACAACTTATTGGTTTTTGCATAGTTTCCGCATAAATCTTCAAAATGTTTTCAATATTGGTGATCTTATTATTCTGTTTCCGGTTTGAACCGATTTCGATACCGATGATGTTTGATGTGGATAATCAAAGAATCCGAGCTTTCAGAGATGGCAACAGTAATTCAGAAAGGAATACGAAGCTTCTCGACCGGCAGCTCGCTGTTTTCCAGGTGCATTTCTCTCTCAGGGCTGGGCAAATTTCGGCCCGGGCCTTTTGAGGACTGGACTTTTGATCTACTTGCAATGATCCGATTGGGCTCAAACTCAACAGGCTTCTTGGACATGGATTGAAGTATATTGGGCCCGAGTTTTAGACCGATCGGACCACCTGGTCCCGAGATATACTGGTTTTTGGCCGAAAAGACCAGATTTTTGCGAAAATTGCGGCCTTTTCGGCCTCCGATCTACATATCTCTGGACCAGATGTTCCGATCGGTCTGAAACTCGGACCCAATATACTTCAATCCATGTCCAAGAAGCCTGTTGAGTTTGGGCTCAATCGAATCATTGCAAGAGGGTCAAAAGTCCTGGCCTCAAAAGCCTTGAAAAAGCCCGGGCCGAAATTTGCCCAGCCCTGCTCACTTCTCACTTTAAACGGATAGCAGCAGTTCAGATTTCGAAGTGCGACGGCGCCAACTTTGAAGGAGATCGGGCTTCTGCTCCCTCCTTCAACTAATGGCCCCATCTTCGAAGCCGGACAGGTGTTCATCCACCGGACGTTCGCATACAAAGGACTCGTCGTCTGCTCGTTCCCCTGTAGGCTTTACGAGAAAAGAAGCCAGCAGAAGTGAGTTGCAATCACCTGAAAATACTATAAAAACACAATTTTTCAGTGAAAAGCATTTGACAACTCGTGATTTCTATCAAGTTCTGATTCACCGTCAAGACTGGAGTCACATGGGATTCCCTGTTGATATCACGTCCTATTTGGTGGATGCGCCAATGGAAACCAAGAGACACGGGCAGAAGATGCTCACTCTCATCAAGTGAGCCCATTCTCTCTTTATATACCAATGATAAAACATATTCAGTGGAATGGACTGCGTTTCTCACGATGATATCATCCCATTCACTCCGACGGGCGGCGTAAACTTTGATCACGACCTCTTCGACCACATTTTCAATGCCTCTCACGATGGCAACGGAGCATATAACATTGTTATGAAGCCGGAGCTCGTGGAAAGATACAGCAATTCGAACCGTTCTTGGCTCGGACCCCGCGATGTGTACAGGGAAAGAACGGAGAACATCGAAGTGACCGTGATGACGTTCTATTTGGGTTCGAATTCAGTGGGGGGACAGCCACAGCACATGTGGAGATACGTGATCAGAATCGAGAATAAGAAGCCAGAGCAGGCAGTGATTCTGCGAGAACGGACACTGAAAGTGTATTCGCTGAACAACATGAATCAGATGCACGGACACGGAGTCGTCGGAAAACAGCCTGAACTGAATGCGGTTACACCGGCTTTCCAGTTCAGCAGCACGCTCGAACTCAAACATACAAAGGGAGGACACATGTGGTTTGTATTATATGTCTGTTCCATTACTCGTAAGTTATCTTTGCAGGGGCCGATTCAAGATGGAAAGAGAGAACGGTGTGCTTTTCGACGTGCACATCCCGACGATTGTCTTCGAATCGACGGACGAAGTGAGCGAAACTCCAGTCGCCACTCCCGAAGCAGCCTAACGTATCCAAATCCACTTCTGATTTATGTACAAATTATTATTTTTTCCTTTTTTAAATTCAACCAAAATTTATGCATAGGATTCCAAACGGTGTTATGTCTGTTTCTCCTGTTTCTTCCGAATTTTATTTCTGATATCCAGGTGAACGTATTTTTTAAAGCCGAATTAATGGGATTGGGCATTGCTCATCAACGTATACAGCTGCGAAAGAAAAAAACGAGAGCAAACAACGATAAAAGAGACAAGTGGGCACAAAAACACAACACAAACAAGAAGGTTCTTTACGATGGACGACGCATCTCGAGTTCCCCCTCGCCTCTCATTTTTGTTGTGGTCAAACACAAAAACAGAGGGAGTGGACAGAATGGAATATCGTTTTTCAGTTTTTCGTTTGTCTTTTTCGTTCGTTCCGGAGGACCACTGAGGCCATCCGTCTTCAGGACGTCTCCGGCGAAAACGGGTCGTCTCGGCTATACGACGATGAAGAGTGACGACGAACATTTGCGACGACGACGACGACTTAAACTCATTCTCCCAACTGACTCTTAAACACTTCCTTTGTGGGTCCATCGCTTCGAATCTTTCGCATTGATGCGGCAGATCCGGCAGATCCGGTCTCTTCTGAATCAACTTTTCGTATGTTTCTCTTCATGTTCGCATCCTTCTCTCCAGAATTGCAACCATTTCCAACTCACTTTGCTCGGTCCGTCCTTGTTCATTGTTTCGATCGGAATTCCCTGGAGCCGCGTGGCATTTCTCGCACAAATCTTGTTGCAAACGACGTCTCGGACGGCCAAAGTTTGAACCGCATCGAGCGAATCGGACTCACTTCGCGATTGACATTTCGCTTTTGAGTTTATGGGTTTATGGAGAGGACCGACAAGAAAAATGCGGGAATGAGCGACAGACAGATGGACAAATCGAGCCGTCGCCCGAGGGAATCGTCTTCGATCTTGCCACGTCATCACTTGAAAAGATTCTTTTCGGAATTCACGTCTTCCTCGGTTACAGTCACTTCCTCCTCATCCTTTCTCGGCACTTCATTCCAGTTAATTCCCTCGCAGTGGCTCTTTCTCCTCCAATTCCATTCTTTCTGTATATCTGAGCAAACAAAAGGATCCTCTTGCCGCACGTTTCTGTCCATTCTGACTACTATAGTCATTCCATTGTTTCCACCCATTCATCATTTCCCTTTCTGTGGCCATTTCAGATTTCCGTTGCCCTTGACAACCTGCTCGATTCGCGTGAATCAATCATGAGAGACGCGTGTGCTTCCACTCGAAACTTGATACTTTTGCGCGGATTATCGAGCACATAACTTTGTTTTTGTTTCCTGTTTAGGAGACGTAGACAGTCCTCGAATGGAATTGGACAAGATGGAATGCTACAATCAATCAGCGCCTCTCGATTGATCGCAATGCTCTTTGCTCAGCTCACCTGCTCCGGAGCACAGAGCACACTCATTCTTTCGTCTCTCAATCCGTTTGGATATCTTTTCCTCCCGGTCACGCAATCTCGTATTCCCTCGAAATTATTATTCCTTTTTTCGTATTCGTACTGCTGAAAATCCGAGGGAAAAAAAAAGAAACAACTATACAAAAGTATCGGATTACCACCAAGAAGTGACCCTTCCCTTTGCGGCCGTCCTTCTCGAATGGTCAGCAGACAAAAAAGAGTATAGATCGAAATGGGATGCTCCGATCCTTTGTGCCCAACTTTTCGGTCTTCACACTCCTTCTCGGGCGCCAATCCGTCCAATCAGTCATTCTTTCCAAGTGCTCCTCCTAATCCCAGGGAATTTTGGGAATTTGTCTCAATCGTTCCCTCGTCTCCTCCTCTTCCTCCAAAGAATTTCCAAAAAAGAAACGCGAAAAGAAGGATCCGTTTCTCTGCGTCTCTCGCTTTCGCACACTATTCCCACCATGGGTTTTCCTCCCTTTTTTGCTCCGAAATGTTTCAATGGACGACGAACTCGACAGAGTGAAGGAATACACAAAACGACACATTCCCTTCGCAATTCCGTCCCAAGATTTTATCGCTTTCTCTCCTTCTTTTGTCCCCTTTTTTGTCGTCCCATTCTGATAGAAACTTGACAAGAATCGCCTTCCCGCTCTAGAAGTTTCCAAGTTTCCTTGTGCACCGCCCTTGCCGCCAAACTCGCTTTCTTGCGCCGTACCTCGAACCCACATCTATAATGTGATTTGCACGTCGCTCCAAATTTGGAAAGATTCTGGAGCCGCCTGACGTCAGTGGATCTGTTCTGGCTCCTTCTTTTTCTTCTTCTTCTTCTTCTTCTTCTTCTTCTTCTTCTTCTTCTTCTACTACTTCTTTGACTTCTCCCGTCGGCCACGTCATCCCATCACAATCGGAAATCCGACACTTTCTGTTCTTCCGCTGACCACTGCTTTTAGTGCCTGTCAGTCTGATCCTCAAGGATCCGGGGACACCTTCCCCTGCTAAAAGCATTCTGTCGCCCCTTCGGCTCTTTCTCTAATTGCACGCCTGCGCTTCCGTCCATCACCACACTCTCTGTCCGATTTAATTGAAACTTGAAGGAGCATCTCCCTCTCCCTCCCTCTCTTTCTTCTTCTTCTTCTTCTTTTTTTCTTCTCCTTCCACCCTCTTCGTTACTTTTCGCCTCTTAATTCACTTTTGCACACTTGGAAAGAGACACAAAAATGAGGGAAAAAGACACGCAAAGCAGAGAAAACTGGGCCTTCTTGCAGCCAGTTGTACGGAATTTCGGAGCGGTTTTGACCACTCTGACGTTATCACGCCACTCTTTTCTCTTCTGAAGAGTTCCACAATCATCGGCCGATCCGAAAAAAATCTTTGCGTTACAAAGACGTGGCACTACCGTAGGACTCTCAAGGACTCTCAGCCGAGATAGGATTTCCCGTTTTGAAAAGTTTTGAAGTTCATTTTTAGCCGTTATTTGAGTGGTCTTTCCTTCCGGCTTTTCAGGGACCGCCTACCGTAGTAGCTCACGCTTCCCTTACAGTCTTCTCGTTCTTGAAACCCATCTTTCCACTTGGCGCCCTTTTTCCCACCTAATTTCCGACCTTCCGTCATAAAAAAGAAGTACGATTGTCTGTGTTTCTCATTTTTAAACTCTATTTCGTTCATTTAGCCCATTACCATGCAAAGCACGAATTGCCCTGCAAATGACATTCTTTTCTTCTTCTTCTTCTCTCTTTCTCTCTCTCTCTCTCTCTCTCTTTCTCTCTCTCTCTCTTTCTCTCTCTCTTTTTGAGTTCCCTTCGCCCCGCCCCTTCTGGCCTCTGGCGGTAATGCACCGATCGTCAATTTTCGACTAATAATTCATCCCTCGCAGGCTTCTTAGGCTTAACAATTTTCGCTCTTTTCGCTCCTGCAGCGAATGCGAAAAAACGCATAAATCAGCTGGGGGCACAAAAAAGGTCGGGACATAGAGAAATAGAGAGAAAGAGCGCAGAGAACGGAGAGACGCAGAGAAATGAGATTTACGAGGGAGAATCCGCTGGTCTTATCACCCGAATATCACCTTCCCATTCCACTTTTTCCACCTTCCTGCCCGCAATCACTTGTTATTCGCTTGTTCTGCCATCCAGGCGTGAAGCCGGCAGACACTTGTCGATTCGGAAAATGTAGAAGACACCTGGCGCCAAGTCGCAACTTATTCCATCCGTCCGCCACGAAATCCCTTTCTGCCTCCCCAACTACAGTTCATTGTTGACCAAAGGATCGAGCAAAGCACAACCGAATTTCGACGTGAAAAGGAGGGAGCAGCGAGCATATTGCTCCCTCTTTCCCCTCCAAATATGCCTCTCTTTTGGCAACATCTCCATGCTCTAATGATTTCTTTTCATCCTTTCCCTTCCCATTCTTTCTCACTTTTTCCATTTCAAAAAGGTGTCAAAAGTGGAGGCACCAACAACAAAAACAATCGGAACGGGTAAAAAAGAGATAGAAAAACGAGAGGTGATTGCTAAATAATGCCGCAAAATTTATGGCCTATTTGTTCGGAGGACGTCTCTCAGCCAGAGCCTCCTCCCCCTCTTCTTCTCTTCTTTTTTCTCGTTTGATTCTTCTTTGTCTATCCCCAATTCCGCTTTTCACTATACTAAAGGAGGTAAGTACTACTGGTTGGACAGGGCCATTCGGGGAGAGATACTTCCCGTCCGGACACCAATCATCGCAGAAGAGGTGCCAACTAGTCTCTCCGTTTCGACCATCTCAACCTTTCGTCTAGACGTGGCACGTCCAGCGGGTCGTGCAAAATGAAAGTATAAAGAAGTAGAAACAAACAGCTTTACTTCCTTCTCCTCTTCCCATTCATCCCGTCGGCCACTTCTCAGTATGAACTTCCTCTTATCTTCCTCAACTTCTCTATTCTTCCCAAAAACAGCTGCACGGCCAGTACGGAATGGCACGCGAAAGTGCAGGAAACTCAGTGTCCAATCTCGTCTAATGGGTTGTGCAGAGAGCAAAAAGCGACTGGAAACAGAGTCGGATATGCCCCGGGAGACTCGTTCCCTTCCACTTCTTCTCTCTCTCTCTCTTCTTGCACTAATTGGTATGTACTAGTTGTGTCACCCCTCCGAAACAACTAAATTGGCTGATTTCGCCCACTCATCACAGGCCAATTCCATTACGTTTTTTGTTGTTTATCGAGTGTGTGCTCATTAGATTCGGGCTCAAAGTTTAGCATTAGCGAGCGAATCGAACAAATAGGTCAATTGGAATCTCCAACTTGAGATGTTCAAAAATCGGAAAGTTACCGTCCCATTTCTAAGTCGTTTCCCATTCGATTTCCCGCTTTCGTCTTCTGATTCATGGCTCTTTCGGTCGGTTTTATGGGCCGAAAACACGATAATTGCTTTGTGGGTGCCTCGCCGAGCCCGTGTTGTCTCAACCTTCTCAATCACTATAATCTCCGGAAACCCATTTTTCCATCCAGTCCCTCTCACTCTGTCTCCTTTTCCGTTTATCTCAGATCTTTCCGATATGTCAGTCCCCCATTACTTATTGTTTTCCAGGGAAGAAGTACGCCGTCTGCAGGTCCGGCCCTTCGACAATGCCACTTCCAATATACAAACATGTGAGTTACTGATTGGCTTTCGCTTCTGATCAATGATAATTTCAGCCAAACGAGGGCGAGGAGGAGATGAAGAAGAGCTGGGTGCGCCACGAAAAACTGTGCGCCCAACTGGAGGCATGTTCCTTGGACCTGAAGCAGAATGAGGCTCAGATGGACATTCTGACGGCGACTGGCGGAGAATTGAAGGAGAAGCACAAGAAGATCCGGGGACTTTTGGACGAAGCGAAGGCCAACGGTAAGGAGGAAAAAGGGGTGGAAGAATGAGAGAAAGGGGCTTTGCAGATCAGCAGAAGGAGCTCGAGGAGCTGTCGAAGGAGATTGAGAATGTGGAGAGACAGACTCGCATCTGGCTGAACGAACTGCACGACGTGCACGACAAACGAGTGGACATTGACGTGAGTGGGTCGGCAGATTACGGTAACCCAGGGACATCGTTCCAGTGTCAAATGATCCGATTAGGCGCCGAAGTGAAGAAGAACGAGACGTACGTGCAGCTGGCGTGCATCGACATCGAGAGAATGGAGCTGCGTCACGAGATCAGGTTCGTTCGGCTTTTCGTCCGCTTCTGTACTCGAAGATTAGTTGCAGATGGAAAAAATTCCTGCAAAACAATCCGTGCAAGTAATTCCACTGCAGTGATCCGTCTTCCGCTCGACGCGACGTCACCGTTCCTTCGTGAAAGCGACGTCTTTTTCACACAAATCATGGTTTCCGTTCGGTGTTCCGCTTCCTGTCTCGTATTCCCTTTCCTTGGCCGTCCGAGCCCTTCTCCTCCCCCACTTCCCTGTAGATTTCATCCCGTGCTTCTTCCCGCCCGTTGTCCTGTAGCTGGTTTTCCATTCCTTCTCTAGTGATATAGTCGGCCTGTCTGTCCCTACCATAATCCCTCCCCTCCTCCTTCCTTCTATCCATTTCTTTCCTTTCTAGGCCAGAATTCTACGAGATCTTTTCCCTCTGTGTCCCTCCTAATCCCTCCTCCTTTCTCAGTCTTTCACACAGTATGCATCGCTTGAGGCTCTTCTCCTTTCTTTGATTTTCTGGTTCATTTTCTATGTTTCAGAAGACCCAGAACACTTTCATTTTGTTGATTTTGTATGCGAAACAGTCCTCACAGCACTTTCTTCTCCCCGGATACTTTGATGATCGACTATTTTTCCGTTTCTCTTTCCATTTCATTATATAACAAGACTTCTAGTACCAGGCCCGTTGCGCGGTCCGAGATATTGAAGCGGCTTGGCCGCTAGTTTATTTCTCATAACCGTTTAAAAGTGTTCATTTCTCCATTTCTCCGTCACATCTATTTCCATTTTAGAAATGAAAAGGGAACGGAAAAACGGGGAAATAAACAAACAAACAAACAAACAATGAGACAAACAGAGGGACATACCCGTGAAAAGTTATATTAATCAGAATGATAAAGCATTTATTGGAGACCAATTCAAAATAACAACGGACTCATATGGCAGGAGTGCAATTCACAGAAGCGTTCAGAATTCAGGCCTACTCCTCGTCCTTCTTCTCGTTGTGCTGCTCCTCTTGCTGCTTTCTTCTGTGCTTGCTCCGTCTGTTCTGGAACCAGATGCGGACCTGCGAGGGCGAGAGTCCCAACCGGAGGGCCAGACTCTCTCTTTCTGCTCCAACCACGTACATCTGTCCACGGAACATGTCTTCCAGCTGCTGTGTCTGAGTCGTTCCGTAGATTGTTCTGAAAATGGATCTCATTGACGTCGTGAGATTCTCCCACACTACTACCTCGCCTTCCGTTGTCCTTGCCTTCTGCTATTCGAAAGAACTGAAGCCGCAGCGAACCGTGCCTGCTCGACTCCCCCTTGAATGCCGACGGGAACGTGCTGATAGTAACATCCGGGCATTCCGGGAAGCTGTGCTGTCGAGGGCATCATCTGAGCCAGTTGTTCCCTAATAAGCACGTCGAGATTGGTCTCCGAATACCTCCGGCGTTCAGGAGGCGTCGGAAGTTGAAGAGTGTCGGTTGGAAGGTTGACGGTCGCTTGCGAAGTTACCGGCGGTTCCGGACACGAAGAACGGCGACTTGTCGTGGCGAACAGAGCATTTGCGAGGGCCTCGACCGCCGAAGGGGATGCTTGGAGCAAGGATGTGTTGGAGAGAAGCGACTGCAAATGAAGGAGAGGTCTACGGGGAAGGGAGGGAATTCGTTCGAACCTGGACAGAGTCAATCTGAAGGGCCAACGTGCTTGTGGTCGAAGGAGGGTACAGATTGACACTTGGAATGCCCGTCGAGAAGGGAAGGCTCGGAGAAAGCATTGCGGTCGAAGTGGACGGGATGCAGGATGTCGGACAGCTCTGGAGGGCCACGATTGTCTGCAGTACGTCTGAAAAAGAGAGACAGAGATGGTGGCGGGAAATGTGTAAAGTGTTCATCAGATCGCATCACTCGGAAATCTTCTTAGCACGACCGCAAAGCGGGATGCAAATCAAACGAAGACCAAGTCAGCGAAGAAGATCTCATCACAGGATGCGATCAAAGGATTGTAAGCTGCTAGCGGGAAACGGAAAGATGATTTGAAGCACACATCGGAACGAGCCAAATGATAAGGGAATAAGTGGATGAAAGAGGGGATGATCCGGTTCAGAAACAGTAATCTGTCCCACGGATGACGAGCCGTCAGATGAGCTTACCTGTGAGAGAAGACGTGGTGACTGGGAGGACTGAGAACGGCTGAAACGGATGCGTGTCCATCTGGAAAGAGAGAGAGAGAGAGAGTGAAAGGATGTGAAGAGGGTGGAATCAAAGAGAAAGAAGTTCAGACCGTGGGAGCGGGGAGTCTATTTCGGGAGGGATCCTGACAGAAGTGCCCGATTCGGAAGCCCCTCGCCGCGTGGATATTCTCCCCCCTGAGAGACGATCCCGCCCCCGCAATCAGCGGTAATTACGAACAAGCGAGACATGAGTCAGACAACGACGGATTAGTTCTTCAAAGATCAAAAAAGAAAATGTGGCTTTTGAGCGCGAGGGGATTTCCGGAATTGTTTCACTATAATCTCTTTCTATGTCGCAGTGTCTGGAACAACTTTTATTATAAATGCGATGCGGACTAGCACATTGGATTTTGGACGGAATGTGCAAGAAAATGGAGAGAAAATGAGAGAGTCAAACGATATCATTAAGATCGTGCGAATGGGGAACTTTTTTCGACCTGACAGTTTGAATCAAGGGAACCATCGAAACCGACGCAATCCATTTCTGGACAGAACAAGAAACAACAGGATGCTTTGGATTGTTACACAAGTATAGCTAATTAATTAACAAAGCACAAACAACATGGTAATATTGCGAATGGAACATTCCCTTCTTCCATTCTGATCATAAACTTCTGATCGCTTCCACTCGCTCTTTTATAGGACTCTCGGACCGCCCTCTTAGCATTTCCAGACTCCGAAAGCCTAGCTGAAAAAGGGCGGAGCTTCCATCAATTGACGGTGCGCGAGTGGCTGATGATGATGATGATGATGATGATGATAGTGGTGATGATATTATTTGATAAGGATCATTTTTCATCAAATAATCGGCTCTCCGCCACCCGGATAAGCCGATTTAGCCGAGTGGATTGGATAATTAGTTGCGTCGACCATTCGCCTCTGTTTTCTGACGAAAAGCTGCGAAGGCTTCGGAAGAGATAAGGCGGACTTGGAAGTGTTGGTGAGCAGGATTAGTCCGTGTCGAATCACTTTACGTGTTCTTTCGGCTCTTCTGAGTCGGTTCTTTACAAGAGAAAGCACTAGAGAGCAAAACATAATGATCTTGCAGAAAACTGTCTCTATCGGTGCCAATCGAATCAGTGATCCGGGCGGCTCTCTCCAGCTAATCGAATCACGTCTAAATCCATTTAGCGAGTCTGTGTCTTTCTCTAAGATTTTTGCTCTCGAATCACTCGCATTACACCTGTTCGAATCTGACTAATAGGACCCGCAAACGGAGAGTGAGATCAGCCTAAATGTGCTTTGAAAACGGGCGATTTCAGCTGTCGAAGATTGAAATAAAAATGGAGATTTTGTGGCTGCTCGGCGAGCAAATTTCTGCTGCTAATTATACTGGCTCCCACGCAGTGCCACGTCATCAAAATAGGAAAATGATGGGAAAATAATCAGTTTTTTCCGAACGGAACCGAATGAACTGTACTTCCGCGGGTGGGCGCTGACGTTGAAATGACGTGAGCGAGGCAAGAAAAACCAGAAAACGGCGAAAAGGGGAAAGGGGAGCCGAGAGAGTTGTGCTGGAATTGGGATCTTTGATGTGGTCCCCCAAATGAATCCGTGTGCTGGTGACCTCTGAAGGTTCCCGCCGCTGAATTCACTGATCACTCTCCTCCTTTTCTGTTTTCGTTCACATCATTTTCAGTGGCTCTACTAGAGTCACTCCTAATCTCATTTCCATTTCGAGTGCGGCTTTGACACATCAAAATGCTGTTGAAAAGTGGGATAATCTCTCCCTCTGTGGGTCACCGACCGGATTATTATCCATATCAAAATGAGCACCCACTGACGCACAAACGGATTGGTGATCGTAATTGGATCGACTATTTCCGTCGGATTATTCTGCCAAAATGATGGACAATTACGAGGGATTTGGGCGGATTTAAAGGTTCGAATGGGCGAAAAGTTCAGAAAGAGCATCCGTTTCTTCTCGATTTCCGATCGTGTCGAGTCAGGCAACAAAACCCAATTATTTTCTGTTTATCAATAATTTGTGAGCCGCCAAACTCTGGCGTCCCACCCAAAAAAGTTGCAGGTGCAATTCGGAAATTGGCAATTTCGACACGAGATTAATGTCAATTTGCGTCAATGGACAGACCAAAAATGGAAAGTGAAATGGGGAGGAAAACCGGGGGGAGATGACGTTCCGAATGGGCTCACGTGGGACCAATTGACATCATTCAGACGCGCTAATTGGATCCGAGTCCGGGGGGAAACGGCAGGATTCAGGAGTGTTTCACAAAGTTAAACAGAAAAGGAAACGGCTTGAATATGAACCAGAAATCTCGAATAAACAAGTCTCCAGATATTCTTCCGTGCCACTTGAACTTTACGCGCTCAAATTACCCAAATTTCGTAAATGTCAGCGCCCAAATTAACAGAGCCAATTGGCCGGATTTGCGGAGCAAACAAAACAGAATTGCGGACGGACGACTATAGAACAAATGGGTTTTTATGCGCGATTGAAGAAAAGACACGAAACATTTGAAAGAAAGGAGCAAACGACACACAATCTGGCCTATCTATATGCATTACAGGCGATTAAACCGAGAACTCTGACGCGTGCAAGAAAAATGTTAGCGAATTTTAAAGTATAATAAGGGAGCAAGTGCGACTAGAATCGGTTAATACCAAGAAAAAAAAGAAGCTTGGAGTCATATGAAAATGTATGGAAATGGAAGTGCTCAGATAGAAGGGATGTTCATTTCTTCAGGGATCGAACTGTCCTGGTCCTCGTCCTCGTCTTCATGATCTTCCTCGTCCTCTTCCGATGAGTCTCCAGCATCTTCGTCCTCGGAAGCAGTTATGGCCCTGAAACTGAATTTTTTGGCGACTCGAAATTCTGGAATCAACTGACTCATCAGCTTCCGGAACAACTCCCAATGGAACATTCCCGTCGACAATCTGCGAGTATCCACTAGCCGTGAAATCGGGCATTTCGAACGACTCTTCTCCCGTCGTGATAGGATCTCTTTCCGGCATTCGAACAAGTTCTTCTGCCGCCTGATACTCTATTTTGGCTGGTTTCGTCCCGAGATTTAGGTGCTGTAGTGCCTCTCTCAGAGAGACATCTGAATACAGAAGATAAGACAAACAAAGACTAAAGATAGAATACCGGGTCTCGAAGGATTACTGAAAACTGGCTCTTTGTTGCAAGATGCTCTGCAAAGAGCCATCACCACTTCGGCCTTTTCCATAATTTCGGCATTCGAACTGGCAACGCTCTGTTCTCTTTGCACTTTCCGTGGACGGAGAAATCGTTTGTCGGACCAGTATCCTCCGCAGGCGGTCGAGCGGATCGGAGTGCATTCGAAGACAACGGGAAGCCAGGCTTGTTCTCCTGCAAATTATCATTTTTCACTGCCACCCTGTTAGCATTCTGCTCACCTTCCGAGTCAGGATTGGCGGCGTAGCTCGATTTGGAGATTCTAATGTGCCGGTTGCTCCACACGGGAATCTTATCCTCTCTGTCGTCCTTCTGTTTTCCCAAGGTCTTCAACGATACCAGAACCGTCGCTAGTTCCTCTGGGCTAATTCTTTTTTTGAAAGCATTCCAAAAACGGTCGTTTTCCAGTTCATCGTCTTCGACAACCTATAATAATCGCTAATTTGCCATTTTTTAATCCTAATCTATCGTCCTTTCCGTTGTACACGTCAATATGGACGACAGACGTAAAAAAAAAGGGATTATCTCAAAAATAAACTCATTATATGTTATGTCTATCCGTGACTATTCGAAAGGATTCTCGGGGCTTCCTTCTACCTCCAACGGAAACGAAGTTTTCTTTTCTTCCTCATCTCAAAAGGGATGTACTCACCTCCGGCACATGAATTTCGCGCTGCCGAGGAACATAGTTGAAATCTACCGACTCGTCGGCAGAATCTTCTTCGGGTTGCGGCGTTTCATCTTCCGATTCAGACGTCACCGGGTAGATAGGGAAAGTGTTCAGTGGACGGATCATTTGCTGAGAAGACTCTCGCTCGTGATCACGTACGGGCTGCGCACTTTCCACCAGCACTGGCGTTCTGTCGTATCCAGCCATCATTCGTTGAGCGTGCCGAACGACAGCCGCGTGAGTGACTGGATTCAGCATTTCAGTAACTCTTCTGAATTCATCATCAGGTCTCAGTTGCCGCAGAATGTCGATCATTTCAGTGGGAATATCCTCCATGCCGATTCTGGCAGTCGTCGCAGCGGCTGTCCTCGTGGCCGCCGTTCTCTGCGTTCTTCTTGCCAACATCGGTCGCCTCTGGGCAGGACGAGTAGTTGTGGGCTCTGCGCGGAACGCCGCTTCAACCCTGAATGTGATACAAAATAAGATTCGTTTTTATGGAACCCTTACGAATTACTATGATGCTCCGCCCAGTGCTGAAAGAGATTTTCCGTGTCTCTTGAATGGCTGTGCTCTAAGTCGTTTATCCCGATGCAAACTGGACAGATGACCGAGTATCCCGGAGGCTCCGGATGAGATGTGGTGACGTGGTTTCCGAATTGTCGTTCTGTGAGTCCGGTAAGATTGCAATATGGACAAGTGAACGAAACAATTTTCCGTTCGTCGTAACGTCTCGCTGGATCGCCTTCGTACACCAGTTCTAAAAACGGTTTTTTTACGAAATAACTTTCTAATGTCTTACCAAAGTCAATGGAACTGAGAATCAACTGCATCGGATGAGTTTCGTCATGAATGATAGCAGCATCGATTCCCTGATCTCCGTAATTTTTCATTGTGAAACACGCAAAGCACAGGTCGTAATCACCGCATCGGAGGCATTTGTATCGGTTGCCGATGAATGCGGTCATACTGCAACCGTCGCAAGATACCCCTGGAAAAGATTTCAGATTTGCAATTGTAATGGAAATTGCAAGCTGCGCCAGTTCAGCATTATGAAACACGCTTTTCTGTAACAAATGCTCACCTTCATGTGTTCCGATAAGAGGAGTCACCATTGATGTGAATCAATTCCTGAAAACATTTTAATTCATTCGAATATTGACAATTTACTAAGAAACTGAAGAGAAAACGACTCTGAGATGTTACAGCTTTTAGAACAAAAATTTGTTGAAAATACATTTTAATTTTTCAATTACAATTTTAAAAGATTAAAGAGTGAAACGCAACGCAAATTGATTGAATTCAGCTTGAATTATTCAAGCCAAAGATTTGTCGTATAGCGACATGCAAGTCTCGGAGTTTAAAGGCGCATGACATTTTCCGCTCGGAGGGTCTCGCCGCGATCTCCAAACACATATATTCTCAAACGGAAAATAAATATTTTCGATAGTTTCAACCGTTTTTCAGCCCTCCAGACGATTTACAGCTTTTTTTCATTGCTAAAACAGTAATATAGGCATGTTTTTTTACCCCGTGTTGAACGGATATGTGCAACTTTAATGAGCAAAATCGATTTTTCCGATAGATTGATTTTTGCACAGACCCGTTCTTTATCGAAGCCTATCTTCTTTCTCGTTTTTTTCTTTGTACGTTTTTGTAAGATCGAACTATGTGTTTTTTTCAGACTTTGCGTCTCACTTCACGGTAATCAGAGCGATATGGCTCCGAACTACTTTCAAAAGCCGGAAGCGGCGTTGAAACGCGCCGAAGAACTCATCCAAGTAGGAAAAGAGGCCGATGCTTTGGACACTCTTCACGACACTATCAAAGTGAGTAATTTTCATGAATTCATTCTTTTCAACTAAATTTTCCTTCAGGCTAGAAGACACAAGCAATGGACTACCGTCCACGAGCAAATAATGATCAAGCATATGGAATTGTGTGTTGATCTAAAAAAGCAACATCTTGCCAAGGATGCGTTGTTCCAATACAAAGCACTGACTCAACAGGTTTTTTTAAATGTTGAATTTATCGTACGTCTTTCCTTCATCCAGATCAATGTGAAATCGCTTGAGACCGTTGTCGAGCATTTTCTGAAGCTTGCTGAGCAGAAAACTGAAGATGCACAGAAGCAGTCGATCGAAAAAGTGGAAGAGATTGGAGACCTCGACCAGGGCGATATCCCAGAGCGTCTTCTCCTTGCCGTTGTTTCCGGCGCTGCGGCTCAAGATCGCATGGATCGTACGGTTCTTGCTCCTTGGCTTCGTTTTCTTTGGGACTCGTACCGAAACTGTCTTGAATTGCTGCGTAACAACGCGCAAGTAGAGCAGCTGTACCACACGATCAGCCGTCAGTCGTTCAGTTTCTGCCTGAGATATCAGAGAAGGACGGAGTTCCGCAAACTGTGCGATCTTTTGAGAATGCATCTGAATCAGATCCAAAAGCATCAGTACGCCCCGAACGTGTAAGTTATTATCATAGGCATATTGTTTTTATACCGCATACGTTTTTGTTCCAGCAATTCGTTCCGTGTCAAGCTCACTTCTCCAGAATCTCTCGCTCTCATGCAGGACACCAGGCTTGTTCAATTGGATACTGCTATCCAAATGGAACTCTGGCAGGAAGCTTACAAGTGTGTTGTTTTGAAAATCAAGTTTTGATAACAATTTTTCAGGAGTGCTGAAGATGTTCACGGTATGATGCAGTTGTCGAAGGACAAGGACAAGAGAACTGTGAAACCATCGAGTTATGTCAACTACTACGATAAACTTGCTCTCGTCTTCTGGAAAGCCGGAAACAGTCTGTTCCACGCCGCCGCCCTGCTTCAAAAATTCATCATCTACAAGGACATGAAGAAGTCTTTCACTCAGGAAGAAGCTCAAGAACAAGCTACTCGTGTGCTTCTGGCGACCCTCTCCATTCCGGAAGGTTCAGATTTGCCATCGGATCTATCTCGCAATTTGGACATTGAGGAGCAACATATCTCTAACATGAGACTTCTCTCTAATTTGCTCCGGCTTCCTATTGCCCCAACCAAGAATGGAATCCTTAAAGAGGCCGCTCGCATTGGAGTTCCTGAAGCTGCTGGGCAAACTGCCAAAGTGTTGTACAAGCTTCTTGAAAGCAACTTTGCTCCATTGAGAGTCGCCAAGGATGTTCAAAGTACTCTGGAGACTATTACTCGCCCGGATCATCTGCAGTATGTTGAGTCTCTTCAAGCTGTCGCTGCCGTGAAAGCTTTGAAGCAAATTTCTGTGATCTATGACTCGATTAGCTGGGAACGCATCCGCAAAGTGATCCCATTCTACTCGGACTTGGCTCTGGAGCGTCTGGTCGTTGAAGCCAGTAAGCACCGCATTGTTAAGGCTCAACTCGACCATCGTGCTGATTGTGTTCGTTTCGGTGCTTCTGATGCCACGTTGGCAGGAGGAGTTGATGATGCTGAGAACAACGAGGGATTCACCGGTGATGATACTCAGTTGGGAGTCGAAGGAGTTCGCAATCATCTGGAGGCGATGTACACTCGTCTCCGTGTTCTCGTCGAAGGACTCGACGCCAAAAAACGACGCAAGGAGATGCTCAAGAAGATCGAGAGTCACGTTGTTAGCTATGAAAAAAATCGGGCAACCGAGATCGATCGCATTCACCGTCGCAAAAAGATGCTCGAAAATTACAAGGAGAACTGGGAGCGCGTCAAGGCTGAAAAAGCTGCAACCGCTGCTACGGAGCTGGCCAAGAGAGAGGAGGCGATGCGAGCTGACGAGATGAAGAGACTCGAAGAGCAAAACAAAGAGAGTGAACGGAAGAGGAAGCAGGCGGAGCAAGAGGAAGTTCAGAAGAAGATCAAGCAAGATCAATTGCGCAAAATGCAACAGAACGCAATTTACCAGGCCATCATCAAGGAGAAGGGACTCGACCAATTCCAAGACATGGATCCGGAGCAAGTTCTGCGCGAGCAACGCGAGCGTTTGGATAAGGAGAGAGCCGAGACTCAAAGACGTTTGCAACAACAGGAGAAGAACTTCGACCATCATGTCCGTGCTCTTCACTTGGAAGAAATGATTGAGCGGCGAGCGGTGATGAGCATGCGACTGGCCGAAGCGCCGAAGTTGCATGATAAGTATGAAGAAGCTCGTGTTGCCAAAGAGACGTGAGTTATTGACAGTTCGTTCAAACAATTGCGTCACTCGTTAACGTTTCAGGTCGGCTCATGAAAGCCACGTCAAACTGTGGTCCTCTTGGGATCAAGTCCGTGAAGCTGCCTTTGATTGGGTGGAGAGTGTTAAAACCGAAAACGAGGAGAATCTTGCCAAGAAGATCCGCGACTGGGAGTCCAAACTCGAAGCTGTCCGTAACAGCCGTCTCGCTGAGCGTGCCGAGAAACGAAAGAAGGAACGCAAGGAGAAGGCCATCCAGGATAAGATCACAGAAGAACGTAAAAAGCGTGAGGAAGAGGAAAGAGCCCGTCAACAGGTCATCGATGAGCAGCGACGACAGCGTGACAACGATCGTGGAAGCCGTCGTAGAGATTTGGAGAATTCCGTTGCAATGCAAGACAGCGACTGGAGATCTGGCCGTTCGGGACCACCGCCGCCAAGAGAGCCACGTCCAGTTCGTGACGGACCACCTCGTGATGGACTGTACAGAGATCGTGAGCCGAGAGAGTCATTCCGTGAGCGCGATGTTCCACCTTCCAAGGCCGACAGCGACGCCTCCTGGAGAAACTCTCAGGCCCCACAACCGCGTAAGCTCTCAATAACCCGTCTTTATTTCATTAATCATTTTAGCCCGTCGTTCCGATGATAGTGGTTTACGTCGTAATGAGGAGCCACGTCGTGATGATCGTCGCAGTGACGAATTCCGTCGTGACGACGTTCGTCGCGAGCCTCCTCGTGCATTCTCCAAGGCTGACACTGTGGATAAGTGGGAGCGTGGGGTAAAGAAAGCAGTCCCTCCTCCGCAGAAAACGGATTCTCCTCCTTGTAAGAACATCACTTCAGAGCTTCACCCAAGTGCTTTATTTTCAGCTCAAGCTCCAGAGGCAAAACAAGAAGGACCGAAGAAGTTTGTCCCACCACATCTCAGAAACAAACAATCAGGCAGCGAGGAACAGGGTTCGAGACTTGGAAATGGTAACATTACGAGTCCACCGGATCGTGCTGCTGGCGTTCGCGGAGGCCCACCACCTAGCCGGAACTCACTTCCTCGCCGTGACGGACCTCCTCAGCGTCCTACCGAAGGAGGAGCAGGAGGCGCAGACAGCGGGAACTGGAGAAGATAAATGCTCAGTGTGTTCGTTTCCAATCCATATCGTTTCAAAGTTACTCGAAAGTTCTGAAATTAGTCTTCCCCGTCCCAATTTCATCCCCGTAGTGTGTTTGGTACTTTTTTCCCCTTCAAATACATTTTATGATAACCTTTCCTGTCTGTTCTTTTTGTTTGAGTTAAATTATGAATTCTCTATAATTGTTTTGTTAAAGTTTCCGTTTCCTTCTATTCTAATAGCCTCTGTCCCCTGTCTGCTCTGTTGAGAACTTTTCTGTCCCTCCATACACACACTTAGTGGAGTCTTCCTGAATAAAGGCATTTGCCCTAACACTTCTGTTTTTAGTAAATAGGTATGTTTCTTTCCGGTGCTGCCTGGTATTCCACACAAATGTGCTGAAGTAGGATCTGTAAGTGTTTGCAGTTAGTTCCACCGAAGCAACTGGATGTTACACTCAAGAATTCATATGATGTGGCCGTCTTCCCGTTGGGCGGGGCTTCCTCCACGGCTCAAAAAGTGCTTGGGACCCGCCGAAACGAGGCACATTAGAAGGCACCTGTATGGGGGTGCTTGGACGGCGTAATGAGGAGCGGAGAGCACGCTGATTGAGGAGGCGCAGGCGTCGTGAGCGGGGTAATACAATAAAATAGGATAGATGGTATGGGGCAAGCAACACACGGGCGACTGCGGGCCCACTCGTGTTCATGCCCACCGGAGGAAGCGGACGCCTCGTCCGACATCTCCGCAAGCTTCACAATCGTTATATTCACTCGGTTTTCGAAGATTACCACTCAGTTCACAACCGAGTTTCTATTTGCATTCTCATCCATTTCCATCCGGGCGGCAAAGGACTTTTGACCCACTCGCGATCATCCTATCGCACCCTAACTTTGTCAGTCTTGTCTTTTTGAAAGCATTTATGTTGAAAGATTGAGAGACCGATCGGCTTATCTAAAATTGGAACATATCAAGTAGAAACCGAAAAGCCCTCGCTTTTCGGCTTCGAATCACTTATTTTCAGATCAGTAAATCCGATCGGGCTGAAATTTTTAAAGAAAATACTTTAAGGCAAAACTGAGAACCGAGTAGAGTTCGGATTATCTCAAGAGTTCTACCGCTCTCCAATTTTGGTCCGAGATCGAGGCCGTGTTTTCACGTGGAATTTCGTTAGAGCGACATTACCAGAATTTCGAGAGCTGCTAAACCCTTGCCGCTTCCTCTTCGCACATCTTCGAGAACCCCTCGATCCTATGGTTTCTCCTTTGTCCGGCTGGCTCCCTTTCTTTGTGAAACACGTGATTATAGGTGTGTTCTGTTCGTTTCCATCGCAACACTCACCAATTTTCCCTCTCTCATTTCTCTCCATTTCTCCACTTTCCATACTATTTCCCGCTTTCGACAGCAAAACCAACATCTAATTTTCACCTGCGAACCCTCACTTTTCACTTTGCCCACCTACTGTAGCAGTTGATGAACACGGTGATGCATTTTTTTTTCTGGAGATGGGAATTCCGAAATTGAATCGGTGAGATTCTTCGCTGCCGAACCGATCCGTCAATCCCCCACTTCCACTCCAATCGACACGTTGTTCGGACCCACATTCGGGCAGTTAGTCTAACACGAAATTTGCTGTCCGACCTTGTTTCCAACGCCATTAAGCGGGCGCACACCGACATCCTGGCGCCCTCCAACATCCAATTACCTTCCAGTGGTGGAAGGTTCATTCGTTGGAACTCTGAAGTGAACAACCGAGTACGGTAAGAAAGGGGACACCGAAAGAGTATTTGAGCATTCGAAGTTTTGGGGAATCGTGTTTTAGGCAGAGAAACGGGAACAGTTCCGTCCAACTTGACAGCTGGAAAACTGGGTGAATGTGGAAGAAGAACTGGAAGAAGTCAATGTCCCTGTCGGCCGTTTCCCTGTTCTTCCTGCCAGAAAACCGCCGACTAGACTACAAAACAGTGTCTGCGCCGTCCGTTTTCCACCCGCTCCCTCACCCTCCTTTCCTTCTACATTTCGAAATGCTCGTAATGTGCGTGCCTAATGGGATGCGACTTACACCGCGTTTCTCTCATTCTCTCCGAGTTGTTCACTGTTTCTGCAGTCTAAGACGGCTTCCGACCAAGAGATCGAGAGACGGAGAGAAGGAGAGACAGGCCCCGCCTACCTAGGTTCGGAATGAAATGAGATTCTGGTCTGGACGCGAGGATACGGTAGGTAGGAGAGCGAGAGAGACGGAGAGTGGCACACGGAATTTGAGACATTTTTATGTGGACGGGGCGCTGGGAAAACACGGGCACAAGGGTCGTGTTTGCATTCGGGAGAACAGGAAAAGCAACGTCATCTGAATACCCTCGAAATAGAGTCTTTGAGAATGCTTCGAAGTTAGTTGCATTTGAAAGAAGGTCCGTTTAGCAATGGATTCTGGATAAAGTTATCTGAAAATTTCGGAATATCTCTACTTATTCAGTTCAATGTTCAAATTATCGTTAACATTTGATGGTCTCTATTAAATCCAGCTCAATCCGATCTCTAGTCCGTATAATAGCCAAGAAAGCCCAACGGAGACATGTGTTTGAGAGCCCGGAATATCGAGAGGATCTCTTCGTTTCTTCTTCGTCTTGATTCGAAATTTGCGCATAATGTTGAGATGCCCATAAATGTGATGGTTGTTCCCTTCTGTCTTCCTTCTCCTGCCCCATCCGTTGATCACATAAAACTGTCAGGGAAGCATAGGAGATTTCAATGCGTCCGAAGGGAAAGGAAGCGATTCGATTCGGGAGACGGCCATCGTCGCAGACAGACACTGGGGAGACATCCGGACGGAGACGGAGCCCGCATCCGATGCTTGTTTAGATATCGGACGGAAGTTGAGGAATGATTGCGCAAAATATTTTTGAGTTATTTGAAAATTTGGTTCTCGTGCGTCGTATTCTTATGCCGGTGACGAAGAGATTGTACCGTCTTTTCTGACCGGCTTTATTGCGTTTTCGACTTTTTATCATACAATATCCAACGTTTCGGCTGTCATGATGATTCAATTCCCGCAAACTTGAAAATGATTAGTGGGCCTAGTGAATGTTTGATAACATTGTGCACCTATCTCGCTCGTTCCACACGTAACCATGGTCGTCGGCACTCTATTCTCTTCTTTCGTTTCCTTCCCTTCCCTTTCCCCACTCCATAATCTTTCTCTTCGTTTCCAAGCCAAATCCCATATGCATTTCCGACACAGCACGTCCAAAATATTCATTACTTTTCTCCCTTTCCTTCTTGTTTTCTTCAGAGACTTACGGTAGTCTCACCCGACCTTCCGGACTACTGTAGCGTGTTGCCAAGTGTTCTTCTCCGAACTACCATAACCCTCCGCTAACCCATCTCCCTTTTTTTGCGCCCATTCGAACCTACATCTTTTTGTTTCCACTGAAGATCCTTCAGACTCTTTGATCTCACCGATCTTTGGATAAGTCGGAGTACGGTAGCTTCGGTCGAAGATCGGAGGAACTGTCAGTTGATCGAAGCACCAGAAGCCGTCGGTTACGAGCGAGTAAATGTTTAAACTATCCCACATTTCCAATAAATTTTCATACTCATTTACAAGCTCAAACATTCGGACCAAATCGGTTTTATTAAAACTTCAGCTTCGGAATTTTACAAACATTTTTCAAGAGTGAAAACAAACGGAAACAGAAGATAAAAAGAGAAAGGGAAGACTAGAAACCGAAAAAAGATGGAGAAAAGGGGAACAAAGAAGTTTATAGAGGATCCAGAATGGGAAATGCGAACAAATTGGGAGAAGTTTCGATGGAAAAAGGAGGAACCGTGGAGTCTCACAGGAGAAGAAAATGTCAATTTGAATGGGGAGGGAGGCGGGGACGAAGAGGATTCATTCAGAGAATTCCAGACAAAAAATGGAGATGACCCGTAACGGGTAAGAAGAAGAGGACCCTAGACGAACAACAGAAGAACGGGGGAGTAAATGGAAAGGAAAGAAGAGAGGACACCGCATTGGGAAAGGAGTCAAATCAGTTCATAAGGGACTTTGGAGTCCCAGGAGAGCCGGATTCTATATGGAATAGAGAGAAACTAGCGTTCGGAACGATAAAAGAGTTTACGGAGGGCAAAGCGGGTACTGATACGGATTGTGCGAGGCGGCTGGTTGCCAGTGCGCAGCCATTTGCCACTTCTTGTCCTCGTCCGACTCCATGCCCATGCCCTTCGGCGGGTTCGCCGGTAGCAACGGCGTGTGCTCCGTGTGATCGTCCACTCGCTGCTTCTCTTTCTTCGCCTTCATCCGACGATTTTGGAACCAGATCTTGATCTGTCTGTCCGTCAGCTGAGTCTGCAGACGCAGTTCTTCGCGTTGCTTCTTCGACACGTACGAGGACTGCTGGAACTTCGCCTCAAGCACCGATGTCTGATAGCGCTGGTACGTCTGACGGCCTTTCTTCGACGAGGCTGAAAACGGCAATTCATTTGGATGAGCGAACGAGGTGCCCCCATTTCTTATAACTCTGAAGTTCCTACTCATACCCATGGCACACCACAAAAAGAAAAATGAACTGACCGAATAACTCACCGTAGTTGGGCCACGCCGGATTCGGATAGCACTGTGGCCACCCGGGAAAGGCGGCTGGGCCCAGTGGCTGACCGAAGTAGCTGTAATTCTGCGGCCATCCGTAGCTCTGCATGTAGGCGGCTGAAACTGCGGAGGGGTTCGAATGAGCACGAGGGGAGGAACCACCAACTACCTGGGTAAAGACTCGCTTCGGCCGACGGCGTCGACGAGCTTTCCGGATCTTCCTTGCCAACGCCTTGGGTCATCGCTGCCAGTCTCTACAAAATGGTGGAATTTAGATGGGGCATTTCTTTTTAGATTTTAGAATCAGAATCAGAATTCCAATTCTCATCTAACCCCAGCACTGTTCGGAAATGAGTGCTCTTACCGAGAGATGATCGTTCGCATCTGGCTGCGATGAAGTTGTCGACGTGGCCGCCGACGAAGCGGTAGACGAGCCAAAGTCGAAGGCATTCGTCGCAGTGTTCATCTTCTTTTCCTTTTTCTCTTCTACCGTACTCCTGTCCTCTCACTTTCTGCGTCTTCCGAATCGACGCGCTTCAATGTGGGCGGAGCCTCGTGTGGGGATTGGCCGACGTAGGGCTGCAAGCACGCTTTTGAGTGGGGAAAGAGCTGGCTCGGCGAGTTGTGACGGCGCCCACAAATTATAGAAATAATGGGGTTATGGAAGTGGAGCAAAAGCAGAGATTATGGGAAATGGAGATGAAAGAGAGAGAACGATAGAAAGAGAGACGATCAGAAAGAGAGAGAGAGAGAGAGAAAGAGAGAGAAAGAGAAGGAGGCGTCGAACGGACTGGCCGGATGGAGACTCAGGAAGGTCATTTATGCCATAATTCGGAAGGAGAGACTCAACGCCAAAAAAGCAGAAGTCGTCCTCTCCTCTTCCATTCTTTTCACTTCGACTCTCCACTGAAGTTGCCCGTTCCTCTGCCTTTCCCCTTACTGTCAGCAAATATTTGAATTGAACGAAAAAAAGAGATTCATCAAATTTGTCGTGTGAAACTTTCTCTGAATTATGAACGGAGTTTTGGTCGAAAAAGCGAAAAGAAAAAGAAACCAAAGAAGGACGGCTCGAGAGAATCGCTAATTTGGGGCGATGAGCCGCGAGGAGGATGACTTCTTGACTCTCCATTCCGAGCTCTTTTAGGGGTTGTTGGAAGAGATTTCAATTGTCGTACTACTAATTAGAGCACTCGTTCACACTTTTATAAGCTGAAGCTTCAACGCTTTCAGAAGTGACGTCTAGGAGCTCATCAAAATTTGCACGAGAATACTGTACTGCCACAAAATTCAGAGACTGTTTGAGACTTTCTTATAATAATAAACTCAATCGTTTTGAGCAGTAGGTGGCTAGAATCGTTCCCACAGTTCCTCACTCTTCTGACCCACTAACCCTTCTTCCGATTTCTTTAGGAGCAGCCCTGGCTGAGATGAACTTGCAGTTAGTTCTTTAATAAACAGCAATAGCCATAAAATTAACGTCTTCTTCTTCTTCCTCTTCTTCTACAATTTCTTCTTTCTCTCTTACTCTCTCTCTTCCCTTCACTTCTTCATGTCTCTTTCTTTTTTGCTCTCCCGCACCCCTATAAAACGTAAACGGGCCATTAGGTCCGTCGCGGAGAGACACCTCCGTCAACCACGATAATCGTCAAATTCAGTGTCGGATTTGATTAGAGAATAATAAAGAAACGGGCGGAATAAGTGTGTATTAAAACGAGGTGCTCAACACTGATGCCGAAACGACACCGAAAATAGGTACTAGACATGAAATGTGGTATGGGCTTCGCGGGGGGCGGCCCCCGTCCAGAGCGTTGCAGAGGCAGCCGCTCCCTTGACAATCGGGCGGGGCGGGGCTTCGGCCGGAGGGGGCGGGGCCAGAAAACGTCGATTGGTGCGGGGCGAACGAACGCAGTTCTCTCGCTCCCGACACGGATTTTTGAAAGAGTTCATAAAGTGATGAACGAGAGTGGAATTGGAAAGTAATCAAAAGGTTGAAAATGGGAGAGTCCATTGGTCCTGTGGGACATTCGAATCGTTTTGATTGTGCCGCCCTTTTGAAGAGCGAGAGAAAGAGTGAAGTGGAAGAGAACTGGAGCACTGTAAACAGAAAAATAGAATGAGCGAGAAAGAGAGAGAGAGAGAGAGAGAGACTAGTGAGAGCCGTTTGAGTTAACTTTCTTCGGAGATTCATGAGTTTTGGAAGGTTAAACCTTTTTTTCGAAAATTCTAATCAAAACTAGTATACACTTGAGGAAAAGATACTAAGAGTGGTGCTAAACCGCCTAAAATGAGCTCTTTTTGGAATGTTCGTGACATTGAGCCAAGCGTTGAAATGATGAAATAAAACTCTGTGAAGGGGGAAAGAGTGCGTGTATTCGGTCCGTGTTTGGCCCATAAAATTATACATAAGTGTGTGATAAACTCTGTTTTCTTTGGAATCCACCGCCTCCGTTCCACCTCCCTCCGCCTCCCAGAATGATCAGAATCCTCGAAAGAAACTGGAAGCCTCTGGGGCCGTTTTCTCCTCTTTTGTTTCCGTTTTTCTCATTAATTCTCCGTTCGAATTGCCCCCAAAAAACAGGCGAGTGCAGGGTGAACAGAGATGAAAGAGAAGGCGCCGACGACGGAAAAGAAGGAGAGGAAGACGGTCCACTTATCTGAACGCCATCATTTTAAGCACTTTTCGACACGGGCGGTCTTTTGTGTTCTTCGCTAGGTGGCCACTGAATGAAAATGGGAAAAGTTCGACCAAAGTTGCATAGTCGAGCAACGAGGGATTCAGAAAAAGGGAGGAAGCCGACTAATAGAAGAGGGGAACTGGAAGAGTGGAAGACGTGGAGGGAAAGGCAGATAATTACTATCTTTCGAGATGACGGAGGCGCCAACACTCACTGTACTACGCACTTTGATGATGTTCAAAGCGAAAAAAACTGGATTCGCTGGCTGCCAGGACGTCTTCTGGAAGCGAGGATTTCACACGTGGCACCGGTAGTTAGTGAGGGGAAGAGGAAGAGGAAGCGGAGAGTAGACGTGCCATTTACGGGGGAAGGGACTTTTAACATGAAAGTTCGGGTCCAGGATTTGTGGGTCTTCTCCTAGCTGATCAACCCTGTCCGCTCACATCTTCTATTCCGTCAACGATTACACCGTTTTTGCATTGTTAAACAGCCGACAGATATGCGTATCGGAGGTGTGACAGTGGTTGCTCCAAGTTGTGTGACTGAGCTCATATTTTATAAATTATTGGCACGTTGACCAGGTGAAAGCCGCCTTTGATGTTGCCGCAACGAAGCGATTTACGCGGGATGGGCGGGACATTCTCTCTCTCTCTCTCTCTCTCTCTCTTTGCAAATAATTCGGGAGAGTACGGTAGGTGATAAGAGTTAATGAGGGGGGCCATTAGAGGAAGAGTCTTCTCCAAAACGGGAAAAGTTTTTGAAGATGATAACGATGACAAACGGTTGAGAATGGGAATGACTAACTTGCTTTAATTGGGAAATCAGGGCAAAGATCAAATGGAAGTAGGTCACTTGCAGTTTTAGAGAAAACGAACAAAGGGAAGAGCTCACACACGAACACCCATAAATCTTGATGCTAAGAACACAAATTGGTTTCCGATGCTCGGCCGATCCTTCCGTTTTGCCTAACTAATGAACGTCCTCCTCCCCCTCAACTACTAACTAGATATTTATGTGCATATAATAAGGAAGGCCGTAAATCAGTGACAATTGGTCGACTCCAGGTGCTCAAAAGTAGAATAATAGGCGATAAATCAGCGAGGAGATGCTCCGCACAAAAACGACTGGGAGGTCCGGAGGGAGCGGGCGAAGTTTCGACTCGGAGGGCGACAGGAACCATATGGCAGGAGCAGCAAAAAGAAAACGGAATGGAGCACAATGTGCAATCATAAATATATACACCTTGGAATGTTTGGACAACCAGGATCTATGACCTCAACGAGCAAGATGTGTGAAACTGGGAAAGGTGAGGGAAACGGGAAAGTCATGAGTCAACTGCGATTTCGATTTCACAAAAGAAAGAAAATGGAACTTTCAGGAATCACAAAAGTGTCAGATAACTCAGATAACAGATAACGGTGACGTCACAGAACAGACAGCCGACAACAACCGAGGAAATACCGTGAAGTTCGGATTATGTAAAGGAATCTTTCCGGATTTTTGCCAGTGCCACGTCACCATCCGAAGGTAGCGGTGGTGATGCGCGAACGGGCGCCACACATCCTCTGGATGGGCAATAAAAAGGTGCAGCCAATGTGTCCCGGAATCATAAAACGGACACTAATTTCGTCCTGTTTTTCTTTCGCCTACCCTCCGTTTTTTGTGAGAGGAGACAGTGACCGAAAAGGGAAAGGCGGTTATGATTGTACGGATACGACGACGATGATGATGATTCGGACGGACCGAACCTCATCATAACAGCTTCGAGTGGCGGAGAGGGGCGCCTGTTCCGGAGGGACCAGACACGCCGATTTAACAACTTTTTAACTGCCCCACTTTTATGAGGATTACGAATGCAACCCCACACAAATCGGTGACAGAGTGAGCGCGAAGTATGAGGGGAATCTGGAGAGAGCACCTCGCAAAATCACATTCTCATTTGTTTTCACAACGGCTTTTCGCTGATAATAGATGATAGATGGAGGCTGTTGAAGGGTCGAATAGCAGACAAATTGGAAGGGATTGCCACGTCAGAGCCACGGAGGAAATTGATTCGAAAGGGAACTGACTGTGTAGGAGGGAACGTCCTTGAAGAGCTCATCTCTGAGTCACCGCTAGTCTACTGTACCCTCTTCTTGTGTCTTCTGATTCAGAAACAAGCCAGTGTTATCTATTTGCATTGTGTTCCCTTCGACACTCATCCCTTTACGATTCAGCCCCTCCACGGGTGGTTGCGTACGCGTGCCCGGCCGCCCGTCTACGGTAGGAGGGCACTCTTTTTGAATGCAAATTTGAGGAGAAACGAATCGAAGGCCGTTCTTTTCTTAGTCAAGATCAACTCACTTTCCCTCCCTCTTTCATTCAATTCATTGTTTTTCTAAGGGATTTCGAAATGTTTTCAGAATTTGTTTCTAAAAACATTCTAAAAGCTCATAGAATTTTGATTAATAATAGAGAGTTTGATCTTCTTCTTCTGCTTATTCACTGAACAGTTTCAGAAAAAAATGACAGCGGATTTCAGAATCAGTTAAAGAAGGGAAAGTGGAGAGAAGCTTCCAGGTAGATCCGATTGACAAGATCAAATGTAGGTGATAAGAGGCTGATAAAAGATAACAGGACGGAGTGTGCTCGGGGATTTATTGCAGTCGTGGCGGAAGGAAACAAGAAAAGAGGGCACTAGCCTCCGAAAATCGATAAGTTTGAGACAACACGCGACCCTCTGATTCCATGAGAAGGGCGCCAAATGAGAGAAGAAGTCGTGGAGAGCCGCAGGACGAATTCGAGACGTTTCGGGGCCAGAAGCGCACGAAACAGAGGGGTCAGTAATGTTACGGTATTCACACGGTAATTGAGAACTCCGCGCACTTTTTGAGCGTTTTCAGATAACTTCAGAAGAGCAAACGGTCAATATTATTGAAGTTTGGAAACATTTGAAAAAACAAAAATACAATAGCAGAAAGAGTGCCGGTTAATGGAAAACTGACTACGAAAACAACTTTGTTAGGGGCATGACTGATGATGAAAATGATGGTGGCGACTTTCCGAATAACATGAATAACACACGTGCCGCAGAAAAAAAGTCAAAATTTTGAGAATAGAAGGAAAAAGAAGTAAGAATTAGGTGAGCTTGATTTTGCAGAATGAACAGTATTGGTGGAGACTTGAGAGAGATGTAGTGATAATGAAATTAAGATGAATCAAAGATCAGTTGAGAAGCGGAAAGGAAACTCGTAAACTGAAGGACGGCGGAACCTAGTAAGCCTGAGAACCAGAACGTCATAAATGCGGAGAAGGGAAGAAGAAGGCAGAGAAGAAGAAGAAGAAGAGGAGGAAGAAGAAGAAGAAGGCGTTACGTTCGATTGGCTATCAGCGAGCATCGGGAGACTCCTCCTTCTGCTCTCGCTCGGGCTCCTTCTTCCCGCCGCGCCGTCGCCGTGAGTGCGTCTCTTGGCGGCTACTTCAAAGACGAACCTGTCGAGGGCGAGAACTAAATAAATCAGGGAAGAGCGGAAGGCCCGGTGGTGGCGAGGATGGAGTCGGGAGACGCAGAAAGATGACACAATATTGTGAGCAGCGGCTGCTCGAGAACGAGAAGAAGATTCAGGAGAGATGTTCGGAACGAAAGAGGGTGTGCGGTTTCGATCCCACACTTATCGTAGGACTGTATCGGAAAGCCCCGAGTATCTGGGCACGGATCTTCTGACTCAAAGGTGGGAATCGGGTTACGGTCACGCTCAGCATGAAGCTTGCAAAGGTACGGGTTTCAGATTCATTGTTTGTTTAGAGGATTTCACAGAATTTAGAACGAATGGATCCCGGAAGAGACTTTCAGGCGAAGAGAGAAGCGACAAAAGGCTGTAATGCGCAGTGGGTTACAATCAAACGAACAGTCCTCACTGCTTCCACACATCAGTTCCTACCAAAAACCACACATTTACATTCTCCGCGTTCGTCCTTCCGTTGCTGCCACCCTCTTGTCACCCATAAATCGTACAAAACTTCCGCCTGACCCACGTCAACTCACCTTGACACCTTTCACAAAAGCCGGGTGGTCCTCTTCTGTTGGCGCCTTCTCCGGACGGACCGGGGCTCGTCTGTCGGCGTCTTTTGACTCGCTCAGGGTGCTCATTTGAGGAGGAAATTGGGGAAGGCGACGAATGAAATGCGCTAATTTATGTGATTCGAACGAGGAGGAGGAGACGATATGCATCTGTTTTTTATTGGATTCTTCCTTTCTTTTCGGCACCCGTCATCGTCGAATCTGGATGGGTGCACCTGTCTTCCGGGACACCATCTTACTCTAGAATAAACAGAATACCGCGGCGGGGATCAGAATCCAAATATCAATGCCCTCTAATCATTCTGTTCTTTCTGTGTCGCCTACGCAGTCATAGTCGCTAAATCTTCTCTTAACCACAAAAAAGTGACCTAGCAGAATGGTTCTCATGACCTCGATGCGAAGGAAATTCAAACCCAAAAAAACCAACGCTCCGATCATTTTATCATCTTATCAGTGCTAAAGGACACCGCGCCGCGCCAATCACTGATTTATGGATGGGAACGGAGAAGTGCGCGAAAAGAGAGAAAAGGGGAAAAAGGAAGATGACTGGCAAAAGAAGAGACTGATAAGGGACTGATAATAACGACGAGGGAGCGTGAGGAACTGTTTGCGGAGGCAAATAGCAAAGAAATGAGTACGGTAGATCGGCCGGAGGAGCTCCGAGGAGCCTACCGTAGCCGAGCTCACTTCTCGATTCAAAATCACCGTCCATAATTGTGTTGCAATAGAAAAGACAATGGCGCATAAAAATATTAACAGGTTGTTGTTAGGCCCTGGAAGCCAGGCAGATGGCGGGAGGCACCGACTGTAAATGGTCGTAAAGTGGTGACGGATGAACCTATCGAAGGGAGGGAACAGATGCTCGGAAGCTTCGAAATAAGCACCGGATATGGAATTATCGGGGAGATTCCCTCTCAAGTGCGATAATATTTGTGAAGGGATTACTAAGAAAGGGCGGAACACTTCCGACAATGTTTCTGAGGAACAAGCATCTGGAGAATCCTTCACTTATCTATCATCCGCATTCCCTTCCTATCTCAATTTTCTCTCTCTCTCTCTCTCTATTCAAAATGTGCTCCATTCCCATCAACCGTATTTTCGAAGTGGACAATCAGTCTCCCAGCAAGTACATTCCCAGCCACATTCCATGTACTCCCTCCCAAATGAGCCCAATGAAAAGTGAATCGGTCACGCTCTGATCGAGTCGGCAAAGTACTTTGATCCGATATGGGCGCGGGATGGGAACGAGTTTGAAAGTTTTAAAAAAACGGAGCCGAATATGAGCCGACAAGGGGAGCAAACGGGGGACCAGGTGCAAGTGCGCAACTCGGACCGCTTGCGCAACACTTTTGCGTGTGCCGGTTATGGGAAACACAAAGGGGAGTTTTTAAGGGAGAATTCCATTCGGGGACAATCATGAGAAGAATCAACTGGGACTGAGCTATAGAGCCTTCTCATGAGCAGAGAAATGACAACAAACAAGAGAGGGAGCCTGCTTTGTAAACCATTTTTATCGTTCTGAATACATTCGCTCCTCACAGAAAAGAAACATAAAATAAGAAATATGATAATTTATGTAGTCCTTTACGAGGAATCCCTCTCTTAACTGTTGACCGGCACAGTGACTGATAAGGGGCGAATAGCCGAATGAGTTGCTAATTGAATTCAAATGAGACAAGTATCCGTCCGAAACACATTTGTGCCCCCCCGATTCGGCCTAATTTCCACTTCCGGTCGCCCAATTAACAAGGTGTGTACTCGACGGACACCCGGCGCCTTGGCGGAAATCCGACGGTGCTGGCGAATAAATTTGCAAAAGCGGCGCGTTGAAAAAGAGATCAAAGAGAAGAAGCGACTGAATTTTGAACTGCGACATTTCAGTTCTTAAAATGGGACATTGCGGGAGGGAGGGATCCTTTGAAATTCTGTCTTTTGGGGGGAATTTGTTGTCTGAGCAATTCAAACCTTAATTTATTTGCTGACTGTAAACGGTTGAGAGCAGAGACGTCACAAAATGATTCAGAAAAAGAAAAGAGTGAAGAGAAAAACGAATTGTGAATTTATTCACTGGGGCTCACTGATTGAGCGAAATTTTGTCAATTCCTACTAATCAAATTTTCTAGTATAATGAGGGGATAGACTTAAAAAGAGTGTAATCAAGCATTCAGGTCAGAGGAATTGCTCGAAAGAACGGAAAATGTGAAAAAGGTGTTCGGAGTGACTAAATGAGCGCCGTTATCTCGAGTCGATCTGTCGAACTTCTCACCTACCGTATGTCGCCGGGCGGCAAAACATCAAAGCTGTCGTTCGTCTCGATGGGCCAATTAACACCTTTCTCCTGCGCCCGGCGCCAACCACTTTTAGCGGTTTGCCTCTTGACAGCCGTGCCGACGGATAACTTCCGACCGATATGTCAATGCGTCTGTAAGTTAATAAGCTTGGTCATCATGAAACTGTAAGAATTGACACAATTAATTTTAGAAGCATGCTCTTTCAAGTTGAAAGTCTGGGAATTCGATCGTAAGTGACTGAAAACTTCTGAAAAAGCTCACTCAAACCGACATCAGTTGTTGAATTTGCCGCCAAATATGCACTGAAAGCGCGCAAGAAAGTGCTCCATGGCGCAGTTTCCGTGCAAATTTAGGCTTTTCCGCTAATTTTAAAATTGTTTTTTCCTTGACAAAACCCAATTTTTCGCATTTGTTAATTGAAACAGTTCAAATAAAGATGTCAGACAATTTGTCGGCCCGTTGGCATCGACTTCTGGACATGACGAATAAAGACGCGTCGGAAGAAGTCGTGATCGCTCGCTCGAGCTTCGACGACTTCTCGCAGCCGACTTCATGGCGCTCGTACGAGATAGTTTGCGGTGAAAGAGTCTTGTGAGTTCTCATTTTTTCTGAAAACTATCGAGAAATTCTCCTAAATCCTTCTGAGAACTGATGGTGAATATTGCAGCTACGTGAATCCAGGATGGATGGCCGAGCTGTCGCCGTATTTTGCTGAGCAGATCTTCGTTCGGAAAACAGCGGCGAAGCGCTTCGTTCTCGAGCAGGCTACTCCAACCGAAGTTCTCGAGTTTCTCAGGTGCATCACTTTCTGTCCGATGCGGAAACCACTTACAGGTGAGCTGAAAACTGATTAAAGTTAATTGTTCAAAACTTTTTAAACAAATCATAAGCCTCATTCTCAATAATGGAGGTCTTGAGTTATAGTCTGTTTATTTCTCCGCTCGTCCGTCATCGCTTTCTCATTTCTAACAAAATATTTTTGACGGAGAAACTAACACGCGAGCGTTCAAACGAGCGGCGAAGTCGAGATACGAGCGTTAGGGCTCAGTTCCACTAAGTCTTGTTTGTTAATATGCTTTAAAAAACTATTTCAGTAAAAAACGTTTCGCTGGTGCTCACATTCGCCAACAGGTTCGAGATGCGTCCGGTTCAGGCTCGCTGCGAACATTTCATCGCTTCCAACGCCACTTCGCTCAGCCGTGACAAGACGAAGCTGTTCCAGGTATTTACAACGTTAAAATTAGTTACAACTGCTTACTAAAAATATAGAGTTCCTAACAATAAACAATAAGTGCTGATCACACAACCCATCTCCTTTATCATTTTAAGCAGAGTGTACTACTCTTCAGCTCGAACTTTAATTGCAGGTAACGTGCGCCATGTCGCAGTGCGATCCGAACAGTTCGACGATGTCGGTTCTTGTCGACAAATTGGCAGGGATAAAAGTAACGCCTTTCAAATTCTCCTTCACATAACTCAATCGTTTTTTTCTAGGATGAAGACCTTTCCCGTCTGCAGTTTGCCGAGATGCCGGGCGATGTAGTCGCCGAGGTCTACGCTCAGAAGATACAGAGAACGAAAGAAAAGAAGTCGCAACGCCATCGTGGAGCGGGCGACGAAGACCAGGCCGTCGGATGTTGCGTCACGTGAGAACGACTTCCGTCACCAAAATCTATGATGTTTCTATTTCAGTCAATGGGTGACTTCTCTCTTCCATCGCCGCCATCAAAATGAGCCGGATCAGTCCATTCTTCCGTCCTCGCAACAACGCGCTAACAGCATCTCGCCATAATTGCCTGAAACTCAGGAATCCCTCGAATCTCGATCTGCCTGTAAAATGTTCCGCAATTCTCTCTTTCCGTTTTATTGTTTCCTTCTCGGTGCGCCCGATATCTCATTTCTTCGTTTTCTAATAGTAATCAAGGTTGGTTCTTATTCGAAAACTAATAGATTATTTGTCTAGAAAATAGATACCCCGCGGACGAAATTTTTAATTCTTTTTCTTTTTATCAGATGAAGTTTTGTTTCGGAAGCTGCGCCCTTGAAACTCGGCCTATAATTCACCAGTTTGGGTGGTCGGACCGACTGTCTTTAAATGGAAAGACAGTCGGAAAAGGAGTACTGTAGATCGTGTTCCTCTGCAAAAGTCTCGATGTACTCCTCCGATAAGGAGTACTGTAAGTCCCTGATGGGGGCACCAAACAATTCTTTGAATTTTCGGGTACTTTCCTCTCGTGCTGCTTCTTCCGCGCCGGGTTCGTGCACGATGAAATATGGGCGGCACGGAGCCGAGGAGAGAGCGAGAGAAGCAGAGAACACAGACGGCCACCACATATTTCATTTTTTGACGTGGCAGCAGACAACGGATTGACGTGGAAATGACACCAGAAGCACCGATTGGAGCCTTCTCCGGAACACACACATTTCGAATGGAATATTCCGAGAAACGGAGAGAAAGATCAGAAATTGGGATCGGTAGGTCATAGTTTGGAAGCAGAAGAAAATATGAAAACGAAGAATCGGGATCATTAAATGGGCGAGAAATTGAACATATCTCGACTGTTTTCATGAGATATTGCGCTACGGAACTGTCAGCAATTTCTAAGATAGAGAGTTTCGTATTGGAAAACTTTGTTTGAAAATTGCGAGGATCCCCAAAGTATGACAGTGAAGACCTTCAAGGTTTGTTCAGAAACGTGAAGCTTTCTATTCGAAATTTCTTTAGAATCGCGCGACTTTTCAGTGTGAATTCATGCCCCGTCTAAAAGTATTTACGGTATGGAATGACGGTTAGAAATGAAAATGGATTAGGAAGCAATTCAAAGTTATCATTGACGCGTGAGCTTGCGGGAATGGGCTTGTTTTCACATTCAGACACATTTCCATGGTAATTCTGAAAGGCAAGCAATGGGGTTTTGAAAAGTAACGAAAGAAGATGAAAAGTAGAAGTTACTGGTGAGATCTCGTGTGATTTGGCGTGAAATTGCAATCAGAACGGATGGCTTCTAAACTTCACTTCTCGAGTTTATCAAGGGGATCAAAATGAAAACGAACGAGTGTTGGATGGAATTCATTCGGCCCATTCGACATGATCCGGAAAAAGAGGAAGAGATACGGGAGAGAGCACCGAGAAAAGAGAGACGCAGAGGGGAGTGGCGCCCGCCGAATGGCCACCAACTACCGTAATCCGCTCAAGCAGCTCCTCCCCTTCAGGCCCGAAAATGAGGGCGTTAATGGAGTGAGCGATCGAAGAATAACATTATTGTTTCGGACGTTTTTCATCGCCGCTTTATTGGATTCCTCCGCTTCGAATCTCTGCTTCTCTTTTTTGCCATTTCTCAATTCTATTTTATTGGCTTCATCAAATGATTGTTGAAAAAACGGATGGGCAGGTGTTCTGGAGGACACTTTTAGATGGATTCAGAAGGGAAAAGGGCGGGAAGAAGTGGGTGAAATGCTCGGAAACACATGTGAGAGCATCCCGTCGCTGCCCTCGTAAATTCATTTTTATGGCCGTTTTCAAGCCGTGTCAATGAGCGATTCGGACTGCTCCGAGACCCATTTAAACAGCCACCTCATTTGCATTTCCTCCCAAACTTTTTGTTTGCTATTCTTTGAGAGAGCTCGGATGAGCAAAGAGATTCCAAGATTGTTCAGACCTCACTTCTCGTTAAAATCGACCAGAAAAGAGCTAGTGGCTGTGAGATCGGTTCCGTTATTGGAGTTCATAAAAGACAAATCTGATTCTAAATGTTTCCGAGAGAAGAATACCGCGAGATCTCTCTGTCAGGCGATTTCAAACTTCTACTGCACGATGAAAATGCATCCATAGTACATGTTTGAAGTGACGTCTCGTGTTCAACTCGAACAAATTAAACTCGAAAATCACAGAGTACATTATTACTTTTTCACTAATTTCATAAAGACTACTGCTCACTTAGCTATTTCGGTATCATTTACAGTCCTTCGAAACTTCTGAATCTCCCCCGCGGCAACCCGTTTCTCTCCGCTCCGAACCGTCTCCAAACAGACAGTTTCCAGTCTCTAATTACTCTTTTCACCCATCCGAATGCCCTTTCCGTTCCGTTTTTTCTCTCAAATTAGCTCCACCTGTCATAACACTCATTTATCTTGCGACTTGCTCCAATTAGACGCCGCTCCCTCCGCCACCACCTACCGTATCCGCCTTTCCGTTTTCAAATTCATTGCGTCAGTACTTACCGTAATCCTGCCATCTCTTTCTCTTTCTCTCTCTCTAATTGATAATTTATGAGGTTTTAATGTTCTTCCAGTCACCCTTTCCCACTCTCTTCTTCTTCTTCTCCTTCTGATATTTTGGGTTACAACACAAGAATTTACCCAGGGCAACTTTGAATTCGATCGAGATTGAGAGGAAGAACGCTTAGAATTGCAATCTATTATCAATTTGATTTCTCACTACCAAACTTCAAAATTGTGGAGCAAAGTACAATAAAACAATGTTGAAACTGAAAGCAAAAGGGCTGCATGAACCTGTTTGGAAGATATTGTACGATTCCTCGAAGAAGTGTACTCTCTCTCTCTCTCTCTCTTTGTTCCCATCACCTCTGGTTACCCTCATCTTGTCACGAAAGACACTCGAGTACATCCGAATGATGGCCGTCCTCCGCAATTTATAGCTCATTTTGTGCGAGTGGGTGGTCTTGGCCTCTCTGATTTATTTCGCTTCTCCATCCTTTTCCCTTTGTTTCCCCTCTTTCGAAAGGTACATGAAATCGTGCGTGCCATTCGAAAACTCTCTGCTTTTCCCCTGGAGAGAGCCGAATAAACAATGGTGTGGGATCGGCGGTGAAACAGAAAGGAAACCGGGCAAAACGAGTAGTAAATGTATCATCTTTTGTCTCGTTTTACAGCCATAACAGGCCGTGTCCCTCCGCGCGCTCCCGCCTTCTTGTCCACTATAAATCAGTTCGTTCCGAGAGCCTATCGCGTCTTTGATGTTTGCCGCGCCGAAGAGAGAACGATGCGCGGCACGGAATGAGCGAAAGAGGTACGAAAAAGGAACGAGACATACGGTAGCAGTTGGCATGGCATCGCGAGAATCAACGAACAGATTCCATTTGAAAATGATTCGTTTGAGAATGAAGAGGGATAGTTTTAGGTGGAGAATTGATAGAATCGACGGAGCAAATAGTTTCACTTGAGATGGCTTTTGGAAAAGTCTGAATAGAAGGCAGGGTGATACTTTTTAAATATGGAGAACCTGTTCCAATGGATCTGGAAACTGAAGAAAAGTAATCCAATTTTCGTAAGCGGATGACCCTCCCTACTGACGAAAAGTACCACTTATTGAAGTTCCAGCAGGTTCAATTGGGATAGTCATACGCTTGAAAACTAACGTTTGACGTCAAATGTTAAGATCGGAAAACGTTTTCCCTATTTTATAGTATCATCCCAATTAATGGACCTCAAAATGCTTTCCCTATCCAACCCATTTCCCTCCGCTTGCAACCTAACTGAATACTTTTCAACAGACGGCTGTCACTCCGTTGTTTTCGTGCTCCGCCAACTTTTCGCGCTCTTTCCCCGATCGGCATTTCTTTGTCATCCGACACCTTCCATATGGGCGTTTACAGCCGCAGTCTGACGAAGAAACCATGCGGTGCTCAGCCTGTAAACACCTCGCGAGCCACGTTGTCAACACGGCTCAAACCCACTAAATCAATCACGTTTTATGAGTGTTTTACGACGATATCGACGGAGAGCTCGGCGAGGAGCACGAATCGGAAAGGAAGAGGAGAAGTTTGTGAGAAGATCAGAGACAAAAGATGAGAGAAAGAAGAAGAGGGGGAATCGGCTGGAACTGGACAAAAACGGAATGAACGGAATGGAAGGAGTTCAGTTTTACGAGTCCGGACAGTCGGAGATTGCAGATCATTAACACGTCCTGGGCGGGAGTGTTTCATGTGTTGGCAGTCTCCGATCAGACACAATTTATGGCTGTTCGGCACTTCATTCGTTCGGGTTCATCATTGATCCATCAGTACATCTCTAGTACTTTCCAAGTATCAGTTGAGTACTAAACTGTCGAAGCGACTATTTACTCCCGCCTATCACCAACTCGTTTCCCACCGATCCATCTCCGTTTCCCCCGTTTTCCTATCAAATTCCCATTGCCTACCGTACTCTTCTCTCGTTTTACTTCTCCGTTTTTCTTTGCATTTTCGGCGGTGTTCGTTTTGATGTTGGAGCATAAAAGAACGAAACGGCACAAAAAGAGAGCGGGTGATAAAATAAAGTTGGAAAGTGGAAGGAATGGGCGAAACGAGCGAGAAGATACTGTCGCCTTGTTTGCAACGGACGATCCCTTTTCGGGGCGATCAGCTTGACTCACCGTCTCCACTTCAAAGGACGCCGCCGCCGCCCCTTCCGTTCTCGGCCGATTTCGCGCGCATTTTTCAGTTCCAGGTGGTCTTTTGGCGGCGATTAGATGAAAGGAACAGTGAGTAATAGGCGGAGGATCAGACCAATCTGGAATGTCTCATTTTCGAATTCGAACATTTATCTTAGCTCTTGTACAACCGCCAATCCTCCTCCAGTTGGATGGGAAAAAGAAAGTGAACCATCAAATCGCTTTTTGGAAGATCCTACTTTCCAAAGGACTCCCGGACGTCTCGAAACCGGTGGACATTCCAAATATGTTTAGCTCTCTTGTTCTCGTCCAACTGGAGGATTGACAGTTGTACAAGAGCTATGATAAATGTTCGAATTCGAAAATAAGACATTCCAGAATTTTGGTGTCGAAATGTCTGGTTTCCGGAGTCATTTAAAGGCGCTGAAGTCTTTTTTTGTTTGCAGACGTTGCTAAGCTCCCAGCGAACCGATTCAATCCAAACTTGTCGAAATTCTTTGTCATCCGCAGATGAGCCGATAGAAAATTTTGTTTCAAATTGATTATGACTTGAGAGCTGTTCAGCTTCTCCAACTACCCCCTAACCATCCCGTTGGAAACCTTGAAAACGCCTCATTCCTGTATTCAAAAGCACTCTTTCTCACCTCCAGAACCAGTAAATCTCGTGTTCCTCCTCAATTTCATGCTCTTTTCTTTTGCTCCATGCCCTCCCAGTTGTTGCTCCGTCATCGTCTCACTTCATTGAATGAGGCGGCAAATGATTGAAGTGGGTGAAAAAGTGAGAAATCTCGGGAATGAGCAGTTTTGCGGGCCGGGAATTAGGAGATTGGATGTGGATGCGAAAAAAGAGAAAAAGCCGGAGAGAAGAGTCTAATTATGTGGTGGTGATGGGGCAGAATTAGGCGAAAATGGGAAGAAGACGGGCGGTGGGAACGAGAATTTCCGGGCTCCGAGAGCCTGAGAATTGGAGCGGAGCAGTTCGAAATTAACGGGCTCTTTGTTCTTTAAAAAACAAACGATTGTAAATTTGTCTTCCTTCTATTTTTTTCTTCAATTGTCAATCTGTACAATTTGTTCGTTTTCCGTCAAACTTCTGCTCACATATCCTTCATTCTACTCGTCTTTACTGAATTGATCTGTGAATCTTCTAATATCCAATCTGAAATACGCCGAATATCGTTCGTCATTCCGAAATGCCAACTGGCTATACTCGACTGTATCCTAATAAATGCGAATCCTCGAGAGCCATAAAGGGAAGCCTTCTTGACTCGTCTTGCTCTTATCCAAATGTTATGATTCCCTTTCCATAAATCCCCTCCATCTCCATCTTCCTCTCCTTTTTCTTCTTCTTCTTCTTCTTCTTCTTGTTCAGTTGGTCGCCCGCCCCGCTCCCTTCCGATTGGCCCGTCCCCTCTTCGCAAAGCCCGCCCACTCGCCCGTTCTCCGCTTCGACCAGTCGGCCGCCCGGTCCCCGAACCAATATTTCATCAGGCACCCAACATATTTCAACCGCTTCTCCTCCCATTCATTTTCTACCAATTCATTCGCTCATTTATACATATACATCTCAATTAATGCGCCCGCTTAACTGCCTTCCTCACGACGCCACAGTCTTTTCGTTTCGAGACCTATTTATCTGTTTTATGGGCGTCGCCCGCCTCTGGGCACTTATTCATTAACTCGGCGGTTTATGTGATAGCACTCTGAAAAACGGAAATGAAAGATAGACTTAGGTGATTTGAAAGAGTCTCGAGAAAGATAGGAATTTGTAAAAACTCAACGATGGTCAGACAGTTTCAAAAATCAGAGCTTCTTCGGAAGGCTTAGATACGCTTGTCACCGCGATTTGTTGGTCTGAAACTGCTCTTTATTCATCTTTCACTGTAACTTCACAGTTTTCAACTCATTCGCACGCTCAAATCTCTCCGTGCCTTTCTCTTCGTGCTGCTCATTTTCTGTCTCCTCATCCCTCCAATTACCTTTTCAGAAACATCTTCTTCGTCCGTCTCCGCTCACGCACCACTTCCCTCCGTCTTCCACCCCTAAATGAGCATGTATCCTGGATGGACGGGAGACGATTCGTACTGGGCAGGAGCTGGCACCGCTACTGCTCAAGCCGCCTCCAACTCCTCCGCCACATCTGCCTCTTCGACAGCGTCCTCGACTGCCGCAGCCGCTGCCGCCGCCAATAATTTGAAGGTGTGTCGCTGAGCACACAATTGAATTGCATATCTAGAAGATGAGACCAGAAACATCTTCTAATGAAATCGAAAGATAACCTTTACTGTGATTTCTTACCTAATCTGTACTTGCAGACGTACGAACTGTACAACCACACATACATGAACAATATGAAGAACATGCTGGCGGCCGGATGGATCGACAACACGAACCCGTGAGTCCCTCGGTCTTTCCGTCCTCCAAACTCACAGAAACGGTTGCAGATTCGCGTACAACCCTCTGCAAGCGACTTCTGCCAACTTCGGAGAGACGCGCGCCTCGATGCCAGCCATCTCGCAGCCGGTGTTTCCGTGGATGAAAATGGGCGGTCAGTTCGCGTTTCATTCGCTTTTCACTCGTGGATTTCACTCATTTTTATGAGGCCATAATGCCTAGAACAAACACGTGCATATGGGTCATCGTCCTCCGAAATGACTTCTCATTTGTTGATGTCGTTGTGAAGGGGTAATGACCGCCAAAAAGGTGTGAAGAGGCACACTTTTTCGATGCTTATCTGCCGGGGACTTCTATGGCGGTGGCCGATCGCAAAATATGGCGACATGGCGGCCTCTTTGGGTTCCGATCGCGGAGAGAGACCACCGCAAACTGCAATTTTTGATTTATTTATGATCGCGTATTTGTGTCCGAGAGGAAAAAGAGTAAAAGGGAAGGTCAAATTGAGAGACAACTTCTGCAGAATGACAGTACTTTCGGTATGATAGAAGGAGAGAAGAAGTATGGGAAATCATTTTAAACTATGAAAAACAGTCCCGACCTGTCCCGAATGTCCCCAACAAGGACTGTTCGAGAATCCGATGACTCACCCGGTTCTCCTTTTCATTCGTTGCATTTTTTCGGAAGCACGGGAAAAGAAGCGGAGACACGAAAATACGCGGCGAGTCGTGTCTCGCTAGTCCCGCTCGTTCCCTCCGTTTCCCTCTCGCTCCTCTTCCGATCATTTATTTTCCGTTTCCTTTGAAGTTCGCCGCCGTGCCAGAAAAGACGGCCCGTGAAGCCGGCCGGGAACCGCCTTCGAGCCACGCGGCCGAGGGACGATGAAATGTGCTCCGATCTGATTTATTCGTTCGTGTTCGCAACAACAATGCTACAAGTTGTACTACATAGGACGCGCGTCCGTTCGACACCGACCTGTCAAAATGTTTGCGGTCGATGTGAGGACGAGCTGAGGCGGCTTTTACGACACGAGGCTCCGTCGGGCGGCAGCTGCTGCTCCGTGGGTTTCTGGAGCAGCACGGGCGGCTTGTCGCCTTCTAATCTCATGATTTACAGTAGAAAGAGGACTGACAAGAAATGGACAGTAGGCACGAAAAAACCGGATTAGGATTGAGGAAGACGTTGTTCGGAGGGGATTAACAGTGTAAAGGTGGAACAGGGGGAGGAGAGGACTGAGCAGTTCCATCGGGTTCCCGAAAAGGTGACCTCGAGGGCCAGTCCACATAAGTCTTACGCATTCGATCAGAGCTTCGGACGATTAACCCAGATTCGTGCCGTCACATTCCTCCGATCACTTTTCATCATTTCGAGTTATCAGTTTGTGAGACGAATCCATTCTCATTCCGTTTTTCCTAATCACCGCCTTGATTGATGTTTTCATCTCTCAATTGTAGAGATTTAGAATGAGAGACAACTACAGTAATCCCCTTCACAAGTTTCCTAATCAAATTGGCGATCGAACCGAATACTGAACGCCGACAAGCGTCGTTTTGTTGGAGGAGAAAAGGACAGGTTACGTCGTCCTTTTTTTGTTTTGATCGGAACATTTTTTGCTGGGTTTGGAATGTACTTCTGGGAGGTCCTACTGTAAAACTGTCGATGAGAGCAAAAAGGTGGGGACTACAGTAGTCGGATTCGAACATTTTCCGGATGAGGGACAGATGGCTGAATTACAATGAGAAGGAAGGAGAAGAAGACGTGTGAGGGTGTTGCAAGAAAAATTGGAAATTGAGGAGAATGAAAGACAATGAAAGAGGGGTACGGTAGGCGGGGGCGGACGTCGATCAGGACACTCACTTCAAAAATGTACCTTTAAATCGGTCTTGCAATGCGGTTGAGATCATTTCACTAGAACACCAAGAATTCATACGACTCCCAAGTAGCTTCACGAAAGTTTTTGAAATCATCATCTTTGTATGTTTCTGGAGTGTCCTGTTTTCATTTGCAATTGGATACTCTCTATTATGTACATGTTCTGATCATATTTCCCCTGATTGAATCGTCATCAGACACTGAATTCCCCATTATCACTATGATTTGTGACCTAAGAGTTTCGTGAGTTTCGAGATCAAGCACTCTGTCGTTGCCCACTCGGATCTTCTGATGATTTATTTCGGCTCATCGCTTTCCTCAATCATCATAGCAAGTTTTGGGGAAGATTCGATTGAGAAGGTGTGATGGGACCGCCCGGAACAACAACTGTTATGAAGTCGGCGCGACGATAAGACAAAGGGATTCGGCAATAATGAAATACGAGCGGATGAGGCGACGACACAGAATGACAACTGACCGACCAATCGGACCGATCGGAGGCCGGGCGACGACGGGATGACTGTAGTTATTTGGGAGAACATGGGCTGATTAGTCAGATAAACCGACCATTCTGGCGCCCATAAGAAGACGTTCCTCTGGGTTCACTCTATATTCGATCGGCTCACTGTCCAGCTTCTCCTCTTCCTGTATCGTCATTCTCAACTTCTATCGTAGCACATATAATTCAGCTCTCTCTCTTACCATCTTAATATTTGTTATCTCGATCAACTCTTTTTATTATAGGAACGAAGGGAGGAGAGTCGAAGCGTACCCGTCAGACGTACTCGCGCAGCCAGACTCTGGAGCTCGAGAAGGAATTTCACTATCACAAATACTTAACACGGAAACGACGGCAAGAGATTTCGGAGACGTTGCATTTGACGGAAAGACAGGTCAGTTGAAAACCGGGCAGCTAGGGCCGACTGAGACCTCAAGTATTTTCTGTTCCAAACGCCGCGTCCTTAATTGTTTTCCGATAGTGCAGACCACCCAAAAAGTGGCTGAAGCAAGCGTTTTTTTTGCCAAAAAACGCGGAGAGGAAAGAAGTTTTCTCAGCATTTTCGAAGCGCGCGACGCGGCGGTCCTTTTGAAGTTGCGCCGAAAAGAGAAGGCGAAAAAGAGAAGGAAGACCAAGAGTCGAAGAAACGTTTTTGAAGAAGTAGAAAAGTTTTAGAGAGGGCTGTTGAGATGGAAATGGGCGGTTTCGTGAGCTGAAAAAAATCACTAGACACTTAAGTCATTTCAGGTGAAGATTTGGTTCCAAAACCGTCGGATGAAGCACAAGAAAGAGGCGAAAGGCGAGGGCGGCAGCAATGAATCCGACGAGGAATCAAATCACGACGAACAGAACGAACAGAACTCCTCGTGATCGCCTCCCTCTGATACTCCTTTTCCCACTCGCTCCGGTCACTTTCTCCCATTCTCTTCCCCTTTTTCGTCTGCATTTCAATCGGTGATTCATGGCTTTTCCCCTGACCTGAAAGGACCATTCCGCCCTTTCGACGGGTCATTTTGCTTTTTCTATGCAACTTTTTCGACAGATTTCTCTATATTTCTGGAATGCTTCTTGGGATTCAATGATCTCTTTTCTCTTTTTTCCTTTTCATCCCTCATTCTTCTTCAGTTTCCTACAATGTTACATATCTTTTCGTTTTCATAAAGTAACCGATAAAAAAAAATTTCATAGAGATTTTCCTCACGTTCCGAATATTTTCGAGAATTTCTGTTCCACTGCCCCGGCCCTCGACGTGTCCTTTCTTCCAATCAGAAAAAGAAACGAACGATTCTAAAGTGGCCATTTCCGTACTAGCCATTCGACTGATCACTCCTTCTCTCTGAGAAAAAGCACACTTCCGATACGTCGAAGATGTCTGCTCCCAATTTGAATGCTCCCGTCGCTTCTGCTGCTCTGGCGCCGGCTCCCGTACAGACGATAACTCCACGCCAGGCGGCGATGGCCCGCCGCGTTGCTCCGGCAGCCGGATTGACTGCTGCTCACGTGAGCAACCGCCTTTTTTCAGCTCGGATGAGGGACTCGTTTGCAGGCGGACATGTTGGTGTTCATGTCGCAATCGCACGGAGCCGGATTCGATCAGCTCATGCAGTACGCCGAATCGGTCGGAATAAAAAGAGACCAAGTGTCGTACATCGCGTTCGCACTCGCCGCGTTCTACCTCGTTTTCGGATCGGCCGCCCGTCTATTCTGCAACCTTATCGGATTCGGATATCCAATGTATGCTTCTGTTAAGGTAATCAGAGACTGTGCAGCGAGTGGAAGGCAATTTAATTCAGGCGATTCGGACGAAGGAGACTGACGACGACACGGTCTGGCTGATCTACTGGACGTGCTTCGCCGTGCTCTGCCTGGTCGACTTCTTCTCCGAAGCGATCTTCTCCTTCTTCCCCTTCTACTACATTTTCAAGGCGATCTTCCTTGTCTACCTGTACCTCCCGCAGACCGGAGGAGCCGCCATGTTCTACGAGGTCGTCGTCGATCCGCTAGTCGTTTTTCTCGACAGGAACATCGAGAAGTTCAACAAGAAGGACTAGTCGAACTCATCTTGCTCCCAAGTCTTGAAAATGTGAAATAAACCTTGTTAATGGCAATATACTTTTGCTGAATGTTTTGCTGTTTAATAGTATTACAAACAGCGCACTTGAAAATAGGCTGCTTTGTTTCTCCTCGCGAGTAGCGCGTCGTTTTTAATGCCGCGTCTGTAGGGTACGGTGGGCGCGGTGTTTGCAGAAAGTCGTTGAACAGCCACGTCAAATCGGGTCGGCTCTCCTGTTTTTCTGCTCTTTTCAACAGATATTGAATTTCTGAATAGTTATTTGTTTCAAAAAATTTATTTGAAATGCTCTCAATCAATTTGTGGTAGTGCTCTGAATTCTTGTTCGTGGTATACGTCGCATAACATCGATTTTTCTTCAGATGTCGTTCTATGGTCAAAGTGGTTCGCAAGCGTCCGGGACGAATCACCGCAGGACTTGGAATGAGGTATTTGTTTGATAATTGTGTTCGACAATTTTATAAATTTTTGCAGACCGAGTATTCGCTAAAAGCGCACCAGAGAGTCCTCGACGAAAAAGAGGCGGAAGACATCCGTTTAGGGAAGAAAAAGAAAGATGAGCCGAAAGTGAAAAGAGAAATGTTGAAAGCCAGAGAGTATAAGGTTGACATATTGAATAAGCTTTGACAAAACTATTTTCTTACAGGTAGACTTGGACTCGAAGGTAGGAAAGTCGGTGGTTATCACCAAAGCAACGCCTTCTGCTGAAACCGGTGGCTTCTACTGCGACGTCTGCGATTGCGTCGTCAAGGATTCAATCAATTTCTTGGATCATATTAACGGAAAGAATCACCAAAGGAATATCGGAATGTCGATGAAAACGAGAAAAAGCACAGTGGACGATGTAAGAGAGAGATTCAAACTTTTGAAGGAGAAGAAGGATCGAGAGAAGAAGGAGCAGCAAGTGGAACAACTTCTGGAGGATGTACAAGAGGAAGAAGCAAGGATGGCTGATTTCAAAAAAGAGAAGAAGACAGACAACCGGAAAAGAAAGCGAGAAACGCGGAAAGACGAGGAAGAAGAGGAGGAGGATGACGACGGTCTCGATCCGGAGATCCGCGCCATGATGGGCTTCTCCGGTTTCACCACTAGCAAGCGATGATCTCAATATTATACTTTTCGCACATTGATAAAGTTCTTAAAACAGATTCAGTCAGCCTCTCCGTTCTTTTTATTCCTTTAAATGCAGTTTTGATTATCTGCGCTATTACCTCTTCCTTTCATATTTCTGTTTTCTCTGCATTCATATTTCTTTCAGATGAGGACCCTGGTACCTATGCTTCTCGTCGTGGCGTTTGCCCTTTTCTCCTCGGCTCAACATCAAACTCTCGAAGAGAAGGTTCAGAACTTGGCAGATCTGACTTCGCGTCATTCGATTGTCAAGTTCAACATGGACAAGTGGAAGAACTTGGTGCGTATGCAACCAAGAAACTATTCGGTAGTTGTAATGTTCACCGCCCTCTCTTCTGGTGTTAACTGCCCTATCTGCAAGTGAGTATTCACTTCTTTACTCACTCCCAATATCTCGTCTCAGGCCTGCTTACGACGAGTTCATGATTGTCGCCAACTCTCACCGCTACACGAACACTGAAGGAGATCGTCGCAAAGTGTTCTTCGGAATAGTCGATTACGAAGATGCTCCACAGATTTTCCAGCAAATGAATCTGAACACCGCTCCGATTCTCTACCATTTCGGACCTAAGCTTGGAGCTAAAAAACGTCCCGAGCAAATGGACTTCCAGAGACAGGGATTCGATGCTGAAGCTATCGCCAGATTCGTCGCCGATCAGACTGAAGTGCAAATTCGCGTTATCCGTCCGCCCAACTACACAGCCCCAATCGTTATTGGACTGTTCATTGCTCTGCTCCTCGGAATGCTCTACATGAAGAGAAACAGCCTCGACTTCCTGTTCAACCGTACCATGTGGGGAATCTTCTGCCTTTCCATCACCTTCATTTTTATGTCCGGACAAATGTGGAATCACATTCGCGGACCGCCCTTCATGATGACCAATCCGAACACCAAGGAGCCATCGTTCATCCACGGATCCACACAGTTCCAGTTGATCGCCGAGACCTACATTGTGGGAGTTCTCTACGCCCTTGTTGCCATCGGATTCATCTTTGTCAATGAGGCTGCTGACGCAACGAACGAGAAGGACAAGAAACAGGCGGCGAACAAGAAGTCGAACAGCCCGTTGGCCCTTTTTAACGTCCCGGCAAACAGTGCGTCCATCCATTCTCTTCTATTAAAAACGCGATGTATTTTTCAGCTCTTGCCATCATCGGTCTCGTCAGCATCTGCGTCTTCTTCTCGTTCCTGCTCTCCGTCTTCCGTTCCAAGTACCGTGGATACCCGTACTCGTTCCTCTTCGCCTAAATCCGATTTTTCGCCGAATTTCTTTAATAATTTATTGATTTCAGTGCTCCTTAAAAGTTTTACCGACAATCATGTACTTGTAAAACGTTCCCCTTTCCAAAGAAGGTTTTTTTCTCCGTTTGTTGGGTGTGATATTTATTACGTTTTCAATGTAAACTCTAGATTGGTCTTTACGGATAAAAGTATAATTTAATTAATCGACGCTTTTTTTTCGTTTCGCGTGACCCTCGAGACAATGAGCTGGCTTCTTTTCTCCCATTGCAACGATCTTCCGGGATGTCTTCAATTTCGCGGCGATGGCGGATCCGGAGGTTCAGAAGGCCGACGACTTGCGCAAGTTTCGGTGAGAAATCGGATTCCTTGCCCTTCGGGAACCGTAAATTTGAGAGAGTGCAATTGGTATTTTGAGCAACGAGAAACACTGAGAGCGAGCCGAGAACTGTGCGGAATAATGGGTCACGAATCAGTTGGATGCAATTGTTTCGAAGTGATTTCAGTTTGGTTCAAATCGTTTTCAGCGCCCCTTTGCAGAGTAATTTGGAAGGAATTCCACCGGAATTGCCAGGATTCACCATAATACAACCGGATCCGAAGTTCAATAATGAGCACGGTATCGTTGATTAATCAGAAGAGTCTAGAAGAGAAATTGCAGGGAGGACGGTCGCCAGTCTGTTTGTTTCGGCGGCAGAACCACCGGCAAAGAAGAGGAAGACCCAAGAGAAGGTGAGTTCGACTATGGGATTCCGGTTCGAAATGTATTCGCAGGTGAAATATTCTGGAGAAGGGACGACAAAGACACGAAAGCCATACGCGTTCAAGGACAGAGAACGGGAAAGCGCAGAGAAACGGAGGGAAATCAAGAAGAAACTGTTCATGGATCTCGGAATTGTTCGGACGAATTGCGGAATTGATGTGAGAATTCGCTGAAATGTATTATTTTCATTCAGTCGAGAATCATAGAATGAAGAAAAGAAACGGGAAGAGGCGATGAAACGGAAAGTGACGGAGACGATCGTGACGACGTACTGTGAGCTGTGCGAGCAGAACTTCAGCAGTTCCAAAATGCTCCTTCTCCACAGAAGCAAAGTGATCGTTCCCTTGCCTTTCCCCCTTCCAATTCCAGCTTCTTCCAGGTTCACGACAGTTCCACCCTTGAATGCCATCTGTGCCTGAAACGGTTCGAACAGACGCTCCATTTCAATCGTCACATGAAGACTCATTATGGTCCGAATGCCCAGTATCACGTGCAATGCGAGCTCTGCGATCGAAAATTCAAAGACAAGGAATCACTGAAAACGCACATGGAAGTGTCCCACGAGACGGTCACAGAGAATAAACCTCTCTGATTTCTGTGCTTTTTATATGTGAACAAGACTTTTTGAACATGGGCCCTCTGCGCTGTCCAAGCTTGCGCTCGGAACAGAGAGATTTCCTTTCTTGGGTACGGGGATAACTACCGAGTGTTTCCAGTTTTTTTTTGGAGAGTAAGCTCAATAATGTAGGGGGCGAAGAGGTCTTTGGCCGAGACTGTAGGCGGGAGAAAGGAGAAGGGCGTTGCGGCAAGGAACCAGGCGAAGAGAAGTAAAGTGCAAACATTTTTGCAAATGAGGAGGCAATTTCGGAGTCTTCGTGAATTATGGATCCGTTGATGGAGAGAGGAGGGGTGGGAGGACGGTGATTAAGGCGGTTCCGAATAAGGCGTTTGGCCAAGGAGGAGTTGTGTTCGGAGAGTAGGGCTCACTGTCTCCCCAATAGCTAATGCTAAGTTGAGCGCCGGAGTGTCGTTGAAAACAAAAGCAGGTCTCAAATTTCTGGATTTCTTTCCGAAAACCCGAAATTTCGTCCGAAAATGAGAAAAATAAAGTAAAACAGAGAATTTGAGAATTGTTAATGACAGCTGTGACCTTAAATCAGTGTTTTGCCCACAAGAAAGCGCGCATTATTAAACTTTTCTGTGAATTTAAGTCCGGATCATCAAAAACTGAAATTTCTCAGTCATTTTTGCATTTTATGGGCCGTCTCTGTGCTCAAAATGACCCCCATTGTCTGCTGAACAATCGTGAGGCAACTGTTTTTTGATTCTGTCAACTGTTTTCTCAAAACTTCCGAAAGTTCGTTTATTCAAGCAAAATTTAAAAAACGAAATTACTCTTCGAATTTTCAATTTTACACGAGCACTCCGTGATCATTTTGTAGCTATCGGTCATATGAACAAACGTGAAGCAAAAGTTTTTAAGGAAAACTGTGCATAATTCTGAAATCTCGGGAAAACATAATTTTCAGTTGAAAAACCGCATCCCGTAAATCGACACTGACAGCCGCACGTAAAAAAGGGCACGAAAATTTTTTTTCGCCGAAGGGGAGACAGTGGGGCTCTATAACTTTAAGAAGCTTGGAGTGTGTGGCGCGGAGGCGGCGGAGTCTCCTGATAGTATTCGGGACCGAGAGTCTTTTGGAAGGGGCTTGAAGGGGAGTGTGGCGGCGGATCGAGTCGTTCAGAATTTGGAGGCTGCTGACGCAACGAACGAGAAGGACAAGAAACAGGCGGCGAACAAGAAGTCGAACAGCCCGTTGGCTCTTTTTAACGTCCCAGCAAACAGTGCGTCCATCCATTCTCTTCTATTAAAAACGCGAAAAAAAAGAAAAAAATAATAAAAAACTTGCGCAAGTCGTCGGCCTTCTGAACCTCCGGATCCGCCATCGCCGCGAAATTGAAGACATCCCGGAAGATCGTTGCAATGGGAGAAAAGAAGCCAGCTCATTGTCTCGAGGGTCACGCGAAACGAAAAAAAACGTCGAATAATTAAATTATACTTTTATCCGTAAAGACCAATCTAGAGTTTACATTGAAAACGTAATAAATATCGCACCCAACAAACGGAGAAAAAAACCTTCTTTGGAAAGGGGAACGTTTTACAAGTACATGATTGTCGGTAAAACTTTTAAGGAGCACTGAAATCAATAAATTATTAAAGAAATTAGGGGAAAAATCGGATTTAAGCGAAGAGGAACGAGTACGGGTATCCACGGTACTTGGAAAGGAAGACGGAGAGCAGGAACGAGAAGAAGACGCAGATGCTGACGAGACCGATGATGGCAAGAGCTGAAAAAAAAATATATATAATAATAGAAGTTGAAGCGACCTCGATACTTTTTGATGCGCCGGCAAGTTGCGGAGTGCGTGTTGTAGTGCGATTGACACTTTTCCACCAATGCTCTCAGTTCCGGCTCATCGATCCCAGGCAAGCGAGCAGTTATATGTTTGTCGATGTACTGCCGCACTTCATCTGTCGACGCTTTTTCGTTGGGTTTGTCCGCGCACCAGAACAGACAGTGCACGTGTTGAGTTCCGCGATGCTGGTACTCTGTACGTGTGTAGTGATGCACGACATTTCCCAGTGGTCCGTCCTTGTGAAGAATGACGTTCTTCATTATGCTTCGGACTCGCACATTCCAGTACCTACTGAAGGGCACAGGATCTCGCTCTATTTCTGCACGTATGTTGTCGCTGTTCACGGTTCTTCCAAGAAGTCTCGAGTACAGTGCGTGCAAGTCGGTCCACTCTCTCTCGTTCGGATTGAGGGTCACGAACCAAGTTGGTGGTCCATGAACTGCCACATAAAACTTGAGACGATTTTGACCACTTCCCAATACTGCTTGAATCCACGGATTTTGTTGAACACTGACGACAGGCTTTGCACGACACGTAGATCTTTCAAGTCGAACTCCTCGTCCTTGTTTCGGTACCCTCTCGATTGCACTCCTTGGAATGAAGAAATTGCAGTTTGCAGTTTACGGGCGTATTGGTAGCTGAGCCAATGCATGTTGGTTGCTATTCCTCGGTTTTCGTTGAGAAGAACAGACCGAAGGTACCTCGCCGATGTCAGCTTCTTTGCATGAATCCTCCTCGACCAGCCGGGAACAAATGAGGAAAAGCCATGAGATCCTGGTTTGGAACGTCTTTTTTGTGTGGCTTTTTTTCCGACTTCCTGCAGTTGAAACTGCTGAAGAGGTGTCAGACTATTTCCACTTGGCTGATTGACGGGTTGGAGCGGCTGGATGAAAGGAACTTCATGAAGGAGTATACCACCGTCCACCGAGTGCCTACGAACAACTGCATCTGCGTCGTCTTGAGTTTTTTTCTTCTCCAGCACATGGCAACATTCCAGTAGGGCGCTTCGCTTTGGCGAGCTGGGATAGATTCTTCCTTCGCATGCTGATGCCACACGCTCGACAAATGTGAATTTTGTCGGTTTTGCAAGAGTCACAATCGTATCGAGCACCGCACTTGCCACAAGGGTTGCTGTCCGGCATCAACGCGAATCGCGCTTCAAATTTAGTTGACCGTTGGAATCCTTCCGAAGCATTCATCATGCAACAAACTGGGCAGTACTTGTCGGAATTGCTTTGAATTTGCGACCGAAACGCGTCGATCCTTTCAGAATAGAAGTACTTCACCACGTCCTCGGTATGATGCGTGAAGATTTCTTTGACTCCGACCTCGTTAGATATTTGGTCCTTAATCTTCTGAGGGATCCGTAGTCCTCTGATAAGACTCTCCGTTCTCGGCGTGTCGTTGCTCTTTCGCACAATGGCAATTCCTTCCTCACAGTTCGAGAGATCTTTGAGTCTCTGCCTGAGTGTTCGGAGACCCTGGTAGCAAGGGGAATAGTTTTCCAAGAACTCCGTGGCCGATTTGCTCATCCCGTCACGAGTCCCTTTCGCGTAGCCGAGCAGAGCTTTGTGAACAGCAGCAGCTTCACTGAAATCAACCACAATGAAAAAATTTGCATAAACTTCCACAATTTACCTGAACTCAATCGTCGCACAGTCCTCGTCACACAACCTGCCAAGTCGGTGATGCAGAAGACGGACTTTTTAGTATTCGCTGATGCCTTCAAATTCGTCGAGCTCGTTTTGATGCATTTCCTCGAAGTTAGCGTACGCTTCATCAGCAAGTTCCACATCGTCGTTATCCTCCCAAAAAAAGATATAACGTTTTTTTAAAAATTGCGGGTACTCACTGTCCATAAATGCGTTATAAACCATTGGGAAAAATTTTATTATCGGCTCACACGCCTTGTTGTCGTCTTGCTTTATGTGGAACCCTAAGCGACATAGCTGCCTGTAGGTGTGCTGATTGTCACATGCTCGTTTTGGGCGCCACACATCAGCCTGCAGCTGTCGGATAACGCATCCTTTCAGCCATTCGATGTGTTGTTCAATAAGCTCCACTGCCCTTTCCTTCATGTTTGTTGCTTTTGTTAAATACTGAAAACCAGGGCCGATAGAGGTCTTACTCGGCAAAGGCGCGCCACTTTTGCGCAAACTTTACGCAGCTTTTGCGCAAAGTTAGCGCAGCTTCAGCTGGCTAGTTGCGCAAAAGCTGCACAAAGTCTGCGCAAAAGCTGTCAGTTTTAAAAGTTTACCCAAATGCTTCTTAAAAATTTTCAGTTTATTTCCACTTCATTTCTGCATGAAAAAACAATTTTATTGGGATAGCATAAAAACCAGAAACAAGTACCATTTAGAGATCAGTGATTGTATAGTCTTTGTCACTTTCATAACTGAAAAAAGACACGTTGTTATAAGTGAAATTGCAGGCGATGTAGGAGACACCATCCTCAAAATCTGAAATTTTCATCTACGAGTTATAAAATTCTCTGTTAACTCACTGAAACACTCTTCTGATTCATGAAACGGAGGAGTAACGGCAGTGTCTATGCCGCGTCTTTTCGCCTTCCGCCAAAAAAAAATTGAATTCCGCCTTTTCAAAAAATCGATTCCGCTCAACTCTGGTTCCACTTTTCTTCTGAATCATATCATACGTAATCATATAAGAGTCTTAATTCGAACGGAACTCACCGAGTCTCCTTTAAAGGAAATTTCGAGACAAATGACTTGGACACTTTTTGGCTGAAGTCGATAGGTTCGTCCGGATCCATCTTTCTCTTCACAGTAGTTCATGTTCTATCTAAACCAGAAAAGAATGTGACATAGTACAAAAGTACGAGCATGTGAATCGTTCAAACATCTTAAATAATTGTGAAGTAGCTCGAATTCAAGTGATTTCATACAAATTTTCAATAACACTCGCTTCTAAACGAAATCCGGCTGAAATTTCGCTTGAAATGCGCTCAAACCGAGGAAATACGGAAAAAGATAAGTAGTTTCAATTTGATAAGCAACAAAAAACAAACAAAACGCATAAAAACAAGCTGGAAAAAGCGAACAGTACTGAAAATGCAAAGTTTCCATAACAATTTCGACATGCGTTAAAGTTTGCGCAAAAGCTGCGAGGACGCTTAAAGTTTGCGTAAAATCTGCAAGGATCCTTAAAGTTTGCGCAAAAGTGGCGCGCCTTTGCCGAGTAGCTTGACTATTTGCCTTACCGTGCCCCTTCCGAATCTCTCCTTCTTTTTGGCTGGACGTCCTGCTTGTCGACCACTGGTTTCTCCTTGACGTTTGAGAGATAAGTCCGCGGCACGGAACCCCCGCCTTCCAATCAAAAATTCCCTTGGCGCAATTCACGTGCGCGAAACAAGGCGCGTAACGCGTAATTCCGGAGCGTCGTTGTAGAGTTTCTCATTTCAATTTGACCCTTTTCTTGCATTATCCCCATCTTTTCAGAACCAATCAGTGTCAAAACTTATGATAATGATTAGAAATGAATAAAAACTGAAATGTTAACTGCTTCGTCGTCAATTTCGAAACGTTTGATGTAAAAATTACAGATAGTTCGACGAACGGCGGAAGATTGCTGCAGCAATTCAGAGAAGGAAAAGAGAAAGCGTAGTGGTTAGTGAGACTGACTCATTTTACTTCGCCGTCAGATGTTTTCCAGGTATTTTCACGGAATGATCGAAGAAAATGAGAAGATGAACATGTAAAACGCGTTGATTTTATCGATAATTGAAAAAGAAAATGAGGAAAAGTGGATGCAGAGATTCAACGGAGGTTGCCGACGTCGAAGAGAAAATTGAAGTGGCCCGTGTTCTCGAGAACAAGACAGATTCTTTGCTTCACGTCGTTGACACTCGCGAATCGGCGCATCAACCCGTTGAAGATGGCGTGAAGGGCTTCGATTCCTTGCTCCGTCAACAGTCCCCAGCTTCGGTTCTCTCGCAAGTAGGCCTCCAAATGAGCAGCGATGATGTGAAGCTTGGGGATCACTCCAGCCTCCGGATGAACCTCCCGAATGTTGATCACAAGCGATCTGATGGCCTTGCCGATTTCGTCAAATTGCGCGTCGTCCTTGACTTCATTGTTTGCGCTGCTCATCAGGATCGCCGGAACTTTTGGATTGCTCGGGAACAGTTCAAGGAGCTTGTTGATGTTCCCTTCGCGGAGAAGAGCACGGTCCTGATTTCCCGTACACTGTTATTACCAGGCACGGGTATCGGCGCCCATTGTCCGCATTTGTTCGATGTCAGAGAGCTCGGTGAGTCATTTTTTCTGGCTTTTCAGGTCTGGAAGCTCATCGAAAGGATAGTCAACTTGATGGCATGAAGAGTACATCCAGTCAATAACGTAGGTCTGGACGACTCCTTGAATTCCGTGTACTGCCGGTACACCCGCCTATTTCGGATCCAAGTGCAGAAGTGGCTCGATGAAATCCTGAAGCTGTCGAATTTCACCGGATTGTTGTCGCCTTGTGCTGCCCAGACCGAGGCCAGTGAGCCTCGCATGTGAAGCAGGGAGCAGCGGCAGATTGTTCTTGATGATGGAAAAGAGATGAAAGAAATTTGCAATCTCCCAATGCTTTTTTGCGAACTATTTAAAATAGTCTATTTTCTCCACTTCAACTCCGTTTACGCTATACTTTATTGATTCCAGTCCGAGGAGAAGAATTCCTCGTGGATCGTTCGGATGGGGGACGTTTTCAAATACAAGACAGATCTTCGTGAATTCTCCTCCCTTGTCTCCACCGACGCCCAGAACAATGTCGTCAGCGGTTCCCTCGTCGAACACCAGATTACCATGGGAAGCTGCCGTTCCCAATCGCCGTGCCAATGACGTCTCCTCGCTCCGAATTCGTACTCTATTCGGTGACCATTGACGGATTTCGATGACTGCTCGACAACGATTACATACTCGTCCACGACACTCAACGATCGCCGAATTTCGTAGATTGACTGACGAGAAGAGAAAACATCAAAGTTCAAGCACTTCGTCAGAAAATTCTTGAAGTCACGCAGGAAAGAGTCAATGAGTTTGAAGCGAACAGTCGCATAGAAAGATTGCAATGTTGACAAACGAAGGTTAAAGTTGAAGTTCCGGTTTTCCGCAATCCAATTGATGAAATCGATTAGGAATTGATTCAGATTCTCCGCTTGCACATGTCTCTCAATCGTCTTTAACAAACGGATAAAACAATCTACTTTCGTTTCCTTTTTAATCAGAGATGAATAACTTTTCAGTGATTCCGGAAAGGTCTCCTCGTCCATCTCGTTTCACGGTGATTCTTTTCGAGGGTGACGAGGAAAATTCTAGTCCATTTGCCCCGGGGTCGCAGGGATACTAGGCCACGGTTTCCGGCGAGTCCCGCGGCTGAACAAGAAATTATTAGGCTACGCCAGAAGTTAGGCCAGGAGGCCGAGACGAAGAAACTAGGCCATGGGAAATGTTTCACGAATTTCGCGCTTGTTTCATATTTTAGCGCTTGTTCTCTGTCAATTAATGCTTGTTTTCGGCTGAGTTTTGTATTTATTTTGTCTCAAAAATGAAAGAACGCAGTTTGCAAAGATACAATTGTGAGCAGTTGTAAAATTTATTGAAAAGGTTTCCCTTTTTCCGCTTTCTCGTCTTCGAAGCGCGCCGTTCTTTCCAAAAATAAAATAATTTGTAAATTTTTTGTTTTCATTTCATTTATTCATCGCAGAAAAAAGGAACACCGGTAAAAGAGGGGAACACCAGAAGGGGGCTGCAAGATGAATAGGAAGGGAAGGGAACCATCCCCGCAAGAGGAGGGAGCCCTTGGTAGGGGGTTCAGGAAAGTGAACATTGGAAGTGGAGCTAATATTTAGCAACTGAGATATCTACGAGTGACTGGAATTGGGAGTGGAACGGAAGGAATTACAGTTTTTGACGATGTCAATCGAGAGGGGGACAGTTTTAGTAAAGAAGTTAGGAGTGAGGGGGGAAACACAAGTGAATAACATGGGGCATCGCTGTGAGGAGGTAGAACGTGAAAATTGCGAAATTTGGGGGAGATAGGCATCGCCTGTTAAGATCTTATAGAGGAGTAGTAGCGGGGAGTTGAGTCTGCGCTGGCGAATGGAGAGCATGTTGAGAGTTGCGAGGTGGTCGGGGTAAGAGGAGAACGGGATATTGCAGCGCTAGAGGATGTGGCGCGAGTACCATCAAAGCGGTTTTTCCAGGGAGGCGGCGAGAAGCGAGCGAGGAGGAGGAGAGTAAATCGCCGAGCAGTATTCGAGAAGGGGAAGAACATGGGATTTAAAGAGGAATATGTAGAAGGCTGGGGACGACTATTTGAACGATTTGGCAAGCTGTTTGGCACGGAGCAGAGCTAGGGAAGCAGTGCGTGATATGTGGCCGCGGTAGAATAAAATGTTGTCAGTTACGAGGCCGAGGTCCCTGACTGAGGAGGAGGGCGATATGGGGAGACCGGCAATCGTGTACGTGTGACGGGGGTTCCTTGACCCGAGATGCAGAAGAGCAGTTTTATGATGGGCCAAGGGAAGGGAGTTGGTGTCTGACCATTCGACAATTAGGTCAATAGCACACTGTAAAGCGGAAGGATCATGAGAGAAGATTTTGATGTCATCGGCAAATGCGGTGAAGTGGACAAGTCCTTCAAGTCTGAGCAGTAGATCATTAATGTAGATAAGGAAGAGGAGGGGACCAGAGACTGTGCCTTGGGGAACACCAGAAGGGATCGGGTGTTTGGATGGGTCGGATGCGGAATTTACTAGAACGGGAAAGGTGCGGCCGGCGAGGAAATCCGAGAACCAGTTGCGGTAGAGGGGGGAGACTCCGAAGAGGCAGAGTTTGGAGATGAGGAGATCGTGAGAGACTTGTTCAAATGCTTTGGCGAAGCCGAAGAAAATAATGTCGAGAGACTTGTGCTCGCTTAGAATGTGACTGTATAGGGATGTGGAGTGGATGAGAGCTGATGTACAGGAACGGTTAGATATGAAGCCATGCTGGTAAGGACTGAACTTATGGGAGAGGTCGGATCGTAGACGATGACAGATTATTCGCTCGAAAACTCTGGCGAAGGGATCGGTAAGAGAAATTGGCCGAAAGTTGGCGATATTAGCGGGATTTCCCTTCTTGTAGATAGGACCGAGGCGTGCTTCCAAGTGCAGGGCACGGAAGAGGAGGAAAGCGACGAAGAGAAGATTATGGACAGCAGCAGAGCAAGAGGAGTGGAGCAGCGCTTAAGGATCAGAAGGTTTCCAGGGTGAGGGGAGAATCCACATCGTGGGGGGAGTTTTCGGTGATGGGAGAAGCCAAAAGTTTCTCACTATTGTATTTGATGATTTGAGCCAGGACTCCGATCGATGTAAGGTTTCTGAAAACGTCACGGAGCAGAAATCTCAATGTTTAGCGAATGTTACAAAAACTTCGATGGAAAACCTGTGAAAATTAATAAAAGCGGAAGTCAAAGTAAGGAAATGTATAAACTTCAATGACAAAACACAAATGAATCACCTAAAACTGCCAGAGAATCTTTTATAGCAGATAATCCAGCTCGTTTGTTGCACGGTCTCCGGATCGAAAAATGTGCCAGCTAGATCGCGAAATGCGCATACTCAGCCGTCTCTTATCTCTAACGCGTGAATGTAGAGCGCGCTTGCATTATCAATCGAAAAATTTCTTGATGAAAACAAAAGAAGTTGTCGGCGACATGGTTAACACAAAAAATAAAATTTCAAAAAATCAGAACAAGCAAGGACAAAAATTAGGAACATTTTTCTGCAATTAGCTGATCAAAAAATTCGTGCGTGTTGAAGAGAGCTAGTTTTCTCGAAACGTGGGTTTAAAAATTGTCAAGGGGCAGGTACAACCCAGCTTTCTCAACCATTTTGATACTTTTTGTTAATACACGATTAGATTTAACTATTGGACACAAGAAATCTGTAAAATAAAAGTGGGTTGACTAAATGGGATCAAGTAAACTACAGAAGAAAAACGTTTCGGTCACTTAAAAAATCAGAAGATGTTTTTTCGAAAAATGTGAGACCTACAAGTTTTAGACATCGGGAAGGACTACAATTTGCGATTTTGACCAAGAAAAAATATGCACTTTGAACGGAGATACGTACATTTCAAGTTTTCAGTTGTAAAAGTAGTGGTTTTTTGTGTTTTCTCGAAAAATCGAGAGCTAGACAGAAGTTCTCAAAAAACAAACGCCTACAAGCGATTCCAAATTTCATAAGCTTTCTTTTGCGACCTCTAACGAGCAGATTGGTTGAGATTGAAGCGAGAAACGTAGATTTGAAGTAGACCGACTCGAGCTAAGCTTACGGTAGATCAGATTCTCACAGGCCCACCGACGGCGGCAACGTTCATTCTCACTCGACTATCGTTTAACTTGTAATTTTACGAGTCTTTATGACTTTTCTGACATATATTTCAAAGAACTGGTGTATTCTGACTCTTCCGTCTAGTAGAAGACGTTGTGAATAGCATCATAATTCCGTACTCCAGAATCGCGAAATGTCCGGATTTTTGATTGCTGTTTGTTTTAAGGACGCATATAGAACACATTGAAGTTGAAATAAATCGAAAATCGTTTTTCGTTCTCCGACAGCACGCTTCTAAAGAAGCCGACGGAAGACTGTAGTTATTCCCGTCGACGTATTCGTAGTCACTTCGAATTTTTTCAAGTTTTTTTTGTTGCTGTTTGTAAGTAGCGGTCTTAATGAACACGTTCATAAAGAAAAATGAGAAGATCAATCAGTATTCCTCCGACAGCACGCATCTGAAGTCAGCAGAAAACTGTAGCTCTTTCAGAAGACGTCTCCGTGGACACTCCAGAATATTTTTTCAAGTTTTTTGTTGCTGCTTCGAAGTACTGATCATATTCAACATATTCCCGTAGAAAGCGGGAAAAATGAATCAGTACTCTTCCGAGAGCATGCATCTGAAGTCAGCAGAAAAGTGTCGCTCTTTCAGAAGACGTCTCCGTGGACACTCCAGAATAATTTTTCAAGGTTTTTGTTGCTGCTTCGAAGTACTGATCATATTCAACATATTCCCGTAGAAAGCGGGAAAAATGAATCAGTACTCTTCCGAGAGCATGCATCTGAAGTCAGCAGAAAACTGTCGCTCTTTCAGAAGACGTCTCCGTGGACACTCCAGAATATTTTTTCAAGTTTCTTGTTGCTGCTTCGAAGTACTGATCATATTCAACATATTCCCGTAGAAAGCGGGAAAAATGAATCAGTACTCTTCCGAGAGCACGCATCTGAAGTCTCCGATGAAACTTCGTTGGCCACCGAAGTGTGATATCGGTGCTCCCAGTGTGGCTTACACGATTAATTCCGTTAAATTTTTGATGATGTGGTCATGAAAAACCCTCGGGCAACGTTTTCATCACGAAATAACGGAAGATGATTTTGATTCTCACTTGTAGCACGCATAATCAACCGCAACACGAAAAATGCAAATTTCGTACTGACGCCGGCATGTTTTTCAGAATTTTTTGTTGCTCTTTGCAAGTTTTGCTCATGATAAACACGTTCATGAAGAAAAACGGAAAGGTAAATCAGTATTCTTCCGGCGGCGTTCCGAGCGCCACGCCAACTCTCATTTCGCTTCTCGAGCGACAGTAGGCAAGCGAGAGAGTGCGAGACAAGGAGAATGCTGCCGGCGACGCAGAGAGCACGCGTAATTGCTTGCGCTTTTCTCGTGCCGGAGACCGTGATGTTGAAAAAACACACGTGGCCGAAGTTTCGCAAGGCGCAAAATTTTCTCGGCCATTGTATGAATTGCCGGCCCGTGGCTAGTCGATTGCCCGCGAAAATTATGATGAGCGCCAAAATACTCTTCTAGAAGCTAAACCTGGGGGGATATAAGGCCACAAATTCCATATAAATCAGTTTCCAAAGGCTTCTTTGCCTCCGCAGCCTCAATGAAGTTCATCGACGTCGTCTTCCGAATGCTACAAACAACGGAGAAGGCGTTGTCAGTGGAACTACTCGGCCGTCTGTGGTGCATGGATCAGGAGAGCACAACGATCAACAACACCGTCGAAATGGCGTTCGGTGAGTTGCCGACGGATACGCTGGCAGACATTGGTCTCGTCCGACACACGCTGCTCTGTTGTGACGACATCAGCTGCGAAAACAGCTTTGATGAAATAGTCACCAGAGTGTGGATTCGCTTCCCGATGGACATCATGTCGAACAGCGTCCAAGATCAACTCGACGCACTTCGGACCCGCCCTCGCCGAGCCCGCTGCCCAATCTGCGAATCCACGACGCCCAGCGTTGCTCACAGTTATCGCGGTTGGAAGTGGATGATCGTCGAGAACATTGGATGCAAGGACCCCGCGAATGCGTGGTTCCTGGAAGTGGACAGACTCGTGACCGTCGGCGGCAGGGAGTACAAACTGGTCGCGATTACCTTTTCTCAATCCGATCGGAATGTGCCCGAATGCGTGCTTGTGATCGACGGACATGCTCAGCCGGATCCGAAGACAAGTACTTATAATTTCCTGATTTACAAGCAATGCTAATTGTGGCATAAATAAAGTTTTTGTTGTTAAATTCAACTAATTCTGCTTTTAAATGCAAGTTACTTGAAGAATGTGATTCTTTTTTAATCAGCCACATTATTTCGTCTGTCGCGAAGTTCAGTCTAGAAATGACATTCCTCACGACCTTTTATGTTGGTAACGTAGCCGAGGGCTCCGAATTACCAACGCCAGACTACCGTCTGTTACTTCATCATGTTTTACTAATAGTTACGGGGTTCATTATAACTTATCACGGGAGGAGAGAGATCATCAGAGAGAAGCCTTGAGGGACTCGCGCCGCAGAAAAGACGCAGACAGCGGCTTCGACCGTACTTTCGAGCGTGGCGAGACCCATGGCCCCATTTCGGATGCGCCTTTAGTAAATTCTTGCAGGTAGATCGATCACTTCTCCTATCTTTTATAGTCATCTTGCTGCGAGGACGTGGAAGGTGCGCGACGAGCAACGTCGGAGGCCGGGGCAGCGGCCGAAGCGTTCTTCATCCTTTTCGACGCCACCGTCCATGTTGTCGCCTTCATTCGATTTAATTCCTTCTTTCTTTCATTACCCCAGTAGTCTTATCCCTTGAGCAAGTACCTGTATGGCGCGTGGGGGCGCGAGTACTCGGAGGAACCTGAGATGAAGCGTGCAGATCGCTACGTCGTCGACGGATCACGTGGACCGAGGAGGAGGACCGCCCAGCGCGACCTGGAGCACAGGTGGCTCATTACAGACTCGTCATTGTATTAATCTGATATTAATTTATCGTTTCGGAGACGCCCGCCACGAGACACAGAAGTCTCGTAAGATAGGGTGCAGAGTTTTTTGTAGCGAGGTGTCTTTTTTCCTCTGACAATAAATCCGTTGTTCTCCGAAAACTCCTGTTAGAAATGTGGAAGAGAGGTCACATAGGTGACTATTAAAGAAATCATCGAGCAGTTCTAGGGTCCATCACTAGAGCAACTCGCGAAATGGTGCAGCAGACCGATATGCAGGTAGACTTGGTCAGAACTGCCGAAGTCGCCAATTTTGCCACAGATAGGTGCGAAAAAGTTGCGAGGGGGCATAAAATTGGTGAAAAATTGAGAGATTACGAACCTTGATGGAAAAGCGTGGAGAAAAGTGAAAAAGACACTCCGAAAACGCGACGGGGGAACGTCTCTGCACATTCTCGAGGGGTGCGGCGAGAGACGTGGCAGATGTAAGAGACGGGCGCGCCGAGAGGGGTAGGCGCGAGAGAGCGCCCAGAGAACATCACGATAAACTGTAGTGCTTCCGAATCCTCGCAAGTCGCTTAATTTTTAATAGACACTCCAAGAACCTGAACTAAAAGTTCATGATTTGATTTGCAGGCAGCCATGGCCCGACAGGCATACAGAGGAGCAATGAGCGCTCGCACAGATCGTGGGAGGAACACTCGCGGAGAAAGAAGTGGGAGTACAGAAGTCTCCGGAAGAGAGCGAAAACGAAAGCGAGAAAAGTGTTGGAGAGTTAAGCCAAGCAGAAATCACGGAGATACGCAAAAAGTTGGCAGCGATAGCTCTGACTACGACGGCGAGCTCGAACGAACTAAGGAAGCTTCAAAAAGAGCAGGGCCAGTTGGCGGCGACGTTGCGATCAGAGGTGAAAAACGAAGAGGTGGTCGTCGCGCTCAATGCGCTCACCAAAGCTATCGTCGGATTGACGAATTCGATGGAATGAAAGATGGGCGTGATTGAGAAGGTGTGCAGAGACTCCACGAAAGCAACGGACTTTCACGCGGACGCTGCGAAGCACTTGGAAATGCGAGTTCGGGCGGCAATAAGACAGCTAGAAAGCACCCACAGCCTAGTGGTCAGCAAGGCCTTCCAGACGAGGACCACGTTCGGAAGCCAGGCGTTGCATCCAGGAGAGCCAACGAGGAAAAGAGCGGCGGGCTGGGAAGTAAAGAATCCAGGTCTGCGATGTTGTTTCTGTGATGGAGGCCACATCAGTGAGCATTGCGAGAACTATTCGGACTGGGAGACGCGCCGGGAGCAACTTCTGAAGAAGAAGATTTGCGACCGATGCACTCGACCAGCTGCCCCCGTGAGATGCGAAAAAGCTCGAAGGCGGTGCCAGTACTGTAGAGAAGTCCATCACAACGCCTGCGCAGAAAGACGTTCCCAGTGAGAACGGGAAAAAAGGAGGTGAGAGAAAATGAGTGGAGAAACGAAAATGAGAACTGTATGATTACAGATCACAGTTATCACGCGGAACCGTGCCTGGAAAAACAGAGAAGTGACGGGAAAACCCAGGTGAGAGGAGTGAAAAGAGTGGGACGGCCTGAAAAAGAACTGTAACCTTACAGCTGCTCGATCCACTTCAGCTATTGAAGAGAGAGGACGAGGAGATGGAAACGGACGATCGCGCCGAGCAGGCGCCGGTCGAAATAGAGGAGAAGGCTGGGCCGGAGAAGCCAGGAAGAGAAGCGGAAGCCGGCAAGGAGGACGACCGCGAGTGATGCGAGGCAGACGAATCTTGGAGTCGCAACAGAAGAAAGTTCTAACCCTATGTTGGCAGTTGTGTTAAACTAATAAATATAATTCAATGGAGAATCGTAGCAATACACGCCAGAACGGGAGAAAACGGGAAAAGGTGATATTCTCAAAAGAAAATGGGAGAAAGAGAAAGCTGAACCACACGAAAGGCGGAGAAAGAGAGTAGAAGGGAAACGGTCATTACAGGAAGAAGTAATGAACCGCTCCGAAAAAGAAAAAAGAAGAAGAAAGAAAATAATGAAAATCGGGGAGAGTGAGAGTATGAAAATACAGGGTGACAAAGTTGAGAAGCAGTCAAAACCTTCCACTGAAGTAAGATTACGAGGTGGGGGAATTGAAGGTAATTCGCGAAAACGCGAGAGAAACACCGGAGATCCTGAAATATGTGAGACAGAGAAGCGACCAACTTGTCTGAAAGTGACCTGGAACTCAGAAATCACTCGAGTTAGAGACATCTCAAGCCCCGAAAAGGCTCCATCGTCTCAGGCAACTCGAGCGCGGAGAGCGCGCGCAGGAGAGGAGGCGAGAGAGCGGAGAAATAGACGACAAAGGAAGAACGGCAGCAGAGGAAGCGCTGCAGCCAAATCAGCCTATCGGAGAGTCACTGAAGCTTCCCACCAAGGGAAAAAGAGAGGAAAATGGAGGAGCAACAGGTGAAAAGTCGGTAGAAAAGGTATCCAGCATAAGGATACACGGGAAGCCAACCTAAACGGTGTTGGCAACGCTCGGAATGACGGGCAAAGGCACGCGACAGCACAAAGCGGGATAGAAAAGTGCAAAGGCCGCACGAAAGAGTGTAAGGCACTGAAAACCAACCTAAACGGTGTTGGCAAAGCTCGAAAAAAAAATGAGCGAAAGCACGCGAAGGCACACAAGCGGGATATGCGAAGGCACACAAGCGGCAAAGGCCGCACGAAAGGGTGATCGGCATCGCTAGCAAAAAATTCTAAGTTCCAGGCAACCGGCGTAAGCCCTGAGAATGTGGTTGGTCATAGGGTAATCAGCTCCCGCCTGATCAACGGGATCGTCAAATTAATAACTCACTCTGAGAACCACACTGGTACTTGCACAAGGTTCAAAAAGATAAGAGGGGTGCTCTACAAGACATGTCGATTCCGATTCCCCAGGCCACCGCGCTCGATGACTACAGTTGAAGTTGCCTGTCCCGAGAGCCAAGGAAAGAGGAAGTACGAGTTGGCGAGGAAACCTGGTGAAGAGTTCATCAACGACTACAATCCAGCAGTGCTCATGGCATGGAACGGGAACATCGACCTGCAGTACGTGGGAGATGACAAGGATGTAGTTTCATACATCACTGCTTACACCACGAAGGTAAGAGTTTGTTTCTATTCTTAACTTCATCTTTTCATTTAAGGGAGAAATTGCAAGAAAAGTGGACGCGTTGAAGCACGACGACCCATCCATTACGTTCGTGAACGCCATCTACAAAATGGGGGTCGACGAACTGAACTCAAGAGAAGTTGGAGGGCTCGAGATGTGCGATGACCTGCTCGGCATGCCCAACTATTCGTTCGACACAGCAGAAGTCTGGATTCCAACGGATCCACGTGACAAACGAAGCAGAATGCTGAAGTCAAAGCAAGCACGTGTTGAAGAATCTGAGGCATATCACCCAAATCTTGTTGACACGCACTACCCAAACAGGTGTACACGGCTAGAAAACCACAGCCTCTACAATATTGCGACTAACTACGAGTGGCCACTGCGAGGCGGACGGATGGTGCCAGCGGGACGTTCACTCAACTCGAGGAGCTCCGTGAACATTTCCGATGCGGAGTATAACCGATCCGACGAGCACTCCCCGTTCTATGCCCACCCAAATGTACCTTCTGGAGATTCCTTCGAGATTCGAACGGAAAAACGGCAGTTCGTCAAATGTAAGCAAAAAACGGGACGGTTCTTCTTACCGGAATGCGACTTTGGAAATGAAGTAGCAACCGAAGACTTTCTCCGTCGATTCTGCTTACTGTTCATTCCCTCGAGAAAATAAGGAGAGATACTCGGAACATATGGCAAGGACACGTATTTCGAAATGTTTTTCAGCTTTGCCGAAGAACAGAAAAGAAAATCTGTGAATGCGTACGAGGACCTCGTCAAAGTCTTGGACGCAATGAAAGAGATGAAACGCGACGAAAAGAACCTAAAAAAGATGCTCGACCAACTCAAGCATGGTTTACGAGGACTGGACATGGAAGAGGTCGAAGAGGAGCTTCAAATTGCGAAACGAATTGTCGACAATTAAGCTGTTCACAATAAGCACATCGATCAACTCAACGGAGAATAGCACGATTTGTTCGATAGTGTCATGACGAGCATCGAAGAATCAGAGGTCAGTTTAGAGGTGTACTAAGCGAACTAATGGCATAATAAGCATACTAGAGTCACACTAAGCGTCATAGGGATTTTACAGAAGCCTGGCGGAAAGCCGTCGTTTATCTACTGCAGTGGGACAGCCGGAGTTGGGAAGACGTTTGTCATCGATTGCATAGCGGATGCTGTTCAACTCAAATATGGTGATGATTCTGACGCTTCTTCAAAACCGGCTGTCTTGCTTGGAGCTCCAACTGCACTGACTGCTATTTTAATCAGAGGACAGACGTTACATTCGCTCTTCGGAATACAAGTGAGTTTAGTACTTTCGATGCCTTCCCATGTAATGCTTTCAGGTAAAAAACGGCACCGAAGCTGGCTACGAACCACTACGCGATGACCAGCGCGACTTACGAAGATCACTCTTCGCGAAGATCAAAGTCATTATAATCGATGAAATATCGATGTGTGGTGCAGTTATGCTTGCCAAAATCAACAACAGACTGAGAGAAATAAAGATTCACAACCAGCAATTTGGAGCAGTGAACATTGTTGTCTTTGGAGACATGTTACAACTACCTCCAGTTCAGGCTCTGCCAGTTTTCACCGATGTGCTAATCTCTACTCAGATAGCTGTGAACATTTGATTTAGGTCTTTAAGACTACGAGGTACGGAAAGTTTTTGGCAGCAGCAGATCGGGACCCAACTTGTGGCATCTCTTCCAATTTCATGAGTTGACTTCGAACATGAGACAGAAAGATGATGAAGAATATGCCGAACTATTGGGTGAGAGCGACAAGTTAACCGATGCACAACATTAACATTTTAGGGCGACTTCGCATCGGCAAACTCAATGCGTCAGATGAAGAACTGCTACAAAAACGTGTCGTTGGCAATGGTGTTCAGCTCGGCGAGTCGAAGAGACGTTTCAAGGCCGCTCCAGCACTTTACGTCGATCTGGCCAAAACTGACCCATTTGCAATGGCTGTTATGCCGAGAAGACTAGAAGTCGACGAATACGACAATGAAGTAAACACCTACTCAGGTAAAATTTCAAACTTTTCTTGGCTCTTCTGAAGACATTCTCAAACTTTACAAAAAAAAACTTTTCAAGACAAAAAACTTTTCCAAGACCTTTTCAAACTTTCTGAAGCACTAAGAAAGGCTTAGAAAAGTTTTTAAACTTTTTCAAGAAATTCTCAGACTTTTTCCAGAAATTCTTAAACTTTTTCTTGCCGAAATTATTTCAAACTTTCTGAAACTTTTCTAAGCAATTCTCAAACTTTCTCAAGAAAAGTTTTGAAGAGGAATTCCTAGGCCACGAAGTTTTGGACTCCTCGTGGACAACAATGTTTTCTGCAAACTTTTTAGCGTTTTCCCCAATTGTTATAGTTGTATATAAGGGTTTTCGCATTTTTCGGTCTTGTTGAGCTCATAATTGAATTTCTTAATTTTTAAAAGTAGTCTTTAACGAATTAAGCGGCAAAATAAAGGAATATCCGTGAGAAATTGTAGAATAGGCCTAAAAAGGCATTTTTTTTAACTAATTCAGATTTTTTCCGCGCTTTCTGCATTTCTTACAATGAAGTAACTGAATCGGCACTGTTTTTAGTCGCTTTTTTTCAAATATTTCACTTTTCCGAACACCACACCACCTCGTCCGCGACAGTTTAGCAAAATAATTATCGTTTATAAAGTACTTCAGTAAGATCTGATCATTCGAAGCGTTTGTTCGCGTTTTCTTCCATTTTTATTCTAAGTTTCTGAGTTTACTGCTACCAGAGTTGAGCGGAAGAACTCAACGGAAGAACACGAAAGAAGTTTTTATCACTTATAGTAAATTTTTTGATCGAATGTGATCAACTGATAAAATGTATAGCAAAGTGAACTCTGATCATAAAAAATAATTGTAAATTTAACTTTTCATGCAAAAAGGTTATTCGAGTTGTTCCGTGAAAAAGGGGGCTAACAGAAGACGGAAGGAAATTTACTGTTAAGCATCTCGTTGTATCGCTATTCGAAATTGGCTCTTTATTGACCGGAAAAAAGGAGAGTTCAGTGAAATCTCCTTTTCTGTTATAGTTTCGGCACTAGGATACGTTTCATTCCCAAGTACTCAGGCCTGGGCGAGTTACCGGTTCCACAGGAAAAAAAACCCACGAAAAACACAAAAGGCGAAGAAGAGGCGATTATCAGGGCTGGGCAATTGGCCGGCACGGGCTTTTCGTTGGCCGGCCCTTGACCTGGACTTTTGAACCACTTGCAATGTTCCGATCAGACCCAAACTTTGCAGGCTTCTTTGACTTGGCTTGACTTGCTTTGACTCTTTGACGCTTGACTCTTTGACTCTTTGACGCTTTGACTCTTTGACTCGCTTTGACTCATGATAACTTTTTAACCAGAAGAGATATTAAAAAACGCTTAACTGCATTCTTGTGGCGCAGAAATAAATCTTCAAATTTCCAGTTGATCATTTTTCGATATCCCTTCTGGTTAAAAAGTCAACTGCAAAGTTGAAGACATATTTCTGCTCCACAAGAATGCAGTTGAAGGTTTTTTAATATCTCTTCTGGTTAAAAAGTTATGATCAAAAAACAAATTAGGACCACTCATTGCATGCGATAATAGTGAAAAATTTCCAGAGATCTCAATCTAGGTCATCACTAATGCACTTTCTGGACTTGGTGACCGTCCACGTTTTGAAATGTGGCAAGACTACTAGAAGATTCTACGGAATAAACACGTGAACTTTTTGTATTTGTTTTTACTCATATTTCAAACATAATCACTTTCTTCTATTATGGCAACAATGTGTCGATGTCAAGCAATCGCGCTCATCCTCATTCTCGTACTGGCGGCATCGTTCGGTCAGCTGCATTTAGCGGGCAGGAAGTAAGTGGCTTAAGACGTAAAAGTTATTCAAGAATTTAGAGTGGCCTAAGAATTTGGTGTAGGCTAGTAGTTTAGAGTGCCCTGGAAATTCCTTGTGGCCTAGTAATTCGGAGTGAAATATTCCGATAGTTTGTACAATTTTGTTTCCAGATACCGCAATTGCGGGAAGTTTTCACTTTATACGCTGAAAGGCGGATCGTCAAAATCGTCTGGGAAAAGGACAAATAACGATAAATCTAAACGAGGACGGCCCAAAAAGAGAAGAACTTTTGATAACACAAAAAAAAGGTGCTTTTTAGTCACGCCACATTGAAGCATATCTGTTCAGGTTGAACTTGGAACGGAAATTGTTTCGGTACCGAAACGTGTTAAAGCAGCCGAGATTATTTCCACGGAGATAACGAAGGTTCTCTACCAGATTCGGAATCAATTGACAATTAGTTGGAAATGTCTGGACTGAACTGCATATGGCAGTCTACCAGACCCTTGTACGTAAATGTGACGCCGACTGTCCAAAGCTCGATCTGACGTGAGCGAGTACGACCGTAACTTGTGCTTATAGTGTTGTTTAGACAAAGTGATGCTGTATTTTCTGAAATATTTGAATACACCAGCTCGGAACCTAGTAAAGTGATATTGTCGGAAACAGTTGCCAGTTAAATCCAAAAACATTATCGTTGTTTCCAAGGAGTTCGCACTATTTTGATTAAACGGCATCGGTGCACTCTCGTACTTTCTTCAAAAATTACTTTCCTACGATGGTTCCGAGGAGTTGGATGTGTTTCTTAGCACACTTCGGCTACCCCAGAATGTAAAGGACAAATTGTGGGCGGAACTCAGTGTTCTTCGAACTGACGCCCATCATAGAGAAGAATCAGTGTTTGCCAAATTCGGAAAGATAATGACACACTTTCGTAACGACGTGCTCAGAAAGACCGATCAATACTGTTTTGTGTGTCGACTGTATTGGAGAAGACTCTCAACAAATGACTAAGAGCTCTATAGCATTCGGAATTTCCAATTACGACGAGGATTTGTGTTCAAAATGCGCCGATCGTTTCGACTGTGAAGACTGTCAAACTAAGGTGACTGTTTGCCGTATATGTATTCGGCAGCTTCGAAACCGCATGATGCCTCAATTATCCAAACGGAATCAATTGATATTCGATGATGTTCCTGCCGAGCTTGCATCCTTAAACTGTATCGAGAAAATGCTCATTAAAAAAGTGCGCGTGCTGCAAACCGTTGTCTGCCTAAAAGACGTAGGCAAGAGATCGACAAACGTTAGAGGATGTGGTGGAGCCATGGCTGTAGTGCCGACTTCCATTTCGGAAAACGTGAACTGCATAATATCGGAGCTTCCGTCGTCGAGCAAAATGAAAATTATAGTGGAAGCTAATTGGAACGACTCTTCGTATTTAGTGTGTATGGATCGTGTAGTGAAGGCGTTGAACTGGCTAAAGTCAAGTAACCCGGAGTATGCCACAATTCAGATAAATTCAAAGTTTGCATTCGAACTGGGAAAATATGTCGAATTTGAGAAACACAACGCATGTCAAGATGATGCCGACAAACTCGTCAGACGTATCGGGAACACGGAAAGACAGCTTTTGAAACTAGTCGAAACTGTTAAGCCTCTAAAACCTGTCAGTCAACCTCCCGGTACCGATTTGAGTGCTCTGCAACAGTATAGACTTCAAAAACTGCCGTACTCGGCTATTCTTAAAGAAGCGCCAAACACAGACATACAAGCGTTTGTCGAGTTGTTTCCGAAAGGAAGAAGTGGCATGCACGCCAAAAGAGACACCAAACTGAAACCGTCTAGCTACCTAAGAGCCGCACTGCTTAATGTTAACAGAAGTCTGGCTATAAATATTTACTGGCTCTGTTACCAATTTGCTTTCAAACAGCAGAAGGCAGTTGCCGCTTGTCAAGGGATTCAAGCCAGATTAAACAACAAGGCGTCGAAGGAATCTCCTATAGATGTGACGGATCCTGATATCGTCAAAACATTTTCGTCGGTTTTCTCGAAAGTCCGTGGTTTTAAGCAATATTGGAGATCTGTGCGAAAACGACTGAAGTTTCATAGCTCTTTCTTTGGACCACCGACATTTTTCATTACTCTCAACCCGAACGAGAGAGGATGGCCGGATCTTCACGAACTTTATTCTAAAATAGTAGGGTACAAAGTGGATGGGACAACGATAAGGTGAAAATGAGCGGGGGTTTTTTCTATAACGCAGCCTATTACAGAGACGAAATCGCTCGAGACCCTATTCCTTTTTCCCGTTACTGGCAAAAGAGAGTGAACGCATTAATGAAAAACGTGATTCTGAAAGACGACGGTCCGTTCGGGAAAGTAACGCATCACTTTTATCGGATAGAGTACCAGCACAGAGGGACACAACACGTTCACTGTCTTTTTTGGTGTGCCGAGAGGCAAGATTTCTTAGTAAATGGCATTTCTAAAAGAAAATTTAGACCAAAACCAGATGCAGACGCTGAAGAAATCAGAGAGTTTATTGATTCGCACATCACGGCTCGTAAACCGGATGAATCTGAAGCCGAACTGTTCAGACTAGTTCAGGAGCATCAAATGCATCACCCGAACCACAATGGAACGTGTCTGAGATACCGAAAAGTCAGAGGGAAAGTATTCAGAACTTGTCGGTTCAATTTTCCTCGTCCCAGTTAGTTTTTCTAAGAGAGAAAAAGTACATCATTGTTTACAGTTCGAGCCAAGACCGCTGTGATGTCATCAGCAGAATCCAATCTGACTAAAACTAAACGGTGCTATGAGATTTCGCGAAACCCGGGCGAAGAATTTATAAATGATTACTCCGCTCCAATTTTGCTCGCTTGGCAAAGGAACATTGATATCCAATTTATTGGCAACAATAAGAACGTGTTGTCATATGTCACTGCCTACACCACAAAAGTAAGTTCAACATGATTGACTAGTCTCATCAGTGCGTTTTAAGGGAGAGGTGGCGAAGAAAATGGAAGAGTTAATCACGAATCAGCAGTCGATGACTCGAAATCAGTTGATTTACGCTTTGGGAATCGATGAAATCAATAGTCGTGAAGTTGGTGGTCCTGAGATGGCCGATTACCTTCTCGGACATCCCAACTTTTGCTTTGATAGAGCGGAAGTAGGGATCCCAACGGTAGGGTGCCATGGTTAACGAAGTCAAAAGTGTTTCTTTGAAGGACAAAGTGAACGAACTCTCAGCCGACGACGTCCTTACCCTTCGCAGCCGAGTCATTCCAGAAATCTGTGACCTCAGGGAAGATCTACGTGTCAAACGTGCTGCCGCTATCTATTCTCAGATTGCCGAAAGGGATCCCTACGTGATGGCTATAATGCCCCGAAGAGAGGATGTAGCTGCGTTCAATAATGAGGTTATAGTAGAAAAATAATATAATGGAACATATAACAATATTCAGGTTCTTAGCATGAGTGAGACTGAATCATTTGAAGTAATCGCGACAGAAACAATTCTGGAGTCGAAAAATTCGAATGCTCACCCAAAAAAAGAACGACCTTATCAGCGGAAGGGTGATTTCTTATTCATCGCCTATTCAACGATGTACTGTTTCAGAGTTTTCTCTAGTAGACAATCCTGATCTAACATTACCCGGTTTCAAAGAGTCTAAAGTTGGAAATGGGATGAAAAATATTTCTGGAGGTCTACATGCAGTATTAAAGCTAGCTATCGGCGCTCGTATAATGCTCCGTAGAAACGTGGACCGAGTTAAGGGCTTAGTTAACGAATTGACGGGAGTGTTAGAGACGGTCGAAACGACTGGAAATCATGTAACAAAGCTCGGAATACGGTATTGTCAGTTTCAGGCGGTGTACCTAATTTTTGCACTACTATTCAAGCTTCGATCGATTGCTCAACGAAATTATATGGATAGAAAAGTTCAGTGTTATGATTGAGGAAAAATCTGGAGAGCGACACACCCGGACTCAGTTTCCAATTGAACTAGCCTACGCGGCAACGATCCACAAAGCTCAAGGTTTGACATTGAGCAATGTAATCATGTCCACGAAGTATGAAAAACTATCTTATTATACTACACAGCTCACCGTATTTATAGAAAAATATTTGACAACGCTCAGTTCTATGTCGGAGCGAGCCGTGTCACCTCAATTTCTGGACTGCATCTCATCGATTGTTACGTGGAAACTGTGAAAGCCGATTTTCGAGAGATCGCCGAATACGAACGTCTACGAAAAACAACGGATGCCTATGATTTCCCGGAACCGGAGCCGCCCACGAGCAATGGAAATCTTCGAGAACCCGCCTATGATCTATTTTCGTCTCCATTGCTTCTCGCCAATCCGGGAACAAACTGTTTCGTGAATTCAGCTGTAAATATGTTGCACGCCTGTTCAAATGTCAGCAAAAGTGTGAGAAGCCAAATACCGACATCAGATCTCCACAATGTTTGATTATTCTAGTGAACAAAATCACGATTTGTAATTTAGGAACTCAATAGTATTCTGAAAAACGAATCGAACTGTGCGAGTACACTACGCGGTCTTCTCAACGAAATTGAGCTGCGCATCGGCCAATAAGACGTGGGAACAGCTTTTGTGGAAAAAAAATTGTGTTCACTATACTTTAATTCAGATCATTCCACGTAAGTGTCTGAAGACTATTGAATTAATACAAAAGTGCTATTGGACATGCGATTTATGTGGAGATGGGCCCGTCGAACACGAAGTTGTGCATGTAGTTCAAAAAGTAATGTACGATAGTGGAAAGGTGTCGGAAACCGAGCAAGACGAAGTAGTTCCAAGAACATGTCGTCGGTGCGGCGTCTCACAAGAATACCGAACTATTATCTACGACGTCCTCGATGAAACTACTCACTTCTGTTCAAGGTTTTTCAAGACTAAAGCTAATTGCTATTTGACGGATCTGACTGATGATGAAACGCTGACGCTATGGGGATCGGCATGGAAAGTTGCGGGTTGGTAGCTCCTATTTTTATCAATTGAAAAAAAAACGGGTTTCAGTAGTGTCCGAGTACATTCCCACACCGTCGTGTGCTTATTCGACAAACGGGCACTACGTGACTTGGTGCCGAAACGACAACGGATGGACACGAGTTTCGGACGATGAAACGACGAGTTTCCACACAACACCCTTGGAAACAAAAGACATTGTTTTGATTGTGTTTAAAAGATTGCTATGATGTCATTAAGTACGAAACAATAAATAAATTTTTGGTGCACGTTATGATGTAATTCAACTCTGAAGTGATTCACTACGTTCAAATTGGACTGAAATAATAAAGGACTTTTGATATCTCTTCTGGTTAAAAAGTTATGGTAGTTTCCGAGTGATGGCTCTAAAACTGATATTATCGCATTCAATGAGTGGTCCCAATTTGTTTTTCAACCATAACTTTTTAAACAGAAGAGATATCAAAAAACGTTCAACTGCATTCTTGTGGAGCAGAAATATGTCTTAAACTTTGTGGTTGACCATTTTCTGATATCTCTTCTGGTTAAAAAGTTATGATTTTAAATTTGTTAATTTTTTTTAATTTTTCCAAGCAATACCACATCTATCCCAGCGCAACTGTACGTGTACTTGCAAGTCAATTTGGTCTAAACCTATGAAGACTACTTTTCAACTTTTTTCAAAGGGTGGGCAAAAAACCAACTAATGGATAGTCTCAACAGATAGCTATAAGCAATAACTCCGCAAAAAGTGATTACTTCATAGCTCACCGTGTTTTACAATTAGTACCATAGTACATCTGCCTGGCCCTATTTGAAATTATTGCGAGCACGGCCGAGTGGGCGGGATTTCAATGTCACTATATAAACCAAGTACAATGTTCATTATGTCATTCTCGTAACTCTCAACCATCTCTCTCTCTCTCCTCCTCTTCTGATCCGACATTATTGCTATGCAAGAAGTCAATCTCTCAACGCGTGAAATATTATAAAATGGTGGTTTTAAAAAAAGGATGGCCGTGGAAATAGAGATGTCGGCGCGACAAACGTACACAATTTTTTTTGCAAAAATAGGCAAACAAAAAACTCAATCAAAGGATAGTCTCAACAGATCGCAGTATAAGATGACTGCTCTACTGAATACAACACCTTGACCAAGAGACCAAGTCGTATGCAAGTGATTTAGCGCCCCGACATTGAACCAGAGTGATCTGGCGTTGGCAAGCGCCGCAGAGTTCACTACGACGCCAAGGCCATACATAGGGCATAAGCTCTCGTGTTGCCACGAGATAGAGATGCCTCCCGACACCGGGAAGCAAAGAATTTTCGCCTTGACAAGGCGAGATTCTAACTTAGAGGCGTTCAGTTATAATCTCTCAAATGGTAGCTTCGGACCAGTGGCCTGTCGACCAAGTCCATGAACCAAATGTTTGAACCCGCTGTTCCTCTCGTACTAAGCAGGATTACTTTCGCAATAACAAGTCAACAGTAGGGTAAAACTAACCTGTCTCACGACGGTCTAAACCCAGCTCACGTTCCCTATTAGTGGGTGAACAATCCAACGCTTGGCGAATTCTGCTTCGCAATGATAGGAAGAGCCGACATCGATGGATCAAATAGCAACGTCGCTATGGACGCTTGGCTGCCACAAGCCAGTTATCCCTGTGGTAACTTTTCTGACACCTCTTACCAGAAACAATCTGGATATAAAGGATCGATAGGCCACGCTTTCGCGGTCTGTACTCGTACTGAAAGTCTAGATCAAGCAAGCTTTTGCCCTTTTGCTCTACGAGAGGTTTCCGTCCTCTCTGAGCTCGCCTTAGGACACCTACGTTACGATTTGATAGATGTACCGCCCCAGTCAAACTCCCCGCTTGACACTGTCTTCGAGGAGAGTCACGGTGCCATAAAATGGCGCCGCTTAATGCTTCGAAAAAAGGCCTGACGGCCAATCCTCTTTCAACCGAATAAGTAAAGAGTCGATGAAAGTGGTGGTATTTCACTGGCGACCGAGGTCTCCCACCTATGCTACACCTCTCATGACTCTTCACAATGTCAAACTAGAGTCAAGCTCAACAGGGTCTTCTTTCCCCGCTATTTTTGCCAAGCCCGTTCCCTTGGCTGTGGTTTCGCTAGATTGAGTCCAGTGACTACTGGACTATTTGGTTTCGGTAGGAGATTGACCCCGAAACCATTGATGATTAAAATCTTGGCAACGCGCTGATAAAAAGTTGTACAAAAATTTGACAACATTCTCCAGGCCAAGGGCCACATTTTCTATTTTTTCATTTTTCCCGAATCTAGGTCAGAAGGCAGCCACGTGAGTTTCTTTTCACGTTTTTATTGTTTCTCGAAGGGCACCCTCGAAACATGCCTTCAAAATTTGATCATAACCCTTATCGGTCATGAGAAAAACAGTGGTCATAGTCACGTAGCTGGCAAAATTCTTTAAATAGGTCAACAGCACGATTTTTACTACATTTTCGGTTATAACTCGAGTTCCACGTTACTGCTCGTCTATCTTTGGTTTATAGTTCGAATCCATCCACGAAAATGTTTTTTTTTAAACACAAGTTCGATTCAATTAGGTTCAACGTCATATCAAATACCGAAAGAAAGATAGAGAAGGCCTATTTGGTTTCTAACTCTTTCTATTCCCGTCCTTTTCTAAAATTCAACTTTTCTTCTATTCCCGTCCTTTTCTAAAATTCAACTTTTCTTCTATTCCCGTCCTTTTCTAAAATTCAACCTTTCTTCTACTCCCGTCCTTTTCTAAAATTCAACTTTTCTTCTATTCCCGTCCTTTTCTAAAATTCAACTTTTCTTCTATTCCCGTCCTTTTCTAAAATTCAACCTTTCTTCTACTCCCGTCCTTTTCTAAAATTCAACTTTTCTTCTATTCCCGTCCTTTTCCATGTTTCAGTCTACGGATTATAAGAAACCAAATCCACATTATTTAGTGGAGCACCCGCGACCTAAACTATTAGTAGATTCCCGTACTTTTCTAACTGATCTTTGATCAGGTCTACAAATTTTCAGCGAAACCTACTACCAAACGACCGTTGCTGAACTCTCTATGAATTGCAAATGAAACGAACAATGATTACACGTCAAAAATGTGTTTTCCCGGAAGCTTTTTTCAAAAAAGTCGAATTTAAAAGTACATTTATAATAAAACTATGATTCACCTACCTGTCGTTTTATCTGAAAAAAAAAGATTTTATTTTACGGAGTTAGATAATAAAAAACAATTGCTACAGACTCGGTAGAAGCCCGCAACTTTTACGCTAACCTTACGCAACTTTAGCGCGCTAACTTCACGCAAAGTCTATTCTTAAAGTGCGCAAACTTTGCGTGAAGTTAGCGCTAAAGTTGCGTGAGGTTAGCGCAAATTTTGCGTAGAGTTAGCGCCAAAGTTGTGTATTAAATGTATGCCCCTGAATACTGCCCTGATTCATCTTCTCGTTTATGTAGTAAATAACGAAAAAAAAACAAGAGTTCATATAAGAAAACAATAACAGAACATTATGATTATGAGGAACAATTGAGAGAAAAAGTATTTAATCTTCTCCGTTCTGGAATATGTGATTAATGTAGTCATTGCTCGGTGATTGGCCCTCAGCATCCAGTTCTTCCTTAAATTCTGCCTCTCTTTGCTCCACGCACTCTTCGCTCAGTCTGAAATTATTAACTTATGAAGAAATGATTGCACGCAGCCGTACTTTCCCCACAGCATGTGCGCGTCCGAAATGTCGTCGTTGATTCGTTTGAACCTGCAGCTCTTGCGATAGCGTTTCGCCGCGTCCCAACGGATGTGATCCACGCAGTTCAGTCTTCCTTGAAACCTATCATCACAATTTTCCATTCGAAAGGAAGTACTCACCGTGCATGGGACAAGTTCTCCTGACTCGACATCGAGGTGGTGCGTTCGAAGGTTACGCCTGTTGAATTTCTTATTAGAGCAGTCAAAAGAAAAGCAATACTTACAGCGATTGAGCAATCGCAAAATGAACTTCGGGGTTGATTGTCTCCCGGTACGCCCGTCTTCTGCACACTTCTTGTTCTCTGTCTTCTAAGGGAATGGTTTCCAAGAACCTAAAACTTTCAATATACATAAGTACGTTATGAGATGCTTGAACGAACGGGTGGTTGGTGTCGAATGGACCGAAAAGTAAATCTTCAGGAAGATATGCCTTGCTGGCGTCAAGACCAAAATCTGAAAGCAATGAAAAGTTATCCCTAGAATAGATCTTTCTGCCACACCGATGAGTCCGTTTGTGACGATATCCGGGAGCGCCCGGAAGTTTCCATCGACTTGTTTGTTTGTTCGGTATCGATGACTGTACAGCCAGATCATATGATTCGGTTGCAATGCCTGAACAATACCATTAAATGCGTGAAATGGTATGCTTTCTTACAGTTTTCAACAATTTCTGATAGATAATAGTCAATTGTACCACATTTGTGTCGCCGAACAGTTCGCAGCGATCGTACAAGTTGGACAAATTCAGAGCCGGAAACTCTGCGGTCTGTGGAATCACATGTGCCACATCGAGGCGTCTCTTCTTCAGTTTTTGCGCATGGTGGTGTTTTGCAACATTGCTTGACAGCGAATTGATAGATGCCTTCATTTTTGCCATAGACTTGGTCTCAACGGATGGAAAATGCGCCTGAATCATACGTAGAGTATGCGCCTGAATCATACGGAGAGTAGTTTTAGCCAATTTTAAGTTTTTCCGAATTACAAACGAAGAGCGAAGTAAGCTTACTGGGGACAACACTACTTTCGTCATAATTGGAGACGGGACCATTAGGAAACCAACAGATTTTTCGTCCTTTCTTTGTCTGAATATTGAATCCAACGATATCACATCTGCTGCAGGAGTTATAAGACTGCCAGACAAGCAATTTGTGGATTTGGCTTGAGAGGACACACTCACGTCCAAATCGAGAACACAATTGAATAGTTTCAATTGAACCGGATACATTTTACCATTCAATTAAACTTCGAGAGGATCCGATTCGGTGGATGCCATCTCCGAGCTCAATCTTTCAAAAATTGCTGAAAAATCGGAAGAGGAAAGTTTCTCGGATGAGTGCATGATGGCAGAAAGAAGCACGTATTCCGCTTTGTACTCTCGGAAACTCCCACATCCCTCGTGAACATCATGCGCCGCAATGAACAGCGGAAAGATTTCGCCTCTGAATGAAAAAGACCTCAGAATATTTGAGGAGGGGCGCTAGAAACCTAGAACATCCTTTCTTTCGGAAGCCGTCGATATTTAACGACAATAACAAAGTCAACTTGTCGGGGTTCTCGGATTTATAATGGCGCAAATGTCGCTTATACTTCGGAGTGTCACATGTTCGCCGAGAAAGTTGTGAATGGCCCGATTCGCGAGTCTGTGTATATATTTTTGGGAAGAACTAATATGAGCACACATTACCAGCAGCGAGGCACCGAAAACTCCGTGGTTCAGTAATTCTTGAATTTGCTCGCGAATGGAAAAGGTGATCATCGTTTTGACGCCAGCTAAATTAGATTGACTGAGCATGAACCGTTGGCAAGTCGCATTCCGACATTTCTTATCATCCGACAAGAGTGTGCTGCAGCTAACGCAGCAAGAATAAACTCGATTATCAAAGTCAGCCCACTCATTCTCCAATTTACGCACTACGGCAAGCTGAAGAATACGTTAGCCCTATTTGCTATTATCCGAGAACTCACAGTAATGTCTGGGTACGATCGCAGGACTTTAGAAATTGCGAAAATGTCTTTTCCCAAATTAAACGAGATGTTATTGAACACGAAAACTGATGTGACGTAGTTTAAGGCGTCTTCCCTGGCTGATCAAACATTCATCAAATGCCTCTGATGGAAAACGAACCCAGTGATCCGTCCACGGTTTCCCAAATGGGTGTACAACTGCGATCTTCTCGTGAAACATCTTGAACTTTTACCTTTCTCTATCAGTATTACGTAACACTAACTAACTGTTTCCGTCTTTGAAATTACATTAACAATAACATACAGAAAATTGAGAAGTGACAACATGTGACCACCAGTTTTACCTTCCAAGATGTCATCGTCTTCTGAATTCGCCAACTGTTCGACGTTCGGGTTCCAATTAAACGATTCTCCTTGCCGGTCATCCTCGCGAGAAGTGCAGCCGTTTTCTGTTCCTGTAATGTGCCATGTTTAGTTCAATATGATCGGTTTTGTTTGAGACTCTGGATTTTTCGTTCTACCGCAATCCCTCATTTCCTTCTTTACTTTTGTCAATTTGCCACGGAATTCATTTAGTACATGGTAGAGCGGTATTAATACTATTCTGCGAAAGTACCACTTACCATCTCGCCCATTGACACGAATTTCGCGTTTTTTTCCTGACGTTGCGGATACGTGCTGTTGAAAAACGTCTATAGATTCTTCTGAAACATTACCTTTTTTTCCCATTTTTTTCATTTTTGGTTTCATTGAAACTCACGAATCTGCCTTTTTTTCGAACGAATGCAGGTCTACGGAACCATGTTTCAGTCATACTCTTCTGTTACTTTTCACGAAATGTTCACGAAATCGAGTCGGTGCCGCGGATATTAGTCGACTTCGAATCCGAACAGACAAAATCGTTTGTCAACCCGTCTAGAAAAAGCAGACATTCTATTTAGATGCACTTTACAATCGAAAAACCAGTAAATAAGCGAGAACAATGTAAAAATTACGCGTATATCGTGAGAAAAACATGAAAAATTACTGCAGGTATGCTGCATGACGCAAAAAATTTCGAACGATTCCCTTCTTTTGCGCAAACTTTGCGGAGTTTTTAAAGTTTGTGCAAACTTTGCGAGGCTGCCTACTTTTGCGTAAAAGTTGCGTGAGCCCTTACTTTTGCGTGAAAGTTGCGGGCTTTTACCGAGGATGCAGATCAGTTTTCATCAGAACAGTGCAGAACAAGACGGCAGCTTCTTCTCTGAGGATACGATGAGGATGATCTGAAAATAAAAATTTTTACTTTGAAAATTTGAATCGGGTTGTTAAAACAATTATTTACTAGTGAAGTTTGTTGCGAAGCCGATTACTCGAAAGCGTAAAACATTTCGTAAAGCCCACGTTGAATTTCACGTGACCTCTTGTCTGGAGTGTTGGAGAAGAGAAACGCAACGTATACATTTCAAAGGGAAAGTCTTTCATATTTTTTGTGAAAAGCTGGTAAATGCCAAGCAAATCATCGAAATTTCGCCGTCTTCGTGCCGTACTGCTGACACTTCTACTCCTGATTGCTGTCATTTTTGGATTTATGCCATATGTACAGTTAAGGTAAGTAAAATAGGAAAATTAACCAAGAATAGAAATATCTTTCTTATATATAAAACGCTATTCATACCATAAGATCAGACGACTGTAATTGTGATCTAGGATAAATTGTGATCTCTCAGTGGCGCGAAAAACTAGGTGAAAATGTGACCAAAAAATCCATAAAAACAGTTTTTTCATGGCTTTTTTTCTTCATATTCATGCGAAATTTCTCAGGCAAATCGTTTGTAATCTAGCTAGGAGATTTCGTAATCTAAACCGAGTCGAGAGTATTTCTAACCGGACCTAATTAGATTGCACTATCACCTAATTAGATTTGCAAATCGGCTAATTAGATTAACAAGTTTCCTAACTAGATTCGGATATCTCCTAATTAGATTTGGCCATATTTTCAAAATTCTCGTTAAAAATCGACAAATTTATTGGGAAAACAACAACAAATAAGAGTTTAATGGGGCTATTCAGACTGTGAAAAAAATGATTGTTTTCCGTTTTTTTCGTTTTTTACGTCAAAAAATCCAATTCAGCGGTGTAAAAAAACGAAAAAAACGGAAAACAAACATACGCTGAATAGCCCCATAACAGAATAAAAAGTAAAAAATTAAAAAATTAGAAGAAAATTTCGACTTCGGCGGTTTAAATGTGCTCGCGTCAGCCTACACTCCTTTCGCTCTCTTCAATTCTTTCTTGCTCGTCGAACGACTGTGGTTGCTGAAAGCAGAAGTCCGTGTTATACGTGCTCCGGGAAACATACTCATGCACGTGCGGAGAAACGATCGAGTTGTTATTTTCACACGTGGCATGATTGCCGTCTGAAATAGACACATTTCTGCACAAAAATGTAAAAATAATAGTATAACAGCTAAAAAAAAAACGTTCGAAATCGATCGAAAACGGCGTGTCTTCCTTCTGTTCAAATTTCTGTTCAAATTCCCGTCAATCTAATTAGGTTGACTTTAGATTCGGATTTTTTCTAATTAGATTAGCAATTATGTCTGCTGGCGCGATTCGAGATCGCGCCTTCGTTTTTACAGTCAAATCTAGCTAGGTTTAGTTTAGATTCCGTTTTCACCTAGCTAGATTCGGAACTCGGTTTAGATTACGAAATCTCCTAGCTAGATTACAAACGATTTGCCTGAGTTATTTTTCTGGACGGACAGAAAACTTTCTGTAAAAATTCGGAACAATTCGGTTTCATCTTTCTGCTATTTATAAAAAATTGATGCTTGAATTGTCATTTTTTTTTCGTTTTTTAGACGAGAATTTCGGTCGGAATTGTTTTTAAACAGTAGTTCTCGATTCAATTGAGTTGAGGCGTAGCGCCGAACAAGCCAGAAAATAGCGCCGAACAAGCCAGAAATTATGAGCTTTTCCGGGAGTAAATCGATACGTTTTGTGAAAAAAATAGAGAAAAATCGATAAATTTTCGTGTTTTTTACAGAAACATCCAAAAATTTTGAGCTTTTCCGGAAAAAATCGATACATTTTCATGTTTTTTCTAGTAAAATCCAGAAATTATGAGCTTTTCCGTGAGGAAATCGATACGTTTTGTGAAAAAAATATAGAGAAAAATCGATAAATTTTTCGTGTTTTTTTACAGAAAAAAATCCAAAAAAATTTTTGAGCTTTTTCCGGAAAAAAATCGATACAATTTTATGTTTTTTTAGTAAAATCCAGAAATTATGAGCTTTTCCGTGAGGAAATCAATACGTTTTTGTGAAAAAAATAGAGAAAAATCGATAAATTTTCGTGTTTTTTTACAGAAAAAAATCCGAAAAATTTTGAAGTTTTTTTAGAGAGAACACCCGGAAATTTCGACCTTTTTTTAATAAAAAAATGCACACATTTTTTTAGCTTTTTTTGTGAAAAAAATTCGACAAATTTTAAGGTTTTTCGATAAAAATGCACAAATTTTGAGATTTGTTGATGAAAAATCCTGAGATTTTGAACTTATATTTTAATAAATCGAGAAATTTTCAGCTTTTTTGATGTAAAATCGAAAAAATTTCATATTTTTAAAAGAAAAAAATCGAGACGATTTCCTCCCGGAAAAGCTCATAATTTCTGGATTTTACTTGAAAAAACATGAAAATGTATCGATTTTTCCGGAAAAGCTCAAAATTTTTGGATTTTTCTGGAAAAAACAAGAAGATTTATCGATTTTTTGCCATTTTTTTCAACATTTCTCACTTTTTTTCCCAAAAGAAACTCGATTTTTCTCAATTTTTTCACAAAATTTATCGATTTTCTCTCGAAATGTTTAAAAATTTCTGGATTTTTCCTGAAAATACTTTAAAATTTCTCGATTTTTTTTCACAAAAAAACTTCAAAAATTATGGATTTTTTTCTGAAAAAAACATGAAAAATTTATCGATTTTTCTCTTTTTTTCAGTCAAAAACCTCACCTATCCCCAAAAACCTTTCTCGGCACCGTCCTTTTGGTCTTTTCCACGTAGGTGGAGGGCATGTGTATCGCATTGTCCGAATCCACGAAGGGTTTCCTCGGAAAACGCAAGAAATGCGTTGTGAGCATCTGGAAAATTTCATTTTTTTTATTAAATTTTTTTTTTGAAAAAAAAGAAAAAAAAATTTCATCTTTCTGCTATTTATAAAAATTTGATGCTTGAATTGTCATTTTTTTCGTTTTTTAGACTAGAATTTCGGTCGGAATTGTTTTTAAAAAGTAGTTCTCGATTCAATTATTATTTTCAGATACCGGAAAACCGTTTTGCCAAGAGTTTTAACGCTCAATGGTGGAAGCTCCAGCGACTGCTCAGCAAAAACCAAATCAACGAAAAGAAAATCTCAAGATGGAAAAAAAGGACGGCCGGCAAAAATCCGAAAGTTTGGAAATAAAACACGAGTTAGTGAATTTTAACAACTAGCAAATACCGTATTTTATAGCTCATGGAACTTGCTGGAACGACGAAACCACCGATTTCGATGACCAGCCGATTGCAGGAACTGATTTGTGCGGAAATTGCGAACGTGAAGGAGAGAATAATGTGTGCGATAACACTGGACATACATCGCCCGGAAAATTTCACGGACATGGAACACAACTGTCGTCAGTTGTGTCGAGTGCGGTATCACTTATTTCGTCCTGAGTATGCCGGTCAATTTGTGCCACTTGTGGAATTGTATCCAAAAGTTTGGAAAGCATTCATTTCGAGTATGTGTTAATCTTCTCATTTAGACTACAGTTGTTCTTTAAGATTTCACTTGTTCGGACAAACTGGAACATCAGCAAGAAACGTTCAGGAAACGGTACACGTTTCCACTAGCTCCAAAAAAAATTCCGAAAGCTCAACCCTGATCGAGAGAGAGGGAGTTTCAAAGAAAACAAACGTTTTTTTTTCCTTTTCTCGTAATTTAAATTGTTTCTTTCTCTGCAGCACCCCAATACATTTTCAGGATAACGTGACGTGCGACAACGAGACCTATTCCGCCCTGTGTGCACAAGTGGTCGATGAAATGCACATAAACAGAGACTATAGGAAGTTGAAGTCCACGAAACCGCCCATACTACACTCGGTCGTCTGTGTGACTTAACCTGTCCGGAAATAGATCACAGGTAAAAATATTAACCTTAAAAATCAAGCATTAGAGCAATGCTGAATCGTAAATCTAGCTAGTGCACTGTCTCCCCAATCACGAATGGAAAAGGGGGCGATGTGCGTAATTTCACAGTGTCGTTATGGTCCTCAATTGAGCAAAATGATTGAAATTCGGTTTTTTGGCTAAAAACAGTCAAAATTCGCTTATTTTGACGAAATTAATGTTTTAGAATGTTCAAGATTTTAAATCCTCATAATTTCTGCGAAAAAGCGTTTTATGCGAAATTTCTGTTTTTTTCTAGTTCATCATTTTGAAGAAACGTGAGGTAACGCGAACCGACAAAAAACGCCTTTGTACGAAATGCGAATCCCGGATCCCTCGGAAACTCGTCTACATCATCTTGTAACCACGTGTCAGAAACATTATGAACTACACTGTGGAACATGTTTGAGGAAAAAAAAGATGAGAGGACGCATATACGAGACATGCCGCTTTAACTTCCCTCGGAAACGTGAGATACAACCCTTAAAAACGGGATTTTTAGAAACTTTAGCAGTCCGAATTAAGTTTTGGAAAAAGATTTAAATATGTTTCAGTTCACCGCAAAACCAACGTCGATATCGGGAATCATCAGAATACATCGAAACGACTGTACGAATTGGAGAGACGGCCCGGAGAAGAATGGATCAATGACTATTGTCCCGCGATTCTACTGGGATGGAACGGGAATGTGGACTGTCAGTACGTGGGGAACAACAAGGGAATCGTTCCGTATATAACGTCTTACACGACCAAGGTATGCTCTAAAATTGATGTGTAAATCCAATATCTATGTTCAAATAACAGCAGTTTGTTTGTTGCAGGGTGAAATTTCAAAAAAAGTGAATGAACTACGAGAAACGGGTACGAGTACGACCAAGAGCAAAGCCATATATGCCTTCGGAATCGACGAAATGAACTCCCGTGAAGTGGGTCTTCTAGAAATGTGCGACGAACTTCTCGGTCATCCAAATTTTGCATTCGATATGGCTGAAGTCTGGATTCCAACTGTATGTTAATTACACTCCCCCTCTAATAGTCAACAAATTCAGGATGAAAAGCACCGGAGAAGTCGGATGATGAATTCGAAAGCACGAATCGAGGCCGGAGGGGATGTATTCCTATCAAACCTATTGGATGTGTACTATCCTCAGCGAAGCAACGATCTCGAGTCCTATTGTCTGTACAATTTGGCCACTAATTTCGCAGTCCGATGTTCCAAAGGTACGGCAAAAATTAGTAGTAAAATTTAAGAAGGGATTTGTTTAACACAAACTTCAAGATAATTGTTTCAGCCAATCCCGACTCGGAGACTGAAGATGGTGTAACGGATGGAATCAATCAATCTGATTGTCAATCTATTTTCTACAGTCACGGAAATTTGAAAAGAGGGACGAAACTTATGATAGGCGGTACAAAGAAATCATTTGTGAAACAAAAAAAAAGGTAAGTTGAAAATGCGGAAAATAATACTTCAATTTTTCTAGGTCGGTCGTTTCTTTGTGCCACAATTCAGTGTAGATGACCTTGGCAGCCTTGAAGAGTTTCATAGGCGGATGTCTATGAAACCTTGGAGAACGGGAACTAATATGCTGGAAACGTACAATAAGGATTCGTACTCGTCTTTGTTTCTAGACTATATGGATACGCTGGAATCGACGTCACCAATCGCCCACAAGGAGCTCTCAACATTTCTGGCATCTTTCGTTGATATGAAGAAAGAACAAACGTTGATACGAACACGAATGCAGAATTTGAATGTGAGTACATTACTATTAAAATAAGGAAAGGATTGTGATATAGTACATTTCCACTTCGTTACAACAACAAAAAGTCGTAGTTCATTTGAAGTTATATTTTTTTGTAGGAGGCCCTAAAAGAATTGAACGTGGATGAAGATGAAGATGAACTACAAGTGCAAGCTCGAAGTGTTGATGTCGACAAACACAACGAAAACGTGTCAAAGCTGAACGAAGAACAGTCTACTCTATTCAATATGATCATTCAGAATGTGCGGAAGTCTCAGGTGAGAGCTCTTTACTAAAAAACACGCCTTAGTTATAATTTAGGAACCGGGGGGAGCGAACGTACTGTACTACTGCAGTGGTACCGCTGGCGTCGGCAAAAGCTTCCTAATAGACTGTTTAGCGGACGCACTAGAATTGGAATTCGGTGACATTGCAAATGGCTTCTCAACGCCTGCAGTTCTGTTATCTGCTCCTACTGGTTTGTCTGCGATCTCAATAGGAGGACAGACGTTACACTCCTTGTTCGCGATCGAGGTAATGCAAATTATATTTCAACGTTCTATTTATTGCCACATAGGTTCAAAGTGGAAGTGAGTCCTCATATCACTCCCTTTCTGACGAAAAACGAGATCTCCGTCGTGCCCTATTTTCCAACGTGAAGTTAATAATTATTGACGAAATTTCAATGTGTGGATCGATTATGCTGGCCAAAATTCGGAACCGACTGAGAGAAATTGGGAAAATCTCGGAAGAATTCGGAGGCTTCAACATCGTCGTCTTTGGAGATCTTTTGCAGTTGCCACCAGTCCGAGCACCACCTGTTTTCAGCGGTGAGCACAAACATTATAGTCTCACAGTAATAACTTTCTTTGAAGGCCTCAGCAAATACACTGCTCGCAAAATTTTTGGAGGTTGCGGAGCTCCAAACCTCTGGCATAACTTCAAATTTTTTGAATTGGTCACAAACATGCGCCAAAGAGAGGACAGAAAATACGCGGAAATCCTTGGTAAAATTGATTTGATAATTTCTCTGCTTTTAAATCTAAGCCTTCAGACAATCTGTAAGGTAAGGTAAGGTTAAGTGCACCTTCATTCTAAAAAATCTTAGATAATATTTCAAAAAAGCTAGGCTCTTTAGATTCAAAATAGTAATTTAGAAAAATCAGTTGTTTTGTAACATAATTTTAAAGAAAAAAAATTTAGGTCGTCTACGCATAAACAAACTGAACGATGATGACAAACTAGAGTTGGGTCAACGAATCATAGCCACGAACATGGATGTTTCTGAACTCCTAACGAAGTCTGCTCATTACTTTGTTATTTTGGCTGAATCGGACCCTTTTGTGATGACCTTATTCCCAACAAAACTGGAAGTCGACGAATTTAATTTGGAAGTACGTTTTAAAAGTTAAAATTAAAACTACTATTTCAATTAAAAGTAGAAAAAAGTATTGTTGATTATAGGTTCTGAGACTAATGGGAGCTGAATGTGTTTCGATCACTGCCAACGACACTATCAAGGATGCCAATAAAGGGAATAGAAAACAGAGACCGTGGCAGACGAAAGGTAACGTCAGTTTTTCTTATTAAAAAAGATACGAACGCTTCGTTCAGAATTCAATTTAATGGCAAAAAAGGATTCAAACGAGCGTAAACCAACTATTGATATGATTGGCTATGCCGGTGGACTCCGATCTACTCTTGTTATTGCGAAAAATTGTCGAATCATGCTACGTCGAAATCTTGACAAAGTACGCGGACTCGTAAATGGACTGACTGGTGTCCTCGAAATCATTCACGAAGATTTCGGTGAAATCACGAAATTAGGTATCAGGTACGGTTAAATGGTTAAAACCTTTTAAACGTCATTTAAAGTTATACGATTCAGATTTGACCGAATTCCCGACGAAATAACCTGGGTTCGAAAGCTCACGGTAATGTACGAAACGAAATCTGGACAACGGGCAAGTCGGACCCAATTTCCTCTGGAACTTGCATACGCGTGCACTGTCCATAAATCACAAGGATTGACACTGAACAACGTCATAGTCTCAACAAGGTAACCGTCTAAATTGGACAACATCATTTCACTATATCTTAATGATTTTCAGAAGGATGTTCAGCGACGGCCAATTTTTTGTGGCGGCGTCACGTGTACGAGCCATCACAGGGCTTCATCTCATCGATTGCGACCTTTCCAAAGTAAAATCTAACAAGTTTGCGATTGAAGAGTACGCCCGACTTGGATCCACAGCAATTCATTCTGAAGACTCAACGGAACAACTGAAGGAAAATCGAATTACCGACACAGAGACGGAAGTGTACCCCAATCATCTGACAACAGCTTCGAATTCCCAATTCCTGAAGGATTATTCGACCAATCAAAGTGAGAGATAGTTTCCTCAAAAGTGACAAGGTCATTTTAATTTCTCTATTTAGGTTTGGGATTGAGGGATGATGAAGACCATATGCTCAGAACTGGCACAGTGGGAATTCCGCTGACCAATACCGTGCAGTCGTGCAGAACGGTAGTTAACACACTCCTCAAGGTGAAGACAAACGAGGCATTCTACGTGGTAAATCATAAAAAATGAAATAGTGCCAACTTTATGCTATTCAGGAGTTGACACGACTTCTCACAGGACGTTCCAAGGATGTCACCCTTCTTCGGTCTTTGTTTCCCGACAGGGAGCTCCACAATGGGCAGCAAGACGTGGGGAGGGCTTGGGACCAACTGACAGAGGTAAGATAACTATAAACACTCGATGGGATAAGATTCATTTCAGAAACTGCCCTACGAAGTCTTCAAATCAATCAAATTCACAACCACCACAACATGGAAATGCGAATTGTGTGGAGATGCGGAGTCCTCGCTACACGATGAGATCATTTTAACCACCGTCGCCTACGAGACTACTTCTGTTGCCGAGTTGTTCGAAGACGACACGTCAACTAGGACTTGTCGAAATTGCAAATATCAGGAAGCAAAACGATGTAAAAAATATTCAGTCTCCGAGTCAACAAGGCATTTGTGTGTGAAAATCTACAAGACACGTGAGAAGACGTATATCTCTGATCTGGACAACGAGATATTTCAATTTGCGGAAAATGAATGGACCCCAATAGGTTAGTACATTCTGACCGATGACAACAAATTTTTCATTCAGGTCTCGTGGAATATATTCCTGCGCCGAATGTTCCGTACTCAACACAAGGTCATTATGTTTCATGGATAAAATCGAGAAATTAGTGGATTAAAATTTCGGACAATAGGATGGAAGAGCATCAGCATGCCGGAGCGGCCACAAAAGACGTTACTTTCATTATATTTCGTAAACTTAATTGAATAAAATATTAAATTAGTCACCCAGAAGAGACACTTTTGGATTCTACTAAAAGAATTTCATCTCACAAGAAAATGGACTTTATAGGTATTGGACTTAACGAATTGAATTATTATCACAAAAATCGATGAATACTTTGAAATCCTCTAAAGTAGATTTTAAAAAAAGGCGGAGTCAGAACTATTCCACGCATTGACAATCTAAGCATTTCAGTTGATTCAAAAATGTTTATTACAAGCCAAAGAAATACGTACATTTCCAACGGAATTTACTGATCATCGCCAACATTTAAAGTTTTGTTGACGGATTTTTATTTTCTTCGAAATATAAAAATTTTTAATGGAGACCTACCGAAATTGAAAAAAAAGTCCGTAGACCCTGATAACACTCCTCGTTTCCGTTAATCCAACACGTGATCGTGGCAGGGCACTTCTCGTAAGGATCGCCATGTTCAAGAAATGACACGAGATCGGCGTAAATCTCAGCTCCTTCTCTGTAAAAGTCACGAATTAAAAATTTGGAAAAAGAAAAACATGAAAAAAAAGTTAATCGGACACTACTCTGTCTCCCTACCTGTAAATATTGGGGTGAACGCGCTCGCATAAAACATTTTTTTCACTTGATTTCGCATCTTTCACAAAATTTTCTGCGAAAAGGCGTTTTTTGTCGGTTCGCGTTACCTCACGTTTCTTCAAAATGATGAACTAGAAAAAAACAGAAATTTCGCATAAAACGCTTTTTCGCAGAAATTATGAGGATTTAAAATCTTGAACATTCTAAAACATTAATTTCGTCAAAATAAGCGAATTTTGACTGTTTTTAGCCAAAAAACCGAATTTCAATCATTTTGCTCAATTGAGGACCATAACGACACTGTGAAATTACGCACATCGCCCCCTTTTCCATTCGTGATTGGGGAGACAGTGCACTAGCTAGATTTACGATTCAGTATTGCTCTAATGCTTGATTTTTAAGGTTAATATTTTTACCTGTGATCTATTTCCGGACAGGTTAAGTCACACAGACGACCGAGTGTACAATTTATTAGGTTGTTCGGAAAGTTCCAGTCATTTTTGGGTTCAGAAAAATGTATTGTGAAACAAGTCAAAGAGTTATCCGATTAATTAGATATATTGCCCATGTTTTTCGATGACTGTCTGCCAACGTGTCACCAACTTGTGGATACCTTCCTTCCGGAACTCCTGCGGCTGGGAGTCGGAAAATGAAGCCAACTAGATTTTGACATCTTGTCTTGAGTTGAACTTTTTTCCACTGAGATGGCGTTGGAGGTGACTGAAGAGATGGTAATCAGAGGGGGCCAGGTCTGGGCTGTACGGTGGGTGAGACAAGATTGGCCAGCCGTATCCAGCGAGTTCAGCTTTGGCCTTTCTGTCAACATGGGGATGAGCGTTATCATGCAGAAAGTAAACTTTCGCATTTTTCCCCTAATGGAGATCCACATGGAGTCTGAGTTTTCTCAGCTGACCAGTGTAGACATCGGTCGTAATAGTGACGCCGTCATCAAGCAGCTTCTAATACTCAACTGCACGGACAGACCATCATATTGATAACATTGCCTTTTTTTGTGTATTTCATGTTTTGGCCCGTCAGCTGGCTGAGCTTCTTTGTCAACCCACTCGGCACGTCGCTCAATGCCATCATACATAACTCATCTCTCGTCTCCCATAATGATTTGATCAGACCATCCATGTGTGCGATGCGGGGTGAGAAGATTCAAGCAGGTATCCACACGTGTATCCAAGTTGTGTTGAGTCAAAACATGCGGAACATATCTTCCGAGTTTTTTGACTTTGCCAATTGCTTCGAGTCCATGACTAATTGATGCTAGGCTTGCCCCAAGTGTCCTTTATAGTTCACGGATAGATTGAAAAGGATCCCTCTCAATCTCGCTTTTCAATGCTTCCAAGTCTAACGATATCGGTCTTCCTGAACGTGGATGATCATCCATCAAAAATTCTCCTTTTTCGAATCGAAGAAACCAAGTGCTAATGATAGTTCGAGTGGGTGCATCTTTGTTGTAAACCTCCGTGAAACGGCGATCAATGTCGGCATTTTCAGGTCAGATATAAATAGAAATAAGATTACATTTCGGAAATGTAAGTTGTTAGAGACGAAAACGTTCGGCATATCTCACTCCTCGGGAACACGAGAATGATATCCGTTGCTGTGTTGACACTTCAATACCCTACCAACATACTGATAAAAAGACAACTGAGTCGCTTGCTTCCCGAGAGAAAAAACAATCTTCAAAAACATACTATGAAAAATGACTGGAACTTTCCGAACAACCTAATAAAAGGCAATGTCTGAGAACCTCGAAATTCGCTAATTACACCAGGTCACTAAAAATTCAGAATGCTTCAATTTGTCCCATATTATACCCAATGGGTACTTACATAACAGTCATACATCAGACAAGTTTTGGTCCGGCTCCGTGGTCCCTAGTCCGATCACGATCCCAAAAGAGGTAAAAACTGTAACTAATTTCAAGAAAATTCTAGCGTCTCAGACTTAACACCATTCGATTTTTCGCATCTTTTTAAGCATTTTTCATGTTGGCACCAAAAATTTAGCACCTCTCCTTCATGGAGAAAAATATTGTTTTATGACATTTTTCAGAACATTTTTCAGTTTTCTGCTCGTCCTGAAAAATTTTACATAGCCATGATTTTATTGCTGATTCTGAATCTAGACATTATTGTGCTTCTGCAAAAAAAAAGTTCACCCCGATCCTGATTGACATCAAGGGGTTTTTAGGCCGAAATTCACAAAATTCGTAGTACTTTTGCATGGAAAAATGTTCGCGAACTTGAGAAAAGTGCGTTTTCTCAATTTTCTAAGGGGTCTGATTGCGATTTTTGTTGTTTTCGTATACTTTTAGGCATTCTCGATTTTTTGGAAGCATTTTGAAAATTAATAAAAATTAGACCAAGTCGTCGACCCGGGGGTCATGACAAAATTTTCGAGAAAAAATTAATTTTCGAAATGCTTCAAAAAAATCAAGAATGCCTAAAAGTATACGAAAACAACAAATATCGCGATCAGGCCCCTTTGAAAATTGAGAAAACGCACTTTTCTCAAGTTCGCGAACATTTTCCCATGCAAAAGTACTCTAAATTTTGTGAATTTCGGCCAAAAAACCCCTTGATGTCAATCGGGATCGGGGTTCAGAATCAGCAATAAAATCATGGCTATGTACTGTTAAAATTTTTCAGGACGAGCAGAAAACTGAAACATTTTCTGAAAAATGTCACAAACCAATTTTGTTCTCCATAAAGGAGGGGTGCCAAATTTTTGGTGCGAACATGAAATATACTCAAAAAGATGCTAAGAATCCAATGGCGTTGAGTCTGAGACGCTAGCATTTTTTTGAAATTAGTTACAGGTTTGACCTTGTTTGTGACCGTGATCGGACTAGGGACCACGGAGCCGGACCAAAACTTGTCTGATGTATGACTGTTATGTAAGTACCCATTGGGTATAATATGGAACAAATTGAAGCATTCTGAATTTTTAGTGACCTGCAGTATTTGAACTTCTCAGACATTGCCTCTTAATTATTGTCAATTGGAGCTGACAAAATAATTTACACGAGTGCATAGATACTTGAGTTAGTATTAGAAACTAAACGAAAACAAGTTGTAATACTGAAAAACAAGCCTGATTCGGCGGCTACTCCGCATCATCAGGCTGCGGCTCCTCATTGCGGCTCCGCATCATCAGGCTGCGGCTCCTCATTTGAGCTGCCTGCGGTAGCTT